GAACCTAAACTATTCTGAAGTAAAGGTCGGTGCCACAGGGATCGATACTCGGACCTGTTCTTTTCACTCTCCACATGCTGCCGTTAGGAACACCATTAAAGAGCATGGTCTTAACTTCCACTACAGATAAAGCTGCAGACACAGCTGCACACACAGCTGCACACACAGCTGCAGTTTTACTGTCGATAAAACCAAAGCAGACAGATCTGTTAGAAGGGCTCAGTGCTGCAGAAAAGACCTAAAAACCTGACTCCTTGGAGAAGACAGAAGTGATTCTTCTCGGTCCTAAACGTCTGCGACTCCCTCTGATCAGATACACTCGCTAACGTTAGCGTAGCACCTGGTCTGGTGCTAGAGGGAGACCAGGAAAGTCTAGAGACCAGAATTTTGACCAGAAACCAAAAACAATGCAACTAGAAGAACCGTGTGCTTCATCACATGATCCAAAAGGGGGCGTGGCCTTCCCCTGTGCTCTTACACACATCTGCTGACCAGGTCTCCAGTCGCCGCGGTGACGGAGTAAACAGACCTGGATCACAGATTAACCTCCAAATCATCTGATCATTAGTGGATTAATGTCAGCGAGTTAATGAGGCGGATCCAGGCCTCTGATTGGTCGAACTCGGAGTGCGCCGTTAATCTCGGTCACCCAGTTCAAACTTACACTTCTGGTTCAAAGGAGAAGGAGGCCCGAAGCCAGACCAGGACCAGACCAGGGCCAGACCAGGAAGAGACCAGAGAGAGAGACCAGAGAGAAACCAGGAAGAGACCAAAGAAAGGCCAAAGAGAGACCAGAGAGAGACCAGAGAGAGAGAGACCAGAAAGAAACCAGAGATAGACCAAATAGAGAGACCAGAGAGAGAGAATAGAGAGAGACTTGAGGGACACAAGAGAGAGACCACCATATATTTGCAGACCTCTCATGTCTCAGTACAGAGCAAAAGTGTGGACACCCCTCTCTCCTCCTCTCTTCACTGAGTTCTTTTCATGACTATTGCTGTAGACCCGCACCAGGCTGTGTAAGGGCTGTGTGACCGGTCCTGAACCCAGTCCAGATGGTTTTGGACCTGAACCCAGTCCAGATGGTTTTGGATCTGGACCCAGTCCAGATGGTTTTGGACCTGAACCCAGTCCAGATGGTTTTGGACCTGAACCCAGTCCAGATGGTTTTGGACCTGAACCCAGTCCAGATGGTTTTGGGGCTGGACCACAGAGTGAAGGGGCCAAGTGCTAAGCATCATGGGAACTCCTTCCAGACTGTTGAAGACCATTTCAGGTCCTGTTGAAGCTCATCCAGAGAATGCCAAGAGTGAAGCAGTATCAGAGCAAAAGGAGCTACTTTGAAGAACCAGAATAAAACACATATTTACACTTGGTTCATACTTTTTTACTACGAACATAATTCACATGAGTTCATCATAGGTTTGATGCCCTCAGTGTCAATCTAGAATTTTATAATCATGAACATAAAAAACTCATTGAATGAGAAGGTGTGTCCAAACTTTTAGTCTGTACAGTATGTGTCTCAGTATGTCTCTGTATACATGTCTCAGTATACATGTCTCTGTATACATGTCTCTGTATACATGTCTCTGTATACATGTCTCTGTATACATGTCTCAGTATACATGTCGCAGTATACATGTCTCAGTATACATGTCTCAGTATACATGTCGCAGTATACATGTCTCAGTATACATGTCTCAGTATACATGTCTCAGTATACATGTCTCAGTATACATGTCTCTGTATACATGTCTCTGTATACATGTCTCAGTATACATGTCTCTGTATACATGTCTCAGTATACATGTCTCAGTATACATGTCGCAGTATACATGTCTCAGTATACATGTCTCAGTATACATGTCTCAGTATACATGTCTCTGTATACATGTCTCTGTATACATGTCTCAGTATACATGTCTCTGTATACATGTCTCTGTATACATGTCTCAGTATACATGTCTCTCTCAGTATACATGTCTCAGTATACATGTCTGGGCCTTCATGGTGCGTACCTGTGCCAGCAGGATGCCCAGCACCACTCCCAGCTGGTGCAGCGTGCCCAGAGCGCCCCTCAGTGGCGTGGGGGAGATCTCCTCCACGTACATGGGCACGAAGCCGGTGCAGAGACCACAGAACACACCCACCACACACCGGCCCACGATCAGCATCTCGAACGAACCGCACACATGAGAGAGACCCATGAGCAGCGCAGACACCACGGCCAGCAGGTTAGAGGCCAGCATAGAGTTCTTACTGCAGAGAGAGAACCACATATGAGAGAGACACACACATGAGAGAGAAACACACATGAGAGAGACACACACACACAGACACACATGAGAGAGAGAGACACACACATACACACGAGAGAGAGAGACACACACACAGACACACATGAGAGAGAGACACACAGACACACACATGAGAGAGACACACACACACACAGACACACATGAGACACACACACACACACGAGAGAGAGAGACACACACACAGACACACATGAGAGAGAGAGACACACACACAGACACACATGAGAGACACACACACACATGAGAGAGAGACACACAGACACACATGAGAGAGAGACACACACACACACACGAGAGAGAGAGACACACACACAGAGACACACATGAGAGACACACACACACATGAGAGAGACACACATGCATACACAAGTAGAAACGTCTACTGGGAGTCTACAGCCTCAGAGTGTGTGTGTGTGTGTGTGCGTGTGCGTGGGTGTGTGTGTGTGTGTATGGTTATGTGAGTGGTTGTGTTACCGGCCAAAGCGGTTGACAAACATCCCGACAGAGGAGGATCCCAGCATTCCTCCGATGGGGAAGATGGCGACAGAGAGAGACCAGAGCGCAGTGAGGGAGGAGGGCGGGATGTGCTCCTGGTACCGCCACAACCAGGTGTCATTGTAGAAGCCCTCGATGGTCTGACAACACACAAGAGACACACACAACACACACATCATAATTAAACAATAGCCACATTTCCACCGACTCAACTCTGCTCTGCTGTATGCTACTCTGTGATGTCACGCCTCAGTCCTGGGTCTACAGCCTCAGTCCTGGGTCTACAGCCTCAGTCCTGGGTCTACAGCCTCAGTCCTGGGTCTACAGCCTCAGTCCTGGGTCTACAGCCTCAGTCCTGGGTCTACAGCCTCAGTCCTGGGTCTACAGCCTCAGTCCTGGGTCTACAGCCTCAGTCCTGGGTCTACAGCCTCAGTCCTGGGTCTACAGCCTCAGTCCTGGGTCTACAGCCTCAGTCCTGGGTCTACAGCCTCAGTCCTGGGTCTACAGCCTCAGTCCTCGTTCTACAGTCTGAGTCTGTTACAGTTAGGGTCTAACAAAAGGACTGCGATGATCCAGGACATTCTACATGTATGACACTAGTCTCTCTCTATGGTCCAATACCATGTGTGTTTTTTCTGTGTTTGAACTGTTTGATTCTCTGATCTGTGCTGGAGAAATCAACAGTTTTGTAAAGTCTTCAGAGAAACTATTGATTTAGGGAGATATAAGAATACATAGAATTGAATGTCACTGTGATGTCACACAGTGTGATGTCACTCAGTGATGTCACCTCCTGGGGGGCGTTGATGACTCCAGTGTTGTATCCAAACTGCAGAGAGCCCAAAACAGCTGCTCCCACAGAGAGGAGGAGAACAGGAGTCACCTGCAGACGCACAACAATAGTTACATACACACACACACACACACAGACACACAACCAGGGTACTACTAGTACTGCAGTAGTAGCAGCACTTAGATCAAAGACTAAATGAGACTAAAGTTACAGACCTGAGCTTTAAACATGTGTTATTGATGAGACTAAAGTTACAGACCTGAGCTTTAAACATGTGTTATTGATGAGACTAAAGTTACAGACCTGAGCTTTAAACATGTGTTATTGATGAGACTAAAGTTACAGACCTGAGCTTTAAACATGTGTTATTGATGAGACTAAAGTTACAGACCTGAGCTTTAAACATGTGTTATTGATGAGACTAAAGTTACAGACCTGAGCTTTAAACATGTGTTATTGATGAGACTAAAGTTACAGACCTGAGCTTTAAACATGTGTTATTCAGACTAAAGTTACAGACCTGAGCTTTAAACATGTGTTATTGATGAGACTATCCTTGCCAATGTGACATGTAAATTTCTCCTTTGTGAGATAAATAAAGCACATCTTATCTTATCTTAAAGTTACAGACCTGAGCTTTAACATTGACATCTGGTGTGTTACCTGGTCCAGGCCCTCCATGCCACTGCTTTGGTCCCAGTGGAGAAGCCTCTGGTCCCGGCCCTGGGTCTGGCTTCTGCTCGGGTCCCAGTACTGGGTCCTGGTACTGGTCCTTTCTCTCGGTCACGTCTTGGTTAAACCTCTGGTCCTGGGTCAGCCTCTGGACCTGGGTCAGCCTCTGGTCCTGGGTCAGCCTCTGGTCCTGGGTCAGCCTCTGGTCCTGGGTCAGCCTCAGGTCCTGGTCCTGGGTCAGCCTCTGGTCCTGGGTCAGCCTCTGGTCCTGGGTCAGCCTCTGGTCCTGGTCCTGCCTCCAGGTCGGTCTTCCCACAGCGTGCTCTGGTTCATTCAGCTGGTGCTTAAGCCTCTTAGTGACGACAGCAGATAAGTGGATGTGAAGACCATGTAGACCATGAAGACCATGAAGACTGTGAGGATTGTGAAAACCATCTGAGACTTCTACTTAAGCTCAGATTATTAAAGTCACTCCTTAAAGCTGAGGCACGCAACTTTCTCCCTCTGCTCTTTCTGGTTTCTCTCTGGTCTCTTTCTGGTCTCACAGGGAGGACCACCAGCACTCAGTCAAATAGACTCAAAAAGCTCTTCCCTAAAATTATTGTAAAAATCTGGTTTGAAAGTCCTCAGCTTTAGTTAACTTCAGGATAAGGACGCACCTAAGAAATAAGTCACTCCCTCTAGTGGTGAAAGTGGAACATTACACTCTGTTCACGTCCAGAGACAGATGAAGTAATCCTCAGTTCTTCCACAGCAGGGACCTTTCAGACGGACCATGTGAGGTTTTCTCTGCACATGGTCCGATCACAGGTCAGTAAACCAGCTTCTGTTAAACGTGCTCAGGTCTCATCTGAAAACCAGAGGCGGCCGAGACTTTTCTGCGGATCCCAAACAGTGGAACAGTGAGAGCGGCTCCTTCAATAGTTTTTAAATCGATTAAATCTAAAAACACTTTTTGTTCTGACACCAACTGAGTTTTGCTTTTTACATGTTTGTGTATTTTATGCTTTTATTTTTTATCTCTTTTGTCTGTGAAGCACTTTGGGCATTTGTGTTGGAAATGTGTTATACAATTAACACTAACATCGACATTGACAGGGAGAGACCAGAGAGACCAGAGAGAGAGACCAGAGAGACCAGAGAGAGAGACCAGAGAGAGAGACCAGAGAGAGACCAGAGAGAGAGACCAGAGAGAGAGAGACCAGAGAGAGAGACCAGAGAGACCAGAGAGAGAGACCAGAGAGAGAGACCAGAGAGAGAGACCAGAGAGAGAGACCAGAGAGAGACCAGAGAGAGAGACCAGAGAGAGACCAGAGAGAGACCAGAGAGAGAGACCAGAGAGACCAGAGAGAGAGACCAGAGAGAGACCAGAGAAGAGACAGAGAGAGACCAGAGAGAGACCAGAGAGAGACCAGAGAGAGAGACCAGAGAGAGACCAGAGAGAGAGACCAGAGAGAGAGAGACCAGAGAGAGAGACCAGAGAGAGACCAGAGAGAGACCAGAGAGAGAGACCAGAGAGAGAGACCAGAGAGAGAGACCAGAGAGAGACCAGAGAGAGACCAGAGAGAGACCAGAGAGAGAGACCAGAGAGAGACCAGAGAGAGACCAGAGAGAGAACAGAGAGAGACCAGAGAGAGAGAGAGAACAGAGAGAGACCAGAGAGAGAACAGAAAGAGAGACCAGAGAGAGGACATTAGTAAAGTGAGCAGACCACAGACCACAGGAATTTAGTAAACAGATTTATTGACAGCTCAGTCTTCGTCCTCCTCCTCTTCCTCGTCCTGGTTGATCTGGAAGTATCGCAGCTCGTAGCTCTCTTTGCTGTTGGCCACGACACGGAGCCAGTCACGCAGATTATTCTTCTTCAGGTACTTCTTGGTCAAGTACTTCAGGTATCTGGAGGAACATAAGAACCAGGTGAGGAGCAGGACCAGGGGAGATGCAGATACAGAGAGAGAGACTGAGGGGCCAGAGAGAGAGAGAGCAGAGAGAGACTGAGGGGCCAGAGAGAGAGAGAGCAGAGAGAGACTGAGGGGCCAGATAGAGAGAGAGAGAGAGAGACTGAGGAGCCAGAGAGAGAGAGAGACTGAGGAGCCAGAGAGAGAGAGAGACTGAGGAGCCAGAGAGAGAGAGAGCAGAGAGACTGAGGGGCCAGAGAGAGAGAGAGAGCAGAGAGAGACTGAGGGGCCAGAGAGAGAGAGAGAGAGAGAGACTGAGGGGCCAGAGAGAGAGAGAGCAGAGAGACTGAGGGGCCAGAGAGAGAGAGAGCAGAGAGAGACTGAGGGGCCAGAGAGAGAGAGAGAGAGAGAGAGACTGAGGGGCCAGAGAGAGAGAGAGAGAGAGACTGAGGGGCCAGAGAGAGAGAGAGCAGAGACTGAGGGGCCAGAGAGAGAGAGCAGAGAGAGAGAGACTGAGGGGCCAGAGAGAGAGAGAGAGAGACTGAGGGGCCAGAGAGAGAGAGAGCAGAGACTGAGGCCTGCTCCCTTCTACATCAAGCAGACCTGAGATTGTTTATGAGTTAGTATCAGGATTAGGGTGTGGCTAACCACACCCATAGGTTATAAATCTCTAACGCGCGGTCCGAGAATTCATTCCCTGAAGAAGTCCCCAGGTTGAGGACGAAACGTCGGGAAAACTTGCTAAGAAGTACAGATGATGGGTGAGAAACCTTCCTTTGCTTTGACTAATCCCTGTACGACTGAGGGCTTACACAAACTTATCGTTGCCAACTTTGGGAGAGACGCCCTGGTCTTGGCACGCGGGTTGGAGAAAATCATAAGAAAACTAGCAGACGCCAGAAATCATCTTAGGTTTAATCTTAGGTGTAGCCAGAGTAAACTTATCCCAAAATGTTTAAAGCAAAAAGCATTAGAAACAGGCCAGTTGGCAAGAAAAATACAACAAAACTACTGTATGAAGATTCTCAATTTAAGAATTCGACGACTTAACATAGAGATTATAAACCTAAAGGACGAGATAGAGTGCCTTAAGCACAAACTGGAATTGGCAGTCTCAGAGTTTTTTCAGAGGATTTGGACGTTTACGGAAACTGCCCAACTGAACCATCACAAGAAGGCCAAAGAACGTCAGATAGGCAAATTTCTAAAACTCCAAAACCATAATTCTTTTCAACATTCTAAAAGTGAAATTGGACAAGGCTTGGACAGGGAGAATTGGGTCAAAAATCTGTCTGATCGGCGTTTATCACAAGCGGAAAAAGATGTTCTTACTAAAGGCCTAAATTTTGCAATAACCCCAAAAGATATTCCTACAATTGAATACATCACAGCAGCAGAAGCAGCCATTAGAAACAACAAACTAACTGAGAGTGAGGCAGGGGCCCTCAGACTGAGAGTCTCTGCAACACTCAAAAGTGCGAAGCCCCCACAATCCAATGTCTCATTAGATGAGCAAAAAGCATTATTGGCATTACAAAAGGATGAGAGTATAACTATTTTACCAGCTGACAAAGGCAGATGCACAGTTATCCTCAACAGCTCAGACTATGAGGCCAAAGTTAATCAGTTACTCTTGGACACCAACACGTACCAGCCATTGAAGAGGGACCCTACCAGTAGGCCTGTCGCGATAGTCAATAAATCAATTAATCGCACGATAAATAAAATTTGCTCAATAACTTTTCTGGCCGCGATAAATATCATTTGCAGCTTGTTTGTTTCCCCCGTCTCTCCCGGGTCAGAGAGCCGCAAAGTGGTCACGGGAACACTAGCGGTCTAGCAAGCAGACGGAAATTACTCAAAAATACAAAATACAGCCAAAACAGGACCTAAACCAGGACTTAACCAGGATTGACAATGGGGGACACAGTAGTTGTGAACACATGCCGGCAGCTGAGTTCTCATTCAGGCTTGATTAGTGACTATACTAGCGCAGCTAGCGTTAGCGTGTTCGCCGATGCAGAAGTACCGTACCATACCAATAAAATAAACTTATGGCGCACCTCCGTGAACACATACTGCTGTTATATAAAGTCTCTAGAAGGTCTCTGAACACAGAGATGCTGCAGACTTGCATTCTTGGAGTAGAACTTTACACAAAAAACCCGCTAGCTTAGCTGTTAGCATCAAAGCCCGCCCCGCTACTTCCGGTGGGCGCTACCGCAGCAGGACTTCTGGTGAACCCACATGTCAGTCACTTGTCATTCGCCTGGTGTGTCTTAAGCCACACAAAGTCAACATGTTGGTATTTCTTTCTCGTAATCTGCCATAAAGTCTGAGAAATTATTGACATTTGAGGCATCTTTACAAAGGTCCTGGCAGTTTTATTCCTGGTCATTTTTTGTTAAGAGACGGAGTCCATTTTATTTATTGTTTTTGGTTGTTTGTTAATTTATTGTGTTCTAGCGTTAAATATTTGTTAAAAATAAAAGTTTATTTCTCTTTGAAAAGGTGTACCTGCATTATCATTGTAATCGATGCAAATGATCTCAGAACGACAATATAATCGCTTATCGCAATAATTTCTGAGACAATTAATCGTCCAGCAAAATTTGTTATCGTGACAGGCCTACCTACCAGTGGGTTTAGGAAAAAGATTATAAACTTCCTTCAGAACTTAATGAAAGAGGGCATTACTGAAAAACCACTATATTACAAACTTTACCCAGGAGACACCATCCCCAGTATTTATGGCCTCCCAAAAATACACAAACAAAACTTTCCACTTCGGCCTATTGTATGTAGCATAGACTCTATCACCTACAACCTGGCTAAACACCTCAAAACCATTCTGGCTCCTTTGGTGGGTAACACCCACCATCACATAGAAAACACAAAAGAATTTGTGAATAAAATCAAACACCTCCAGTTTGACACAGATGAGACAATGGTCTCGTTTGATGTGACATCGCTTTTTACGTCGGTCCCTATTACAGAGGCGGTGGAGGCTGTAAGAGAAAGCCTACAGAAAGACGCCACACTAGGGGAGAGAACGAAACTAACAGCTGACCACATCTGTGAAATACTTGAAATGTGTCTTAACACCACGTATTTCCAATTTAGAGGCACCTTCTTTAGACAGATTCATGGCTGTACGATGGGCTCCCCAGTCTCTCCTATAGTGGCCAATCTGTATATGGAGAAACTGGAGGAACAAGCCCTGGGCTCTTACCAAGGGACAGCGCCAAGCCATTGGTTTCGATATGTAGACGATACATGGGTTAAGTTAAAGAAACAGGAAGTGGAACCATTTTCAGCACACATTAACTCGGTGGACCCTTTTATAAATTTCACTCGTGAGGATGCTAAGGAGAGTGAACTCGCCTTTCTAGATTGTAAGGTCATCATACTGGAGAACGGACAATTAGAGACTGAGGTCTTCAGAAAGTCCACTCACACTGACCAGTACTTGGCTTTTGATTCAAATCATCCGCTACAACACAAACTCGGGGTCATTAGAACGCTTCAACACAGAGCCCACCAGGTCCCCACTAGCTCGGAGGGAAAGAACAGAGAAACCAAACATGTTCAGAGAGCACTTTCCAGATGTGGCTACCCCAAGTGGTCTTTTACTAAAGCCCCAAAGGACGAGAAAGGCCAGAGACACAGTCCAACAGACAGAAGAAAGTAGGAGGAGAGGGGTGTCCTTACCGTATGTGGCGGGAGTTTCAGAGAAACTACAAAGAATCTTTAGGCAACACAAAATCCCTGTGTATTTCAAACCTTTCAACACGTTAAGACAGAAATTAGTGCATCCCAAAGACAAAACACCCAGACACAAACAGAGCAATGTGGTGTATTCAATTAAATGTAGTGAAGAGGAGTGCACTGACCACTATATTGGAGAAACCAAACAAACTCTACAGAAACGACTTTACCAACATCGTAGAGAAAACTCTAGTGGGCCACAGTCGGCTGTTCATCTCCACCTCAAGGCCTCCAACCACACGGTGGATGACACAGAGGTTAAAATTCTGGCTCGGGAGAAGAATTGGTTTGAGAGAGGAGTGAAAGAAGCCATTTTTGTGAGGAAACAAAAACCTTCTCTTAACAGAGGAGGAGGGTTAAGATTTGTTTTGCCTCGCATCTATGACGACATCCTAAAAACAACGCCCTAACTTGGGACAAGGTCAGTGACATGCTAATGAGTTAGGGTCGTTAGCCTCAGCAGGGTCGTTAGACCTGCTCCCTTCTACATCAAGCAGACCGTAGATTGTTTATGAGTTAGTATCAGGATTAGGGTGTGGCTTACCACACCCATAGGTTATAAATCTCCAACGCGCGGTCCGAGAATTCATTCCCTGAAGAAGTCCCCAGGTTGAGGACGAAACGTCGGGAAAACTTGCTAAGAAGTACAGATGATGGGTGAGAAACCTTCCTTTGCTTTTTAGTAGTAGTAATCTTTATTTACAGTGCCTTGCAAAAGTATTCGGCCCCCTTGAACCTTTCAACATTTCGCCACATTTCAGGCTTCAAACATAAAGATATAAAATTTTAATTTTTTGTCATGAATCAACAACAAGTGGGACACAATCGTGAAGTGGAACGAAATTTATTGGATAATTTAAACTTTTTTAACAAATAAAAAACTGAAATCTGGTTTGAAAGTCCTCAGCTTTAGTTAACTTCAGGATAAGGACGCACCTAAGAAATAAGTCACTCCCTCTAGTGGTGAAAGTGGAACATTACACTCTGTTCACGTCCAGAGACAGATGAAGTAATCCTCAGTTCTTCCACAGCAGGGACCTTTCAGACGGACCATGTGAGGTTTTCTCTGCACATGGTCCGATCACAGGTCAGTAAACCAGCTTCTGTTAAACGTGCTCAGGTCTCATCTGAAAACCAGAGGCGGCCGAGACTTTTCTGCGGATCCCAAACAGTGGAACAGTGAGAGCGGCTCCTTCAATAGTTTTTAAATCGATTAAATCTAAAAACACTTTTTGTTCTGACACCAACTGAGTTTTGCTTTTTACATGTTTGGGCGACAGTAGCTCAGTTGGTAGAGCATTGGCCTTTAGGCCTGAAGGTCGGGGGTTCAATTCCCACCTCTGCACCTTCTCCATCGACTCCCACTGATGACTGCTGTCGTTGTGTCCTTGGGCAAGACACTTAACCCCACTTTGCCCAAAAGCCCCCACTGAAAGATCAAGGCTATGCTCACACTCAGAGAGCAGCCGTCCTCCTGTGGACTCACCACCTGCAGAGGGTCAGTGAGGGGCTGGTGCTATGAGACTTGGGTGGCATCTCTGATTGCCACCCCCCTGACCCAGAAATGGATTAAAGGGAAGAAAATGGATGGATGGATGTTTGTGTATTTTATGCTTTTATTTACACGGGGAGAACATGCAAACTCCACTCAGAAAGGCCCTGGTCCAACCGGGATTCGAACCCAGGACCTTCTTGCTGAGAGTGCTATCCACTCAGCCACCGTGCCGAGAGAGAGAGACTGAGGGACCAGCGAGAGCAGGATGAGGGACCACAGAGACCTGCTTGAGACTATAGAGAGAGACCAGAGAGAGACCAGAGAGAGACCAGAGAGAGACCAGAGAGAGACCAGAGTGAGTCCAGAGAGAGAGACCAGAGTGAGTCCAGAGAGAGAGACCAGAGTGAGTCCAGAGAGAGACCAGAGTGAGTCCAGAGAGAGACCAGAGTGAGTCCAGAGAGAGAGACCAGAGTGAGTCCAGAGAGAGAGACCAGAGTGAGTCCAGAGAGAGAGACCAGAGTGAGTCCAGAGAGAGAGACCAGAGTGAGTCCAGAGAGAGAGACCAGAGTGAGTCCAGAGAGAGACCAGAGTGAGTCCAGAGTGAGTCCAGAGAGAGAGACCAGAGTGAGTCCAGAGAGAGACCAGAGTGAGTCCAGAGAGAGAGACCAGAGAGAGACCAGAGTGAGTCCAGAGAGAGAGACCAGAGAGAGACCAGAGTGAGTCCAGAGAGAGAGACCAGAGTGAGTCCAGAGAGAGAGTTGTGTGTTGAGGAGCTTCGTACCTCTTGGAGAAGGGAACCTCAGACGACACAGTGATCTTACTCTTGCTCCTCTCGATGGACACCACGCCTCCGCCCAGGTTCCCGGCCTTTCCATTCACTTTGATCCGCTCCTGAAGGAACTGCTCCTAACGAGGGAGAGAGAGAGTGAAGGAACTGCTCCTAACGAGGGAGAGAGAGAGTGAAGGAACTGCTCCTAACGAGGGAGAGAGAGAGAGAGTGAAGGAACTGCTCCTAACGAGGGAGAGAGTGAAGGAACTGCTCCTAACGAGGGAGAGAGAGAGAGTGAAGGAACTGCTCCTAACGAGAGAGAGAGAGAGAGTGAAGGAACTGCTCCTAACGAGAGAGAGAGAGAGAGTGAAGGAACTGCTCCTAACGAGAGAGAGAGAGAGAGAGTGAAGGAACTGCTCCTAACGAGAGAGAGAGAGAGAGTGAAGGAACTGCTCCTAACGAGGGAGAGAGTGAAGGAACTGCTCCTAACGAGGGAGAGAGAGAGAGTGAAGGAACTGCTCCTAACGAGGGAGAGAGAGAGTGAAGGAACTGCTCCTAACGAGGGAGAGAGAGAGAGTGAAGGAACTGCTCCTAACGAGAGAGAGAGAGAGAGTGAAGGAACTGCTCCTAACGAGGGAGAGAGAGAGAGTGAAGGAACTGCTCCTAACGAGGGAGAGAGAGAGAGTGAAGGAACTGCTCCTAACGAGGGAGAGAGAGAGTGAAGGAACTGCTCCTAACGAGGGAGAGAGAGAGTGAAGGAACTGCTCCTAACGAGAGAGAGAGAGAGAGTGAAGGAACTGCTCCTAACGAGGGAGAGAGAGAGTGAAGGAACTGCTCCTAACGAGGGAGAGAGAGAGTGAAGGAACTGCTCCTAACGAGGGAGAGAGAGAGTGAAGGAACTGCTCCTAACGAGGGAGAGAGAGAGTGAAGGAACTGCTCCTAACGAGGGAGAGAGAGAGTGAAGGAACTGCTCATAACGAGAGAGAGAGAGAGAGTGAAGGAACTGCTCCTAACGAGGGAGAGAGAGAGAGAGTGAAGGAACTGCTCATAACGAGAGAGAGAGAGAGAGTGAAGGAACTGCTCCTAACGAGGGAGAGAGAGAGTGAAGGAACTGCTCCTAACGAGGAGAGAGAGAGAGTGAAGGAACTGCTCCTAACGAGGGAGAGAGAGAGAGTGAAGGAACTGCTCCTAACGAGGAGAGAGAGAGAGTGAAGGAACTGCTCCTAACGAGGAGAGAGAGAGAGAGTGAAGGAACTGCTCCTAACGAGGGAGAGAGAGAGAGTGAAGGAACTGCTCCTAACGAGGGAGAGAGAGAGTGAAGGAACTGCTCCTAACGAGGGAGAGAGAGAGAGTGAAGGAACTGCTCCTAACGAGGGAGAGAGAGAGTGAAGGAACTGCTCCTAACGAGGGAGAGAGAGAGTGAAGGAACTGCTCCTAACGAGAGAGAGAGAGAGTGAAGGAACTGCTCCTAACGAGGGAGAGAGAGAGTGTGAAGGAACTGCTCCTAACGAGGGAGAGAGAGAGTGAAGGAACTGCTCCTAACGAGGGAGAGAGAGAGTGAAGGAACTGCTCCTAACGAGGGAGAGAGAGAGAGTGAAGGAACTGCTCCTAACGAGGGAGAGAGAGAGTGAAGGAACTGCTCCTAACGACGGAGAGAGAGAGTGAAGGAACTGCTCCTAACGAGGGAGAGAGAGAGAGTGAAGGAACTGCTCCTAACGAGAAGAGGAGAGTGAAGGAACTGCTCCTAACGAGGGAGAGAGAGAGAGTGAAGGAACTGCTCCTAACGAGGAGAGAGAGAGAGTGAAGGAACTGCTCCTAACGAGAGAGAGAGAGAGTGAAGGAACTGCTCATAACGAGAGAGAGAGAGAGTGAAGGAACTGCTCCTAACGAGAGAGAGAGAGAGTGAAGGAACTGCTCCTAACGAGAGAGAGAGAGAGTGAAGGAACTGCTCCTAACGAGAGAGAGAGAGTGAAGGAACTGCTCCTAACGAGGAGAGAGAGTGAAGGAACTGCTCCTAACGAGAGAGAGAGAGTGAAGGAACTGCTCCTAACGAGGAGAGAGAGAGAGTGAAGGAACTGCTCATAACGAGAGAGAGAGAGTGAAGGAACTGCTCCTAACGAGAGAGAGAGAGAGTGAAGGAACTGCTCCTAACGAGGGAGAGAGAGAGTGAAGGAACTGCTCCTAACGAGGGAGAGAGAGAGTGAAGGAACTGCTCCTAACGAGGAGAGAGAGAGAGAGTGAAGGAACTGCTCCTAACGAGGGAGAGAGAGTGAAGGAACTGCTCCTAACGAGAGAGAGAGAGAGTGAAGGAACTGCTCATAACGAGAGAGAGAGAGAGTGAAGGAACTGCTCCTAACGAGGGAGAGAGAGAGTGAAGGAACTGCTCCTAACGAGGGAGAGAGAGAGTGAAGGAACTGCTCCTAACGAGGGAGAGAGAGAGTGAAGGAACTGCTCCTAACGAGGGAGAGAGAGAGTGAAGGAACTGCTCCTAACGAGAGAGAGAGAGAGAGAGTGAAGGAACTGCTCCTAACGAGAGAGAGAGAGAGAGTGAAGGAACTGCTCCTAACGAGGGAGAGAGTGAAGGAACTGCTCCTAACGAGGGAGAGAGAGAGAGTGAAGGAACTGCTCCTAACGAGGGAGAGAGAGAGAGTGAAGGAACTGCTCCTAACGAGGGAGAGAGAGAGTGAAGGAACTGCTCCTAACGAGGAGAGAGAGAGAGTGAAGGAACTGCTCCTAACGAGGGAGAGAGAGAGAGTGAAGGAACTGCTCCTAACGAGGGAGAGAGAGAGAGTGAAGGAACTGCTCCTAACGAGGGAGAGAGAGAGTGAAGGAACTGCTCCTAACGAGGGAGAGAGAGAGAGTGAAGGAACTGCTCCTAACGAGGGAGAGAGAGAGAGAGAGTGAAGGAACTGCTCCTAACGAGGGAGAGAGAGAGTGAAGGAACTGCTCCTAACGAGGGAGAGAGAGAGAGGAAGGAACTGCTCCTAACGAGGGAGAGAGAGAGTGAAGGAACTGCTCCTAACGAGGGAGAGAGAGAGTGAAGGAACTGCTCCTAACGAGGGAGAGAGAGAGTGAAGGAACTGCTCCTAACGAGAGAGAGAGAGAGTGAAGGAACTGCTCCTAACGAGGGAGAGAGAGAGTGAAGGAACTGCTCCTAACGAGGGAGAGAGAGAGAGTGAAGGAACTGCTCCTAACGAGGGAGAGAGAGAGAGTGAAGGAACTGCTCCTAACGAGGGAGAGAGAGAGAGTGAAGGAACTGCTCCTAACGAGGGAGAGAGAGAGAGTGAAGGAACTGCTCCTAACGAGGGAGAGAGAGAGAGTGAAGGAACTGCTCCTAACGAGGGAGAGAGAGAGTGAAGGAACTGCTCCTAACGAGGGAGAGAGAGAGAGTGAAGGAACTGCTCCTAACGAGGGAGAGAGAGAGTGAAGGAACTGCTCCTAACGAGGGAGAGAGAGAGTGAAGGAACTGCTCCTAACGAGAGAGAGAGAGTGAAGGAACTGCTCCTAACGAGAGAGAGAGAGAGTGAAGGAACTGCTCATAACGAGGGAGAGAGAGTGAAGGAACTGCTCATAACGAGAGAGAGAGAGTGAAGGAACTGCTCCTAACGAGGGAGAGAGAGAGTGAAGGAACTGCTCCTAACGAGGGAGAGAGAGAGAGTGAAGGAACTGCTCCTAACGAGGGAGAGAGAGAGTGAAGGAACTGCTCCTAACGAGGGAGAGAGAGAGTGAAGGAACTGCTCCTAACGAGGGAGAGAGAGAGTGAAGGAACTGCTCCTAACGAGGGAGAGAGAGAGAGTGAAGGAACTGCTCCTAACGAGAGAGAGAGAGTGAAGGAACTGCTCCTAACGAGGGAGAGAGAGAGAGTGAAGGAACTGCTCCTAACGAGGGAGAGAGAGAGTGAAGGAACTGCTCCTAACAACGGAGAGAGAGAGTGAAGGAACTGCTCCTAACGAGGGAGAGAGAGAGAGTGAAGGAACTGCTCCTAACGAGAGAGAGAGAGAGAGTGAAGGAACTGCTCCTAACGAGGGAGAGAGAGAGCAGAGGAAAGACCAGAGGAGAGACCAGAAGAGGACAAACCAGGAGAGACCAGATGAGGACAGACCAGAGGAGAGACCAGATGAGGAGAGACCAGAGGAGGAGAGACCAGGAGACCAGAGGAGAGACCAGAGGAGAGACCAGAGGAGGACAGACCAGAGGAGAGACCAGATGAGGACAGACCAGAGGAGAGACCAGAGGACAGACCAGGAGAGACCAGATGAGGACAGACCAGAGGAGAGACCAGATGAGGACAGACCAGAGGAGAGACCAGATGAGAGACCAGATGAGGACAGACCAGAGGAGAGACCAGAGGACAGACCAGGAGAGACCAGATGAGGACAGACCAGAGGAGAGACCAGATGAGGACAGACCAGAGGAGAGACCAGATGAGGACAGACCAGAGCAGAAACCAGATGAGGACAGACCAGAGGAGGACAGACCAGAGCAGAGACCAGATGAGGAGAACAGACCAGAGGACAGACCAGGAGAGACCAGAGGAGAACAGACCAGAGGAGAGACCAGAGGACAGACCAGGAGAGACCAGAGGAGAGACCAGAGGAGAGACCAGAGGGAGGCCTTACAAAGTTGGCCGCGTCCATGATGCCGTCCTCCACAGGATGGGTACAGTCCAGGGTGAACTTCAGCAGCTGCTTCTTCTTCTTTCCACTTTTCCCCACAGTCGCTTTCCTCTGCTGCAGAACAACAGCCTCAGTCAGACTCAGAGACATCCCCCTCAGAGACACCCCCCTCAGACACCCCCCTCACGCTGCACATGTTTGGGTTCTGTTCTGCTGGTGCTGTGCGAGAAGAGGTGGTCTACGACATACTGCAATTTCAGAATGTCCACTGAATGTATTGACCAATCACCCCGTCTGAGATAAAAATGCATACTAATAAATATATAGATAGCTTCTTTTATATGCTGTGTCTCTTACGGCTGTCTTGTATGTGCGCTGCCTGCAACATCGACATTTCCTCACTAAAGGTTTAGGTTTAGAAGGTACTTATATATGAGGCACAGCAGTGTAATATCTCTAAGCTCAAGGAGACATAAGGAACTGTATAGATTCATGAATGAGAGGTTCTTTTCTTGTCAAGGGCTGTTGCTGGTTATTACTATTTTTAACTTTTTAGAATGATCAATATTATTTTCGCTGCGACTGGACACCTGAATTTCTCCTACGGCGTTCAATAAAGTATCTATCTAACTATCTATCCTGTGTGTGGACTACAGGTAGCATTGAACCTGACCATATTCTGGCTTGTTCCCAAGTCAGGGGTGTCCAAACTCTGAAGTAAGAGTTCATCAGACTTATCCAGGGCCCGACATCCCGGACTGCACATCTGATCTGTCTGAATTTAGGCATTTGATGGAGCTGAAGTTGGCTGAATGACAAAATCCCGGTTTATTATTGTGGAAAAATCTGCCCCCGTGATCCCACTGTGTCAGAAGCGCATTACTGGACCTCGCTCTAGTCCAGTCACTACATATTATAACAAAAAGCACAGAGGTGTAATCAGTGCTGCTGTTGTTTTTATGTGAAGCTAATGTTGCTAATGCTATCGGCGCTGGCTCCGCACTCAGACCCGGTTATTCGGACTCTAATCCCACCTCCCCCCGGGGCTGCTGTCTCTCCCACGGCCCGCGGACAGGTCACCCCGGGATAGAGCCATTCACGGGCACAAACAGCGGGGAATAACAGGAGAAACAGCAGAAACACGCGGAGCTTTTGACTTACTGTAGGCGCCATGACAGAGACGGGCAAAGAGGAGGAGCCGCTGCGCATGCGCGGTGCTCAGCCCGTCCTGTCTTACTTCTCGCGGCACTTCCGGGTAGTTCCAAGATGGCGGGCGGCAGGTTGGGGCTGGAGGGGAGCGTCAGCGTGAAGGCGTTTGTTTGGGGCCTCAGTGTGGTCTCCATCCCGCTCGTGAGACACTTCTTCGGACGCGTGGACTGGGTCTTCGACTACCTGACCGACACCCCCGGGAAGGTCGCGGTTTGCCTGCAGGTGGCAGTCATCCAGGGCCTGCTGCTGCTGCTGTACCGCGGCCCCGTGTATAAGGTACCGCTGTCAAAGTATCTGAGACTGATGAATACTACTACTACAATACTGCAGCTGTCAAAGTATCTGAGACTGATGAATACTACTACTACAATACTGCAGCTGTCAAAGTATCTGAGACTGATGAATACTACTACTACAATACTGCAGCTGTCAAAGTATCTGAGACTGATGAATACTACTACTACAATACTGCAGCTGTCAAAGTATCTGAGACTGATGAATACTACTACTACAATACTGCAGCTGTCAAAGTATCTGAGACTGATGAATACTACTACTACAATACTGCAGCTGTCAAAGTATCTGAGACTGATGAATACTACTACTACAATACTGCAGCTGTCAAAGTATCTGAGACTGATGAATACTACTACTACAATACTGCAGCTGTCAAAGTATCTGAGACTGATGAATACTACTACTACAATACTGCAGCTGTCAAAGTATCTGAGACTGATGAATACTACTACTACAATACTGCAGCTGTCAAAGTATCTGAGACTGATGAATACTACTACTACAATACTGCAGCTGTCAAAGTATCTGAGACTGATGAATACTACTACTACAATACTGCAGCTGTCAAAGTATCTGAGACTGATGAATACTACTACTACAATACTGCAGCTGTCAAAGTATCTGAGACTGATGAATACTACTACTACAATACTGCAGCTGTCAAAGTATCTGAGACTGATGAATACTACTACTACAATACTGCAGCTGTCAAAGTATCTGAGACTGATGAATACTACTACTACAATACTGCAGCTGTCAAAGTATCTGAGACTGATGAATACTACTACTACAATACTGCAGCTGTCAAAGTATCTGAGACTGATGAATACTACTACTACAATACTGCAGCTGTCAAAGTATCTGAGACTGATGAATACTACTACTACAATACTGCAGCTGTCAAAGTATCTGAGACTGATGAATACTACACTGACATTACAGAAGACACCAGAGAGAGAGACCAGAGAGAGAGACCAGAGAGAGAGACCAGAGAGAGAGACCAGAGAGAGAGACCAGAGAGAGAGACCAGAGAGAGAGACCAGAGAGAGAGACCAGAGAGAGAGACCAGAGAGAGAGACCAGAGAGAGAGACCAGATAGAGAGACCAGAGAGAGAGACCAGAGAGAGAGCAGAGAGAGAGACCAGAGAGAGAGACCAGAGAGAGAGACCAGAGAGAGTGACCAGAGAGAGTGACCAGAGAGAGTGACCAGAGAGAGTGACCAGAGAGAGTGACCAGAGAGAGAGACCAGAGAGAGAGACCAGAGAGAGAGACCAGAGAGAGAGACCAGAGAGAGAGACCAGAGAGAGAGACCAGATAGAGAGACCAGAGAGAGAGACCAGAGAGAGAGCAGAGAGAGAGCGCAGAGAGAGAGACCAGAGAGAGTGACCAGAGAGAGTGACCAGAGAGAGTGACCAGAGAGAGTGACCAGAGAGAGAGACCAGAGAGAGAGAGACCAGAGAGAGAGACCAGAGAGAGTGACCAGAGAGAGTGACCAGAGAGTGAGACCAGAGAGAGAGAGACCAGAGAGAGTGACCAGAGAGTGACCAGAGAGAGTGACCAGAGAGAGTGACCAGAGAGAGTGACCAGAGAGAGAGACCAGAGAGAGAGACCAGAGAGAGAGACCAGAGAGAGAGACCAGAGAGTGAGACCAGAGAGAGAGACCAGAGAGAGAGAGACCAGAGAGAGAGACCAGAGAGAGTGACCAGAGAGAGTGACCAGAGAGTGAGACCAGAGAGAGAGAGACCAGAGAGAGAGAGACCAGAGAGAGTGACCAGAGAGTGACCAGAGAGAGTGACCAGAGAGAGTGACCAGAGAGAGTGACCAGAGAGAGAGACCAGAGAGAGAGACCAGAGAGAGAGACCAGAGAGAGAGACCAGAGAGAGAGACCAGAGAGAGAGACCAGAGAGAGTGACCAGAGAGAGTGACCAGAGAGAGAGTGACCAGAGAGTGAGACCAGAGAGTGAGACCAGAGAGTGAGACCAGAGAGTGAGACCAGAGAGTGAGACCAGAGAGAGAGACCAGAGAGAGAGAGACCAGAGAGAGAGACCAGAGAGAGTGACCAGAGAGAGTGACCAGAGAGTGAGACCAGAGAGAGAGAGACCAGAGAGAGTGACCAGAGAGTGACCAGAGAGTGACCAGAGAGTGACCAGAGAGTGACCAGAGAGTGACCAGAGAGTGAGACCAGAGAGAGAGAGACCAGAGAGAGACCAGAGAGAGAGAGACCAGAGAGAGAGAGACCAGAGAGAGACCAGAGAGAGAGAGACCAGAGAGACCAGAGAGAGAGAGACCAGAGAGAGAGACCAGAGAGAGACCAGAGAGAGAGAGAGACCAGAGAGAAAGGTCCTCGGAGCTGTTTGTGGGTTCATTAGACCTTCAGATGAATGTTATTGCCATTTGCAGTAAAACCATATTGGAATACATGTGCACCAGACAGAAACAAAACCAGGTAAAAGTACAGAAATAAAAACATATTTTAATAAAGGGCAAGAGACAATTATAAAAGACCGATAATACATCTCTGTGGCACCCTTTAAAGCTGGGGTTCGTAGCTTTACTCTCATCAATAACATGTAGTTTGAACAGAAAGTCTTAAAGTGAAATGTTGTGAACAAATCAAACACAACTTTCTGTCTTCATCTTATCAGAAACATGTCTTTAGTGTCAGAGCCCACAGAGTCACTATCTGACTCTGTGGGCTGAAAGCTGATTGGCTGAGAGAATGTCTTCTCTTCGATCTAAAGATGTGACACAGAGGTCTGTTGTTGTGGTTTCAAAGTTACAGACCCCAGCTTTAAAATTACATTTTTTTTGGGAAAAGAGGGAGAGACCAGAGAGAGAGACCAGAGAGAGAGAGAGACCAGAGAGAGAGAGACCAGAGAGAGAGAGAGAGACCAGAGAGAGAGAGAGAGACCAGAGAGAGAGAGAGAGACCAGAGAGAGAGAGAGACCAGAGAGAGAGAGACCAGAGAGAGAGACCAGAGAGAGAGACCAGAGAGAGAGAGAGACCAGAGAGAGAGAGACCAGAGAGAGAGAGACCAGAGAGAGAGACCAGAGAGAGAGAGACCAGAGAGAGAGAGACCAGAGAGAGAGAGACCAGAGAGAGAGAGACCAGAGAGAGACCAGAGAGAGAGACCAGAGAGAGAGAGAGAGAGAGACCAGAGAGAGAGAGAGACCAGAGAGAGAGAGACCAGAGAGAGAGACCAGAGAGAGAGAGAGAGAGAGACCAGAGAGAGAGAGAGACCAGAGAGAGAGAGAGACCAGAGAGAGAGAGAGACCAGAGAGAGAGAGAGACCAGAGAGAGAGACCAGAGAGAGAGAGAGAGAGAGAGAGAGACCAGAGAGAGACCAGAGAGAGAGAGACCAGAGAGAGAGAGACCAGAGAGAGAGAGACCAGAGAGAGAGAGACCAGAGAGAGAGAGACCAGAGAGAGAGACCAGAGAGAGAGAGACCAGAGAGAGAGAGACCAGAGAGAGAGAGACCAGAGAGAGAGACCAGAGAGAGAGACCAGAGAGGGAGACCAGAGAGGGAGACCAGAGAGGGAGACCAGAGAGGGAGACCAGAGAGGGAGACCAGAGAGGGAGGGGGGTGGGAGACCAGAGAGGGAGACCAGAGAGGGAGACCAGAGAGGGAGACCAGAGAGGGAGACCAGAGAGGGAGACCAGAGAGGGAGACCAGAGAGGGAGACCAGAGAGGGAGACCAGAGAGAGAGACCAGAGAGAGAGAGGACAGAGAGAGAGACCAGAGAGAGAGACCAGAGAGAGAGACCAGAGAGAGAGACCAGAATAGTAATGACAGATGGTTGAAATTGTTGCAATAGCAGACAGAGAATATGAACAGAGTAAATAATAATAATAATAATAATAATAATAATAATAATAATAGCATGTAAAGTGACTGGTGAACGCTGAGGACCTGCGGCTGTGTTTAGACCCCACACAGTCCAGGGCCAACGGACCGAGCGGTTTACTCCCAGATTATTCTGCTCAACTCCTCGAGAGCCTGTCCTGAAATAGATCCTAATCCAAAAATTATGCTGGTCTTCACACCGAGCCCAGTGATATGAAGCCTGCTCAGGGAGACGGTTTTACTGTCCACGAAAGGAGCAGCCAGCTCTATTCCGAGCTTCCCCCCTGGAGGAAGCAGGCTGTCTTCATGAGAGAGACCAGAGAGAGACCAAGAGAGAGAGACCAGAGAGAGAGACCAGAGAGAGAGACCAGAGAGAGAGACCAGAGAGAGAGAGACCAGAGAGAGAGACCAGATAGAGAGACTAGAGAGAGAGACCAGAGAGAGAGACCAGATAGAGAGACTAGAGAGAGAGACCAGAGAGAGAGACCAGAGAGAGAGACCAGAGAGAGAGAGACCAGAGAGAGAGACCAGAGAGAGAGACCAGAGAGAGAGACCAGAGAGAGAGACCAGAGAGAGAGACCAGAGAGAGAGACCAGAGAGGGAGAGAGAGAGAGGGAGAGAGAGAGAGACCAGAGAGAGACCAGAGAGAGAGACCAGAGAGAGAGAGAGACCAGAGAGAGAGAGACCAGAGAGAGAGAGACCAGAGAGAGAGAGACCAGAGAGAGAGAGAGAGAGACCAGAGAGAGAGAGAGAGACCAGAGAGAGAGACCAGAGAGAGAGAGAGAGACCAGAGAGAGAGAGACCAGAGAGAGAGACCAGAGAAGAGAGACCAGAGAGAGAGACCAGAGAGAGAGACCAGAGAGAGAGACCAGAGAGAGAGACCAGAGAGAGAGACCAGAGAGAGAGAGGCCTAAAATTCATGTGAAAACTATTAATGTTTTAGAGACCTGAACCAGAGACTTGGGTTTAATACAGAGTTCTGTGATGGTCTGAAAGTTACAGACCTCGGCTTTATCTGTCCCTTTGATCTGTGTTTAAATGTATGATAGTCCCTCGTTATGACTCACTCTGGTCTGTCCCTTTGGTCTGTGTTTAAATGTTTGATAGTCCCTCGTTATGACTCACTCTGGTCAGTCCCTTTGGTCTATGTTTAAATGTTTGAGAGTCCCTCGTTATGACTCACTCTGGTCTGTCCCTTTGGTCTGTGTTTAAATGTTTGATAGTCCCTCGTTATGACTCACTCTGGTCTGTCCTTTTGGTCTCATGTGTTTAAATGTATGATAGTCCCTCGTTATGACTCACTCTAGTCTGTCCCTTTGGTCTGTGTTTAAATGATAGTCCCTCGTTATGACTCACTCTGGTCTGTCCCTTTGGTCCGTGTGTAAATGTGTGATAGTGCCTCGCTCTGACTCACTCTGGTCTGTCGCAGGTCGCTGTGAGGGCCGCCTTCCTGGGGCTGGTGTTTGGCTCCGGCCTCATCATCAGTCTGTCTGAGAGCACCTGGACTCACTTCGGATGGTAAGGACCCCAGTCCCTGTGCTCCGGGTTTGAGACCCCAGAGAAGGCCCTGTGCTCCGGGTTTGAGACCCCAGAGAAGGTCCTGTGCTCCGGGTTTGAGACCCCAGAGAAGGCCCTGTGCTCCGGGTTTGAGACCCCAGAGAAGGCCCTGTGCTCCGGGTTTGAGACCCCAGAGAAGGCCCTGTGCTCCGGGTTTGAGACCCCAGAGAAGGTCCTGTGCTCCGGGTTTGAGACCCCAGAGAAGGCCCTGTGCTCCGGGTTTGAGACCCCAGAGAAGGCCCTGTGCTCCGGGTTTGAGACCACAGAGAAGGCCCTGTGCTCTGGGTTTGAGACCACAGAGAAGGCCCTGTGCTCCGGGTTTGAGACCACAGAGAGTTGTGTGTTGTTTCAGGTACATGTGTGTGTGTCTCAGTTGTGTGTGTTGTTGCAGGTACATGTGTGTGTCTCAGTTGTGTGTGTTGTTGCAGGTACATGTGTGTGTGTGTGTCTCAGTTGTGTGTGTTGTTGCAGGTACATGTGTGTGTCTGTTTTATGTGTTGTTTCAGGTACATGTGTGTGTGTGTTGTTGCAGGTACATGTGTGTGTGTCTCAGTTGTGTGTGTTGTTGCAGGTACATGTGTGTGTGTCTCAGTTGTGTGTGTTGTTGCAGGTACATGTGTGTCTCAGTTGTGTGTGTTGTTGCAGGTACATGTGTGTCTCAGTTGTGTGTGTTGTTGCAGGTACATGTGTGTGTGTCTCAGTTGTGTGTGTTGTTGCAGGTACATGTGTGTCTCAGTTGTGTGTGTTGTTGCAGGTACATGTGTGTGTGTCTCAGTTGTGTGTGTTGTTGCAGGTACATGTGTTCTCTCTCCTTCTTCCACTTCTCTGAGTACCTGGTGACCGCTCTGATAAACCCTCGCAGTTTGTCTCTGGACTCGTTCCTCCTGAACCACAGCCGCGAGTACACACTCGCCGCCATCTGCTCATGGTTTGAGTTCACCGTCGAGATGCTCACGGTACCAGGTACTGTCACCACGGCAACAACACCTCTCTGGTCTCTCCCTGGATCTTCCCTGGTCTCGCTCTGGTCTCGCTCTGGTCTCTCTCTAGTCTCTCCCTGGGTCTTCCCTGGTCTCGCTCTGGTCTCTCTCTGGTCTCTCTCTGGTCTCTCTCTGGTCTCTCTCTGGTCTCTCCCTGGGTCTTCCCTGGTCTTGCTCTGGTCTCGCTCTGGTCTCTCTCTGGTCTCTCCCTGGGTCTTCCCTGGTCTTGCTCTGGTCTCGCTCTGGTCTCTCTCTGGTCTCTCCCTGGGTCTTCCCTGGTCTCTCTCTGGTCTCTCTCTGGTCTCTCTCTGGTCTCTCTCTGGTCTCTCTCTGGTCTCTCTCTGGTCTCTCTCTGGTCTCTCTCTGGTCTCTCTCTGGTCTCTCTCTGGTCTCTCCCTGGGTCTTCCCTGGTCTCGCTCTGGTCTCTCTCTGGTCTCGCTCTGGTCTCGCTCTGGTCTCTCTCTGGTCTCTCTCTGGTCTCTCTCTGGTCTCTCTCTGGTCTCTCTCTGGTCTCTCTCTGGTCTCGCTCTGGTCTCGCTCTGGTCTCTCTCTGGTCTCTCCCTGGTCTCGCTCTGGTCTCGCTCTGGTCTCGCTCTGGTCTCTCTCTGGTCTCTCTCTGGTCTCTCTCTGGTCTCGCTCTGGTCTCGCTCTGGTCTCTCTCTGGTCTCTCTCTGGTCTCTCTCTCTAGACCTCCTCCTGCTCCTCATTACCCTCTCCTTGTCCCTGTCACAGAGCTGAAGCAGCTGCCTTGGGTCTCGGCCCTCGGTCTCGTTATGGTCCTGTGCGGTGAGGCCCTGAGGAAAGCCGCCATGTTGACTGCAGGTTCTAACTTTAACCACATCGTCCAGAACGAGAAAGCCCAGAGCCATGTCCTGGTGACCAGCGGCGTCTACGCTTTCTTCAGACACCCCTCCTACGTGGGCTGGTTCTACTGGAGCATCGGCACCCAGGTCTCTCTCTACTCTCTCTCTGGTCTTTTTGATCTCCCTCTGTTCTCTCTCGCTGATATCTCTCAATCTTCTGTCTCTCTCTGTTTTCTAACCCGGTCTGTATCCTCAGGTGTAATACCATGTGTGTAATACCATGTGTGTCCTGCAGGTGGTGCTGTGTAACCCAGTCTGTATCCTCAGGTGTAATACCATGTGTGTAATACCATGTGTGTCCTGCAGGTGGTGCTGTGTAACCCAGTCTGTATCCTTGGTTACACGGTGGCGAGCTGGAGGTTCTTCAGGGAGCGGGTGGAGGAGGAGGAGCTGTCGTTGATCCACTTCTTCGCCGAGGACTATGTGGAGTACAAGAGCCGGGTCCCCACTGGTCTGCCCTTCATCTCAGGCATCCGGGTCAACTGAGGACCAGACCGGACTGGACTGAACCGGGCTGCCCACATGGTCCAGGCTCAGAGCGAGCAGAAGACCAGGGCTCAGGGCACACCAGAGCCTCATTCACACTGAGGACGAGGGCATTCAACCCGCCTTGCGACCCAAACACAGCTGTATTTTAGACACAATGTTTTCTACGTCGCTGCTCAGAAGAAGAAGGCTCTAGACCTTTAGAAAGTTGGCCTTGTGGAAAATAATTTAGTCTCTGGTCTCTCTCTGATCTCCTGGTCTCTCTGGTCTCGCTCGCTCTCTGATCTCCTGGTATTTCTCTCTTTATCTGGTCTCTCTCTGGTCTCTTGCACAGAGGATAGATCTAGTGAAGAGCTGACTGGTCTGAGTCAGGTCTAGGTCTGGTCTGGTCACATGGTCTGGATCGTAGAGGACCAGCTGCAGACTGACTGGTGTGCTCTGGGCTCCACAGAGAGGACTTTGACACAGGTCTCAGACTCTTGTGGACGGCGGGTCTTCGGACCAAACACTCGGACGGGGACACTTCACTGGAGCACTTTCCCCCCACAGCTGGAGGACACAGGCTCATGTAGCAAAGTGTCTGTGTGCGTCTGTTTGTGTGTGTGTGTCTGTCTGTGTGTGTCTGTATGTCTGTGTGTGTCTGTATGTCTATGTGTGTCTGTGTGTCTGTGTGTGTGTGTCTGTGTGTGTGTGTCTGTATGTGTGTGTCTGTGTGTTGCAGATCCCAAAGACTAAATTGTTCAGAGTATGTTTCCAAAGTTCTCTCTGGTTCGGAGAAACTGGTGCGAACACCATGGATCCTCCTGAGACAGGACCAGCAGGAGCTGGAAGAGCACAGTCTCTGCATGTGTTTCACTGTTTTAGTTTCAGGTCTGAACCCTGGTCTCACTCTGGTCCCTCTCACTCCGGTCTCTTCCACGGCAGTCAGATTTTTTAAAGCTTTGGAAACGTTCACTGTTTGCACACAATGTAAAAAAATAAGTTGGATTCAAGGGCGACGCCGTAGACCCAGGATGGATAGACCCGTGGCCGTAGACCCAGGTCCGAGGCTGTAGACCCGTGGCCATAGACCCAGGATGGATAGACCCGTGGCCGTAGACCCAGGTCCGAGGCTGTAGACCCGTGGCCGTAGACCCAGGTCCGAGGCTGTAGACCCGTGGCCGTAGACCCAGGTCCGAGGCTGTAGACCCGTGGCCGTAGACCCAGGTCCGAGGCTGTAGACCCGGGGCCGTAGACCCAGGTCCGAGGCTGTAGACCCAGGACTCTGACTCCTGAAACTTGTCTGGACTGTGTGGAAGTGCTGTATTTGCTTAAATAGATTTACACATTTTTATTGTTAATAAAGAATTAACTTTTCCTTCAGTTTCTGTCGTCTTTCCCGGACTCTACGTTTAAAGCATCTCTCCTCTGCTCTGTCTCCTCTCACCTCCTTCACTGCAGAGATGAAGATGGATGTGAGCCTCCTCTCTCCCATCTCTCCTCTTTCTCCCCTCCCTGCTCCTCTCTCCTCTCCTCTCTGCTCTCTCACTCCTCTCTCTCCTCCTCTCTTGCTCCTTTCCTTCTCTCTCTGCTATCCTGTCTCCTCTCTCACATCTCTCCTCCTCTCTCACCTGTCTCTCTGTGTCTCTCGCGCTGTGTGTCTCTCTCTCTCTCTCCTCTTTCCTATCTCTCCTCTCTCCCCTCTCTCTCCTCTCTCCCCCCCTTATGTACTCTCTCCTCTGTGTGTCAGAGACTTCCCCGTCCTCCTGGAGAACGATCATGTGATCGACAGAGACCAGATCTTTGTGAGTGTGATCGAGAAGGGACCAGACGGAGTCGGACTGAGCTCCGCTTTTGACAGACGGTAAGAGAGAGACCAGAGAGACCAGAGAGACCAGAGAGACCAGAGAGACCAGAGAGACCAGAGAGACCAGAGTTGTTGATGTGTGTTTTGTTCTGTTTCCACAGTTTCCTCCCGGAGAACATGACATCTCTGGGCTGCACTGTGGGTCTGTGACCTTCATCTCTCTCCCCCCTCTCTCTCTCCCCCCTCTCTCTCTCCTGACCCACTTGTGTGTCTCCTGCAGCTAACCTGAGCAGAGTGGTGCCTCACGGTCTCCTGGTGTTTTTTCCTTCATTTCCACTGATGGAGAAAACTCTGGAATTCTGGAGAGTGAGTCTGAGACCAGAGGGAGACCAGAGGGAGACCAGAGGGAGACCAGAGGGAGACCAGAGGGAGACCAGAGGGAGACCAGAGGGAGACCGGAGGGAGGGAGACCGGAGGGAGGGAGACCGGAGGGGGAGAGACCGGAGGGGGAGAGACCGGAGGGGGAGAGACCGGAGGGAGAGAGACCGGAGGGAGAGAGACCGGAGGGAGAGAGACCGGAGGGAGAGAGACCGGAGGGAGAGAGACCGGAGGGAGAGAGACGTTGTTTTGACGTTCTTTACAGTCACATGTCTGTGTTTGCTGCTCTCTCTGGTGGCAGCACAGGGAGCTCTGACTGCAGACGCTGCTCCCTCTGGTGGCAGCACAGGGAGCTCTGACTGCAGACGCTGCTCCCTCACAGCACAGAGTAAACAGATTGTGTTGTGGTTCCAGGAGAGAGGTCAGGCCGAGCGCATCGAGAACGTCAAGCCCATGTTTGTGGAACCGAAAGGTCGAGGCTCCTTCAACGAGGTACCCACTGAGGACCAGAACAACACCTAACGAGTGAAGGACCAGACTGACAAGTGACGAGTGCAGAGGACCAGAGCGACGCCTGACGAGTGCAGAGGACCAGAGTGACACCTGACGAGTGCAGAGGACCAGAGTGACACCTGACGAGTGCAGAGGACCAGAGCGACCAGGACCAGAGACGAACAGAGCGAGACCAGTGTGAGCGAGACCAGTGTGAGCGAGACCAGTGTGAGCGAGACCAGTGTGAGCGAGACCAGAGTTCTGCTGTGACTGTGCTCCCTCTGCAGGTCATTGAAGGTTACTACAGCAAAGTGGACGATCCGGGATCAAAGGGCGGCAGCTTCTTCGCTGTGTGTCGAGGAAAGGTGTGTGTTCTACATGACACACACACACGCACACGGACAACAGACACACACACAACAGATGCACATAACAGACACAACAGATGCACAAAAAAATGAAGAAATAAAATAAATAAAATGAATGAATAATAGGAAATAAAATAATGTTTAGAATAATCGTTATGGGGTCGTTTGCAATACATTTATTTATTAAAAAGGGACCATGTACAATTAAAACAAATGTTTCCATTCGCTGCATTGAACCAGAGTTAACCTGAGGATAATTCACTGATACTTTAATGCAAACATGCAAATAAAATCTCCATGGTCCCTCCACTCCATGGTCCCTCCTCTCTATGGTCCCTCCTCTCCATGGTCCCTCCTCTCCATGGTCCCTCCTCTCTATGGTCCCTCCTCTCTATGGTCCCTCTTCGCCATGGTCCCTCCTCTCTATGGTCCCTCCTCTCTATGGTCCCTCCTCTCTATGGTCCCTCTTCGCCATGGTCCCTCCTCTCTATGGTCCCTCCTCTCCATGGTCCCTCCTCTCTATGGTCCCTCCTCTCTATGGTCCCTCCTCTCCATGGTCCCTCTTCGCCATGGTCCCTCCTCTCTATGGTCCCTCCTCTCCATGGTCCCTCCTCTCTATGGTCCCTCCTCTCCATGGTCCCTCCTCTCTATGGTCCCTCCTCTCCATGGTCCCTCCTCTCTATGGTCCCTCCTCTCCATGGTCCCTCTTCGCCATGGTCCCTCCTCTCTATGGTCCCTCCTCTCCATGGTCCCTCCTCTCTATGGTCCCTCCTCTCCATGGTCCCTCCTCTCCATGGTCCCTCCTCTCTATGGTCCCTCCTCTCCATGGTCCCTCCTCTCCATGGTCCCTCCTCTCTATGGTCCCTCCTCTCTATGGTCCCTCCTCTCCATGGTCCCTCCTCTCCATGGTCCCTCCTCTCTATGGTCCCTCCTCTCTATGGTCCCTCTTCGCCATGGTCCCTCCTCTCTATGGTCCCTCCTCTCCATGGTCCCTCCTCTCTATGGTCCCTCCTCTCCATGGTCCCTCCTCTCTATGGTCCCTCCTCTCCATGGTCCCTCCTCTCTATGGTCCCTCTTCACCATGGTCCCTCCTCGCCATGGTCCTTTCCCTCCATGGTCACTGATCTCCATGGTCCCTCCTCTCCATGGTCCCTCCTCTCCATGGTCCCTCCTCTCCATGGTCCCTGATCTCCATGGTCCTCCTTCAGGCCAGTGAGGGGCTGGACTTCTCGGACTCGTACGGCCGGGGTGTGGTCATCACTGGGCTGCCCTTCCCCCCCAGGATGGACCCTCGAGTGGTTCTCAAGATGCAGTTCCTGGACGAGATGTGCCGCAAGAAAACCCCTGGTGTCACGGTCAGTCCTGTGGTCTCTCTCTCTCTCTGGTCTCTCTCTTTGGTCTCTCTCTCTGGTCTCTCCCTCTGGTCTCTCTCTCTGGTCTCTCTCTCTGGTCTCTCTCTCTGGTCTCTCTCTTTGGTCTCTCTCTCTGGTCTCTCTCTCTGGCCTCTCTTTGGTCTCTCTCTCTGGTCTCTCTCTTTGGTCTCTCTCTCTGGTCTCTCTTTGGTCTCTCTCTCTGGTCTCTCTCTTTGGTCTCTCTCTGGTCTCTCTCTCTGGTCTCTCTCTCTGGTCTTTCTCTTTGGTCTCTCTCTCTGGTCTCTCTCTCTGGTCTCTCTCTCTGGTCTCTCTCTCTGGTCTCTCTCTCTGGTCTCTCTCTCTGGTCTCTCTCTCTGGTCTCTCTCTTTGGTCTCTCTCTCTGGTCTCTCTTTGGTCTCTCTCTTTGGTCTCTCTCTCTGGTCTCTCTCTCTGGTCTCTCTCTCTGGTCTCTCTCTCTGGTCTCTCTCTCTGGTCTCTCTCTTTGGTCTCTCTCTCTGGTCTCTCTCTCTGGTCTCTCTGGGCTCTCTCTTTGGTCTCTCTCTCTGGTCTCTCCCTCTGGTCTCTCTCTCTGGTCTCTCTCTCTGGTCTCTCTCTCTGGTCTCTCCCTCTGGTCTCTCTCTCTGGTCTCTCTCTTTGGTCTCTCTCTCTGGTCTCTCTCTCTGGTCTCTCTCTCTGGTCTCTCTCTCTGGTCTCTCTCTCTGGTCTCTCTCTCTGGTCTCTCTCTCTGGTCTCTCTCTCTGGTCTTTCTGGTCTCTCTCTCTGGTCTCTCTCTCTGGTCTCTCTCTTTGGTCTCTCTCTCTGGTCTCTCTCTCTGGTCTCTCTCTCTCTGGTCTCTCTCTCTGGTCTCTCTCTCTGGTCTCTCTCTCTTTGGTCTCTCTCTCTTTGGTCTCTCTCTCTTTGGTCTCTCTCTCTTTGGTCTCTCTCTCTTTGGTCTCTCTCTCTCTGGTCTCTCTCTCTGGTCTCTCTCTCTGGTCTCTCTCTTTGGTCTCTCTCTCTGGTCTCTCTCTGGTCTCTCTCTCTGGTCTCTCTCTCTTTGGTCTCTCTCTCTGGTCTCTCTCTCTGGTCTCTCTCTTTGGTCTCTCTCTCTGGTCTCTCTCTCTTTGGTCTCTCTCTCTTTGGTCTCTCTCTCTGGTCTCTCTCTCTTTGGTCTCTCTCTCTGGTCTCTCTCTCTGGTCTCTCTCTCTTTGGTTCTCTGTTTGTGTCTCCTCTGTACCTGTGTCCCTTCTGTACCTGTGCTCAGTACCTGTGTGTCTCCTCTGTACCTGTGCTCAGTACCTGTGTGTCTCCTCTGTACCTGTGTCCCTTCTGTACCTGTGCTCAGTACCTGTGTGTCTCCTCTGTACCTGTGCTCAGTACCTGACCGGGCAGGAGTGGTACCGGCAGCAGGCGTTCCGAGCGGTGAACCAGGCTGTGGGCCGCGTCATCCGCCACAAAGACGACTACGGCGCCATCTTCCTGTGTGACGAGAGGTACTTCCACTTCACCCGGGCCCTGGTGACACTGACGGCACAGACAACTCACACTCACACAATACAATAATAATGTATAATAATACAATTTATGCTTGTATTTCCCTAAATCACAACAGCATCATCTCAGAGACTTAACAAAACCATTGAAATCACCACAGATCAGAGAATCAACAGTTAAAACATATAGAACACATGTTGAAACATGTCATACATGTTGTAGAATGCTAAAGTGTCCTGATCATCACCAATCCTTTCTGTTGGACACTAACTGTCCAACAAGACCCTCCTGCATCGACAAGGAACAACTCTTAAAAAACCCAGTGGGAAAAAGTGAGAAACTTCTGGGAGGCCCATGGTTTGAGAAAGGGATCCGCTCCCACGGACAGACAGGCTCTAGATCCAGGACCTAAGCTACAGGACATGGACAGGTCCGGTGCAGGACTGAAGCACTCCCAGGCGGGTCGGGCGGGGCAGTCCGCAGGTGTAGATGGAGGGGGCCAGGTCCAGAGGTCCCTCTCTCTCTGGTCTCTCTCTCTGGTCTCTCTCTCTGGTCTCTCTTTGGTCCCTCTCTGGTCTCTCTCTGGTCTCAGTGCCTCTCTCTGTGTGTAGATTTCGGGGTCCTAGTGCCCTCTCTCAGCTCCCTAAGTGGGTGCGTCCGTTCGTCCGCAGCTACAGCGGCTTCGGGAACATGGTCCGGGACGTGTCGCAGTTTTTCAGAGTCGCAAACAAGATGGTGAGTGTGTGTGTGTCTGTTTCTCTCTCTGTGTCTCTCTCTCTGTCTCTCTCTCTGTGTCTCTCTCTCTGTCTCTCTCTGTGTCTCTGTCTCTCTCTCTGTGTCTCTCTCTCTGTGTCTCTGTCTCTGTCTCTCTCTCTCTGTCTCTCTCTCTGTGTCTCTGTCGCTCTCTCTCTGTCTCTCTCTCTGTGTCTCTCTCTCTCTGTCTCTGTCGCTCTCTCTCTGTCTCTCTCTCTGTCTGTCTCTCTCTCTGTGTCTCTGTCTCTCTCTCTCTCTTCCTCTGTGTCTGTGTCATTGGTCTGAGTCTGTGTAGAGACCTCCAGTGGAGAAGAGCAGCTGTCAGAAGGAGACTCCACAGTGTTTGGTCGAGTCTGGTCCCAGTTCCCGAGCCCAGAGCCCCCGGAGACCACAGAGTCCCCACGGGTCTCAGCGACGGCAGCCACAGAAGGCCAAAGCTCTGGACGCTCACCTCCCCAGTCTGAAGCGCCGGAGGCTGGGTGAGTGTAGACCCAGGACTGAGGAGGCTGTAGACCCAGGACTGAGGCTGTAGACCCAGGACTGAGGCTGTAGACCCAGGACTGAGGCTGTAGACCCAGGACTGAGGCTGTAGACCCAGGACTGAGGCGGCCGTAGACCCAGGTCTGAGGCTGTAGACCCAGGACTGAGGCTGTAGATCCAGGACTGAGGCTGTAGACCCAGGACTGAGGCTGTAGACCCAGGACTGAGGAGGCTGTAGACCCAGGACTGAGGAGGCTGTAGACCCAGGACTGAGGAGGCTGTAGACCCAGGACTGAGGAGGCTGTAGACCCAGGACTGAGGAGGCTGTAGACCCAGGACTGAGGAGGCTGTAGACCCAGGACTGAGGAGGCTGTAGACCCAGGACTGTGGAGGCTGTAGACCCAGGACTGTGGAGGCTGTAGACCCAGGACTGTGGAGGCTGTAGAAGACCCAGGACTGAGGAGGCTGTAGACCCAGGACTGAGGGGGCCGTAGACCCAGGACTGAGGAGGCCGTAGACCCAGGACTGAGGAGGCCGTAGACCCAGGACTGAGGAGGCTGTAGTAGACCCAGGACTGAGGAGGCTGTAGTAGACCCAGGACTGAGGCCGTAGACCCAGGACTGAGTCTGGTCTCTGCAGACGGCTGTAATGGGTTGGCAAAGATCTGCATAAACTACGACTCGTGTGTGGAGTCTCCTCAAAGACCCAGGTCTCTGCTGGACGCTCTGGACCAGGACCACAGAGCTGAGGCCGGGAGCGAGCTGCACCAGGTGAGGGTTAGACACCATGAGCACAGACACCATGTGGATTAGAGCTGACTCACACAGACACCATGTGGATTAGAGCTGACTCACACAGACCATGTGGATTAGAGCTGACTCACAGACACCATGTGGATTAGGGCTGACTCACAGACACCATGTGGATTAGGGCTGACTCACAGACACCATGTGGATTAGGGCTGACTCACAGACACCATGTGGATTAGGGCTGACTCACAGACACCATGTGGATTAGGGCTGACTCACAGACACCATGTGGATTAGGGCTGACTCACAGACACCATGTGGATTAGGGCTGACTCACACAGACACCATGTGGATAAGAGCTGACTGGTGGCAGTAAATGACTTATAGTAAATAATCATCTAGAACGTTCTGTGTTTTCTCAAAAATCTAAGATTTAGACTGAATTTACAAAACCTACAGCACATATAAACTCTCTCTGGTCTCTCTCTCTCTGGTCTCTCTCTCTCTGGTCTCTCTCTCTCTGGTCTCTCTCTCTCTGGTCTCTCTCTCTCTCTGGTCTCTCTCTCTCTGGTCTCTTTCTCTCTGGTCTCTCTCTCTCTGGTCTCTTTCACTCTGGTCTCTTTCTCTCTGGTCTCTCTCTCTCTGGTCTCTTTCACTCTGGTCTCTTTCTCTCTGGTCTCTCTCTCTGGTCTCTCTCTCTCTGGTCTCTTTCTCTCTGGTCTCTCTCTCTCTGGTCTCTTTCACTCTGGTCTCTTTCTCTCTGGTCTCTCTCTCTGGTCTCTCTCTCTCTGGTCTCTCTCTCTGGTCTCTTTCTCTCTGGTCTCTCTCTCTCTGGTCTCTTTCACTCTGGTCTCTTTCTCTCTGGTCTCTTTCTCTCTGGTCTCTTTCTCTCTGGTCTCTCGCTCTCTGATCTCTCGCTCTCTGATCTCTCTCTCTGGTCTCTCTCTCTGGTCTCTCTCTCTTTGTCTCCTGTTGACTTACTTGTCTGATCTGTGCGCAGGCGAGTCGTCTGTCCACTCTGTCCCTGCAGCACGACAAGAGGATGGAGGAGGAACTGCGCGGAGGGAAACGCAAGATCAAACTGGTCTCACAGCAGGTGTGTGAGAGAGACCAGAGAGAGAGAGAGAAACAGACCAGAGAGAGAGAGAGACCAGAGAGAGAGAGACAGAGACAGACCAGAGAGAGAGATAGAGTATTACAGCTTGGAGCTGAAGGACCATGTGCTCGGGGGATTCTCGTGGTACTGCAGACTAAACCAGACTAAACCAGAGAGAGACCAGAGGGAGAGAGAGACCAGAGGGAGAGAGAGACCAGAGGGAGAGAGAGACCAGAGGGAGAGAGAGACCAGAGGGAGAGAGAGACCAGAGGGAGGGAGAGAGAGACCAGAGGGAGAGAGAGACCAGAGGGAGGGAGAGACAGACCAGAGGGAGGGAGAGACAGACCAGAGGGAGATAGACTATAGGGAGAGACAGATCAGAGAGAGAAACCCACATATGTTTTTTGTCCAGCTCCGGACTGAGACCTCTGAGACCCGGACCTCCTCAGACCTCTGTGAGGAGGGGAAGTCCAGCCGAGCCAGAGGGTTTCTCTCAGAGATGAAGAAGAGTCTGAGTCATGTGACCTTCGAGCGCGTGGTCCAGACCCTGCAGACCTACAAGAAGACCGACCAGTTAGAGGTCCTACTGAAGGAGGCCCAGGGACTCGCTGAGGACGCTAACACACACGGGCTTCTGAGGGGTGAGTCCAGAGACCATGGACCGAGACCATGGACCGGGACCATGGACCGAGACCATGGACCGAGACCATGGACCGAGACAATGGACCGAGACCATGGACCGAGACAATGGACCGAGACCATGGGCCGAGACCATGGGCCGAGACCATGGGCCGAGACAATGGACCGAGACAATGGGCCGAGACAATGGGCCGAGACAATGGGCCGAGACAATGGGCCGAGACCATGGGCCGAGACCATGGGCCGAGACCATGGGCCGAGACCATGGGCCGAGACCATGGGCCGAGACCATGGGCCGAGACCATGGGCCGAGACAATGGACCGAGACAATGGACCGAGACAATGGACCGAGACAATGGACCGAGACAATGGACCGAGACAATGGACCGAGACAATGGACCGAGACAATGGACCGAGACAATGGACCGAGACAATGGACCGAGACAATGGACCGAGACAATGGACCGAGACCATGGACCGAGACCATGGACCGAGACCATGGACCGAGACCATGGACTGTTGCTAACACACACTGGGCCCCTTAGGCACCCAGTCCTGGTTCTGGTCTTGATCATGGTCCTGGTCCTGGTCCTGGTCTTGCTCGCCCTCACCTCTCTCTCGCTCAGGTCTGTACCAGTTTGTTCGTCCTCATCATAAGAAGACGTTTGACAATCGCTGCAAACAGCTGACGGGACAGGGCTGCGGCTTCAAGCAGGAGCACACCCTGTCCAAGGAGGAGAAGGAGGAGGTGCTGCAGGGAGGTGAGACACTACTGTAGCAGGAGGAGGAGGGGGTGCAGGGAGGTGAGACACTACTGCAGGAGGAGGAGGAGGGGGTGCAGGGAGGTGAGACACTACTGTAGCAGGAGGAGGAGGAGGTGCTGCAGGGAGGTGAGACAGTACTGCAGGAGGAGGAGGAGGGGGTGCAGGGAGGTGAGACAGTACTGCAGGAGGAGGAGGAGGGGTGCAGGGAGGTGAGACAGTACTGCAGGAGGAGGAGGAGGGGGTGCAGGGAGGTGAGACACTACTGTAGCAGGAGGAGGAGGGGGTGCAGGGAGGTGAGACACTACTGCAGGAGGAGGAGGAGGTGCTGCAGGGAGGTGAGACAGTACTGCAGGAGGAGGAGGTGCTGCAGGGAGGTGAGACACTACTGCAGGAGGAGGAGGAGGTGCTGCAGGGAGGTGAGACAGTACTGCAGGAGGAGGAGGAGGGGGTGCAGGGAGGTGAGACAGTACTGCAGGAGGAGGAGGAGGGGGTGCAGGGAGGTGAGACAGTACTGCAGGAGGAGGAGGAGGGGGTGCAGGGAGGTGAGACAGTACTGCAGGAGGAGGAGGAGGGGGTGCAGGGAGGTGAGACACTACTGTAGCAGGAGGAGGAGGAGGGGGTGCAGGGAGGTGAGACACTACTGCAGGAGGAGGAGGAGGGGGTGCAGGGAGGTGAGACACTACTGTAGCAGGAGGAGGAGGAGGTGCTGCAGGGAGGTGAGACAGTACTGTAGCAGGAGAAGGAGGAGGTGCTGCAGGGAGGTGAGACACTACTGTAGCAGGAGAAGGAGGAGGGGGTGCAGGGAGGTGAGACACTACTGCAGGAGGAGGAGGTGCAGCAGGGAGGTGAGACACTACTGCAGGAGGAGGAGGAGGGGGTGCAGGGAGGTGAGACACTACTGCAGGAGGAGGAGGTGCTGCAGGGAGGTGAGACAGTACTGCAGGAGGAGGAGGAGGGGGTGCAGGGAGGTGAGACACTACTGCAGGAGGAGGAGGAGGGGGTGCAGGGAGGTGAGACAGTACTGCAGGAGGAGGAGGAGGGGGTGCAGGGAGGTGAGACAGTACTGCAGGAGGAGGAGGAGGGGGTGCAGGGAGGTGAGACACTACTGTAGCAGGAGGAGGAGGAGGGGGTGCAGGGAGGTGAGACACTACTGCAGGAGGAGGAGGAGGGGGTGCAGGGAGGTGAGACAGTACTGTAGCAGGAGGAGGAGGTGCTGCAGGGAGGTGAGACACTACTGTAGCAGGAGGAGGAGGAGGGGGTGCAGGGAGGTGAGACACTACTGCAGGAGGAGGAGGAGGGGGTGCAGGGAGGTGAGACAGTACTGCAGGAGGAGGAGGTGCAGCAGGGAGGTGAGACACTACTGTAGCAGGAGGAGGAGGTGCTGCAGGGAGGTGAGACACTACTGTAGCAGGAGGAGGAGGAGGTGCTGCAGGGAGGTGAGACACTACTGCAGGAGGAGGAGGTGCAGCAGGGAGGTGAGACAGTACTGCAGGAGGAGGAGGTGCAGCAGAGAGGTGAGACAGTACTGAAGGAGGAGGAGGTGAGACACTACTGCAGGAGGAGGAGGTGCAGCAGGGAGGTGAGACACTACTGCAGGAGGAGGAGGTGCAGCAGGGAGGTGAGACACTACTGTAGGAGGAGGAGGAGGTGCTGCAGGGAGGTGAGACAGTACTGCAGGAGGAGGAGGTGCAGCAGGGAGGTGAGACACTACTGCAGGAGGAGGAGGAGGGGGTGCAGGGAGGTGAGACAGTACTGCAGGAGGAGGAGGAGGGGGTGCAGGGAGGTGAGACACTACTGTAGCAGGAGGAGGAGGAGGGGGTGCAGGGAGGTGAGACACTACTGTAGCAGGAGGAGGAGGAGGTGGTGCAGGGAGGTGAGACACTACTGCAGGAGGAGGGGGTGCAGGGAGGTGAGACAGTACTGTAGCAGGAGGAGGTGCTGCAGGGAGGTGAGACACTACTGTAGCAGGAGGAGGAGGTGCTGCAGGGAGGTGAGACACTACTGTAGCAGGAGGAGGAGGAGGTGCTGCAGGAAGGTGAGACACTACTGCAGGAGGAGGAGGTGCAGCAGGGAGGTGAGACAGTACTGCAGGAGGAGGAGGTGCAGCAGGGAGGTGAGACACTACTGCAGGAGGAGGAGGTGCAGCAGGGAGGTGAGACACTACTGCAGGAGGAGGAGGAGGGGGTGCAGGGAGGTGAGACACTACTGCAGGAGGAGGAGGTGCTGCAGGGAGGTGAGACACTACTGCAGGAGGAGGAGGTGCTGCAGGGAGGTGAGTTCTGTCTCTCTGTCCTTCTCTGGGTCCTGGTCCTGATCTTTTCTCTGGGTCCCGGTCCTAGTCTTGGTCCTGATCTTTCTCTGGGTCCCGGTCCTGGTCCTGGTCCTGGTCTTTCTCTGGGTCCCGGTCCTGGTCTTGGTCCTGGTCTTTCTCTGGGTCCCGGTCCTGGTCTTGGTCCTGGTCTTTCTCTGGGTCCCGGTCCCGGTCCTGGTCCTGGTCCTGGTCTCTGACAGTGTGTCTTGCAGGGCTCCGTGTGGACTGCAGCCTCCTGAACACTCAGCAGCTGAACACAGAGCTGCTCAACCAGGGACAGGACCATCTCACACACAGAGGTCTGAGGGCCCCCCAGGGAGGTGTGAGGGCCCCCCAGGGAGGTGTGAGGGCCCCCCAGGGAGGTGAGGGACCACAGTGTCACCATGGCAACCACTGTCTGGAAACATAATGCTAACACAGACTGTATACAGATCATGGATCTATTATAATAACTGGATAGAGTATTACAGCTTGGAGCTGAAGGACCATGTGCTCGGGGGATTCTCGTGGTACTGCAGACTAAACCAGACTAAACCAGACTAAACCAGACTAAACCAGACTAGATTCATGTGGGCTGCCCAGAAACTTTCCCCATAGAACTCGATGTAAACTAAAACAGCTCGACCTCAGCTGACAGAGGCCCTGACAGAGGCCCCGACAGAGGCCCCGACAGAGGCCCCGACAGAGGCCCCGACAGAGGCCCCGACAGAGGCCCCGACAGAGGCCCCGACAGAGGCCCCGACAGAGGCCCCGACAGAGGCCCCGACAGAGGCCCCGACAGAGGCCCCGACAGAGGCCCTGACAGAGGCCCCGACAGAGGCCCCGACAGAGGCCCCGACAGAGGCCCTGACAGAGGCCCCGACAGAGGCCCCGACAGAGGCCCCGACAGAGGCCCCGACAGAGGCCCCGACAGAGGCCCCGACAGAGGCCCCGACAGAGGCCCCGACAGAGGCCCTGACAGAGGCCCTGACAGAGGCCCCGACAGAGGCCCCGACAGAGGCCCCGACAGAGGCCCCGACAGAGGCCCCGACAGAGGCCCCGACAGAGGCCCTGACAGAGGCCCTGACAGAGGCCCCGACAGAGGCCCTGACAGAGGCCCTCGCTCTAATGCTGTGTTCAGACCGGATCATGCTGCGTCGGCTTTCAATGCAAAGTCAATGGTGACGCACATTCGAGCGTCAGAAACACGCACGGACCACGCTGGGAAGTCGAAGGGGAGGACTAAACCAGGACTAAACCAGGACTAAACCAGGACTAAACCAGGACTAAACCAGGACTAAACCAGGACTAAACCAGGACTAAACCAGGACTAAACCAGGGTTGACAATGAGGGTCACAGTGCTTGTGAACATCTGTGTTTTCATGCTCCCGTGACTTTATGGCGGCACGGTGGCTGAGTGGATAGCACTCTTGCCTCTCAGCAAGAAGGTCCTGGGTTCGAATCCCGGCCGGACCAGGGCCTTTCTGAGTGGAGTTTGCATGTTCTCCCCGTGTCTGCGTAGGTTTCCTCCGGGTACTCCGGTTTCCCCTACCACTAAAAATATGTCCAATAGTTCTGGCATGCGCCTCCTGTACTGGCCCCGCTCCCATCTCTGTGTGGAGTGAGAGACAAATGCCCAAAATTAACAATTGTAAACCGCTTTGAGACTCAGATCTGCAGTGAAAAGGCGATATATAAATAAAAACTTACTTACTTACTACTTCGAGCGTGTTCGCTGACGCGTAAACACCGTTTAATAATAAAATAAACGTATGCCGCACCTCCGTGAACACATACTGCTGTTATATAAAGTCACCTCCGTGAACACATACTGCTGTTATATAAAGTCACCTCCGTGAACACATACTGCTGTTATATAAAGTCACCGTGAACACATACTGCTGTTATATAAAGTCACCTCCGTGAACACATACTGCTGTTATATAAAGTCACCTCCGTGAACACATACTGCTGTTATATAAAGTCACCGTGAACACATACTGCTGTTATATAAAGTCACCTCCGTGAACACATACTGCTGTTATATAAAGTCACCTCCGTGAACACATACTACTGTTATATAAAGTCACCTCCGTGAACACATACTGCTGTTATATAAAGTCACCGTGAACACATACTGCTGTTATATAAAGTCACCTCCGTGAACACATACTGCTGTTATATAAAGTCACCGTGAACACATACTACTGTTATATAAAGTCACCGTGAACACATACTGCTGTTATATAAAGTCACCGTGAACACATACTGCTGTTATATAAAGTCACCTCCGTGAACACATACTACTGTTATATAAAGTCACCGTGAACACATACTGCTGTTATATAAAGTCACCGTGAACACATACTACTGTTATATAAAGTCACCGTGAACACATACTGCTGTTATATAAAGTCACCGTGAACACATACTGCTGTTATATAAAGTCACCGTGAACACATACTGCTGTTATATAAAGTCACCTCCGTGAACACATACTGCTGTTATATAAAGTCACTGTGAACACATACTGCTGTTATATAAAGTCACCGTGAACACATACTGCTGTTATATAAAGTCACCTCCGTGAACACATACTGCTGTTATATAAAGTCACTGTGAACACATACTGCTGTTATATAAAGTCACCTCCGTGAACACACTCCGTGAACACACATACTGCTGTTATATAAAGTCACCGTGAACACATACTGCTGTTATATAAAGTCACCGTGAACACAACATACGGCTGCACCTCCGTGAACACATGCTGTTATATAAAGTCCCGTGAACACTACTGCTGTTATATAAAGTCACCCCGTGAACACATACTGCTGTTATATAAAGTCACTCGTGAACACATACTGCTGTTACACTCCGTGAACACATACTGCTGTTATATAAAGTCACCTCCGTGAACACATACTGCTGTTATATAAAGTCACCTCCGTGAACACATACTGCTGTTATATAAAGTCACCTCCGTGAACACATACTGCTGTTATATAAAGTCACCTCGTGAACACATACTGCTGTTATATAAAGTCACCTCCGTGAACACATACTGCTGTTATATAAAGTCACCTCCGTGAACACATACTGCTGTTATATAAAGTCACCTCCGTGAACACATACTGCTGTTATATAAAGTCACCTCCGTGAACACATACTGCTGTTATATAAAGTCACCTCCGTGAACACATACTGCTGTTATATAAAGTCACCTCCGTGAACACATACTGCTGTTATATAAAGTCACCTCCGTGAACACATACTGCTGTTATATAAAGTCACCTCCGTGAACACATACTGCTGTTATATAAAGTCACCTCCGTGAACACATACTGCTGTTATATAAAGTCACCTCCGTGAACACATACTGCTGTTATATAAAGTCACCTCCGTGAACACATACTGCTGTTATATAAAGTCACCTCCGTGAACACATACTGCTGTTATATAAAGTCACCCGTGAACACATACTGCTGTTATATAAAGTCACCTCCGTGAACACATACTGCTGTTATATAAAGTCACCGTGAACACATACTGCTGTTATATAAAGTCACCTCCGTGAACACATACTGCTGTTATATAAAGTCACCCCGTGAACACATACTGCTGTTATATAAAGTCACCTCCGTGAACACATACTGCTGTTATATAAAGTCACTCCGTGAACACATACTGCTGTTATATAAAGTCACCTCCGTGAACACATACTGACAGAGCAGAGGAGAGAGGAGGAGAGAGGAGGCTCACATCTTCATCTCTGCAGTGAAGGAGGTGAGAGGAGACAGAGCAGAGGAGAGAGGAGGAGAGAGGAGGCTCACATCTTCATCTCTGCAGAGGAGAGAGAGGAGGAGAGAGGAGGCTCACATCTTCATCTCTGCAGTGAAGGAGGTGAGAGGAGACAGAGCAGAGGAGAGAGGAGGAGAGAGAGGCTCACATCTTCATCTCTGCAGTGAAGGAGGTGAGAGGAGACAGAGCAGAGGAGAGATGGGAGAGAGGAGGCTCACATCTTCATCTCTGCAGTGAAGGAGGTGAGAGGAGACAGAGCAGAGGAGAGAGGAGGAGAGAGGAGGCTCACATCTTCATCTCTGCAGTGAAGGAGGTGAGAGGAGACAGAGCAGAGGAGAGAGGGAGAGAGGAGGCTCACATCTTCATCTCTGCAGTGAAGGAGGTGAGAGGAGACAGAGCAGAGGAGAGATGGGAGAGAGGAGGCTCACATCTTCATCTCTGCAGTGAAGGAGGTGAGAGGAGACAGAGCAGAGGAGAGAGGAGGAGAGAGGAGGCTCACATCTTCATCTCTGCAGTGAAGGAGGTGAGAGGAGACAGAGCAGAGGAGAGAGGAGGAGAGAGGAGGCTCACATCTTCATCTCTGCAGTGAAGGAGGTGAGAGGAGACAGAGCAGAGGAGAGAGGAGAGAGGAGGCTCACATCTTCATCTCTGCAGTGAAGGAGGTGAGAGGAGACAGAGCAGAGGAGAGAGGGAGAGAGAGGAGGCTCACATCTTCATCTCTGCAGTGAAGGAGGTGAGAGGAGACAGAGCAGAGGAGAGAGGAGGAGAGAGGAGGCTCACATCTTCATCTCTGCAGTGAAGGAGGTGAGAGGAGACAGAGCAGAGGAGAGAGGAGGAGAGAGGAGGCTCACATCTTCATCTCTGCAGTGAAGGAGGTGAGAGGAGACAGAGCAGAGGAGAGAGGAGGAGAGAGGAGGCTCACATCTTCATCTCTGCAGTGAAGGAGGTGAGAGGAGACAGAGCAGAGGAGAGGAGGAGAGAGAGGAGGCTCACATCTTCATCTCTGCAGTGAAGGAGGTGAGAGGAGACAGAGCAGAGGAGAGAGGAGGAGAGAGGAGGCTCACATCTTCATCTCTGCAGTGAAGGAGGTGAGAGGAGACAGAGCAGAGGAGAGAGGAGGAGAGAGGAGGCTCACATCTTCATCTCTGCAGTGAAGGAGGTGAGAGGAGACAGAGCAGAGGAGAGAGGAGAGAGGAGGCTCACATCTTCATCTCTGCAGTGAAGGAGGTGAGAGGAGACAGAGCAGAGGAGAGAGGAGAGAGAGGAGGCTCACATCTTCATCTCTGCAGTGAAGGAGGTGAGAGGAGACAGAGCAGAGGAGAGAGGAGGAGAGAGGAGGCTCACATCTTCATCTCTGCAGTGAAGGAGGTGAGAGGAGACAGCAGAGGAGAGAGGAGGAGAGAGGAGGCTCACATCTTCATCTCTGCAGTGAAGGAGGTGAGAGGAGACAGAGCAGAGGAGAGAGGAGGAGAGAGGAGGCTCACATCTTCATCTCTGCAGTGAAGGAGGTGAGAGGAGACAGAGCAGAGGAGAGAGGAGGAGAGAGGAGGCTCACATCTTCATCTCTGCAGTGAAGGAGGTGAGAGGAGACAGAGCAGAGGAGAGAGGAGGAGAGAGGAGGCTCACATCTTCATCTCTGCAGTGAAGGAGGTGAGAGGAGACAGAGCAGAGGAGAGATGGGGAGAGAGGAGGCTCACATCTTCATCTCTGCAGTGAAGGAGGTGAGAGGAGACAGAGCAGAGGAGAGAGGAGGAGAGAGGAGGCTCACATCTTCATCTCTGCAGTGAAGGAGGTGAGAGGAGACAGAGCAGAGGAGAGAGGAGGAGAGAGGAGGCTCACATCTTCATCTCTGCAGTGAAGGAGGTGAGAGGAGACAGAGCAGAGAGAGAGGAGAGAGGAGGCTCACATCTTCATCTCTGCAGTGAAGGAGGTGAGAGGAGACAGAGCAGAGGAGAGAGGAGGAGAGAGGAGGCTCACATCTTCATCTCTGCAGTGAAGGAGGTGAGAGGAGACAGAGCAGAGGAGAGAGGAGGCTCACATCTTCATCTCTGCAGTGAAGGAGGTGAGAGGAGACAGAGCAGAGGAGAGAGGAGGAGAGAGGAGGCTCACATCTTCATCTCTGCAGTGAAGGAGGTGAGAGGAGACAGAGCAGAGGAGAGAGGAGGAGAGAGGAGGCTCACATCTTCATCTCTGCAGTGAAGGAGGTGAGAGGAGACAGAGCAGAGGAGAGGAGGAGGCTCACATCTTCATCTCTGCAGTGAAGGAGGTGAGAGGAGACAGAGCAGAGGAGAGAGGAGGAGAGAGGAGGCTCACATCTTCATCTCTGCAGTGAAGGAGGTGAGAGGAGACAGAGCAGAGGAGAGAGAGAGGAGGAGCTCACATCTTCATCTCTGCAGTGAAGGAGGTGAGAGGAGACAGAGCAGAGGAGAGAGGAGGAGAGAGGAGGCTCACATCTTCATCTCTGCAGTGAAGGAGGTGAGAGGAGACAGAGCAGAGGAGAGAGGAGGAGAGAGGAGGCTCACATCTTCATCTCTGCAGTGAAGGAGGTGAGAGGAGACAGAGCAGAGGAGAGAGGAGGAGAGAGGAGGCTCACATCTTCATCTCTGCAGTGAAGGAGGTGAGAGGAGACAGAGCAGAGGAGAGAGGAGGAGAGAGGAGGCTCACATCTTCATCTCTGCAGTGAAGGAGGTGAGAGGAGACGGAGCAGAGGAGAGAGGAGGAGAGAGGAGGCTCACATCTTCATCTCTGCAGTGAAGGAGGTGAGAGGAGACAGAGCAGAGGAGAGAGGAGGAGAGAGGAGGCTCACATCTTCATCTCTGCAGTGAAGGAGGTGAGAGGAGACAGAGCAGAGGAGAGAGGAGGAGAGAGGAGGCTCACATCTTCATCTCTGCAGTGAAGGAGGTGAGAGGAGACAGAGCAGAGGAGAGAGGAGGAGAGAGGAGGCTCACATCTTCATCTCTGCAGTGAAGGAGGTGAGAGGAGACAGAGCAGAGGAGAGAGGAGGAGAGAGGAGGCTCACATCTTCATCTCTGCAGTGAAGGAGGTGAGAGGAGACAGAGCAGAGGAGAGAGGAGGCTCACATCTTCATCTCTGCAGTGAAGGAGGTGAGAGGAGACAGAGCAGAGGAGAGAGGAGGAGAGAGGAGGCTCACATCTTCATCTCTGCAGTGAAGGAGGTGAGAGGAGACAGAGCAGAGGAGAGAGGAGGAGAGAGAAGGCTCACATCTTCATCTCTGCAGTGAAGGAGGTGAGAGGAGACAGAGCAGAGGAGAGAGGAGGAGAGAGGAGGCTCACATCTTCATCTCTGCAGTGAAGGAGGTGAGAGGAGACAGAGCAGAGGAGAGAGGAGGAGAGAGGAGGCTCACATCTTCATCTCTGCAGTGAAGGAGGTGAGAGGAGACAGAGCAGAGGAGAGAGGAGGAGAGAGGAGGCTCACATCTTCATCTCTGCAGTGAAGGAGGTGAGAGGAGACGGAGCAGAGGAGAGAGGAGGAGAGAGGAGGCTCACATCTTCATCTCTGCAGTGAAGGAGGTGAGAGGAGACAGAGCAGAGGAGAGAGGAGGAGAGAGGAGGCTCACATCTTCATCTCTGCAGTGAAGGAGGTGAGAGGAGACAGAGCAGAGGAGAGAGGAGGAGAGAGGAGGCTCACATCTTCATCTCTGCAGTGAAGGAGGTGAGAGGAGACAGAGCAGAGGAGAGAGGAGGAGAGAGGAGGCTCACATCTTCATCTCTGCAGTGAAGGAGGTGAGAGGAGACAGAGCAGAGGAGAGAGGAGAGAGAGGAGGCTCACATCTTCATCTCTGCAGTGAAGGAGGTGAGAGGAGACAGAGCAGAGGAGAGAGGAGGAGAGAGGAGGCTCACATCTTCATCTCTGCAGTGAAGGAGGTGAGAGGAGACAGAGCAGAGGAGAGAGGAGGAGAGAGGAGGCTCACATCTTCATCTCTGCAGTGAAGGAGGTGAGAGGAGACAGAGCAGAGGAGAGATGGGAGAGAGGAGGCTCACATCTTCATCTCTGCAGTGAAGGAGGTGAGAGGAGACAGAGCAGAGGAGAGAGGAGGAGAGAGGAGGCTCACATCTTCATCTCTGCAGTGAAGGAGGTGAGAGGAGACAGAGCAGAGGAGAGAGGAGGAGAGAGGAGGCTCACATCTTCATCTCTGCAGTGAAGGAGGTGAGAGGAGACAGAGCAGAGGAGAGAGGAGAGAGGAGGCTCACATCTTCATCTCTGCAGTGAAGGAGGTGAGAGGAGACAGAGCAGAGGAGAGATGGGAGAGAGGAGGCTCACATCTTCATCTCTGCAGTGAAGGAGGTGAGAGGAGACAGAGCAGAGGAGAGAGGAGGAGAGAGGAGGCTCACATCTTCATCTCTGCAGTGAAGGAGGTGAGAGGAGACAGAGCAGAGGAGAGAGGAGGAGAGAGGAGGCTCACATCTTCATCTCTGCAGTGAAGGAGGTGAGAGGAGACAGAGCAGAGGAGAGAGGAGGCTCACATCTTCATCTCTGCAGTGAAGGAGGTGAGAGGAGACAGAGCAGAGGAGAGAGGAGGAGAGAGGAGGCTCACATCTTCATCTCTGCAGTGAAGGAGGTGAGAGGAGACAGAGCAGAGGAGAGAGGAGGAGAGAGGAGGCTCACATCTTCATCTCTGCAGTGAAGGAGGTGAGAGGAGACGGAGCAGAGGAGAGAGGAGGAGAGAGGAGGCTCACATCTTCATCTCTGCAGTGAAGGAGGTGAGAGGAGACAGAGCAGAGGAGAGAGGAGGAGAGAGGAGGCTCACATCTTCATCTCTGCAGTGAAGGAGGTGAGAGGAGACAGAGCAGAGGAGAGAGGAGGAGAGAGGAGGCTCACATCTTCATCTCTGCAGTGAAGGAGGTGAGAGGAGACAGAGCAGAGGAGAGAGGAGGAGAGAGAAGGCTCACATCTTCATCTCTGCAGTGAAGGAGGTGAGAGGAGACAGACAGAGCAGAGGAGAGAGGAGGCTCACATCTTCATCTCTGCAGTGAAGGAGGTGAGAGGAGACAGAGCAGAGGAGAGAGGAGGAGAGAGGAGGCTCACATCTTCATCTCTGCAGTGAAGGAGGTGAGGAGACAGAGCAGAGGAGAGAGGAGGCTCACATCTTCATCTCTGCAGTGAAGGAGGTGAGAGGAGACAGAGCAGAGGAGAGAGGAGGAGAGAGGAGGCTCACATCTTCATCTCTGCAGTGAAGGAGGTGAGAGGAGACAGAGCAGAGGAAGGAGGAGGCTCACATCTTCATCTCTGCAGTGAAGGAGGTGAGAGGAGACAGAGCAGAGGAGAGAGGAGGAGAGAGGAGGCTCACATCTTCATCTCTGCAGTGAAGGAGGTGAGAGGAGACAGAGCAGAGGAAGGAGGAGGCTCACATCTTCATCTCTGCAGTGAAGGAGGTGAGAGGAGACAGAGCAGAGGAGAGAGGAGGAGAGAGGAGGCTCACATCTTCATCTCTGCAGTGAAGGAGGTGAGAGGAGACAGAGCAGAGGAGAGAGGAGGCTCACATCTTCATCTCTGCAGTGAAGGAGGTGAGAGGAGACAGAGCAGAGGAGAGAGGAGGAGAGAGGAGGCTCACATCTTCATCTCTGCAGTGAAGGAGGTGAGAGGAGACAGAGCAGAGGAGAGAGGAGGAGAGAGGAGGCTCACATCTTCATCTCTGCAGTGAAGGAGGTGAGAGGAGACAGAGCAGAGGAGAGAGGAGGAGAGAGGAGGCTCACATCTTCATCTCTGCAGTGAAGGAGGTGAGAGGAGACAGAGCAGAGGAGAGAGGAGGAGAGAGGAGGCTCACATCTTCATCTCTGCAGTGAAGGAGGTGAGAGGAGACGGAGCAGAGGAGAGAGGAGGAGAGAGGAGGCTCACATCTTCATCTCTGCAGTGAAGGAGGTGAGAGGAGACAGAGCAGAGGAGAGAGGAGGAGAGAGGAGGCTCACATCTTCATCTCTGCAGTGAAGGAGGTGAGAGGAGACAGAGCAGAGGAGAGAGGAGGAGAGAGGAGGCTCACATCTTCATCTCTGCAGTGAAGGAGGTGAGAGGAGACAGAGCAGAGGAGAGAGGAGGAGAGAGGAGGCTCACATCTTCATCTCTGCAGTGAAGGAGGTGAGAGGAGACAGAGCAGAGGAGAGATGGGAGAGAGGAGGCTCACATCTTCATCTCTGCAGTGAAGGAGGTGAGAGGAGACAGAGCAGAGGAGAGAGGAGGCTCACATCTTCATCTCTGCAGTGAAGGAGGTGAGAGGAGACAGAGCAGAGGAGAGAGGAGGAGAGAGGAGGCTCACATCTTCATCTCTGCAGTGAAGGAGGTGAGAGGAGACAGAGCAGAGGAGAGAGGAGGAGAGAGAAGGCTCACATCTTCATCTCTGCAGTGAAGGAGGTGAGAGGAGACAGAGCAGAGGAGAGAGGAGGAGAGAGGAGGCTCACATCTTCATCTCTGCAGTGAAGGAGGTGAGAGGAGACAGAGCAGAGGAGAGAGGAGGAGAGAGGAGGCTCACATCTTCATCTCTGCAGTGAAGGAGGTGAGAGGAGACAGAGCAGAGGAGAGAGGAGGAGAGAGGAGGCTCACATCTTCATCTCTGCAGTGAAGGAGGTGAGAGGAGACGGAGCAGAGGAGAGAGGAGGAGAGAGGAGGCTCACATCTTCATCTCTGCAGTGAAGGAGGTGAGAGGAGACAGAGCAGAGGAGAGAGGAGGAGAGAGGAGGCTCACATCTTCATCTCTGCAGTGAAGGAGGTGAGAGGAGACAGAGCAGAGGAGAGAGGAGGAGAGAGGAGGCTCACATCTTCATCTCTGCAGTGAAGGAGGTGAGAGGAGACAGAGCAGAGGAGAGAGGAGGAGAGAGGAGGCTCACATCTTCATCTCTGCAGTGAAGGAGGTGAGAGGAGACAGAGCAGAGGAGAGAGGAAGAGAGAGGAGGCTCACATCTTCATCTCTGCAGTGAAGGAGGTGAGAGGAGACAGAGCAGAGGAGAGAGGAGGAGAGAGGAGGCTCACATCTTCATCTCTGCAGTGAAGGAGGTGAGAGGAGACAGAGCAGAGGAGAGAGGAGGAGAGAGGAGGCTCACATCTTCATCTCTGCAGTGAAGGAGGTGAGAGGAGACAGAGCAGAGGAGAGATGGGAGAGAGGAGGCTCACATCTTCATCTCTGCAGTGAAGGAGGTGAGAGGAGACAGAGCAGAGGAGAGAGGAGGAGAGAGGAGGCTCACATCTTCATCTCTGCAGTGAAGGAGGTGAGAGGAGACAGAGCAGAGGAGAGAGGAGGAGAGAGGAGGCTCACATCTTCATCTCTGCAGTGAAGGAGGTGAGAGGAGACAGAGCAGAGGAGAGAGGAGAGAGGAGGCTCACATCTTCATCTCTGCAGTGAAGGAGGTGAGAGGAGACAGAGCAGAGGAGAGATGGGAGAGAGGAGGCTCACATCTTCATCTCTGCAGTGAAGGAGGTGAGAGGAGACAGAGCAGAGGAGAGAGGAGGAGAGAGGAGGCTCACATCTTCATCTCTGCAGTGAAGGAGGTGAGAGGAGACAGAGCAGAGGAGAGAGGAGGAGAGAGGAGGCTCACATCTTCATCTCTGCAGTGAAGGAGGTGAGAGGAGACAGAGCAGAGGAGAGAGGAGGCTCACATCTTCATCTCTGCAGTGAAGGAGGTGAGAGGAGACAGAGCAGAGGAGAGAGGAGGAGAGAGGAGGCTCACATCTTCATCTCTGCAGTGAAGGAGGTGAGAGGAGACAGAGCAGAGGAGAGAGGAGGAGAGAGGAGGCTCACATCTTCATCTCTGCAGTGAAGGAGGTGAGAGGAGACGGAGCAGAGGAGAGAGGAGGAGAGAGGAGGCTCACATCTTCATCTCTGCAGTGAAGGAGGTGAGAGGAGACAGAGCAGAGGAGAGAGGAGGAGAGAGGAGGCTCACATCTTCATCTCTGCAGTGAAGGAGGTGAGAGGAGACAGAGCAGAGGAGAGAGGAGGAGAGAGGAGGCTCACATCTTCATCTCTGCAGTGAAGGAGGTGAGAGGAGACAGAGCAGAGGAGAGAGGAGGAGAGAGAAGGCTCACATCTTCATCTCTGCAGTGAAGGAGGTGAGAGGAGACAGAGCAGAGGAGAGAGGAGGCTCACATCTTCATCTCTGCAGTGAAGGAGGTGAGAGGAGACAGAGCAGAGGAGAGAGGAGGAGAGAGGAGGCTCACATCTTCATCTCTGCAGTGAAGGAGGTGAGGAGACAGAGCAGAGGAGAGAGGAGGCTCACATCTTCATCTCTGCAGTGAAGGAGGTGAGAGGAGACAGAGCAGAGGAGAGAGGAGGAGAGAGGAGGCTCACATCTTCATCTCTGCAGTGAAGGAGGTGAGAGGAGACAGAGCAGAGGAGAGAGGAGGAGAGAGGAGGCTCACATCTTCATCTCTGCAGTGAAGGAGGTGAGAGGAGACAGAGCAGAGGAGAGAGGAGGAGAGAGGAGGCTCACATCTTCATCTCTGCAGTGAAGGAGGTGAGAGGAGACAGAGCAGAGGAGAGAGGAGGAGAGAGGAGGCTCACATCTTCATCTCTGCAGTGAAGGAGGTGAGAGGAGACAGAGCAGAGGAGAGATGGGAGAGAGGAGGCTCACATCTTCATCTCTGCAGTGAAGGAGGTGAGAGGAGACAGAGCAGAGGAGAGAGGAGGAGAGAGGAGGCTCACATCTTCATCTCTGCAGTGAAGGAGGTGAGAGGAGACAGAGCAGAGGAGAGAGGAGGAGAGGAGGGAGAGAGGAGGCTCACATCTTCATCTCTGCAGTGAAGGAGGTGAGAGGAGACAGAGCAGAGGAGAGAGGAGGCTCACATCTTCATCTCTGCAGTGAAGGAGGTGAGAGGAGACAGAGCAGAGGAGAGAGGAGGAGAGAGGAGGCTCACATCTTCATCTCTGCAGTGAAGGAGGTGAGAGGAGACAGAGCAGAGGAGAGAGGAGGCTCACATCTTCATCTCTGCAGTGAAGGAGGTGAGAGGAGACAGAGCAGAGGAGAGATGGGAGAGAGGAGGCTCACATCTTCATCTCTGCAGTGAAGGAGGTGAGAGGAGACAGAGCAGAGGAGAGAGGAGGAGAGATGAGGCTCACATCTTCATCTCTGCAGTGAAGGAGGTGAGAGGAGACAGAGCAGAGGAGAGAGGAGGAGAGAGGAGGCTCACATCTTCATCTCTGCAGTGAAGGAGGTGAGAGGAGACAGAGCAGAGGAGAGAGGAGGCTCACATCTTCATCTCTGCAGTGAAGGAGGTGAGAGGAGACAGAGCAGAGGAGAGAGGAGGAGAGAGGAGGCTCACATCTTCATCTCTGCAGTGAAGGAGGTGAGAGGAGACAGAGCAGAGGAGAGAGGAGGCTCACATCTTCATCTCTGCAGTGAAGGAGGTGAGAGGAGACAGAGCAGAGGAGAGAGGAGAGAGGAGGCTCACATCTTCATCTCTGCAGTGAAGGAGGTGAGAGGAGACAGAGCAGAGGAGAGAGGAGGAGAGAGGAGGCTCACATCTTCATCTCTGCAGTGAAGGAGGTGAGAGGAGACAGAGCAGAGGAGAGAGGAGGCTCACATCTTCATCTCTGCAGTGAAGGAGGTGAGAGGAGACAGAGCAGAGGAGAGAGGAGGAGAGAGGAGGCTCACATCTTCATCTCTGCAGTGAAGGAGGTGAGAGGAGACAGAGCAGAGGAGAGAGGAGGCTCACATCTTCATCTCTGCAGTGAAGGAGGTGAGAGGAGACAGAGCAGAGGAGAGAGGAGGAGAGAGGAGGCTCACATCTTCATCTCTGCAGTGAAGGAGGTGAGAGGAGACAGAGCAGAGGAGAGAGGAGGAGAGAGGAGGCTCACATCTTCATCTCTGCAGTGAAGGAGGTGAGAGGAGACAGAGCAGAGGAGAGAGGAGGAGAGAGGAGGCTCACATCTTCATCTCTGCAGTGAAGGAGGTGAGAGGAGACGGAGCAGAGGAGAGAGGAGGCTCACATCTTCATCTCTGCAGTGAAGGAGGTGAGAGGAGACAGAGCAGAGGAGAGAGGAGGAGAGAGGAGGCTCACATCTTCATCTCTGCAGTGAAGGAGGTGAGAGGAGACAGAGCAGAGGAGAGAGGAGGCTCACATCTTCATCTCTGCAGTGAAGGAGGTGAGAGAAGACAGAGCAGAGTAGAGAGGAGGAGAGAGGAGGCTCACATCTTCATCTCTGCAGTGAAGGAGGTGAGAGGAGACAGAGCAGAGGAGAGATGGGAGAGAGGAGGCTCACATCTTCATCTCTGCAGTGAAGGAGGTGAGAGGAGACAGAGCAGAGGAGAGAGGAGGCTCACATCTTCATCTCTGCAGTGAAGGAGGTGAGAGGAGACAGAGCAGAGGAGAGAGGAGGAGAGAGGAGGCTCACATCTTCATCTCTGCAGTGAAGGAGGTGAGAGGAGACAGAGCAGAGGAGAGGAGGAGAGAGGAGGCTCACATCTTCATCTCTGCAGTGAAGGAGGTGAGAGGAGACAGAGCAGAGGAGAGAGGAGGAGAGAGGAGGCTCACATCTTCATCTCTGCAGTGAAGGAGGTGAGAGGAGACAGAGCAGAGGAGAGATGGGAGAGAGGAGGCTCACATCTTCATCTCTGCAGTGAAGGAGGTGAGAGGAGACAGAGCAGAGGAGAGAGGAGGAGAGAGGAGGCTCACATCTTCATCTCTGCAGTGAAGGAGGTGAGAGGAGACAGAGCAGAGGAGAGAGGAGGAGAGAGGAGGCTCACATCTTCATCTCTGCAGTGAAGGAGGTGAGAGGAGACAGAGCAGAGGAGAGAGGAGGAGAGAGGAGGCTCACATCTTCATCTCTGCAGTGAAGGAGGTGAGAGGAGACAGAGCAGAGGAGAGATGGGAGAGAGGAGGCTCACATCTTCATCTCTGCAGTGAAGGAGGTGAGAGGAGACAAGCAGAGGAGAGAGGAGGAGAGAGGAGGCTCACATCTTCATCTCTGCAGTGAAGGAGGTGAGAGGAGACAGAGCAGAGGAGAGAGGAGGAGAGAGGAGGCTCACATCTTCATCTCTGCAGTGAAGGAGGTGAGAGGAGACAGAGCAGAGGAGAGAGGAGGAGAGAGGAGGCTCACATCTTCATCTCTGCAGTGAAGGAGGTGAGAGGAGACAGAGCAGAGGAGAGAGGAGGAGAGAGGAGGCTCACATCTTCATCTCTGCAGTGAAGGAGGTGAGAGGAGACAGAGCAGAGGAGAGAGGAGGAGAGAGGAGGCTCACATCTTCATCTCTGCAGTGAAGGAGGTGAGAGGAGACAGAGCAGAGGAGAGAGGAGGAGAGAGGAGGCTCACATCTTCATCTCTGCAGTGAAGGAGGTGAGAGGAGACAGAGCAGAGGAGAGAGGAGGAGAGAGAGGCTCACATCTTCATCTCTGCAGTGAAGGAGGTGAGAGGAGACAGAGCAGAGGAGAGAGGAGGAGAGAGGAGGCTCACATCTTCATCTCTGCAGTGAAGGAGGTGAGAGGAGACAGAGCAGAGGAGAGAGGAGGAGAGAGGAGGCTCACATCTTCATCTCTGCAGTGAAGGAGGTGAGAGGAGACAGAGCAGAGGAGAGAGGAGGAGAGAGGAGGCTCACATCTTCATCTCTGCAGTGAAGGAGGTGAGAGGAGACAGAGCAGAGGAGAGAGGAGGAGAGAGGAGGCTCACATCTTCATCTCTGCAGTGAAGGAGGTGAGAGGAGACAGAGCAGAGGAGAGATGGGAGAGAGGAGGCTCACATCTTCATCTCTGCAGTGAAGGAGGTGAGAGGAGACAGAGCAGAGGAGAGAGGAGGAGAGAGGAGGCTCACATCTTCATCTCTGCAGTGAAGGAGGTGAGAGGAGACAGAGCAGAGGAGAGAGGAGGAGAGAGGGAGGCTCACATCTTCATCTCTGCAGTGAAGGAGGTGAGAGGAGACAGAGCAGAGGAGAGAGAGGAGAGAGGAGGCTCACATCTTCATCTCTGCAGTGAAGGAGGTGAGAGGAGACAGAGCAGAGGAGAGAGGAGGAGAGAGAGGAGGCTCACATCTTCATCTCTGCAGTGAAGGAGGTGAGAGGAGACAGAGCAGAGGAGAGAGGAGGAGAGAGGAGGCTCACATCTTCATCTCTGCAGTGAAGGAGGTGAGAGGAGACAGAGCAGAGGAGAGAGGAGGAGAGAGGAGGCTCACATCTTCATCTCTGCAGTGAAGGAGGTGAGAGGAGACAGAGCAGAGGAGAGAGGAGGCTCACATCTTCATCTCTGCAGTGAAGGAGGTGAGAGGAGACAGAGCAGAGGAGAGAGGAGGAGAGAGGAGGCTCACATCTTCATCTCTGCAGTGAAGGAGGTGAGAGGAGACAGAGCAGAGGAGAGAGGAGGAGAGAGGAGGCTCACATCTTCATCTCTGCAGTGAAGGAGGTGAGAGGAGACAGAGCAGAGGAGAGAGGAGGAGAGAGAGGCTCACATCTTCATCTCTGCAGTGAAGGAGGTGAGAGGAGACAGAGCAGAGGAGAGAGGAGGCTCACATCTTCATCTCTGCAGTGAAGGAGGTGAGAGGAGACAGAGCAGAGGAGAGAGGAGGAGAGAGGAGGCTCACATCTTCATCTCTGCAGTGAAGGAGGTGAGAGGAGACAGAGCAGGGAGAGGAGGAAGAGGAGGCTCACATCTTCATCTCTGCAGTGAAGGAGGTGAGAGGAGACAGAGCAGAGGAGAGAGGAGAGAGAGGCTCACATCTTCATCTCTGCAGTGAAGGAGGTGAGAGGAGACAGAGCAGAGGAGAGAGGAGGAGAGAGGAGGCTCACATCTTCATCTCTGCAGTGAAGGAGGTGAGAGGAGACAGAGCAGAGGAGAGAGAGGAGAGAGGAGGCTCACATCTTCATCTCTGCAGTGAAGGAGGTGAGAGGAGACAGAGCAGAGGAGAGAGGAGGAGAGAGGAGGCTCACATCTTCATCTCTGCAGTGAAGGAGGTGAGAGGAGACAGAGCAGAGGAGAGAGGAGGAGGAGGAGGCTCACATCTTCATCTCTGCAGTGAAGGAGGTGAGAGGAGACAGAGCAGAGGAGAGAGGAGGAGAGAGGAGGCTCACATCTTCATCTCTGCAGTGAAGGAGGTGAGAGGAGACAGAGCAGAGGAGAGAGGAGGAGAGAGGAGGCTCACATCTTCATCTCTGCAGTGAAGGAGGTGAGAGGAGACAGAGCAGAGGAGAGAGGAGGAGAGAGGAGGCTCACATCTTCATCTCTGCAGTGAAGGAGGTGAGAGGAGACAGAGCAGAGGAGAGAGGAGGCTCACATCTTCATCTCTGCAGTGAAGGAGGTGAGAGGAGACAGAGCAGAGGAGAGAGGAGGAGAGAGGAGGCTCACATCTTCATCTCTGCAGTGAAGGAGGTGAGAGGAGACAGAGCAGAGGAGAGAGGAGGCTCACATCTTCATCTCTGCAGTGAAGGAGGTGAGAGGAGACAGAGCAGAGTAGAGAGGAGGAGAGAGGAGGCTCACATCTTCATCTCTGCAGTGAAGGAGGTGAGAGAGGAGACAGAGCAGAGGAGAGATGGGAGAGAGGAGGCTCACATCTTCATCTCTGCAGTGAAGGAGGTGAGAGGAGACAGAGCAGAGGAGAGGAGGAGGCTCACATCTTCATCTCTGCAGTGAAGGAGGTGAGAGGAGACAGAGCAGAGGAGAGAGGAGGAGAGAGGAGGCTCACATCTTCATCTCTGCAGTGAAGGAGGTGAGAGGAGACAGAGCAGAGGAGAGAGGAGGAGAGAGGAGGCTCACATCTTCATCTCTGCAGTGAAGGAGGTGAGAGGAGACAGAGCAGAGGAGAGAGGAGGAGAGAGGAGGCTCACATCTTCATCTCTGCAGTGAAGGAGGTGAGAGGAGACAGAGCAGAGGAGAGAGGAGGAGAGAGGAGGCTCACATCTTCATCTCTGCAGTGAAGGAGGTGAGAGGAGACAGAGCAGAGGAGAGAGGAGGAGAGAGGAGGCTCACATCTTCATCTCTGCAGTGAAGGAGGTGAGAGGAGACAGAGCAGAGGAGAGAGGAGGAGAGAGGAGGCTCACATCTTCATCTCTGCAGTGAAGGAGGTGAGAGGAGACAGAGCAGAGGAGAGAGGAGGAGAGAGGAGGCTCACATCTTCATCTCTGCAGTGAAGGAGGTGAGAGGAGACAGAGCAGAGGAGAGAGGGAGAGAGGAGGCTCACATCTTCATCTCTGCAGTGAAGGAGGTGAGAGGAGACAAAGCAGAGGAGAGAGGAGGAGAGAGGAGGCTCACATCTTCATCTCTGCAGTGAAGGAGGTGAGAGGAGACAGAGCAGAGGAGAGAGGAGGAGAGAGGAGGCTCACATCTTCATCTCTGCAGTGAAGGAGGTGAGAGGAGACAGAGCAGAGGAGAGAGGAGGAGAGAGGAGGCTCACATCTTCATCTCTGCAGTGAAGGAGGTGAGAGGAGACAGAGCAGAGGAGAGAGGAGGAGAGAGGAGGCTCACATCTTCATCTCTGCAGTGAAGGAGGTGAGAGGAGACAGAGCAGAGGAGAGATGGAGAGAGGAGGCTCACATCTTCATCTCTGCAGTGAAGGAGGTGAGAGGAGACAGAGCAGAGGAGAGAGGAGGAGAGATGAGGCTCACATCTTCATCTCTGCAGTGAAGGAGGTGAGAGGAGACAGAGCAGAGGAGAGAGGAGGAGAGAGGAGGCTCACATCTTCATCTCTGCAGTGAAGGAGGTGAGAGGAGACAGAGCAGAGGAGAGAGGAGGAGAGAGGAGGCTAACATCTTCATCTCTGCAGTGAAGGAGGTGAGAGGAGACGGAGCAGAGGAGAGAGGAGGAGAGAGGAGGCTCACATCTTCATCTCTGCAGTGAAGGAGGTGAGAGGAGACAGAGCAGAGGAGAGAGGAGGAGAGAGGAGGCTCACATCTTCATCTCTGCAGTGAAGGAGGTGAGAGGAGACAGAGCAGAGGAGAGAGGAGGAGAGAGGAGGCTCACATCTTCATCTCTGCAGTGAAGGAGGTGAGAGGAGACAGAGCAGAGGAGAGAGGAGGAGAGAGGAGGCTCACATCTTCATCTCTGCAGTGAAGGAGGTGAGAGGAGACAGAGCAGAGGAGAGATGGGAGAGAGGAGGCTCACATCTTCATCTCTGCAGTGAAGGAGGTGAGAGGAGACAGAGCAGAGGAGAGAGGAGGAGAGAGGAGGCTCACATCTTCATCTCTGCAGTGAAGGAGGTGAGAGGAGACAGAGCAGAGGAGAGAGGAGGAGAGAGGAGGCTCACATCTTCATCTCTGCAGTGAAGGAGGTGAGAGGAGACAGAGCAGAGGAGAGAGGAGGAGAGAGGAGGCTCACATCTTCATCTCTGCAGTGAAGGAGGTGAGAGGAGACAGAGCAGAGGAGAGAGGAGGAGAGAGGAGGCTCACATCTTCATCTCTGCAGTGAAGGAGGTGAGAGGAGACAGAGCAGAGGAGAGAGGGGAGAGAGGAGGCTCACATCTTCATCTCTGCAGTGAAGGAGGTGAGAGGAGACAGAGCAGAGGAGAGAGGAGGAGAGATGAGGCTCACATCTTCATCTCTGCAGTGAAGGAGGTGAGAGGAGACAGAGCAGAGGAGAGAGGAGGAGAGAGGAGGCTCACATCTTCATCTCTGCAGTGAAGGAGGTGAGAGGAGACAGAGCAGAGGAGAGAGGAGGAGAGAGGAGGCTCACATCTTCATCTCTGCAGTGAAGGAGGTGAGAGGAGACAGAGCAGAGGAGAGAGGAGGAGAGAGGAGGCTCACATCTTCATCTCTGCAGTGAAGGAGGTGAGAGGAGACAGAGCAGAGGAGAGAGGAGGAGAGAGGAGGCTCACATCTTCATCTCTGCAGTGAAGGAGGTGAGAGGAGACAGAGCAGAGGAGAGAGGAGGAGAGAGGAGGCTGACATCTTCATCTCTGCAGTGAAGGAGGTGAGAGGAGACAGAGCAGAGGAGAGAGGAGGAGAGAGGAGGCTCACATCTTCATCTCTGCAGTGAAGGAGGTGAGAGGAGACAGAGCAGAGGAGAGAGGAGGAGAGAGGAGGCTCACATCTTCATCTCTGCAGTGAAGGAGGTGAGAGGAGACAGAGCAGAGGAGAGAGGAGGAGAGAGGAGGCTCACATCTTCATCTCTGCAGTGAAGGAGGTGAGAGGAGACAGAGCAGAGGAGAGAGGAGGAGAGAGGAGGCTCACATCTTCATCTCTGCAGTGAAGGAGGTGAGAGGAGACAGAGCAGAGGAGAGAGGAGGAGAGAGGAGGCTCACATCTTCATCTCTGCAGTGAAGGAGGTGAGAGGAGACAGAGTTCCTGAGGTGAGGATGATGCAGCGCACGCCCTGAGCCAGCAGCTCCTGCATACTGTAACCAGGGGAGAAACACCAGTAACTCAGCACGTTCCCTACAGAGAGAGAGAGAGGGGGGAGAAGGGGGAGAGAGGGGAGAGAGGGGGGGGGGGGGGGAGGGGGAGAGAGAGGGAGAGAGAGGGCTTTACAGGCGTGTTGGGAGGACCCGTGTCAACTCACATCACAGAGAAGACCGCAACGGGTCACAATAAAACAAACTTCACATTTTCAAAATACGTCAAAGTAAGAGACCAGAGAGGGAGACCAAAGCAAGCCCAGAGATAGAGAGACCAGAGAGAGACCAGAGAATGAGAGACCAGAGAGAGAGACCTTCCCTGAGCCTCAGATCTGACCTTGTTTCTTGGGCGCTGCAGAGTTCCACAGATCCTGAGTCTGTTTCTTCTTTTGGGACGAGTCCTGATGGATGTGGACCTGGAGACAGAGTAAAGACTCAGACCAGAGAGAGACCAGAGAGAGAGACCAGAGAGAGAGACCAGAGAGAGAGACCAGAGAGAGAGACCAGAGAGAGAGACCAGAGAGAGAGACCAGAGAGAGAGACCAGAGAGAGAGACCAGAGTGAGAGACCAGAGAGAGAGACCAGAGAGAGAGACCAGACAGAGACCAGAGAGAGACCTTAAAATGTGCCGTGTTGTTCTGCATCAGGAGCTGTTGGTCTTTCTCTGCAGGTTCACCACAAAACACCAGCTGTGAGAAAAACCAGGAGACGACATTATAAAAACACAAGGATCACTGGAGAATTAAAGCTGGGGTCCGTAACTTTCGTCTCATTAATCTAGTTTAAAGAGAGAGAGACCAGAGAGATAAAAGAGAGAGACCAGAGAGAGAGACCAGAGTGAGAGACCAGAGTGAGACCAGAGTGAGAGACCAGAGAGAGAGACCAGAGAGAGAGACCAGAGAGAGAGACCAGAGAGAGGCCAGAGAGAGAGACCAGAGAGAGAGACCAGAGAGAGAGACCAGAGAGAGAGACCAGAGAGAGAGACCAGAGAGAGACCAGAGAGAGAGACCAGAGTGAGACCAGAGAGAGACCAGAGAGAGAGACCAGAGAGAGACCAGAGAGAGACCAGAGAGAGAGACCAGAGAGAGAGACCAGAGAGAGAGACCAGAGAGAGACCAGAGAGAGGCCAGAGAGAGGCCAGAGAGAGACCAGAGAGAGACCAGAGAGAGACCAGAGAGAGGCCAGAGAGAGACCAGAGAGAGACCAGAGAGAGACCAGAGAGAGGCCAGAGAGAGTAGTAAAATAAACAGATTCTGACTCGGGTTAGATTCTTCTGTGTTTTTGTTACAGTTTAAATAAAGTTTCTTTGTTGGACTAAACAGAGTGTGGTGTAAAGTGTGAGAACCTGGATGATGTCGGCCAACTTCTGCAGACCTGTGGTGTTCAGGAACAGCCCCTGTTCTGTGGACCAGAGAGAGGCACAGTGAGAGAGACCAGAGAGAGGCACAGAGAGAGAGCCCAGAGAGAGGCACAGAGAGAGGCACAGTGAGAGAGACCAGAGAGAGGCACAGAGAGAGAGCCCAGAGAGAGGCACAGAGAGAGGCACAGTGAGAGAGACCAGAGAGAGCCCACAGTGAGAGAGCCCAGAGAGAGGCACAGTGAGAGAGACCAGAGAGAAGCACAGAGAGAGAGCCCAGAGAGAGGCACAGAGAGAGGCACAGTGAGAGAGACCAGAGAGAGGCACAGAGAGAGAGCCCAGAGAGAGGCACAGAGAGAGGCACAGAGAGAGAGACCAGAGAGAAGCACAGTGAGAGAGACCAGAGAGAGACCAGAGAGAGAGGCACAGTGAGAGAGACCAGAGAGAGGCACAGAGAGAGAGCCCAGAGAGAGGCACAGAGAGAGGCACAGTGAGAGAGACCAGAGAGAGGCACAGAGAGAGAGCCCAGAGAGAGGCACAGAGAGAGGCAGAGTGAGAGAGACCAGAGAGAGGCACAGTGAGAGAGACCAGAGAGAGACCAGAGAGAGAGACCAGAGAGAGACCAGAGAGAGACCAGAGAGAGAGACCAGAGAGAGAGACCAGAGAGAGACCAGAGAGAGACCAGAGAGAGGCACAGAGAGAGAGACCAGAGAGAGGCACAGAGAGAGAGCCATCAGCAGCTGTTTTTCTTTACTCAAATGGAATACACAGTAAGAGACAAGAGAGACCAGAGAGAGACCAGAGAGAGAGACCAGAGAGAGACCAGAGAGAGACCAGAGAGAGAGACCAGAGAGAGACCAGAGAGAGAGACCAGAGAGAGGCACAGAGAGAGAGACCAGAGAGAGGCACAGAGAGAGAGACCAGAGAGAGGCACAGAGAGAGAGACCAGAGAGAGGCACAGAGAGAGAGACCAGAGAGAGGCACAGAGAGAGAGCCATCAGCAGCTGTTTTTCTTTACTCAAATGGAATACACAGTAAGAGACAAGAGAGACCAGAGAGAGAGAGACTAGAAATCACAGAGAGACCAGAGAGAGAGATACCAGTGGGACCAGACCATGTACAGAAATCAAAACAAAACAATGAAAACTCTTTAATGCTTCTGGTGTCTCCTCGGTCTCAGTAGTGTCTCCTCGGTCTCAGTAGTCTCTCGGCCTCATGTAGTCTCTCAGCCTCAGTAGTCTCTCGGCCTCATGTAGTCTCTCGGTCTCATGTAGTCTCTCGGTCTCATGTAGTCTCTCGGCCTCATGTAGTCTCTCGGCCTCATGTAGTCTCTCGGCCTCAGTAGTCTCTCGGCCTCAGTAGTCTCTCGGTCTCATGTAGTCTCTCGGCCTCATGTAGTCTCTCGGCCTCATGTAGTCTCTCGGCCTCATGTAGTCTCTCGGTCTCATGTAGTCTCTCGGTCTCAAGTAGTCTCTCGGTCTCATGTAGTCTCTCGGTCTCATGTAGTCTCTCGGTCTCATGTAGTCTCTCGGTCTCATGTAGTCTCTCGGTCTCATGTAGTCTCTCGGTCTCATGTAGTCTCTCGGTCTCATGTAGTCTCTCGGTCTCATGTAGTCTCTCGGTCTCATGTAGTCTCTCGGTCTCAGTAGTCTCTCGGTCTCATCAGTCTCTTGGTCTCAGTCTCTTGGTCTCAGTCTCTTGGTCTCAGTCTCTTGGTCTCAGTCTCTTGGTCTCAGTCTCTTGGTCTCAGTCTCTTGGTCTCAGTAGTCTCTCGGTCTCAGTAGTCTCTCGGTCTCAGTAGTCTCTCGGTCTCAGTAGTCTCTCGGTCTCAGTAGTCTCTCGGTCTCAGTAGTCTCTCGGTCTCAGTAGTCTCTCGGTCTCAGTAGTCTCTCGGTCTCAGTAGAGTCTCGGTCTCAGTAGAGTCTCGGTCTCAGTATCGGGCCAGACTCACGGCCGCTCAGGTATCCAGTCATCTGATCCACAGCCTCCAGCACCACGGCCTTCGAGCGATACGTCAGGTGTGCTCTCTCCAGCAGCTCGTAGATGAAGCTGGAAACACATCTGTGTCATGGCCTCAGCCTTTCCCCGCCTCAGTCTCTCTCTCCGCCTCAGTCTCTCTCTCCGCCTCAGTCTCTCTCCCCGCCTCAGTCTCTCTCCCCGCCTCAGTCTCTCTCTCCGCCTCAGTCTCTCTCTCCGCCTCAGTCTCTCTCTCCGCCTCAGTCTCTCTCTCCGCCTCAGTCTCTCTCTCCGCCTCAGTCTCTCTCTCCGCCTCAGTCTCTCTCCCCGCCTCAGTCTCAGCCTTTCCCCGCCTCAGTCTCTCTCCCCGCCTCAGTCTCTCTCCCCGCCTCAGTCTCTCTCTCCGCCTCAGTCTCTCTCTCCGCCTCAGTCTCTCTCCCCGCCTCAGTCTCTCTCTCCGCCTCAGTCTCTCTCCCCGCCTCAGTCTCTCTCCCCGCCTCAGTCTCTCTCCCCGCCTCAGTCTCTCTCCCCGCCTCAGTCTCTCTCCCGCCTCAGTCTCTCTCCCCCTCAGTCTCTCTCCCCGCCTCAGTCTCTCTCCCCGCCTCAGTCTCTCTCCCCGCCTCAGTCTCTCTCCCCGCCTCAGTCTCTCTCCCCGCCTCAGTCTCTCTCCCCGCCTCAGTCTCTCTCCCCGCCTCAGCTCCCCGCTCAGTCTCTCTCCCCGCCTCAGTCTCTCTCCCCGCCTCAGTCTCTCTCCCCGCCTCAGTCTCTCTCCCCGCCTCAGTCTCTCTCCCCGCCTCAGTCTCTCTCCCCGCCTCAGTCTCTCTCCCCGCCTCAGTCTCTCTCCCCGCCTCAGTCTCTCTCTCCGCCTCAGTCTCTCTCCCCGCCTCAGTCTCTCTCCCCGCCTCAGTCTCTCTCTCCGCCTCAGTCTCTCTCCCCGCCTCAGTCTCTCTCCCCGCCTCAGTCTCTCTCCCCGCCTCAGTCTCTCTCCGCCTCAGCCTCTCCCCGCCTCAGTCTTATAACACTCACATGCCAGGTTTGGTGAGGCCCTTGTCTTTGGGGACCGGGAAGGAGTCTATGGTGGCCTCTAGGTCCAGAAGTATCTCTGCTCAGGAGACAAGACGGGGTTAGACCAGAGAGAGACCAGTGAGAGAGACCAGAGAGAGAGACCACAGAGAGACACCAGAGAGAGAGAGACCAGAGAGAGAGACCACAGAGAGAGACCAGTGAGAGAGACCAGAGAGAGAGAGAGAGACCAGTGAGAGACCACAGAGAGACACCAGTGAGAGAAACCAGAGAGAGAGAAATGAGAGAAACCAGAGAGTGGGACCAGAGAGAGAGACCAGATAGAGAGGGAGAGACCATAGTGTGAGAGACCAGAGAGAGAGACCATAAAGTAAGAGACTAGATAGGCACCAGAGAGAGAGAACATAGAAAGACCGGAGAGGGGCGAGAGAGAGAGACCATAGTGTCAAAGACCAGAGAGAGAGACCATAGAGAGAGACTAGAGAGAGAGACCAGAGAGAGACCAGAGAGAGACCATAGTGTCAAAGACCAGAGAGAGAGACCATAGAGAGAGACTAGAGAGAGAGACCAGAGAGAGACCAGAGAGAGACCATAGTGTCAAAGACCAGAGAGAGAGACCATAGAGAGAGACTAGAGAGAGAGACCAGAGAGAGACCATAGAGAGAGAGAGAGACCATAGAGAGAGACCAGAGAGAGACAGAGACCATAGAGAGAGACCAGAGAGAGACCAGCTGCAGTTGGAGATAGAACCAGTCTCACGTTTGACTTTGGCCATGGTCTCGATGTCCACTTTCAGTCCTGCTGAAGACCAAAGTCAGAGGATACGTCATCATGTAACGAGTTTGTAAAGAGATCATTTGAACAGAGGGGATGGGGGGACGCGGCCTCACCTGGTCCCAGAGAGTCTGCACTGAAGCTGTCGGCGAGACCCTCCTTCAGGTCTTTGGCCTGGTCTGACAGGAGCCGGTCCACAGCTGTGATCGCAGACGCCACGTCAAACGGCGTCAGATCGAAGGACGTGGACTCTTCACACGTGCGCTCCTGAAGCAGACGCTAAAGCTCAGGTCTGTAACTTTAGTCTCATCAATAACACATGTTTAAAGCTCAGGTCTGTAACTTTAGTCTCATCAATAACACATGTTTAAAGCTCAGGTCTGTAACTTTAGTCTCATCAATAACACATGTTTAAAGCTCAGGTCTGTAACTTTAGCCTCATCAATAACACATGTTTAAAGCTCAGGTCTGTAACTTTAGTCTCATCAATAACACATGTTTAAAGCTCAGGTCTGTAACTTTAGTCTCATCAATAACACATGTTTAAAGCTCAGGTCTCTAACTTTAGTCTCATCAATGACACATGTTTAAATCTCAGGTCTGTAACTTTAGTCTTCAGTTCCTTGTTACCATGGCGGCGCATGAACATGCTGCGGCTTCTTTCTCTCTTGACAAGGTGACGTTTCTTCCCTTTTCTGCAAACTGCATTTGCAGTTTTTGTGATCCGCATTGTTTTGCAAGATGTTGTTGTACATCTTTGTCATGTTTTTGTGGAGTTCAGCGGATGTTTTACTGCCAAAGCTCTATGCTAGCAATGAACAGAGGATGTGTTTTTAAAAGTATATACACAGTTAGCATCTGAGCTAAAGGCTTTTTGAGCAGTATTTAAGACCTACAAATCCAGAGATATCATCTTCTGAAGCGCTGACAGGTCACTGAGGGCCCCACGCATCTGCAGCGCAGTGGAGGCGTCACAAGAGGCGCATCGTGAGAGCAGCAGAGAAGATCTGTGGAGCCCCTCTCCCCACCATTAAGGACATGTACTCCACCCGTCTCACCCGCAAAGCCGTCAGAATCACCAGGGACCCTACGCACCCATCACACAGGCTCTTCAGGGTAATGCCTTCAGGGAGGAGACTGCAGAATTTACGGAACAGTTCCAGTCGACTTAAAAACAGTTTCATTCACAAGGCCATCAGGAAGCTGAACTCCCTGCCCTCCCCCCCACCCCCCGCTCCACAATCAAGGATGAGAGAAATATAATTTCACAACCATTCACGTGGTTTGACAAATAAAAAAAAATCTTGAAAAAAATCTTGAATCTTGAATCTAGTCCAGAGACAGAGACCAGGTCCGGAGAGGACTTTAGAGACCTGAGACCAGTATTAATGTGAGAAAGGAGAGAGACCAGAGACCACAGAGAGATTCTGCTTCTGTGTCTTACCACATTGTGAGCCTCGTCAAAAATCACCACCGCTTTACTCAGTTCAATGTTGTGGGCTCTGCGGCTCTGAAAGACAAACGTGAGAAACCAGAGGTGAAGACCAGCGAGAGAGACCAGCGAGAGACCAGAGGAACCGGAGAGAGAGAGAGACCAGAGAGAAGAACCAGAGATTGACTAGAAAGAAACCCGAGAGAAAGATACCAAGTCTCCAGGTCCTGAGAGGACTTCAGAGACCTGACCAGGACTAATGTGAGAGAGGAGAGAGACCAGAGGGGGACACCAGAGAGAGAGAGAGAGAGAGACCAGAAAGAGAGACCAGAGAGTGAAACCAGAAAGATAGAACAGAAAGTGCTGCATTTGACCCCATCCACCTTCCGAACACTCCTCCCTGTCCCATGTTGGATGCCTCAGCTCCTCCAGAGGAACCATGGGCCTCTTGTCTGCATCTGTGAGTGACACTGAGTGAAGAGAGAGGTTCTGTACCTTTGGGTCCAGCAGGTAGTTGTAAGGCATGAAGATGATGTCCGCCTGCTGCTTCAGGGACCGGGACAGGTAGTACGGACACACACTGAGGAGACAGGTTACCATGGTTACTCTGTATACACGTCTCAGAATACGCATCTCTGTATACATGTCTCTGTATACATGTCTCTGTATACATGTCTCTGTATACATGTCTCAGTATACATGTCTCTGTATACGCGTCTCACCGCTGCTTGGTCCCGTACTTCACTAGATCCTCCACGTCCAGGATGGAGTTGACCAGATCTCGGTCGGTGCTTTTCTCTGTGAAAATACATAGAACCTGATTATAATAATAATAATAATAAAAAAAATAATATTGAAAAAAAACCACATAATTAATAAAAGTGGATCTGTCTGAGGAGATCCGCACCTTCTACGTTGTTGTAAAACTGACAGGAGCGAGTGGAGACTTTGGCGCGGCACATGTGGACCTGGAAACACATACATGACTTTACCATGACCAACTCACTGACGCCCCCTGGTGTTTGGGCACATGACCAGAACAAGCACGAAAGCTGAGATAAGGACATGTCCCCTTGAAATAAGGGGACACCTTGTTCCCCTGTCATCCTATAGAAAATAACCAGGCCTCACCTTGCTCCCCTGTCATCCTATAGTAAATAACCAGGCCTCACCTTGTTCCCCTGTCATCCTATAGTAAATAACCAGGCCTCACCTTGTTCCCCTGTCATCCTATAGTAAATAACCAGGCCTCACCTTGTTCCCCTGTCATCCTATAGTAAATAACCAGGCCTCACCTTGTTCCCCTGTCATCCTATAGTAAATAACCAGGCCTCACCTTGTTCCCCTGTCATCCTATAGTAAATAACCAGGCCTCACCTTGTCCCCCTGTCATCCTATAGTAAATAACCAGGCCTCACCTTGCTCCCCTGTCATCCTATAGTAAATAACCAGGCCTCACCTTGTTCCCCTGTCATCCTAGAGTAAATAACCAGGCCTCACCTTGTTCCCCTGTCATCCTATAGTAAATAACCAGGCCTCACCTTGTTCCCCTGTCATCCTATAGTAAATAACCAGGCCTTACCTTGCTCCCCTGTCATCCTATAGTAAATAACCAGGCCTTACCTTGCTCCCCTGTCATCCTAGAGTAAATAACCAGGCCTCACCTTGTTCCCCTGTCATCCTATAGTAAATAACCAGGCCTCACCTTGTTCCCCTGTCATCCTATAGTAAATAACCAGGCCTTACCTTGCTCCCCTGTCATCCTATAGTAAATAACCAGGCCTTACCTTGTTCCCCTGTCATCCTAGAGTAAATAACCAGGCCTCACCTTGTTCCCCTGTCATCCTATAGAAAATAACCAGGCCTCACCTTGCTCCCCTGTCATCCTATAGTAAATAACCAGGCCTTACCTTGTTCCCCTGTCATCCTAGAGTAAATAACCAGGCCTCACCTTGTTCCCCTGTCATCCTATAGAAAATAACCAGGCCTCACCTTGTTCCCCTGTCATCCTATAGAAAATAACCAGGCCTCACCTTGCTCCCCTGTCATCCTATAGTAAATATCCAAGCCTCACCTTGCTCCCCTGTCATCCTATAGAAAATAACCAGGCCTCACCTTGGCGTGGTTGCTCTCCTGCCTCATCACTTCCTGGTTCACACACAGCTGCTCTCTGGATCCCAGCACACACACCTTGGGCCTGAGGGAGATCAGAGGTGCTTTGCTCAAGGGCAGTGCTCACATGGTGCGTCCCTCACCGCAGCAGGGTCCCTGTACTCACCGGTACGAGGTGTTCTTCAGCTCTCCGATGACCTGAGCCAGCTGAGAGTGTGTGCGCGACGCGTAGATGATCTTAGGGATGTCTGTGTAGTACGCTGAGGAGGGAGGACCAGAAATGCACCGTTTATGGTACGGTACTTTAGGCCAGTGGTACCAACCTCTTAATACAAGTTCCCCTCCCTCCCTCTGGTGTCTCTCCCTCTGGTCTCTCTCCCTCTCTGGTCTCTCTCCCTCTCTAGTCTCTCTCCCTCTCTAGTCTCTCTCCCTCTCTAGTCTCTCTCCCTCTCTAGTCTCTCTCCCTCTCTAGTCTCTCTCCCTCTCTAGTCTCTCTCCCTCTCTAGTCTCTCTCCCTCTCTAGTCTCTCTCCCTCTCTAGTCTCTCTCCCTCTCTGGTCCCTCTCTCTGGTCCCTCTCCCTCTGGTCCCTCTCCCTCTGGTCTCTCTCCCTCTCTGGTCTCTCTCCCTCTCTGGTCTCTCTCCCTCTCTGGTCTCTCTCCCTCTCTGGTCTCTCTCCCTCTCTGGTCTCTCTCCCTCTCTGGTCTCTCTCCCTCTCTGGTCTCTCTCCCTCTCTGGTCTCTCTCCCTCTCTGGTCTCTCTCCCTCTCTGGTCTCTCTCCCTCTCTGGCCTCTCTCCCTCTCTGGCCTCTCTCCCTCTCTGGCCTCTCTCCCTCTCTGGTCTCTCTCCCTCTCTGGTCTCTCTCCCTCTCTGGTCTCTCTCCCTCTCTGGTCTCTCTCCCTCTCTGGTCTCTCTCCCTCTCTGGTCTCTCTCCCTCTCTGGTCTCTCTCCCTCTCTGGTCTCTCTCCCTCTCTGGTCTCTCTCCCTCTCTGGTCTCTCTCCCTCTCTGGTCTCTCTCCCTCTCTGGTCTCCCTCTCCCTCTCTGGTCTCTCTCCCTCTCTGGTCTCTCTCCCTCTCTGGTCTCTCTCCCTCTCTGGTCTCTCTCCCTCTCTGGTCTCTCTCCCTCTCTGGTCTCTCTCCCTCTCTGGCCTCTCTCCCTCTCTGGCCTCTCTCCCTCTCTGGCCTCTCTCCCTCTCTGGCCTCTCTCCCTCTCTGGCCTCTCTCCCTCTCTGGTCTCTCTCCCTCTCTGGTCTCTCTCCCTCTCTGGTCTCTCTCCCTCTCTGGTCTCTCTCCCTCTCTGGTCTCTCTCCCTCTCTGGTCTCTCTCCCTCTCTGGTCTCTCTCCCTCTCTCTGGTCTCTCTCCCTCTCTGGTCTCTCTCCCTCTCTGGTCTCTCTCCCTCTCTGGTCTCTCTCCCTCTCTGGTCTCTCTCCCTCTCTGGTCTCTCTCCCTCTCTGGTCTCTCTCCCTCTCTGGTCTCTCTCCCTCTCTGGTCTCTCTCCCTCTCTGGTCTCTCTCCCTCTCTGGTCTCTCTCCCTCTCTGGTCTCTCTCCCTCTCTGGTCTCTCTCCCTCTCTGGTCTCTCTCCCTCTCTGGTCTCTCTCCCTCTCTGGTCTCTCTCCCTCTCTGGTCTCTCTCCCTCTCTGGTCTCTCTCCCTCTCTGGTCTCTCTCCCCTCTCTGGTCTCTCTCTCCCTCTCTGGTCTCTCTCCCTCTCTGGTCTCTCTCCCTCTCTGGTCTCTCTCCCTCTCTGGTCTCTCTCCCTCTCTGGTCTCTCTCCCTCCCTCTCTGGTCCCTCTCTCTCTGGTCTCTCTCTCTCTGGTCTCTCTCCCTCTGGTCTCTCTCTCTCTGGTCTCTCTCCCTCTGGTCTCTCTCTCTCTGGTCTCTCTCCCTCTTGTCCCGCTCTCTCTCTGGTCCCGCTCTCTCTCTGGTCCCTCTCTCTGGTCTCTCACTTGTAGAGTCTCCGTCTGTAGCAGCGGTCCCCCAGGTCTTCATGGTATCTGGGAACAGTTCCTCTCCCTTCAGTCGCTCTGAGATCTTTCTGGCGCTGATGGTGTCTTTGAAGTTGTCTCTCCATCCGAGCGCAGCACAGAGCAGACACAGGGTCTTACCAGTACCAGTGGGAGACTCCAGCACACCATTCTGCTTCTGCAACAGACACCAGGCATGTATGTGTCTGTCCACATGGTCTCTCTGTGTCATCTATGAGTGTGTCCACATGGTCTCTGTGTCATCTATGTGTGTGTCCACATGGTCTCTGTGTCATGGATGTGTTTGTCCACATGGTCTCATATGGTCTCTGTGGCTGGTGTGGTCAGACGCAAAACTCAATGTCCAGAATCACTCTCTCTCTCTCTGGTGTCTCGTCTCTGGTGTCTCGTCACAGGCCTCACCTTGTTCCCCTGTCATCCTAGAGTAAATAACCTGGTGTCTCGTCTCTGGTGTCTCGTCTCTGGTGTCTCGTCTCTGGTGTCTCGTCTCTGGTGTCTCGTCTCTGGTGTCTCGTCTCTGGTGTCTCGTCTCTGGTGTCTCGTCTCTGGTGTCTCGTCTCTAGTCCCTCGTCACTCTCGCTCTCTGGTCGCTCTCTGGTGTGATTAAGACAGTATGTTGTGTCTGATTTGTTGACAACACTGTACTGTTAAAACTAACTATGAAGTCACGTCCCCCAGCTTTAAAGTCACGTCCCTGAGCTTTAAAGTCACGTCCCTGAGCTTTAAAGTCAGGTCCCTCAGCTTTAAAGTCAGGTCCCCCAGCTTTAAAGTCAGGTCCCTCAGCTTTAAAGTCACGTCCCTGAGCTTTAAAGTCAGGTCCCTCAGCTTTAAAGTCAGGTCCCCCAGCTTTAAAGTCAGGTCCCTCAGCTTTAAAGTCACGTCCCTGAGCTTTAAAGTCACGTCCCTGAGCTTTAAAGTCACGTCCCTGAGCTTTAAAGTCACGTCCCCCAGCTTTAAAGTCACGTCCCTGAGCTTTAAAGTCACGTCCCTGAGCTTTAAAGTCACGTCCCCAGCTTTAAAGTCACGTCCCTGAGCTTTAAAGTCACGTCCCCAGCTTTAAAGTCACGTCCCTGAGCTTTAAAGTCACGTCCCCAGCTTTAAAGTCACGTCCCCCAGCTTTAAAGTCACGTCCCTGAGCTTTAAAGTCACGTCCCTGAGCTTTAAAGTCACGTCCCCAGCTTTAAAGTCACGTCCCCGAGCTTTAAAGTCACGTCCCTGAGCTTTAAAGTCACGTCCCCCAGCTTTAAAGTCACGTCCCCCAGCTTTAAAGTCACGTCCCTGAGCTTTAAAGTCACGTCCCTGAGCTTTAAAGTCACGTCCCCACGTCCCCAGCTTTAAAGTCACGTCCCTGAGCTTTAAAGTCACGTCCCTGAGCTTTAAAGTCACGTCCCCCAGCTTTAAAGTCACGTCCCTGAGCTTTAAAGTCACGTCCCTGAGCTTTAAAGTCACGTCCCCCAGCTTTAAAGTCACGTCCCTGAGCTTTAAAGTCACGTCCCCGAGCTTTAAAGTCACGTCCCCAGCTTTAAAGTCACGTCCCCCAGCTTTAAAGTCACGTCCCCCAGCTTTAAAGTCACGTCCCTGAGCTTTAAAGTCACGTCCCTGAGCTTTAAAGTCACGTCCCCCAGCTTTAAAAGTCACGTCCCTGAGCTTTAAAGTCACGTCCCTGAGCTTTAAAGTCACGTCCCCAGCTTTAAAGTCACGTCCCTGAGCTTTAAAGTCACGTCCCTGAGCTTTAAAGTCACGTCCCCAGCTTTAAAGTCACGTCCCCAGCTTTAAAGTCACGTCCCCAGCTTTAAAGTCACGTCCCTGAGCTTTAAAGTCACGTCCCCAGCTTTAAAGTCACGTCCCTGAGCTTTAAAGTCACGTCCCTGAGCTTTAAAGTCACGTCCCTCAGCTTTAAAGTCACGTCCCCCAGCTTTAAAGTCACGTCCCTGAGCTTTAAAGTCACGCCCCCCAGCTTTAAAGTCACGTCCCCCAGCTTTAAAGTCACGTCCCCAGCTTTAAAAGTCACGTCCCTGAGCTTTAAAGTCACGTCCCTGAGCTTTAAAGTCACGTCCCCAGCTTTAAAGTCACGTCCCTGAGCTTTAAAGTCACGTCCCTGAGCTTTAAAGTCACGTCCCTCCAGCTTTAAAGTCACGTTTAAAGTCACGTCCCCAGCTTTAAAGTCACGTCCCTGAGCTTTAAAGTCACGCCCCCCAGCTTTAAAGTCACGTCCCTGAGCTTTAACAGTGCTGTGTTTGCCTCCGGGACAGACCTTCTGCAGACACTCGATCACTCGGTTCATGTAGTCCCGCTGACAGTCGTACGGAGCGAAGGGGAACCGCACCGTGACCCCGAGGATACTGAGCTCCGTCATGCCGACAGGTGAGCGAGGGAGCCCGGGGAGAGCAGAGGAGCCGTCACGGTCCCAGAGGCCGTTTCTACCGCGGAGGAACCATCACAAACCTCTCACATGCGGCAAAGTCGCGGCTTTTCCGTGTTTGGTTTAGTACGCATGCGCAGTAGCTCCTCCCGGCTGCGTCCGAAATCAGAAGAAACGAGGGTTGCATCCAAATTCATTAAAACTACTTCCTTATCATTTTTTTTATTCACTTTTTTGGCGTAAATTGAGACAAAAGTGGCACATTTTAAATACATTTTAAATGCTATGAACCAAACCAGCAGCTCACGTCATAAAAAGTCAATTTTAAAGAACACAAAAGGAGGTATTTTAGTTGATTTCGGATGTAATTATCTACCCTTTATTTATTAACCTGTGTGGGGCTGCACATCCCTCCTCCACACTCTCCTCCTGCCAGTACCAGGTCCTTCTTTAGTCCCTCTTGGTCCTGGTTCTATCCAGGCCGAGCTGGTACTAGAGTGTTTGAACTGAATGCTGCTGGAAACCATGGTTACCCCCAGACACTTGTTATGGGTAGGTTGCTAGGATACAGTACCAGATTCTAAAGTGCAACAATAACACAACCAGGAAGAGTAGCGTTGAAAGCACTGCTAACCACTACACACCTGTATACAATAACTTAGAAGCACTGCTAACCACTACACACCTGTATACAATAACTTAGAAGCACTGCTAACCACTACACAGCTTTGTTTTATTCTATATATTTGTCTGATGCACAGAACATACTTTTGTACATGTTTTCCAATGTGATTTTACTGCAAATAAAATTAATCTGAATGTGTATATATGAATTTAGAAGCACTGCTAACCACTTAACCGCTGTAATTATGTTTAAATCAAAGTGAGACTGGGGCACAGTATAATACTCTTTAATAAACACGTATAAATCTGGGGTCACTGGTCTTTGGTCGGGAGCACGATGGCGTTTGGGTCGTAGTAGTTTTCTCCGATCAGAGGAAGACCGTCTCTCTCTCTCTGCACCAACACACGCTCTGCCTCCCGCCGCGCCCACTGCCGCATCCTGAGAGCACAGAGACAGGTTACACACATGGTCCCCCTCTCTGGTCCCTCTCTGGTCCCTCTCTGGTCCCTCTCACACTCTGGTCCCTCTCACACTCTGGTCACTCTCTCTCTCTGGTCACTCACTCTCTCTCTCTCTGGTCACTCACTCTCTCTCTCTCTGGTCACTCACTCTCTCTGGTCACTCTCTCTCTCTGGTCACTCTCTCTCTCTGGTCACTCTCTCTCTCTGGTCACTCTCTCTCTCTGGTCTCTCTCTCTCTCTGGTCACTCTCTCTCTCTCTCTCTGGTCACTCTCTCTCTCTGGTCACTCTCTCTCTCTGGTCACTCTCTCTCTCTGGTCACTCTCTCTCTCTGGTCACTCTCTCTCTCTGGTCACTCTCTCTCTCTCTCTGGTCACTCTCTCTCTCTCTCTCTGGTCACTCTCTCTCTCTGGTCACTCTCTCTCTCTCTCTGGTCACTCTCTCTCTCTCTCTGGTCACTCTCTCTCTCTGGTCACTCTCTCTCTCTCTCTCTCTGGTCACTCTCTCTCTCTCTCTGGTCACTCACTCTCTCTGGTCACTCTCTCTCTCTGGTCACTCTCTCTCTCTGGTCACTCTCTCTCTGGTCACTCTCTCTCTCTGGTCACTCTCTCTCTCTCTCTCTGGTCTCTCTCTCTCTCTCTGGTCACTCTCTCTCTCTCTCTCCCTCTCTGGTTACTCTCTCTCTCTCTCACTCTCTCTGGTCACTCTCTCTCTCTGGTCACTCTCTCTCTCTCTGGTCACTCACTCTCTCTCTCTGGTCACTCTCTCTCTCTCTCTCTCTCTCTGGTCACTCTCTCTCTCTCTCTCTGGTCACTCTCTCTCTCTGGTCACTCTCTCTCTCTCTCTCTGGTCACTCTCTCTCTCTGGTCACTCTCTCTCTCTCTCTCTGGTCACTCTCTCTCTCTCTCTCTGGTCACTCTCTCTCTCTGGTCACTCTCTCTCTCTCTCTCTGGTCACTCTCTCTCTCTCTCTCTGGTCACTCTCTCTCTCTGGTCACTCTCTCTCTCTCTCTCTGGTCACTCTCTCTCTCTCTCTCTGTCACTCTCTCTCTCTGGTCTCGTACCCATGGTCTGGTAGGTAGTGGATGAAGGTCCCTCCGATCACCAAGGCGACAGAGATGCCGAAGAAGAAGCCGATCCTCATGTTCCATTCGTCGACCACTGGATCCGCAGAGAAGCCGTGATAATCCGGGTTCTGCAAACACATCCAGGTCACCACAATTAGATGGTCATTGCTAACCTGCTAGCTCAATGCTAATCCGCTAGCTCAATAGGGAAGTGCTCATAGTGAAGTTTGGCTCCTCTCTCTGGCTCTTATTGACTTCCATGTAAGTAAACTCTAACTCAGTAACAGTTTGTCACACTCAAAAATTTGGGATTAGAGACCAGAGAGACCCCAGAGGGATACCAGAGAGGGAGAGACCAGAGAGGGAGAGACCAGAGAGAGAGAGACCCCAGAGGGAGACCAGAGGGAGAGACCCCAGAGGGAGACTAGAGAGGGAGAGACCAGAGAGGGAGAGACCAGAGAGAGAGAGACCCCAGAGGGAGACCAGAGGGAGAGACCCCAGAGGGAGACTAGAGAGGGAGAGACCAGAGAGGGAGAGACCAGAGAGAGAGACCCCAGAGGGAGACTAGAAAGGGAGAGACCAGAGAGGGAGAGAGGGAGACCAGAGAGAGAGAGACCAGAGAGGGAGACCAGAGAGGGAGAGACCAGAGAGGGAGACCAGAGAGGGAGAGACCAGAGAGAGAGACCCCAGAGGGAGACCAGAGAGAGAGAGATCAGAGAGGGAGACCAGAGAGGGAGAGACCAGAGAGAGAGACCCCAGAGGGAGACCAGAGAGAGAGAGACCAGAGAGGGAGACCAGAGAGGGAGAGACCAGAGAGAGAGAACCCAGAGAGAGACCAGAGAGGGAGACCAGAGAGAGAGACCAGAGAGGGAGAGACCAGAGAGAGAGAGACCAGAGAGGGAGAGACCAAAGAGGGAGAGACCAGAGAGGGAGACCAGAGAGAGAGACCAGAGAGAGAGACCAGAGAGAGAGACCAGAGAGAGAGACCAGAGAGGGAGACCAGAGAGAGAGACCAGAGAGGGAGAGACCAGAGAGAGAGACCAGAGAGAGAGACCAGAGAGAGAGACCAGAGAGAGAGACCAGAGAGAGAGACCAGAGAGGGAGACCAGAGGGAGAGACCAGAGAGAGAGACCAGAGAGAGAGACCAGAGAGAGAGACCAGAGAGACCCCAAAGGGAGAGGGTGGCCAGGGAGAGATCAGAGAGACCAGAAGGAGAGAGACAATAAAGTATAACTTAACTACACAACCCCCTTTCAAATCATGTACGTGCCTAGCCCCCATCTCCATCTGTCAATCAGCCACTCCAGTGAAGTGTGGTGGATCAGACTTAGACAGAAGTGTGTACAGTGTGTCCACAAACAGGTCCGGACGTAGAAGAAGCCGATTAGAGCCAACTCAGACTGACCCCGTGAGGATAAGAACGCAAATTCATGTGTAGTAACGACATAGTAACCACAGAGCCAATCAGGAGCGGCGTTGAAGATACATTTGGCGTCAGAACGCTCCTGATTGGTCAGATTAAAGGGCTCATGTCTGAATTAAAAATAACAATATCACGATGTAAACAATGGGAACGCAGAGAGCGATAAACCACGGATTTTTCAGCCCAGAATGGTGAGTGTGACACAAACAGGTAATGAGCTGGAGGAATTTACTTTAACGTGGAAGTCAGTGAGAGCGAGGTCCATCTGCAGAAAGACTGGGTCCGGACTGAAGCCCTGGTCTGGTTGGCTCTGGACCGTGGACCTGCTCTGGACCATGGACCTGCTCTGGACCATAGCCCGGGTCTGGACCATAGCCCGGGTCTGGACCATAGCCCGGGTCTGGACCATAGCCCGGGTCTGGACCATAGCCCGGGTCTGGACCATGGGCTCTGGACTCACCTTGGTGTACTGGCTGACCTCCCCGTGCTCCACGCTGGCCGGGGGAGCATGAGCCTCTGTGGCCGCCGCAGAGGTCGCTCCGTTGGGTCTGGACTGGGATACGGGCCGGGTATGTGCAGGGGCCAGGACCCGGGTCTGAGGGGCCAGGATCCGGGCCAGAGCGGGCCGAACGCGGCTCACCCGGGACAACATGGCGTCTGTGTTTGGAACCGAGGCTCTCCTTCTGCTGAGACTTCTGCAGGCTGTGAGCAGTGGGACGTGAGGCTGCCCCCTATCGGTGAAAGGCGTCACTACTGTCAGTGTCAGCAACAGACTAAAAATACTCCATGTTCCTGGCTCTAAAATAGTTTTTTCCCCCTTATTGCTGCCCCATTAAATTTATATATATATATATATAATTATATGAAACCATGAGTTAACATAAGTGTGTAATGTGCATTAAAAATCCCTGAAAAAGTGCTCACCCGGTGCTCCGAGTGGCGCTCCTCCTTCAGTCCTGCCGGCTTATGTTTGTGTTTTATTTATTTTATTTAGAAACAGTTTGTTTCAATCAAAACTTTTCAGTCCTCTGTCACATCCTTGGTTTGTCTTAGGTCTCTCTCTGGTCTTTTCCTCCACTTGAAATCGATAACTATAACTTGTCCTGGTTCATTATGTCAGTGTTTTTCAACCACTGTGCCGCGGCACACTAGTGTGCCGTATGATATTGTCTGGTGTGCCGTGAGAAATTCGTCTACTTTGTCTAAAAATAACTGCATTCGCTGTTGACGAGCGGTGACTTGTTTTGAACTGTGGAGTAACCATGTAATACTTTTTCAAATCAGTAGATGGCAGCAGATAGCTAAGTACTTTGAAACTGAAAAATTGGATGCGACCACTGACAGCCAGTGGTCGCATCCAATTTTTCAGTTTCAGGTCAGCATTGTGGCGAGAAAGGTTTTAAAATTGGATGCGACCAACAAATGTGGGAGGGAGCGAGACAAGAGCTTTTTGTGCGAGTGAGAAGTGAAAGTGATAGAGACGTTTTTGAAAATGAAATTATGCCGTTTTCTGAACAGGATTAACATCCTCCGCTCTGCCCCGGGGCAGCTGACCAACAAATGTCCCTCATCCAAAACTCCTGAATTTAAAGCTCGGATACCTAAATTTTTCCCATGCACTAACAATGCATGTTCTTTGTGTGAGTTATTATTTGACTATGGGCAGAGAGTGGATTTTCTTTTATTTTTCTTTTATTTTTTTCCACACAGTTAGTGCCACTTTATTCCCAAACTCTTGTTAATTGTATCGAGAAATATTAAATAAAGCTTAATGTCAAGGCCTGGACTTAAGCATTTTGATGAGAATAACTGTATATTGTGAATATAGGCTACAGAGTATACAGTATACATTATAAGATAAGATAAGATATACTTTATATATCACACAGAGTATGTACAGTATATATTTTTAAATTAGTACTGTATACATTTTTACATTTTCTCCTGGAGGTGTGCCGCAAGATTTTTTTCAGTGAAAAAGTGTGCCTTGGCTCAAAAAAGGTTGAAAAACACTGCATTATGTAACAAAACGTGAAAAAGTGTTTATACTTCCTGGTTTGACTTTACGCTGGCCCCGCCCCCTGTCAATCACGCAGCCTCAGTAAGTAAACAGTAAACCACAGATTCTGCATCAACATGATTTTAATAGTGGTTAAATAAATATCGCTGATACAAGAAACACATGAAAAACATGACATAAGGTGCTGAACGAGGCCGAGGCCAAAGCGTGGGCAGACCGAGGTCTCTGAGGTCTCTCTCTCTGGTCTCTCTCTGGTCTCTCTCGGTCTGAAAGCTGGGGTGTGTGACATTGTGCTAGTGACTAACATTTGTGCGTGTGCTCACTGCAGTGCGTACTCCGTACTCCAGACTCTACATTCAGAGGAGACCCGCAGTACTGCAGCCTTAACCCTCAGCTTCCACTCTGTGATCCTGTGACCTCTGGCCTCTCTCTCTCTGGCCTCTCTCTCTCTCTCTCTCTCTCTCCTCTCTCTCTCTCTCTGGCCTCTCTCTCTCTGGCCTCTCTCTCTCTCTCTCTCTCTCTGGCCTCTCTCTCTCTCTCTCTCTCTCTGGCCTCTCTCTCTCTCTCTGGCCTCTCTCTCTCTCTCTCTGGCCTCTCTCTCTCTCTCTCTGGCCTCTCTCTCTCTCTCTCTGGCCTCTCTCTCTCTCTCTCTCTCTCTCTCTCTCTCTGGCCTCTCTCTCTCTCTCTCTCTCTCTCTCTGGCCCCTCTCTCTCTCTGGTTTCTCATTTAAATGTAAGCTTGTCTTTGGTTCTACGGTCGTGGCCGTGTCTTCAGAGTACAGCCTGCAGGACCTATGGGACCTCTAACCTCTGGAACCTCTGGGACCTCTGGGACCTCTGGGACCTCTGGGACCTCTGACCACGGTGGCCTCGGCCTCTTGTGATTCTAAGCGGTGTTTTTGGCCTCAGCAGAAGATCCCTGAAGAATGCAGAAGCCCCTTTGGTCCCAGCGCGGGTTCAAGAGGAATGCTGGTGTCGTGGAAGAGTCCAAGAGGAAGAGGCCGCATCCAGATGCCACCCACACCTCCTCCTCCATCCTCCTCATCATCATTAGCCTCCCTCCGACCGCAGAGAGAGCAGAGATACCAGAGAGAGACCAGAGAGAGACCAGAGAGAGACCAGAGAGAGACCAGAGAGAGAGACCAGAGAGATACCAGAGAGAGGGACCAGCAAGAGACAAGAGAGCGAGACCAGAGAGAGACCAGAAAGAGAGCAGAGAGAGACCAGAGAGAAAGCGGAGAGACCAGAGAGAGACCGCGGAGAGACCAGAGAGAGACCAGTGAGAGACCAGAGAGAGACCAGTGAGAGACCAGTGAGAGACCAGTGAGAGACCAGAGAGAGACCAGTGAGAGACCAGAGAGAGACCAGTGAGAGACCAGAGAGAGACCAGTGAGAGACCAGAGAGAGACCAGTGAGAGACCAGAGAGAGACCAGTGAGAGACCAGAGAGAGACCAGTGAGAGACCAGAGAGAGACCAGAGAGAGACCAGTGAGAGACCAGAGAGAGACCAGTGAGAGACCAGAGAGAGACCAGAGAGAGACCAGTGAGAGACCAGAGAGAGACCAGTGAGAGACCAGTGAGAGACCAGAGAGAGACCAGTGAGAGACCAGTGAGAGACCAGTGAGAGACCAGTGAGAGACCAGTGAGAGACCAGTGAGAGACCAGTGAGAGACCAGAGAGAGAGACAAGACAAAGAAAGACCAGAGAGAGAGACCATATGATGAGGGAGTTTACACCCTAAAGTGTCTGGGAAAGGATGTCTGAAGGAGGAGGAGGTGTTCTGGAGGAGGACACAGCAGCAGCAGCAGCAGGAGTAACAGCAGGTCCTGCATCAGAAGCAGGTCCTGGACCAGAAGCAGGTCCTGGACCAGCCTCATCTCTTGCTGGACTTCATGTAGGAGGGGATGGCTCCTCTGGCCGTCAGACCCTCAAAGCGTTTGTACGTGTAGTTGATGAAGACCCAGTCCTTGTTCTTCAGCTCCGTCTCCGTCTGGTTCGACACAGACGTGGCTGCAACACAGGGACCAGTTAAAGCTGGGGGACGTAACATTCAGACCACACCATCAAACCTCGGTATTAAACCCATGTCTCTGTCTCTAGATTCATGTGTTTCTGTCTCTGTCACATCTTTAGATCAAAGCGAGGACCACCCTCTCTCAGCCAATCGGCTCTCAGCCAATCACACACAGGGATTTGTCTGATACTAAAGATAACATGTTTAATGCATGTTGTGGTTCGTATTCAACATGCTCTCACCTGGTCTCTCACCTGGTCTCTCACCTGGTGTCTCACCTGGTATCTCACCTGGTCTCTCACCTGGTCTCTCACCTGGTCTCTCACCTGGTCTCTCACCTGGTCTCTCACCTGGTCTCTCACCTGGATGGAGGATGTCAGAGTCTGGGAACTCATCGAAGTGTGAGGTGTCGTCGATGCTCTTGATCTCGATGGGGATGGCAGCTGGACGCTCTCTGTGACACAAGGAGAACATGCAAACTGTTACCACACACACATGGTCTGTGTTAGCAATGCTTCTAATCAAAGAGAGCTGACCTGATGTGGTCGTAGTCCACGCCCTCGAAGAAGGCGTTGGTCTTTATCTCGTCGACTCCAACTGCTCCGACTCGGTGCTCCTCCTCACAGCAGAATCTAAACATTACACACACTGTTACTGCAGCCCTCTACAGGCCACGCACTGTTACTGCAGCCCTCTACAGGCCCCACACTGTTACTGCAGCCCTCTACAGGCCACACACTGTTACTGCAGCCCTCTACAGGTCACACACTGTTACTGCAGCCCTCTACAGGCCCCACACTGTTACTGCAGCCCTCTACAGGCCACACACTGTTACTGCAGCCCTCTACAGGCCACACACTGTTACTGCAGCCCTCTACAGGCCACACACTGTTACTGCAGCCCTCTACAGGCCACACACTGTTACTGCAGCCCTCTACAGGCCACACACTGTTACTGCAGCCCTCTACAGGCCACACACTGTTACTGCAGCCCTCTACAGGCCACACACTGTTACTGCAGTCCTCTACAGGCCACGCACTGTTACTGCAGCCCTCTACAGGCCCCACACTGTTACTGCAGCCCTCTACAGGCCACACACTGTTACTGCAGCCCTCTACAGGTCACACACTGTTACTGCAGCCCTCTACAGGCCACACACTGTTACTGCAGCCCTCTACAGGCCACACACTGTTACTGCAGCCCTCTACAGGCCACACACTGTTACTGCAGCCCTCTACAGGCCACACACTGTTACTGCAGCCCTCTACAGGCCACACACTGTTACTGCAGCCCTCTACAGGTCCACACACTGTTACTGCAGCCCTCTACAGGCCACACACTGTTACTGCAGCCCTCTACAGGCCACGCACTGTTACTGCAGCCCTCTACAGGCCCCACACTGTTACTGCAGCCCTCTACAGGCCACACACTGTTACTGCAGCCCTCTACAGGCCCCACACTGTTACTGCAGCCCTCTACAGGCCCCACACTGTTACTGCAGCCCTCTACAGGCCCCACACTGTTACTGCAGCCCTCTACAGGCCCCACACTGTTACTGCAGCCATCTACAGGCCCCACACTGTTACTGCAGCCCCTCTACAGGCCACGCACTGTTACTGCAGCCCTCTACAGGCCCCACACTGTTACTGCAGCCCTCTACAGGCCACACACTGTTACTGCAGCCCTCTACAGGCCCCACACTGTTACTGCAGCCCTCTACAGGCCACACACTGTTACTGCAGCCCTCTACAGGCCCCACACTGTTACTGCAGCCCTCTACAGGCCACACACTGTTACTGCAGCCCTCTACAGGCCACACACTGTTACTGCAGCCCTCTACAGGCCACACACTGTTACTGCAGCCCTCTACAGGCCACACACTGTTACTGCAGCCCTCTACAGGCCACACACTGTTACTGCAGCCCTCTACAGGCCACACACTGTTACTGCAGCCCTCTACAGGCCACACACTGTTACTGCAGCCCTCTACAGGCCCCACACACTGTTACTGCAGCCCTCTACAGGCCACACACTGTTACTGCAGCCCTCTACAGGCCCCACACTGTTACTGCAGCCATCTACAGGCCACACACTGTTACTGCAGCCCTCTACAGGCCACACACTGTTACTGCAGCCATCTACAGGCCACACACTGTTACTGCAGCCCTCTACAGGCCCCACACTGTTACTGCAGCCATCTACAGGCCCCACACTGTTACTGCAGCCATCTACAGGCCACACACTGTTACTGCAGCCATCTACAGGCCACACACTGTTACTGCAGCCCTCTACAGGCCACACACTGTTACTGCAGCCCTCTACAGGCCCCACACTGTTACTGCAGCCATCTACAGGTCACACACTGTTACTGCAGCCCTCTACAGGCCACACACTGTTACTGCAGCCCTCTACAGGCCCCACACTGTTACTGCAGCCATCTACAGGCCCCACACTGTTACTGCAGCCATCTACAGGCCACACACTGTTACTGCAGCCCTCTACAGGCCACACACTGTTACTGCAGCCCTCTACAGGCCACACACTGTTACTGCAGCCCTCTACAGGCCACACACTGTTACTGCAGCCCTCTACAGGCCACACACTGTTACTGCAGCCCTCTACAGGCCACACACTGTTACTGCAGCCCTCTACAGGCCCCACACTGTTACTGCAGCCCTCTACAGGCCACACACTGTTACTGCAGCCCTCTACAGGCCCCACACTGTTACTGCAGCCATCTACAGGTCACACACTGTTACTGCAGCCCTCTACAGCCCACACACTGTTACTGCAGCCCTCTACAGGCCCCACACTGTTACTGCAGGCTCCTACAAGCTCTCTCTAGCCCCTGGTCTCTCTCACTCAGGCCCCTGGTCTCTCTCACTCACTCACTCTCTCTCTCTCTCTGTCAGGCCCCTGGTCTCTCACTCACTCACTCTCTCTCTGTCAGGCCCCTGGTCTCTCACTCACTCACTCTCTCTCCGTCAGGCTCCTGGTCTCTCACTCACTCACTCTCTCTCTGTCAGGCCCCTGGTCTCTCACTCACTCACTCCCTCTGTCAGGCCCCTGGTCTCTCTCACTCAGACCCCTGGTCCCTCAAGTCTCTCTTCTTACCGGAGGATCAGTTCTTTGGACTTCTCAGAGATGGGTACTTCAGGGGGAAAGGTCAGGGTTTCTCTCCAGTTCATCACCTTCCTGTAGGTCTCCTGAGGCGTCTCCGAGCAGAAGGGAGGGTAACCTACACACACACACACACACAGAGAGACACAGACAGAGAGAGACACAGACAGAGAGAGACAGACAGAGAGACACACAGAGACACACACACACAGACAGTAGTATTATAGTGTTGTAGTATTGAAGTACTGTAGTAGTAGTACTGCAGTTATTGTAGTACAATAGTATTCTAGTACAGTAGTACTGTATTATTGTAGTACAGTAGTATTGTACTACAGTAGTACTGTGTTAGTGTAGTACTCACCTATGAGCATCTCGTACATGATGACCCCCAGGCTCCACCAGTCACAGAGCTTGTTGTACCCGTTCTGCATGAAGACCTCTGGGGCGATGTAGTCTGGGGTCCCCACAGTGGAGAAGGCCTGAGGAGACACCAGAGGCTGAACACCAGAGGCTGAACACCAGGTGGGACTGACTGTGACATCACCACAGTGTGACATCACCACAGTGTGACATCACCACAGTTTACAAAGACTAAATCATAATATAAACACAATTAAATTAGGGCTGTCAAAATTATCGCTTTAACTCACGTTAATTGCATTTTTCATTAACGCGTAAAAAAAAATTAACGCATGTCAGAATGACCCGCCCGTTTATCCATAATAACACTCACAATGCTGCGTGTGAGATGCATCAGAGCAGGTCTCTGGGAATACATGTTTTAAAAGAATACGTGCGTCACCGCGGGGCTGTTTGCTGTGACCTGAAGTCCGCCTCCTCCACGGCCGCTCAGGCTGTGAGCCGCTAACACCAACACGGCTGTGAGCCGCTAACACCAACACGGCTGTGAGCCGCTAACACCAACACGGCTGTGAGCCGCTAACACCAACACGGCTGTGAGCCGCTAACACCAACACGGCTGTGAGCCGCTAACACCAACACGGCTGTGAGCCGCTAACACCAACACGGCTGTGAGCCGCTAACAACAACACGGCTGTGAGCCGCTAACAACAACACGGCTGTGAGCCGCTAACAACAACACGGCTGTGAGCCGCTAACAACAACACGGCTGTGAGCCGCTAACAACAACACGGCTGTGAGCCGCTAACACCAACACGGCTGTGAGCCGCTAACACCAACACGGCTGTGAGCGAATGGCGCCGCGGTATCGTGGTCATATAAGACCAAACACGCCACAGAACTATTGTCTGCATGTTGTGTTCGTGTCTTTGCAACCTGTGCGTAACCTGTGCACGCAAATGCAGCACGACAGTGTCCCTGTCTCCTCCTGAAACTAAACTAAACTAAACTTGCTGAATTAAAGCTGGGGTATGTAAATGTCCCCCTTTCATTAACAGCTCATTTTGGTTGTGCCCAAAAGCAAAAGGTTGTGAATCAAACAGATTTAAGAACATTTGGTCTGAATGACATGTGTCATTATATTTGATAATCTCATTTAACTTCATTTGGAGTGGATTTGAAATAGAATGTTAAAAATGAGATTAATCGTGAGTTAACTCACCATTTCTGTGCAATTAATCAACAAAAAACATTTAAATCGTTTGACAGCCCTAATTTAAATATAAACACATTTCTTTCTCCCTCTTGGGTCCCTCCCTCTCTCTCCGGGTCTCTCCCTCTCTCTCCGGGTCTCTCCCTCTCGGGTCCCTCCCTCTCGGGTCTCTCCCTCTCTCTCCGGGTCTCTCCCTCTCTCTCTCTCTCTCCGTCTCTCCCTCTCTCTCCGGGTCTCTCCCTCTCTCTCTCTCTCCGGGTCTCTCCCTCTCTCTCCGGGTCTCTCCCTCTCTCTCCGGGTCTCTCCCTCTCTCTCTCTCTCCGGGTCTCTCCCTCTCTCTCCGGGTCTCTCCCTCTCTCTCCCTCTCTCTCCGGGTCTCTCCCTCTCGGGTCTCTCCCTCCGTCTCTCCCTCTCGGGTCTCTCCCTCTCGGGTCTCTCCCTCTCGAGTCTCTCCCTCTCGGGTCTCTCCCTCTCGAGTCTCTCCCTCTCGAGTCTCTCCCTCTCGGGTCTCTCCCTCTCGAGTCTCTCCCTCTCGGGTCTCTCCCTCTCGGGTCTCTCCCTCTCGAGTCTCTCCCTCTCGGGTCTCTCCCTCTCGGGTCTCTCCCTCTCGGGTCTCTCCCTCTCGGGTCTCTCCCTCTCGGGTCTCTCCCTCTCGGGTCTCTCCCTCTCGGGTCTCTCAGGAGTTTACTTTTACATCTAAGTCAATAGGAGTCAGAGAGAGGAGCCAAACTTCACCATGAGCACTTCCCTATTCCCCGTTCATCTGTAAACAGCAGTCTCCTATACACTCCTGAGTAGAGTTCAAAGGTCACGCTGGTGTGGACTGACCAGTTGTCTGCGGTTCCTCTTCCAGGTCTCTGCTTTCCTTTTGGAGTTCATGTTCTGAGCTGCACACACACAGAGACACACGCACACACGCACACACACACACACACACACACACACACACACACACACACACACACACAGAGACACACACACAGAGACACACACACACACACACACACACACACACACACACAGAGACACACACACACACAGAGACACACACATACACACAGAGACACAATTTAATGACATAGAACAGACTGGTGTGATTGAGGTGTGAAAAGCAAAGGTTTGTTTTGGTCTCTGGTCTCTCCCCCCTCTGGTCTCTCCCCCCTCTGGTCTCTCCCCCCTCTGGTCTCTCCCCCCTCTGGTCTCTCCCCCCTCTGGTCTCTCTCCCCTCTGGTCTCTCTCCCCTCTGGTCTCTCTCCCCTCTGGTCTCTCTCCCCTCTGGTCTCTCCCCCCTCTGGTCTCTCCCCCCTCTGGTCTCTCTCCCCTCTGGTCTCTCCCCCCTCTGGTCTCTCCCCCCTCTGGTCTCTCCCCCCTCTGGTCTCTCCCCCCTCTGGTCTCTCCCCCCTCTGGTCTCTCCCCCTCTGGTCTCTCCCCCCTCTGGTCTCTCCCCCTCTGGTCCTCCCCCCCTCTGGTCTCTCTCCCCTCTGGTCTCTCTCCCCTCTGGTCTCTCTCTCCCCTCTGGTCTCTCTCCCCTCTGGTCTCTCTCCCCTCTGGTCTCTCTCCCCTCTGGTCTCTCTCCCCTCTGGTCTCTCTCCCCTCTGGTCTCTCTCCCCTCTGGTCTCTCTCCCCTCTGGTCTCTCTCCCCTCTGGTCTCTCCCCCTCTGGTCTCTCCCCCTCTGGTCTCTCCCCCTCTGGTCTCTCCCCCTCTGGTCTCTCCCCCTCTGGTCTCTCCCCCTCTGGTCTCTCCCCCTCTGGTCTCTCCCCCTCTGGTCTCTCCCTCTGGTCTCTCCCCCTCTGGTCTCTCTCCCTCTGGTCTCTCTCTCACTCTGCTTGCTGAGGTCGCTGGGCAGGCTGTGGTTCAGGTTCTTGTAGAACTCGGTTCGATGAGCTCTCTTCAGTCCGGTGCAGAGACCGAAGTCCGACAGCTTCACGTGACCCTGAGAACACACCACACGTGAGAGAAACCCCCCTCAGAGATGTCAGATCAGTGTGACCCGCGGTGGTCTGGAGCTCAGCAGGTCCATGTAGGAGAGAGCACATCACCCCGGGCCTCAGGTCACTGGCTCCGGTCACATTCAGGATGGATTTTAAGATTCTGGTGCTTGTTTTTAAAGCTGTTTATGGTTTATGGTTTATGGGCGACGACCTGCACATGGACCGCAAACTTTAAAATGTGTACATCAGATTTTTATCTTTTGTACCTTTTTTATTAATGGTTTCTTTGGTTGGGGCAGTGCTGACACCTCCAGATTGAAGCTTTTGCCGAATTAGCATCAGCGGTTTCACAATCGCAATAAACCTGAACTATTGTACTTATGGTTTAGTGGTAGGAGAACCCGGAGCGCTTGAAGGAAACCTACGCAGACACAGGGAGAACATGCAAACTCCACACAGAAAGGTCCTGGAGGTGGATTCGAACCCAGGACCTTCATTTGCACACTCTGATTGTGTTGTTTAAAGTTTTCTCTTGTGTGTTGAGATGTTTAAATATAGGTTCGGGAATGACTCAAAAACGGGCGGCAAGAAGGTCATGGGCTCGATTACACCTCCAGGCCTTTCTGTGTGGAGTTTGCATGTTCTTCCCGTGGCTGCATAGATTTCCTCGCACACGGAAAAGATAAGAGACTGGAAGTATCTGGCACAAAACACACACACACACACACACACAGAGACACAGAGAGAGACACACACACACACAGTGAGACACAGAGAGACACACACACACAGAGACACAGAGAGACACACACACACAAGCACACACAGAGAGAGACACACACACACACACAGAGAGAGACACACACACACACACACACACAGAGAGAGAGAGACACACACACACACATACAGAGAGAGACACACAGAGAGAAAAATACACACACACATACAGACACACACACACAGACACACTGACACACACAGACACACACACACAGAGAGAGACACACACACACACACACACACACACACACACACACAGACACACACACACACACAGACACTGACACACGCACACACAGACACAGACACACAGAGAGAGAGACACACACACACACAGACACACACACAGACACACAGACACACACACACACACACACACACACACACACACACACACACACACAGACACACACACACACACACAGACACACACACACACACACACACACACACACACACTGACACAGACACACACACACACACAGACACACACACACAGACACACAGACACAGACACACACACTGACCCTGGAGTCCAGCAGCAGGTTGTCTGGTTTGATGTCTCTGTGGATGAAGCCCAGTTGGTGGATGGAGTCGATGGCGAGGACGGTCTCTGCGATGTAGAACTGTGTGGCCTCCTCACTCAGAGTGTCCATCTTCATCAGCAGCGTCATCATGTCGCCTGGAACACAACCAGGGTTAAAGCTCAGGGACCTAACTTTAGTCTCAATAACACATGGTTAAAGCTCAGGTCTGTAACTTTAGTCTCATCAATAACACATGTTTAAAGCTCAGGTCTGTAACTTTAGTCTCATCAATAACACATGTTTAAAGCTCAGGTCTGTAACTTTAGTCTCATCAATAACACATGTTTAAAGCTCAGGTCTGTAACTTTAGTCTCATCAATAACACATGTTTAAAGCTCAGGTCTGTAACTTTAGTCTCATCAATAACATGTAGTTAAAGCTCAGGTCTGTAACTTTAGTCTCATCAATAACATGTAGTTAAAGCTCAGGTCTGTAACTTTAGTCTCAATAACACATGGTTAAAGCTCAGGTCCGTAACTTTAGTCTAAATCAGTGGTTCCCAAAGTGGGGGTCGCAAGATATACAAATATATAGCCCTTAATATTTTTTTTTGCATGTGACTTGATTCAAAAGGACTACTTGTTAAATTGTGTTTGGAGAAGAGAAAAAAACATAATATATTTTAATTACGTTTGTAATTTTGTCCCAGACATTGAAAGCGTCAATAAAAATCTAGTTCCGCAGCTCACATCATGCAGCGACAAAGCGTGTGTGTCTCTGTGTGTGTGTCTCTCTGTGTCTGTGTGTGTCTCTCTGTGTCTGTGTGTATGTGTGTGTCTCTCTGTGTCTCTGTGTCTGGGTGTATCTCTCTGTGTGTGTGTGTGTGTATGTGTGTCTCTCTCTGTGTCTGTGTGTCTCTCTCTGTGTGTGTATGTGTGTGTCTCTGTGTCTCTCTCTGTGTCTGTGTGTCTCTCTGTGTGTGTGTGTGTGTGTCTCTGTGTGTGTACCTCCTGGTAGAAACTCCATGATGAGGTAAAGGTTCATCTTGTCCTGGAAACTGTAGAACATCTTCACCACCCACAGACTGTCGGCCTCCACCAGGATGTCCCTCTCTGCTCGGATATGTCCCAACTGCAGAGACACAGAGGACATGGGACACAGGACAGAGGAGAGAGGACAGAGGAGAGAGGACATGGGACAGGGGAGAGAGGACAGAGGACACAGGACAGGGGAGAGAGGACAGAGGAGAGAGGAGAGAGGAGAGAGGAGAGAGGACAGAGGAGAGAGGAGAGAGGAGAGAGGACAGAGGACATGGGACACAGGACAGGGGAGAGAGGACAGAGGAGAGAGGAGAGAGGACAGAGGACAGAGGAGAGAGGAGAGAGGACAGAGGACATGGGACACAGGACAGGGGAGAGAGGACAGAGGAGAGAGGAGAGAGGAGAGAGGACAGAGGACAGAGGACAGAGGAGAGCGGACAGAGGAGAGAGGACAGAGGAGAGAGGACAGAGGAGAGAGGACAGAGGACACAGGACAGGGGAGAGAGGACAGAGGAGAGAGGAGAGAGGAGAGAGGAGAGAGGACAGAGGAGAGAGGAGAGAGGAGAGAGGACAGAGGACATGGGACACAGGACAGGGGAGAGAGGACAGAGGAGAGAGGAGAGAGGAGAGAGGACAGAGGACAGAGGAGAGAGGAGAGAGGACAGAGGACATGGGACACAGGACAGGGGAGAGAGGAGAGAGGAGAGAGGAGAGAGGAGAGAGGACAGAGGAGAGAGGAGAGAGGACAGAGGAGAGAGGACAGAGGAGAGAGGACAGAGGAGAGAGGACAGAGGAGAGCGGAGAGAGGACAGAGGAGAGAGGACAGAGGAGAGAGGACAGAGGACAGAGGAGAGAGGACAGAGGACATGGGACACAGGACAGGGGAGAGAGGACAGAGGAGAGAGGAGAGAGGAGAGGACAGAGGAGAGAGAGAGGGAGAGAGGACAGAGGAGAGAGGACAGAGGACAGAGGAGAGAGGACAGAGGAGAGAGGACAGAGGAGAGAGGACAGAGGAGAGAGGACAGAGGACAGAGGAGAGAGGACAGAGGACAGAGGAGAGAGGACTGAGGACAGAGGACAGAGGACAGAGGAGAGAGGACAGAGGACATGGGACACAGGACAGGGGAGAGAGGACAGAGGAGAGAGGACAGAGGAGAGAGGACAGAGGAGAGAGGACAGAGGAGAGAGGACAGAGGACAGAGGAGAGAGGACTGAGGACAGAGGACAGAGGAGAGAGGACAGAGGACATGGGACACAGGACAGAGGACAGAGGAGAGAAGAGAGAGGACAGAGGAGAGAGGACAGAGGAGAGAGGAGAGAGGACAGAGGACAGAGGAGAGAGGACAGAGGAGAGAGGAGAGAGGACAGAGGAGTGAGGACAGAGGAGAGAGGACAGAGGACAGAGGAGAGAGGACAGGACAGAGGAGAGAGGAGAGAGGACAGAGGACAGAGGAGAGAGGACAGAGGACAGAGGACAGAGGACAGAGGAGAGAGGACAGATGAGAGAGGAGAGAGGAGAGAGGATAGAGGACAGAGGAGAGAGGACTGAGGACAGAGGAGAGAGGACAGAGGAGAGAGGACAGAGGAGAGAGGACAGAGGACAGAGGACAGAGGACAGAGGAGAGAGGACAGAGGAGAGAGGAGAGAGAGAGACTGAGGAGAGAGGACAGAGGAGAGAGGACAGAGGACAGAGGAGAGAGGACAGAGGACAGAGGAGAGAGGACAGAGGACAGAGGAGAGAGGACAGAGGACAGAGGAGAGAGGAGAGAGGACAGAGGACATGGGACACAGGACAGGGGAGAGAGGACAGAGGAGAGAGAGAGAGAGAGGACAGAGGACAGAGGACAGAGGAGAGAGGAGAGAGGACAGAGGACATGGGACACAGGACAGAGGAGAGAGGACAGAGGACAGAGGAGAGGACAGAGGACAGAGGAGAGAGGACAGAGGACAGAGAAGAGAGGACAGAGGACAGAGGAGAGAGGACAGAGGACACAGGACAGGGAGAGAGGAGAGAGGAGAGAGGACAGAGGAGAGAGGAGAGAGGAGAGAGGACAGAGGACAGAGGACAGGGGAGAGAGGACAGAGGAGAGAGGAGAGAGGAGAGAGGACAGAGGACAGAGGACAGAGGAGAGAGGAGAGAGGACAGAGGACATGGGACACAGGACAGGGGAGAGAGGACAGAGGAGAGAGGAGAGAGGAGAGAGGACAGAGGAGAGAGGACAGAGGAGAGAGGACAGAGGAGAGAGGACAGAGGAGAGAGGACAGAGGAGAGAGGACAGAGGACATGGGACACAGGACAGGGGAGAGAGGACAGAGGAGAGAGGAGAGAGGAGAGAGGACAGAGGAGAGAGGAGAGAGGAGAGAGGACAGAGGAGAGAGGACAGAGGACAGAGGAGAGAGGACAGAGGACAGAGGAGAGAGGACAGAGGAGAGAGGACAGAGGAGAGAGGACAGAGGAGAGAGGACAGAGGACAGAGGAGAGAGGACAGAGGAGAGAGGACAGAGGAGAGAGGACTGAGGACAGAGGACAGAGGACAGAGGAGAGAGGACAGAGGACAGAGGAGAGAGGACAGAGGACAGAGGAGAGAGGAGAGAGGACAGAGGACATGGGACACAGGACAGGGGAGAGAGGACAGAGGAGAGAGGAGAGAGGACAGAGGAGAGAGGACAGAGGAGAGAGGACTGAGGACAGAGGACAGAGGAGAGAGGACAGAGGACATGGGACACAGGACAGAGGACAGAGGAGAGAAGAGAGAGGACAGAGGAGAGAGGACAGAGGAGAGAGGAGAGAGGACAGAGGAGAGAGGACAGAGGACAGAGGAGTGAGGACAGAGGAGAGAGGACAGAGGACAGAGGAGAGAGGACAGAGGACAGAGGAGAGAGGAGAGAGGACAGAGGACAGAGGAGAGAGGACAGGAGAGAGGACAGAGGAGAGAGGACAGAGGACAGAGGAGAGAGGACAGAGGACAGATGAGAGAGGAGAGAGGACAGAGGACAGAGGAGAGAGGACTGAGGACAGAGGAGAGAGGACAGAGGACAGAGGAGAGAGGACAGAGGACAGAGGACAGAGGACAGAGGAGAGAGGACAGAGGAGAGAGGAGAGAGGACTGAGGAGAGAGGACAGAGGACAGAGGAGAGAGGACAGAGGAGAGAGGAGAGAGGACTGAGACCCTCTCCCTCCCCCTCCTCGGTCTCCCCCTCCTCACCTGCTCCTTCTCCAGCATGTCTCCCCTCTCTCCCTCCCCCCCGGTCTCCTCCTCATCTGCTCCTTCTCCAGCATGTCTGCCTCTCTCTCCTCTCCTCCCCTCCCTCCTCCTCGGTCTCCCCCTCCTCACCTGCTCCTTCTCCAGCATGTCTCCCCTCTCTCCCTCCCCCCCGGTCTCCTCCTCCTCACCTGCTCCTTCTCCAGCATGTCTGCCTCTCTCTCCTCTCCTCCCCTCCCTCGGTCTCCTCCTCCTCACCTGCTCCTTCTCCAGCATGTCTGCCTCTCTCTCCTCTCCTCCCCTCCCTCCCCCCCGGTCTCCTCCTCATCTGCTCCTTCTCCAGCATGTCTGCCTCTCTCTCCTCTCCTCCCCTCCCTCCCCTCCGGTCTCCCCCTCCTCACCTGCTCCTTCTCCAGCATGTCTCCCCTCTCTCCCTCCCCCCCGGTCTCCTCCTCCTCATCTGCTCCTTCTCCAGCATGTCTGCCTCTCTCTCCTCTCCTCCCCTCCCTCCCCCCCGGTCTCCCCCTCCTCACCTGCTCCTTCTCCAGCATGTCTGCCTCTCTCTCCTCTCCTCCCCTCCCTCCCCCCCGGTCTCCCCCTCCTCACCTGCTCCTTCTCCAGCATGTCTGCCTCTCTCTCCTCTCCTCCCCTCCCTCCCCCCCGGTCTCCCCCTCCTCACCTGCTCCTTCTCCAGCATGTCTGCCTCTCTCTCCTCTCCTCCCTCCCCCCCGGTCTCCTCCTCACCTGCTCCTTCTCCAGCATGTCTGCCTTCCTGAGGATCTTCATGGCGTAGACGTGTCCCGTGTCCTTCTTCTGCACCAAACGAACCTGAACAACACCTTCATCTTTAACAGCCGGGTTTTCACTTTCAATGTTTTAGAATCAGGGAAGGGCTGTCTGTCTCACCGGAGCACCCGGAGGAAACTCGGTGCTCCGAGAGAGAGAGAGATCCGAGAGACAGAGAGCCAAGAGAGAAAGGCAAGAGTGAGAGAACAGAGTGAGAGAACAGAGAGAGACTAGAGAGAGAGAGAGATTAGACAGAAGGATCCCAGAGTGCCAGCCAATAAGCTCTAAAAGAGTCAAATAGTGACTTTCAGAAGTTACAGACCCCAGCTTTAAACATTTATGAGGCTAAAGTTACGTCCCCCAGCTTTAGTGTGTGACATCACTCACCTCCCCGAAGGCTCCGCGGCCGATGACTTTGAGAGACTCGAAATCCTCCAGACCGAGACGTGTTCGTTTGAGACGGAGGAACTCTGTCTCTTTACGAGCGTGCTGAGAGCGGCGCATACGTTTCTGCTAACACACACACACAGAGAGAGACACACACACACACAGAGAGAGACACACACACACACAGAAAGAGACACACGCACACACACAGAGACACAAACACACAGAGAAGGAGAGCGAGAGACACACACACACAGGTCAGCTTTGAGGACATCTCTAAACATACAGTATCTCAGAGCTGTGACTGACCTCCTCATCGGCCAGACCCTCCTGATCCATCACCTTCTCCAACTTCAGCTGCCTGAGGAGAGAGGAGAGAGAAGAGAGGAGAGAGGAGAGGGGAGAGGGGAGAGGGGAGAGAGGAGAGAGGAGAGAGGACAGAGGACAGAGGACAGAGGAGAGAGGAGAGAGGAGAGAGGACAGAGGACAGAGGAGAGAGGAGAGAGGAGAGAGGAGAGAGGACAGAGGAGAGAGGAGAGAGGACAGAGGACAGAGGAGAGAGGACAGAGGACAGAGGACAGAGGAGAGAGGAGAGAGGAGAGAGGACAGAGGACAGAGGACAGAGGAGAGAGGAGAGAGGAGAGAGGAGAGGGGAGAGGGGAGAGAGGAGAGAGGAGAGAGGACAGAGGAGAGAGGACAGAGGAGAGAGGAGAGAGGAGAGAGGAGAGGGGAGAGGGGAGAGGGGAGAGGGGAGAGAGGAGAGAGGAGAGAGGACAGAGGAGAGAGGACAGAGGAGAGAGGAGAGAGGAGAGAGGAGAGAGGACAGAGGACAGAGGAGAGAGGACAGAGGACAGAGGACAGAGGACAGAGGACAGAGGACAGAGGACAGAGGAGAGAGGAGAGAGGAGAGAGGACAGAGGAGAGAGGAGAGAGGAGAGAGGAGAGAGGACAGAGGAGAGAGGAGAGAGGAGAGAGGACAGAGGAGAGAGGAGAGAGGAGAGAGGACAGAGGACAGAGGACAGAGGAGAGAGGAGAGGGGAGAGGGGAGAGAGGAGAGAGGAGAGAGGACAGAGGAGAGAGGACAGAGGAGAGAGGAGAGAGGACAGAGGAGAGAGGAGAGAGGAGAGAGGAGAGAGGACAGAGGACAGAGGAGAGAGGAGAGAGGACAGAGGAGAGAGGAGAGAGGAGAGAGGACAGAGGAGAGAGGAGACATTAGGACTCTCTCTCAGGTGTTTGCATGTTCTGCCTGTGCTCACCTCATCTCCCTCTCCTCGTGCTGGGCCTCTCTCTCTCTCAGGTGTTTGCATGTTCTGCCTGTGCTCACCTCATCTCCCTCTCCTCGTGCTGGGCCTCTCTCTCTCTCTCAGGTGTTTGCATGTTCTGCCTGTGCTCACCTCATCTCCCTCTCCTCGTGCTGGGCCTCTCTCTCTCTCTCAGGTGTTTGCATGTTCTGCCTGTGCTCACCTCATCTCCCTCTCCTCGTGCTGGGCCTCTCTCTCTCTCAGGTGTTTGCATGTTCTGCCTGTGCTCACCCCATCTCCCTCTCCTCGTGCTGGGCCTCTCTCTCAGGTGTTTGCATGTTCTGCCTGTGCTCACCTCATCTCCCTCTCCTCGTGCTGGGCCTCTCTCTCTCTCTCAGGTGTTTGCATGTTCTGCCTGTGCTCACCTCATCTCCCTCTCCTCGTGCTGGGCCTCTCTCTCTCAGGTGTTTGCATGTTCTGCCTGTGCTCACCTCATCTCCCTCTCCTCGTGCTGGGCCTCTCTCTCTCTCAGGTGTTTGCATGTTCTGCCTGTGCTCACCTCATCTCCCTCTCCTCGTGCTGGGCCTCTCTCTCTCAGGTGTTTGCATGTTCTGCCTGTGCTCACCTCATCTCCCTCTCCTCGTGCTGGGCCTCTCTCTCAGGTGTTTGCATGTTCTGCCTGTGCTCACCTCATCTCCCTCTCCTCGTGCTGGGCCTCTCTCTCTCTCAGGTTGTTTGCATGTTCTGCCTGTGCTCACTCATCTCCCTCTCCTCGTGCCTCTCTCTCTCTCTCTCTCAGGTGTTTGCATGTTCTGCCTGTGCTCACCTCATCTCCCTCTCCTCGTGCTGGGCCTCTCTCTCTCTCTCAGGTGTTTGCATGTTCTGCCTGTGCTCACCTCATCTCCCTCTCCTCGTGCTGGGCCTCTCTCTCTCAGGTGTTTGCATGTTCTGCCTGTGCTCACCTCATCTCCCTCTCCTCGTGCTGGGCCTCTCTCTCTCAGGTGTTTGCATGTTCTGCCTGTGCTCACCTCATCTCCCTCTCCTCGTGCTGGGCGATCAGGTTGCTGTAGAAGTTTTCCAGCGTGACCTTGGCCATGTTGACTCTCTCCTTGGTGTGGCTGCTCATGTTGGGGCAGGGGCCCGGCATCGCCATGCTGCTCCTGCACAGACCACAGTCACACACCTGCAGCTGTGTTTGCATCCATCCATGCTCATGTCAGGAGCCTCCGCCAACACTTTCTCAGCCATATACAAGTTAAAGCTGAGGTACGTAACTTTCAAACCAGTAGAGTAGAACTCTGGACTCACACCCTGGACTCACACCCTGGACTCACACCCTGGACTCACACCCTGGACTCACACCCTGGACTCACACCCTGGACTCACACCCTGGACTCACACCCTGGACTCACACCCTGGACTCACACCCTGGACTCACACCCTGGACTCACACCCTGGACTCACACCCTGGACTCACACCCTGGACTCACACCCTGGACTCACACCCTGGACTCACACCCTGGACTCACACCCTGGACTCACACCCTGGACTCACACCCTGGACTCACACCCTGGACTCACACCCTGGACTCACACCCTGGACTCACACCCTGGACTCACACCCTGGACTCACACCCTGGACTCACACCCTGGTCTCACTCTGGTCTCTCTCTCTCTCTCTCTCTCACACCCTGGTCTCTCTCTCTCTCGCACCCTGGTCTCTCTTTCTCTCGCACCCTGGTCTCTCTCTCGCACCCTGGTCTGTCTCTCTCTCTCTCTCGCACCCTGGTCTCTCTCTCTCTCGCACCCTGGTCTCTCTCTCTCTCGCACCCTGGTCTCTCTCTCTCTCGCACCCTGGTCTCTCTCTCTCTCTCTCACCCTGGTCTCTCTCTCGCACCCTGGTCTCTCTCTCTCGCTCTCTCTCTCTGGTCACACCCTGGTCTCTCTCTCTCTCGCACCCTGGTCTCTCTCTCTCTCTCCGCACCCTGGTCTCTCTCTCTCTCTCGCCCACCCTGGTCTCTCTCTCTCTCTCGCACCCTGGTCTCTCTCTCGCGCACCCTGGTCTCTCTCTCGCACCCTGGTCTCTCTCTCGCACCCTGGTCTCTCTCTCGCACCCTGGTCTCTCTCTCGCACCCTGGTCTCTCTCTCTCTCTCGCACCCTGGTCTCTCTCTCGCACCCTGGTCTCTCTCTCGCACCCTGGTCTCTCTCTCGCACCCTGGTCTCCCTCTCTCTCACAATCTGGTCTCCCTCTCTCTCACAATCTGGTCTCTCTCTCTCTCACAATCGGGTCTCCCTCTCTCTCACAATCTGGTCCCTCTCTCTCACTCTGGTCTCTCAATCAGGTCTCTTTCTCTCTCACTGGTCTCTTTCCCTGGACTCTTAAAGCTGGGGTTTGTAACTTATAAAACATAACAATAGAACTCTGTATTAAACCCATGTCTCTGCTTCTGTGTCTAGTTTCATGTTTAGATCAAAGTGAGGACCACACTCTCTCAGCCAATTAGCTCTCAGCCAATCAGCTCTCAGCCAATCAGCTCTCAGCCAATCATCTCTCAGCCCACATTGACTCTCAGGGCTCTGACAGTAGATACATGTTGACAGATGGGGATTGTGCTGGAGGATGCACAGGGCTCAGGTAAAGCCGATCTGTCCAACACCATGTGACCATGTGTGACCATGTGACCAGAGCGGCAGGTTCAGAGGAGATACTAGTGACGTCACGACTCTCACATTTCCAACACAATTTCAAGTTTTTTAAATCCACAACACGACACACACAACGCACAATATTTAAAGTCACTTCTATCTAATCATGACTACATTAGTTGGAGAAAAGATAGATGTTAATTACTAACATAATAACAACTAGTTTAACTGACTAGTTTAAGTCAGGTAAATAAAATACTGAAAAAACAGAGACCAGAGCGAGACCAGAGAGAGCGAGAGACCAGAGCGAGACCAGAGGAAGAGACCAGAGCAAAAGACCAGAGGAAGAGACCACAGAGAGAGACCAGAGAGAGAGACCAGAGTAAGACCAGAGGAAGAGACCAGAGAGAGAGACCAGAGTAAGACCAGAGGAAGAGACCAGAGAGAGAGACCAGAGTGAGACTAGAGCAAAAGACCAGAGGAAGAGACCAGAGGAAGAGACCAGAGAGAGACCAGAGCAAAAGACCAGAGGAAGAGACCAGAGCAAAAGACCAGAGTGAGACCAGAGTGAGACCAGAGCAAAAGACCAGAGGAAGAGACCAGAGTGAGACCAGAGTGAGACCAGAGTGAGACCAGAGTGAGAGACCAGAGTGAGACCAGAGTGAGACCAGAGTGAGACCAGAGGAAGAGACCAGAGCAAAAGACCAGAGTGAGACCAGAGTGAGACCAGAGCAAAAGACCAGAGGAAGAGACCAGAGTGAGACCAGAGTGAGACCAGAGTGAGAGACCAGAGTGAGACCAGAGTGAGACCAGAGTGAGACCAGAGCAAGAGACCAGAGTGAGACCAGAGTGAGGCCAGAGAGAGACCAGAGCAAAAGACCAGAGTGAGACCAGAGCAAAAGACCAGAGGAAGAGACCAGAGTGAGACCAGAGTGAGACCAGAGTGAGACCAGAGAGAGACCAGAGCAAAAGACCAGAGTGAGACCAGAGCAAAAGACCAGAGGAAGAGACCAGAGTGAGACCAGAGTGAGACCAGAGCAAAAGACCAGAGGAAGAGACCAGAGTGAGACCAGAGTGAGAGACCAGAGTGAGACCAGAGTGAGACCAGAGTGAGACCAGAGCAAGAGACCAGAGTGAGACCAGAGTGAGACCAGAGGAAGAGACCAGAGCAAAAGACTAGGGAAAAGACCACATCTTGATAGTTTTAGAACCAGGAACTAGTGACGTGTTGTTGTGGTTTTGAGAGTTACGCACCCCAGCTTTAAACATGTTTATCTACATTTAGAAGCACAGCTAACTACTTCAAACCTGTTTAGTGAATGTGTGAATGTAAGCTTTTGAAAGTGAAGTGAAAGTAGAAATAGACTTACCGAGTCCAGTTCAGCCCAATACCATAAACAGCAGTTCTTTACCTCTCTGGTTTTCACTTTATAAAATCATGAAACTGCCGCCAAGATGAATTAACTTTATATAAGAGTAAACAGAGTGAAACTAAAGTAAAAAATGAATAGTTCCCTACGAAGTGTGTGGCTGCGCATGCTCAGACCGGTCCACAGAGGCTAAGCTAAAGGGAGCTAACGCAGGCTAGCTCAGGCGCTGTGCTAACGGGCTTTAGCGGGCTTCAAACTCCTCCACGCAGGGTAAACGAGCTCCGTGGGATCCCGGTGTGTGGAGGGTGGACTACAGGACAGGGTGAGCGTGTCCCCGGCCTGTGTTTGGACCCTGGGCCGGAGTTAGGAGCTTGTTTACGGCTTGTTTGGTGTGATGTTAGCCTACCTCTGTCGGTGCGAAGGTCCCGCTGGTTCTTCCTCTGAGCCACAGGAGCCACAGGAGCCACAGGAGCCACAGGAGCGGAACAGCGCCCACGGAGGGCAGTGGACGGACCACAGACTCCAGAACACACGCTAATACTGCTGTGTCTGTGTCATTTCAGTCTCTGATTCATGATCAGAGTCACAGTCATAAGAACAGTTACTGTGGTACATCCGGGCACTTCACGTCTGTTTCAGATCATAATAATACTGTAGTTTGTCCAAAAGAAGATAAGATAAAACTTGACTGTGGAGGAATTCAGAGTTCAGTCCACACCATGCGGTTTATCTGATCAGAAAACAGACCCTGTGAGTCACTATTTGACTCTTTGGGCTGAGAGCTGGTATCTCTCCATGGTTCCTATCTGGCTGGTTAGTACCGTGATGGGAGACCTCTGAACACCAGCTCCACATTATGGTGTGAGTGAATGAGCGTGTGGTGGTCAGAGGCTGATGGTAGAGCCTGGTTGCAGTCAGTCTGCCTCAGGGCAGCTGTGGCTACAGCAGTGGTTTACTATTAGTGTACTCAGTGAGTAATGATGTGGAGTCTGGGGTCATGAAGTGAAACCATAGACTGAATATTAAACAAACAAGTTGTGTATTATAATCATTATCATTGATCATTATGTTATTCTGACCAGACATATTTTCCTTTTTGTTGCACTAATCTTTTATTGGAGAAGTCTTCATTCAGACACGGGAGACATGTCCTCTGTCTTTGTGACATCACAGCTACAGTCAGATCTCATTTGCACAAACAACACCAGACCAACTGTAGAATAAAAACTTTATACAAAAATAAACAAACGCAGACCTCGGATCAGTTCTGATGAAACAGATCAAGTTCAATAAATAACATCGTCTGAAACTTAAAATCCGCAAGTTTTCACTTGAAATGTTGAGTTCTGCCCTCGACCCAGACCCACCCAAACCCACGCAGACCTATCCAGACGCACCCGGACCTATCCAGATCCATCCGGACCTATCCAGACCCATCCGGACCTATCCAGATCCATCCGGACCTATCCAGATCCATCCGGACCTATCCAGATCCATCCAGACCCACCCAGATACTTGAATGGTTTTGAAAATATTGGGGCCTCAGTGGTCTCTCTGGTCTCGAGTCCTCTCTGGTCCCGAGCCCTCTCTGGTCCCGAGCCCTCTCTGGTCCCGAGCCCTCTCTGGTCTCGAGTCCTCTCTGGTCTCAAGCCCTCTCTGGTACACTTGTATTAGGCTCCTGGCTGTAGTCCTTGTATCGGCACCATGTGTCCACACGGGGGCGCTCTAGTGTTTTCTGGCCTTGTCCCGTTTTCGTTTCTCATTGAACTCCAGGATCTTTCTGTGGAACACTCCTGAAAGACAAACACACAAACTGATCAAACACTGCGCCTCCTCATTACACAAACAGCAATCTCCCTCTGGACTCTCTCCCTCTGGACTCTCTCCCTCTGGACTCTCTCCCTCTGGACTCTCTCCCTCTGGACTCTCTCCCTCTGGACTCTCTCCCTCTGGACTCTCTCCCTCTCTGGTCTCTCTAGTCTCTCTCCCTCTCTGGTCTCTCTCTGGTGTCTCTCTCCCTGGTGTCTCTGTCTCTCTCTCTCTCTGGTCTCTCTCTCTCTCTCTCTCTGGTCTCTCTCTCTCTCTCTCTGGTCTCTCTCTCTCTCTGGTCGCTCTGGTTTCTCTGGTCTCTCTCTCTCTCTCTGGTCTCTCTCGCTCTCTCTCTGGTCTCTCTCGCTCTCTCTCTGGTCTCTCTCTCTCTCTCTGGTCTCTCTCCCTCGCTGGTCTCTCTCTCTCTCGCTCTCTGGTCTCTCTCTCGCTCTCTGGTCTCTCTCTCTCTCTGGTCTCTCTCTCGCTCTCTGGTCTCTCTCTCGCTCTCTGGTCTCTCTCTCGCTCTCTGGTCTCTCTCTCGCTCTCTGGTCTCTCTCTCGCTCTCTGGTCTCTCGCTCGCTCTCTGGTCTCTCTCGCTCTCTGGGGTCTCTCGCTCTCTCTGGGGTCTCTCGCTCTCTCTGGTCTCTCTCTGGTCTCGCTCTCTCTGGTCTCTCTGGTATCTCTCTCTCTCGTATCTCTCTCTCTGGTCTCTCTCTCTCTGGTCTCTCTCTCTGGTCTCTCTCTCTCTCTCTGGTCTCTCTCTCTCTCTCTCTGGTCTCTCTCTCGCTCTCTCTCTGGTCTCTCTCTCGCTCTCTCTCTGGTCTCTCTCTGGTCTCTCTCTCTCTCTCTGGTCTCTCTCTCGCTCTCTGGTCTCTCTCGCTCTCTGGGGTCTCTCGCTCTCTCTGGTCTCTCTCTCTGGTCTCGCTCTATCTGGTCTCTCTGGTATCTCTCTCTCTCGTATCTCTCTCTCGGTCTCTCTCTCTCTGGTCTCTCTCTCTCTGGTCTCTCTCTCTCTGGTCTCTCTCTCTCTCTCTGGTATCTCCCTCTCTCTCGTATCTCCCTCTCTGGTCTCTCTCTGGTCTCTCTCTCTCTCTCTGGTCTCTCTCTCTCTCTCTGGTCTCTCGCTCTCTCTGGTCTCGCTCTCTCTGGTCTCGCTCTCTGGTCTCTCTCTCTGGTCTCTCTCTCTGGTCTCTCTCTCTGGTCTCTCTCTCTGGTCTCTCTCTCTGGTCTCTCTCTCTGGTCTCTCTCTCTCTGGTCTCTCTCTCTCTCTGGTCTCTCTCTCTCTGGTCTCTCACCTTGCTGAGGACCAGGCTGCTGCTGTTCCACTTCTTGGATAAACAGGTCAAACATCTGGGTCTGGATGAACTTCTTCACAAAGTGCCGTGTGCTTTTGGAGTCGATGGCCTTGTAGAAGCCCCTCTTGTCGAACACACCAGGGGCCCCTCGGTCTCCTTTGGTCCCTCGGTCTCCTTTGGCTCCGTATTGTACATAAGCGCCGTAGTGTCCCAGAGTCTTCACAAAGAAGTGGAGGAAGGTCTCAGAGACCAGACGGTTCAGCTCCTCACCCGCTGAGACACAAGGAGGATTACAGCCAACTCACACAGTCTCTCTCTGGTCTCGCTCTCTGGTCTCGCTCTCTGGTCTCTCTCTCTCTCTCTCTCTGGTCTCTCTCTCTCTGGTCTCTCTCTCTCTGGTCTCTCTCTCTCTGGTCTCTCTCTGGTCTCTCTCTCTCTAGTCTCTCTCTGTCTCTGGTCTGTCTCTCTCTCTTTCTCTCTCTCTGGTCTTTCTCTCTCTAAACCAATAAGAAAAGAAGTCTGTAAAGCAGTTTGTCCAATCAGAAAGCAGGGGGCGGGTCTAAGATTTTGAAAACTCACTTAAGGCGTCTTTCCGTCCTCGTAAAGATTCCAGGATTTCAGCCTGAATTTTATGAGGTAAAATGGACTTTTCGTCTCCGATCTGAAAAAGGAACAAAATGAGGAAAATGGTCCGAGTCCCGGTTGGAGTCTCGGTCCGAGTTTGAGAATGATGCGTCTCTTACAGAGAAGGGAAACGTCTCCTTCTTGTTCTCCGACAGATCGACCACGAGGAGCTGAGGAGAGAGGACAGAGCTGAAAACACAAGTCTGGTCTCTGGTCCCTCTGGTCCCTCTGGTCCCTCTGGTCCCTCTGGTCCCTCTGGTCCCTCTGGTCCCTCTGATCCCTCTGATCCCTCTGGTCCCTCTGGTCCCTGGTCCCTCTGGTCTCTGCTTCCTGGTCCCTCTGCTTCCTGGTCCCTCTGATCCCTCTGGTCCCTCTGGTCCCTCTGGTCTCTGGTCTCTGGTCCCTCTGGTCTCTGGTCCCTCTGGTCTCTGGTCCCTCGCTCTCTGGTCCCTCGCTCTCTGGTGTCTCAGTCCTGGTCCACATCCACAGTATCATAAAGCTCCCCCAGCAGGTAGGCGTGGGTCAGGTCTCAGTTCCCTCAGGTCTTTGGTCCTGGTCTCAGTCCTGGTCTCAGTCCTGGTCCTGGTCCTCACATCCACAGTGTCGTAGAGCTCCCCCAGCAGGCTCCTCTGCACCCCCAGCAGATAGGGGGTGGGGGCAGAGACCACGTCCATGAGGATACGGGGCACGATGGAGATGAAGGTGTGTTGCCACGTGAACGGGTAGAGCAGAGCGGCCACGGCGTGGAGGGCCTGGGACAGGGTGCTGCGGGAACAGGCTGAGGTTTAAGGAGGAGGAGGAAATGGTCTGCTCTCTCCCTCTGGTCCCCCTCTCCCTCTGGTCTCCCTCTCCCTCTGGTCTCCCTCTGGTCTCTCTCTCCCTCTGGTCTCTCTCCCTCTCTCTCTTTGGTCTCTCTCCCTCTCTGGTCTCCCTCTCTGGTCTCTCTCTCTGGTCTCTCTCTCTGGTCTCTCTCTCTGGTCTCTCTCTCTGGTCTCTCTCTCTGGTCTCTCTCTCTGGTCTCTCTCTCTGGTCTCTCTCTCTGGTCTCTCTCTCTGGTCTCTCTCCTCTGGTCTCTCTCCCTCTGGTCTCTCTCTCTCTGGTCTCTCTCTCTCTCTGGTCTCTCTCTCTCTGGTCTCTCTCTCTCTGGTCTCTCTCTCTCTGGTCTCTCTCTCTCTGGTCTCTCTCTCTCTGGTCTCTCTCCCTCTGGTCTCTCTCCCTCTGGTCTCTCTCCCTCTGGTCTCTCTCCCTCTGGTCTCTCTCCCTCTGGTCTCTCTCCCTCTGGTCTCTCTCCCTCTGGTCTCTCTCTCTTTGGTCTCTCTCTCTTTGGTCTCTCTCTCTGGTCTCTCTCTCTGGTCTGTGACTTGATGGTACCTGAGCTCGTCGGCCATGAAGATGATGCGTCTCTCCAGGACGGCGGCGGAGAAGACCAGCAGAACCTCCTCGTCGCTCAGAGACTGGAACAGGACGCTGAAGTTCACATGTTCTAACCAGGAATCCAGAGGACGAGTGAGACGGATGATCTGAGGAGACACGGACCAGAAGTGAGAAGAGAGACCAGAGAGAGAGAGACCAGAGAGGGACCAGAGAGTGAGAGACCAGAGAGAGAGAGACCAGAGAGAGAGAGAGACCAGAGAGAGAGAGAGACCAGAGAGAGAGAGACCAGCGATGGAGACAAGAGACCAGAGAGAGAGGGAAGAAATCCAGAAAGAGAGACCAGAGAGTGATCACAGAGACCAGAAAGAGAGACCAGAGAGAGACCAGAGAGAGACCAGAAAGAGAGACCAGAGAGTTTTACAGCTTTCCTCTGTGACAGGTCCAGACTCGTCTCAAACTTTCAGCAGATAACTCACTGTTCAGGATTATGTAACTGGTTTCAAACAGGCCTCAAACTTTCTCTTGAACAAAAATTCAAAAAATGTCTCTGGTCCTGGTCTCTGTCGCTCTCTGGTCCTGGTCTCTGTCGCTCTCTGGTCTCTGTCGCTCTCTGGTCCTAGTCCCTGGTCCTGGTCCTGGTCTCTCTCCCTGGTCCTCGTCTTGGTCATGGTCATGGTTATGATCCTGGTCCCTGGTCCTGGTCCTGGTCTCTCTCCCTGGTCCTGATCCTGATCCTGATCCTGGTTCTGGTCCTAGTCTTGGTCTTGGTCTTGGTCCCACCTCGGTCCCGGCCCCTGGGATGAAGCTGGTGATCTCCACAGTGTTTCCTGGAGATGGGAACGAGGCCTCGCGAAGCTTCTGCATGAAAGGATAGATCATCGCCATGGAGACCAGCCTCCGCCTCTCCACCTCATCAAAGATCTGAGGGAGACCAGAGGGACATGAGGGACCAGAGGGAGACCAGAGGGACATGAGGGACCAGAGGGAGACCAGAGGGACATGAAGGACCAGAGGGAGACCAGAGGGACATGAGGGACCAGAGGGAGACCAGAGGGACATGAAGGACCAGAGGGAGACCAGAGGGACATGAGGGACCAGAGGGAGACCAGAGGGACACCAGAGGGTGACCAGAGGGTGACCAGAGGGACATGAGGAACCAGAGGGAGACCAGAGAGGGACCAGAGAGACCAGAGAGGGACCAGAGAGGGACCAGAGAGGGACCATAGAGACATGAGGGACCAGAGGGGGACCAGAGAGAGACAAGACGTCACACTCACCAACTGACGTCACACATCACTCCCGAGCCAATGAGAGGCCAGGACCAAATTCATATGTAGTACCACCAAAAAGGTAGAGAGGACGCCACACAGACATTTTTAGGCTCAAAAATGAGATTTTATCTGATTTGCACAAAAATGTCAAAAAATGACCAGGACATGTAGCAGAGACGTAGGCAGAAATGTTGAATAGGGCGGGCCTGAAGAAAAGTGGGCGGGCCAACTTTTGCCAGAGGAAAACTTAATATGATATCCAATAATACCTGCAGACGTGCCTCCTCGGTGAACAGCACAGACTGTAGTGGATACAGGCGCTAATTAGCTACAGTATAAACGATGGGGAATTAAAGTAGATTTAGGAATATATTTGGCATTAGAGGATTTAACCTTTAGAGTCTTAATAAAATGGTATACATTATTATGTTTAGTCATAATAATACATATCACATTATAAAACAAATCACATTTATTAATAGTCAAATTGCCACAAAACCAACTTTACTCCAGGCCTTTGAGCTGAACTGAATCTTAACATCATTGAAAAGATCATCTCTAACAATAAAAGTACAGCAAAGTGATGGAGGCACTTTGGATAAAGAGACTCAAGTGTCCCCACATGTGTGTGTGCGTGTGCGCGCGTGTGTGTGCGTGTGTGTAGCTCCAGCACACACCACAGCAGCTGGTGTAGCGCTCGTGAGACACTGCTCGCGAGTCCGCAGTCAGACCGGGTCCGCATGTGCGGTTCACGGTGTGCAGGGTGAGGTTGGTCCTAGCCCTGTTCTGGATCAAACGCAGCTTCAGACTTCTGCGTTGAGCACTTCTCCCGCACCCGCGGACAGTGTTCCTCATGGTCACAGACAGAGCCATGACTCTGACTCTGAATGGGGCCTGACCGCTCAGATCCACCGCGGTCCATACACTGTAGAAATACGTGGCTGCTTCTTTTGTGCGGCACAGGACGTTTTCTGTGCGCTGAGACCATGGATGTTTTATAATAAGACCCCAAAAGAACAGCGCGATTGAGCACGCATCTAAGAGGGAACAGCCCATCAGTGACATGCAGAAGCAAAAAAATATTCACTATAGAAGACGAGAGTATGACTGTCACACAGAGTGGAGGAGCACTGGAAGTATTTTTTCAGCCTTTAAACCTCCCGTTTCTCAAATGGAGTCTGTTCTGTCTGTCTGTGTGCAGCCCTTATAGATCCATGGAGCAGCCTGAGTTTCCCAGTGCAGTGCGCTGACAGATTAGAACTTATGTAAATGTGTTGAATGGAGATAGACCCATAATACTTTTCTCTGATTACTCACATTTTACCAGTGATGGGAATAACGGCGTTACTAGTAACGGCGCTACTAACGCCGTTACTTTTTTCAGTAACGAGTAATCTAACTAATTACTTTGACAGTAACTATAACGCCGTTATCATTTCCGACATCTTGTTACTGCGCGTTACTCAAGACGCACAATGAACGTGTTGTCATGAGAGAAGGGAGGATGAGAAAACCTCTCAACAATTATTGGCTGATGTAAATCATATTTCCTTTACAATCCACATGTCTACAGTTGAGAGGATGGTCATAAATTGTGTTTTTGAAACAAATATGGGTCTTAATCGCGCTCAACCACGGCTTGTATCACCGTGAGGTCAGCCTCAGAGGAGCGCATGTGAGCGCAGAAGTCGGCTGCATACAATTCCATCGATAAGCTCCTTGCTCTTCCTGGTTTATCTGCTAAGGACAGCAACAGGTTTGGCTAACATACATATAACACATTTTTACATAATCTAAAATGCACATAGGGTAATTTTTCAATTACTATAGGAATGATAAGAAAGAGAGGTGAAGTGTAAGACGGTTGGTTTTAGAAATTGGATGCACCCGGCTGCACCTAGCAAAACAGAGGAGTTTATGGAGGACACACGCGTTTTGTTTTACTTTTTAAAACTCATTGGACTCATTTCCAAATGGAGGATTACATATCTACGCTCAAACCATTCACTGGATTTAAACAAGGAACTGGTCTGAACCGAAGTGGACTGTGCAGGTCATTTATAAGGTAAGACCCATAACTCATAGTTTTGCGTTTTGTATGAACAAACAATGCATGAAACATATTCTGCTGTAGCCAAACAAATTGTCCACTTGATTTATATGATGTATATGTTCATCTGATTGGACTGAAGTCAGTGCTTCACCAGCCTCACCGCTCGTCACCGGTGTTTCCACATTCACAGTGGCGGGTGTTGGTGTTTAGTGCTTACAGCACAGAGAGAGATGGAGAGTGAACAGGACTTCAGCAGCAGAACAGCCTTTTCTAGATGGAAATATTGGCACTGTTAAAGGTAAAAATGCGCACGTCGGGTGCACATTATGTTCCAGAACAAAACGAAAAAGTAACGCAATAGTTACTTTTACTGGTAACTAGTTACTTTTATAGTGGAGTAACTCCGTTAGTAACTCAGTTACTTTTTGGGAGAAGTAACTAGTAACTATAATTAATTACTTTTTCAAAGTAACGTGCCCAACACTGCATTTTACGAGGCTCAGGGGAAACGCGTTTCTTGACACTGGCTACACGGCTTCACTGATCACTTTTCAGAGAGCGCTCCCAGACGGACTTTACTGAAAGTAAACAGTAGCTACTCGTAGAGTTTGGCGCCTCTCTATTTTAAGTGCAGGAGGAAGACAGCCAATCACAGCAGAGAGATGAGGGTCATGTGCTGCTGCTGTGGAGGCGAGGAGGAGGCGCGGCGTCTGAACGTCAAATCATTTATTAAGACATTTTTTAAGGCTTTTTAAATGTCAATGTCAATGTTAAGCATTTTTTTAAAGAGTGAATAAAAGTATCAATCATAAAAAATGGTGAGAAAAATCATGCACGCCTTCTCAGGGCGGGCCAGGTCCTGGGCCAATCAAAAAAGTGGGCGGGCCTGGGCCCACCCTGGCCCTAATGTAAAAACAAACACTCTCCTCAACATCGACAGCATCTGGAACCAAGAGGACCAAGAACCACTTTTGGACCGAGAACCACTTTTGGACCGAGAACCACTTTTGGACCGAGAACCACTTTTGGACCGAGAGCCACTTTTGGACCATCCTTTAAAGAGGTTTTCGAGAGAACTCCATACAAAAGCATTGGAGATTTCTCTTTCCGGGTACACCCCCACAGGTCGGGGTGGTATTGCAGCGCACATGCCCATTGACCTTTTTGAGCCGCACACACCGGTGACTCAGTGTGTGTGTGTCTCTGTGTGTGTCTCTGTGTGTGTCAGTCTTTACCTTGGAGAAGAGTCCAAAGCAGGCGAGGCGACTGATGATGCAGTAGGCTTCAGGAGGACGAGCTCCTTTACCACCGGGCTGCAACACACACACACAGAGAAACACACACACACAGAGAAACACACAGACACACACGCACACACACAGAGAGAGAGACACACACACACACAAACAGAGACGCACACACACACACACACAGAGAGAGACACACACACACAAACAGAGACACGCACACAAACAGAGACACGCACACAAACAGACACACACACACACACAAACAGACACACACAAACACACAAACACAAACAGAGACACACACACACACACACAAACAGAGACACACACACAGGTCACTACAGGTCCTGTTTCCCAGTCTGCGGTCCGCGTCCCTCTCACCAGCAGACGTCTGCAGTAGCCGTTCCTTCTGCTCCCGTCGACCTCCGTCAGAACGAACGAGAAGGTCTCACTGAGGTCAGAGGTCAGAGGGGAATATTTACTATGAATATTTACTCAACTCGGCTTGGGTCAAGTCAGCTCGGCTCAGCTGGTGTCGGCTCGGCTCGGTTCTGGTCTCACCTGCGATACTCGGTCAGAGGCTTCCAGCTGATGCCTTCTGGGAAACAGAACAGAGTGATGGCCTTCAGGACCTTCTCCTCGTCCTCTCTCTGCACACGGCCCATCCCGTCTCTCTGAGAGACACAGTTAGCTTTAGCATCAGTGTTTAGCATTAGCATTAGCGTCAGTGTTTTGCATTAGCATTAGCGTCAGTGTTTTGCACTAGCATTAGCGTCAGTGTTTTGCACTAGCATTAGCGTCAGTGTTTTGCACTAGCATTAGCGTCAGTGTTTAGCATTAGCGTCAGTGTTTAGCACTAGCATTAGCATCAGTGTTTAGCATTAGCATTAGCATCAGTGTTTAGCATTAGCATTAGCATCAGTGTTTAGCATTAGCATTAGCATCAGTGTTTAGCATTAGCATTAGCATCAGTGTCTAGCGTCGGACTCTCAAAAGATTACTGATGACACACAGGACTTTCCTCACAAGAGTTCATGACTCAGATTGGGACCTGGACTGGGACCTGGACTGGGACCTGGACTGGGACCTGGACTGGGACCTGGACTGGGACCTGGACTGGGACCTGGACTGGGACCTGGACTGGGACCTGGACTGGGACCTGGACTGGGACCTGGACTGGGACCTCAGGGACCTGGACTGGAACCTGGACTGGAACCTGGACTGGAACCTGGACTGGAACCTGGACTGGAACCTGGACTGGAACCTGGACTGGAACCTGGACTGGAACCTGGACTGGAACCTGGACTCAGACCTCAGGGACCTACACTGGACCTGGACTCAGACTTGGACTCAGACCTTGGGGAACTGGTAGGAGATGTGTGGCTGGTACTGCTGGTCTTCGCTGGTCCTCTTCAGACTGACCACCACCAGATACTCGAAGAAGTACTGTCCACTGCCATATCTCTGCTGCTGCTGAGAGGGGCCCTCCAGGGGCCCCCGCGGGTCCACAGGCTCCGGAGACTTGGCCCCTGGACACAGACATCATGAGTGTGTGTGTGTCTTTCTGTGTGTATATGTGTGTATGTATGTGCGTGTCTGTGTGCATGTGTATCTGAGTGTGTGTGTGTGTGTCTGTCTGTGCCGTGTCCGTCTGCGTGTGCATGTGCGTCTGCGTGTGCGTCTGCGTCTGCGTGTGCGTCTGCGTGTGCGTCTGCGTCTGCGTGTGCGTCTGCGTGTGCGTGTGCGTCTGCGTCTGCGTGTGCGTCTGCGTCTGCGTGTGCGTCTGCGTGTGCGTCTGCGTGTGCGTCTGCGTGTGCGTCTGCGTGTGCGTCTACGTCTGCGTCTGCGTGTGCGTCTGCGTCTGCGTGTGTACTCACGTTCTTTCTTCCCTTTGTTCCTGAAAGATGAGAGCATGGCACTGACTCTCTTGAAAGCTCCTTGTCGACCTCCATCTTCTCCTGAAGCACAGGGACCAGCTGGAGCACAGGGACAGAGACACAGAGCACAGGGACAGAGACACAGAGCACAGGGACAGAGACACAGAGCACAGGGACAGAGACACAGAGCGCAGGGACAGAGACACAGAGCACAGGGACAGAGACACAGAGCACAGGGACAGAGACACAGAGCACAGGGACAGAGACACAGAGCACAGGGACAGAGACACAGAGCACAGGGACAGAGACACAGAGCACAGGGACAGAGACACAGAGCACAGGGACAGAGACAGGACACAGAGCACAGGGACAGAGACACAGAGCACAGGGACAGAGACACAGAGCACAGGGACAGAGACACAGAGCACAGGGACAGAGACACGTTAGAGTCACAGACAATTTACTTAAAGCCGTAGTACGCAACTTTCAAGCCAAGAATAGAACTAAAGTAACTACTGTTTTATTACAACTCTGTATAAAAGCCTCTGTTTTTGTTCAGTGGAAATGAGGCTTTATGGAGCTATCAGCAAGTAGAGGTCAGGAGTGTGTGTGTGTGTGTCTGTGTGTGTCTGTGTGTGAGCCTACGTGTGTAAACATCACAGATAAAGAAAAGAGAGCTTTAAACAAGGTGCTCCGCTCTGCAAAGAGGACCGTGGGCTGTGAGCTTCCTGTTCTGGAGGTTCTTTATAAATCCAGACTTTTAAACAAAGCTCTTAGGATTGTCAATGACTCTTCTGGCCACCCTGGGAAAGCCATGTTCCAGCTTCTTCCCTCTGGCAGAAGATATCGCTCTCTGAGATGCAGGACATCTCGTTACGCTAACAGTTTTTATCCACAAGCTGTTATCAGTGTGAACAGAGCACTTTAATGATTTGCACTTGTTTTGAAACTGTTTTAGTCGATCCATTTCACAGTGACTTTTGTTTACTGTTTTATTTGTTTTATTTCTGTCTTTTAATGTTGTTTTATGTCTGTATTTGTCTGTGCACACTGGAGACTTTTGCTAATGTATTCCTATGTGGTTTTTTTACTGCAAATGGCAAATAAACTGAATCTGAATCTGTGTGTGTGTGAGCCTACGTGTGTGTCTCTGTGTGTGTGTGAGCCTACGTGTGTGTCTCTGTGTGTGTGTGAGCCTACGTGTGTGTCTCTGTGTGTGTGTGTGAGCCTACGTGTGTGTCTCTGTGTGTGTGTGAGCCTACGTGTGTGTCTCTGTGTGTGTGTGAGCCTACGTGTGTGTCTCTGTGTGTGTGTGAGCCTACGTGTGTGTCTCTGTGTGTGTGTGAGCCTACGTGTGTGTCTCTGTGTGTGTGTGAGCCTACGTGTGTGTCTCTGTGTGTGTGTGGAGCCTACGTGTGTGTCTCTGTGTGTGTGTGAGCCTACGTGTGTGTCTCTGTGTGTGTGGTGGAGCCTACGTGTGTGTCTCTGTGTGTGTGTGAGCCTACGTGTGTGTCTCTGTGTGTGTGTGAGCCTACGTGTGTGTCTCTGTGTGTGTGAGCTGGTGGCCTCGTGTGTGTGTCTCTGTGTGTGTGTGTGGAGCCTACGTGTGTGTCTCTGTGTGTGTGTGTAGCCTACGTGGTGTTGTTTGTGTGTGTGTGGCCTACGTGTGTGTCTACTGTGTGTCTGTGTGTGTGTGTGAGCCTACGTGTGTGTCTCTGTGTGTGTGTGAGCCTACGTGTGTGTCTCTGTGTGTGTGTGAGCCTACGTGTGTGTCTCTGTGTGTGTGTGAGCCTACGTGTGTGTCTCTGTGTGTGTGCCTACGTGTGTGTCTGTGGTGAGCCTGACGTGTGTGTCTCTGTGTGTGTGAGCCTACGTGTGTGTCTCTGTGTGTGTGTGAGCCTACGTGTGTGTCTCTGTGTGTGTGTGAGCCAACGTGTGTGTCTCTGTGTGTGTGAGCCTACGTGTGTGTCTCTGTGTGTGTGTGAGCCTACGTGTGTGTCTCTGTGTGTGTGTGAGCCTACGTGTATGTGTATGTGTGTGTGCGTCTGTCAAAATTTGTGAGTTTCTTTTTCACCAATATTCTACTTTTCAGTTAGAAGTGTTTATGTGAACAGTAGAACACTGACCTCTGCTGGAGTCAGGGACGAGAGCTCCTCTGGGCGGCTCACCTACACACACATACAGGTTAGAGAGAGACCAGAGCGAGACCAGAGGGAGACCAGAGGGAGACCAGAGGGAGACCAGAGGGAGACCAGAGGGAGACCAGAGCGAGACCAGAGGGAGGCCAGAGCGAGACCAGAGGGAGACCAGAGGGAGACCAGAGGGAGACCAGAGGGAGGACCAGAGGGAGACCAGAGGAGGCCAGAGCGAGACCAGAGGGAGACCAGAGGGAGACCAGAGAGAGACCAGAGGGAGACCAGAGGGAGACCAGAGGGAGACCAGAGGGAGACCAGAGGGAGACCAGAGGGAGACCAGACAGAGAGACCAGAGGGAGACCAGAGGGAGACCAGAGAGAGACCAGAGGGAGACCAGAGGGAGACCAGAGGGAGACCAGAGGGAGGCCAGAGCGAGACCAGAGGGAGACCAGAGGGAGACCAGAGCGAGACCAGAGGGAGGCCAGAGCGAGACCAGAGGGAGGCCAGAGCGAGACCAGAGGGAGACCAGAGGGAGACCAGAGAGAGACCAGAGGGAGACCAGAGGGAGACCAGAGGGAGGCCAGAGCGAGACCAGAGGGAGACCAGAGGGAGACCAGAGGGAGGCCAGAGCGAGACCTGAGAGAGACCTGAGAGAGAGACCAGGTCTCTCTCTCTGTGTGTTGTTTATAACAAACATGAGGCTCACACATGTGCAGCAGCTGTAACTCGAGCTCCCACAGGGATCTGACCCAATCACCTGAACCTGAGTCACCGAAACAGCTCTGGGACTGAGCTAACACTGTGACACAACCAGAGACCAGAGAGCAGATCCAGGTCCAGTCCCAGTCCCAGTCCAGTCCTGTCCTGTCCTGTCCTAAAGTCCAGGTCAGAGGATACATAAAGAGCTCAGGGCAGTAATCAGAGATGTGTGTAACTGGAGCTAACAGGTCCTACGCCCTCATCCTGATTTGTTTTGTTGTTGTTTTGGTTTCTGGTCTAAACCCTGGCCTCCCTCTCTGGTCTCCCTCTCTGGTCTCCCTCTCTGGTCTCCCTCTCTGGTCTCCCTCTCTGGTCTCCCTCTCTGGTCTCCCTCTCTGGTCTCCCTCTCTGGTCTCCCTCTCTGGTCTCCCTCTCTGGTCTCCCTCTCTGGTCTCCCTCTCTGGTCTCCCTCTCTGGTCTCCCTCTCTGGTCTCCCTCTCTGGTCTCCCTCTCTGGTCTCTCTCCGGTCTACCTGGTGGCTAGATCGGGGTAGTAGTCAGCAACAGCCCCTCACTGCTCCTCCTGGTCCTCGCGGATCCTCCTGCTCCTCCTGGTCCTCACTGATCCGCAGGAGGCTGCTCTGTCAGTGTGAGCATAGCCTTGATCTTTCAGCGGGGGCTTCAGGCAAAGTGGGTTAAGTGTCTTGCATCAGTGGGAGTCAGTGGAGAAGGTCTTGTGGTGGACTCGAACCCATGACCTTCACACTCAAAGGCTAATGCTCTACAAACTGAGCCCCTGTCGCCCCACTTTGGGTCACCTTGGTCAGTAAAATGCGCTATGTAAATAAAGACTTGCTCTCTCTGGTCTCTCTCTTAAAGTTTGGGGACGTAACTTTCAGACACCATCAACCTCCGTCTGATACCCATGTTTCAGTCACATCTTTAGCCAATCAGCTCTCAGCCAATCAGCTCTCAGCCAATCAGCTCTCAGCCAATCAGCTCTCAGCCAATCAGCTCTCAGCCCACAGAGGCACTCTCAGGGCTCGGTCTGACACAGTAGAACATGTTTTATTTCAGGATGAAGCCTTTGGTTTGGTTTGTTCTGATGCCAATGTAAACACTCAGGTCCTGGTCTCTACATAAACCAGTTTCACCGGTCCTCAGTGCTGTCCCATCATGCACTGCAGCACCCGGCCTGAGGCTCCGAGGCAAGTCCCAACATCTCCGGTCTCGCGCTCTCTGGTCTCGCGCTCTCTGGTCTCGCGCTCTCTGGTCTCGCGCTCTCTGGTCTCGCGCTCTCTGGTCTCGCGCTCTCTGGTCTCGGTCTCGCTCTCTCTGGTCTCGTGCTCTCTGGACTCTGTCTCGCTCTCTCTGGTCTCGCGCTCTCTCCCCCTCTGGTCCCTCTCTGGTCTCACTTGGCCTGGGGCTCTGCAACAAGTCCCAACACAAGACCAGAGAGATTCTACATTCTTGAACCTCTAAACCAGGTTCATGTTTGTGGTCTGCAAGGTCTTTACGAAAACTAAAGAAAGCAAGATATCTGTCACTGGGACAATATCTCTGGTCTCTCTCTCTGGTCTCTCTCTCTGGTCTCTCTCTCTGGTCTCTCTCTCTGGTCTCTCTCTCTGGTCTCTCTCTCTGGTCTCTCTCGATAGTCTCTCTCTCGATAGTCTCTCTCTCGATAGTCTCTCTCTCGATAGTCTCTCTCTTTCTCTCTCTCTCTGGTCTCTCTCTTTCATTAGAGCCAGAAACTTTCGTGACGTGGATTCTGTTGTGATCTGAAAATTACGTACCCGAGCTTTAAACGTAACTGTTTTTTTATGGAGAAACGCAGCTGCAGGTTTTAACAAGAGACAGATCCACGGGAGCGAGAACACACACGTGTCAGGTCCACGGCCGGGCCCACACAGAGGAGGGTGAGGAGGGGGGTGAGGAGGGTGAGGAGAGGGGAGGGGGGTCCGGACTCACTCCAGCGCTGGCGTAGGTCTCCCACGCGGTCCTTCCGTCTCATCAGGACCCCGCTGCTCATGGTGCGGTCACCGGGAGGGCCTCTGCACGCATCGCTCTGGAGGACCGAGTCTGATCCCTCTGGTCCTGGTCTAGTCCTGGATCCTGGGTCTTGGTCTTAATCTGATCCCGAGTATGATCCTGGGTCCTGGTCTTGGTCTGATCCTGAGTATGATCCTGGGTCCTGGGTCTTGGGTCTTGCTCAGATCCGGGTCTGTGGACTGAACACCTGAACACCTGTGGCTGTCCTCTGGGCGCGCTCTCGACACAAACATGCGCGCGCCTCAGTGGGTGGAGCTTAGACCAGACTGTTTGGACCATAGACTGTTTGGACCATAGACTGTTTGGACCATAGACTGTTTGGACCATAGACTCTTTGGACCATAGACTGTTTGGACCATATATCTGGGGTCTATGCCTGTGTCTGCGTGTGTGTGTGTCTCTGTTTGCGTGCATGCGTGTGCGTGTGTGTCTCACCTTTGTCCCGCGGGCTGTGAGGAGAGGGTTCTACAAACACAAATGTGATTTCAAAGTAAAACAATGAACCTAGTTTTGATTTTTATGATATATTTAAGTTGTAATTAAAATATATTCAGTCCTGGTCCAGTCTTGGTCCAGTCCTGGGTCAGTCCTGGGTCAGTCCTGGGTCAGTCCCGGTCCAGACTCACCTCTCCTGCGGTTGGGGACAGAGGAGAAGGACCGGAGGCCTCTGCGCCTGAAGCTGTCCTCTTCACTGTGGCGCCTCTCTGTGGACACATGAGGTACTACATCAGCCTGAGAGAGAGCACAGAGAGAGAGAACAGAGAGAGCACAGAGAGAGCACAGAGAAAACACAGAGAGAGAGCACAGAGAGAACACAGAGAGAACACAGAGAGAGCACAGAGCAGAGAGAACAAAGAGAGAGAACACAGAGAGAGCACAGAGCAGAGAGATCTGAGAGAACAAAGAGAGAGCACAGAGAGAGAGAACACAGAGCAGAGAGAACAGAGAGAGAGCACAGAGGGAGCACAGAGAGAGAGAACACAGAGCAGAGAGAACAGAGAGAGAGCACAGAGGGAGCACAGAGGGAGCACAGAGAGAGCACAGAGAGAGCACAGAGGGAGCACAGAGAGAGCACAGAGGGAGCACAGAGAGAGCACAGAGAGAGCACAGAGGGAGCACAGAGAGAGCACAGAGAGAGCACAGAGGGAGCACAGAGAGAGCACAGAGGGAGCACAGAGGGAGCACAGAGAGAGCACAGAGAGAGCACAGAGAGAGCACAGAGGGAGCACAGAGAGAGCACAGAGAGAACAGTTACTTTTGATTCTCAGAGATGAGAAGCTGAAGCTCCTCCGGGAGCTCGGGGTCAGCGGCTCCGGACTCTGAAAAAGGAAACAACAGATTCAGATCATTTTCAATCTACAGTAAAACCCCGTTGGAAAACACGAGCAAGAGTCTCCAGTGCAGCAGACACAGAAACCATCGTCTGTGAAACCATCAACACAAACAACACAATACAAGATCACTAAAGTCTTTGCTCAGACTGAGGACAGCTGTTAGCATGTTAGTATGTTAGCATGATAGTATGTTAGCATGATAATATGTTAGCATGATAGCATGTTTGCATGATAGTATGTTAGCATGATAGTATGTTAGTATGTTAGCATGTTAGCATGTTAGCATGTTTGCATGATAGTATGTTAGCATGTTAGTATCTCAGACAACGATATCTTCTGCCAGAGGGAAGAAGCTGGAACATGGCTTTTCCAGGAGCCAGAAGATTCACTGATCATTCTGAGATCTGGATTTAAGAGTCTGGTCTCTCTCTCTGGTCTCTCTGGTCTCTCTCTGGTCTCTCTCTCTGGTCTCTCTCTGGTCTCTCTCTCCGGTCTCTCTCTCTGGTCTCTCTCTGGTCTCTCTCTCTGGTCTCTCTCTGGTCTCTCTCTGGTCTCTCTCTCCGGTCTCTCTCTCTGGTCTCTCTCTCCGGTCTCTCTCTGGTCTCTATCTGAGCTCTCTCTCTCTGGTGTCTCTCTCTTGTTTCTCTCTCTGGTCTCTCTCTCCAGTCTCTCTCTCTGGTCTCTCTCTGGTCTCTCTCTGGTCTCTCTCTCTGGTCTCTCTCTCTGGTCTCTCTCTGGTCTCTCTCTCTGGTCTCTGGTCTCTCTCTGGTCTCTCTCTTGGTCTCTCTCTCTGGTCTCTCTCTGGTCTCTCTCTCTCTCTGGTCTCTCTCTGGTCTCTCTCTGGTCTCTCTCTCTGGTCTCTCTCTCTGGTCTCTCTCTGGTCTCTCTCTTTGGTCTCTCTCTCTGGTTTCTCTACCTGGTCTTTACCAGCAAGTTAGCCGGGAGCAGCGTCTGCACTCAGAGCTCTTATCCACCCTCATTTGGTCAGGTTTGGGGAAGGACCCACAGGACCAGATGCTCCCTCAGACAGAGGAGAAGGAGCTCGGAGTAGAGCCGCTGCTGAGATGTCCCAGAGGGAGGACCCAGGAGGGACTGTGTCTGAGGCTGGGAACGCCCCAGAAAACATTAACATGGTGCCTCCTGCGTGTGAAAACTAAGCAGGGCAGGGCTTGGTTAGTACTGTGATGGGAGACCTCTGAACAGCAGGTGCCACAGTGGGGCGGCTGCGGCTGTAAAGTGCCAAACTGTGGTTGTGTCCTTAGGCAAGACACTACACAATGATGTGTGTCTGTGTCGGGTGTGGTGGGAGGGCACTGGTCCCTGTGCTCCTCAGAGTTGGTTCATGTGGCTCTGATATGTCACAGATGGACTTTGGTGCAAGACCAAACTGAGACCTGAGACCAGGACTAATGTGAGAGGACTTCATGGCAGAGACCTGAGACAGACCTGAGACAGACCAGAGAGAGACCAGAGAGAGACCAGAGAGAGACCAAAGAGAGACCAGAGAGAGACCAGAGAGAGACCAAAGAGAGACCAGAGAGAGACCAGAGAGAGACCAAAGAGAGACCAGAGATAGACCAGAGAGAAACCAGAGAGAGACCAGAGAGAGACCAGAGAGAGACCAGAGAGAGACCAGAGAAAGACCAGAGAGAGACCAAAGAGAGACCAGAGAGAGACCAGAGAGAGACTAAAGAGAGACCAGAGAGAGACCAGAGAGAGACCAGAGAGAGACCAGAGAAAGACCAGAGAGAGACCAAAGAGAGACCAGAGAGAGACCAGAGAGAGACCAGAAAGAGACCAAAGAGAGACGAAAGAGAGACCAGAGAGAGACCAGAGACAAACCAGAGAGAGACCAGAGAGAGACCAGAGAGAGACCAGAGATAGACCAGAGAGAGAGACCAGAGAGATGGACCAGAGACAAACCAGAGAGAGACCAGAAAGAGACCAAAGAGAGACCAGAGGGAGACAAAAGAGAGACCAGAGAGAGTCCAGAGAGAGAGACCAGAGAGAGACCGGAGAGAGAGACCAGAGAGAGACCGGAGAGAGACCAGAGAGAGACCAGAGAGATGACCAGAGACAAACCAGAGCGAGACCAGAAAGAGACCAGAGGGAGACAAAAGAGAGACAAAAGAGAGAACAGAGAGAGACCAGAGAGAGACCAGAGAGAGACCAGAGAGAGACCTGAGAGAGACCAGAGAGAGAGACCAGAGAGAGACCAGAGAGAGACCAGAGAGAGACCAGAGAGAGACCAGAGAGAGACCAGAGAGAGACTCAGATGAACACAAACAGTGTCATATGAAGCAGGTCAAAGTACGGCTAACAGAGACTCACCTCCAAAGTGTCCTCCATGTGTCGCCAGGGGCCTCTCTCTTTCTCTCCGGGGACCTCTCTCTCTCTCTCTCCAGGGACCTCTCTCTCTCTCTCTCCAGGGACCTCTTTCTCTCCCTGGGGGCCTCACTCACACCAGGGGCCTCTCATGCTTCAGTGGTGGAGCCTGGGAACCGGTCAGAGATGGCAGTCGACTGTCACAGCCGTAAGCAAGAGTTTAAGGAAGTGTGAAAGTCTGAACGTCGCTCTGGGTTATTTCCTCTTCCAGTGTGTGTGTGTGTGTGTGTGTGTGTGTATGTGCGCGCATGTGTGTCTATTTGTGTGTGTGTGTGTGTGTGTGTGTTTGTGGGTGTGTTAAACCTGCCTGTCCACTCACTCTTTTGTTGTGAATAATAATCATTGACAATGTCGTTTCGTGCAGCCGCAGACACACACACTCAGACAAACACACAGACACACACACGCACACACACACACACGCACACACACACACACGCACGCACACACACACACACGCACACACACACACACACACACACACACACAGTACTATATATACTTTATGAGGACCTGGATGAACCTTGGAATGCCCTGATGGTTTCTCCAACATTTATTATGGTGCAGAGTTAAATATTTACAATAGACTTGATAATAGAAATGCAAGTTGTGGGCCGTGTTTGAATTACCCAGAATCCTTTGAGGGGGCAGTACCAACTGATCTGTTGTGATTCTTTTTATGTCATGGTGCAACTTTTTTAGTTCTCTGTCTTTTAGTTTTACTTCCTGTCCTGTCCATGTGTCTATATGTACCTGTGTCTATGTGTCTATGTACCTGTGTCTATGTGTCTATGTACCTGTGTCCATGTGTCTATGTACCTGTGTCTATGTACCTGTGTCCATGTGTCTATGTACCTGTGTCTAGTGTCTATGTACCTGTGTCCATGTGTCTATGTACCTGTGTCCATGTGTCTATGTACCTGTGTCTATGTGTCTATGTACCTGTGTCCATGTGTCTATGTACCTGTGTCCATGTGTCTATATGTACCTGTGTCTATGTGTCTATGTACCTGTGTCCATGTGTCTATGTACCTGTGTCCATGTGTCTATGTACCTGTGTCCATGTGTCTGTGTACCTGTGTCCATGTGTCTATGTACCTGTGTCCATGTGTCTATGTACCTGTGTCCATGTGTCTATGTACCTGTGTCCATGTGTCTATGTACCTGTGTCCATGTGTCTATGTACCTGTGTCTATGTGTCTATGTACCTGTGTCCATGTGTCTATGTACCTGTGTCTATGTGTCTGTGTACCTGTGTCCATGTGTCTATGTACCTGTGTCTATGTGTCTATGTACCTGTGTCCATGTGTCTATGTACCTGTGTCTATGTGTCTATGTACCTGTGTCCATGTGTCTATGTACCTGTGTCCATGTGTCTATGTACCTGTGTCCATGTGTCTATGTACCTGTGTCCATGTGTCTATGTACCTGTGTCTATGTGTCTATGTACCTGTGTCCATGTGTCTATGTACCTGTGTCTATGTGTCTATGTACCTGTGTCCATGTGTCTATGTACCTGTGTCTATGTACCTGTGTCCATGTGTCTATGTACCTGTGTCTATGTACCTGTGTCCATGTGTCTATGTACCTGTGTCCATGTGTCTATGTACCTGTGTCCATGTGTCTATGTACCTGTGTCTATGTGTCTATGTACCTGTGTCCATGTGTCTATGTACCTGTGTCTATGTGTCTATGTACCTGTGTCATGTGTCTATGTACCTGTGTCCATGTGTCTATGTACCTGTGTCATGTGTCTATGTACTGTGTCTATGTACCTGTGTCCATGTGTCTATGTACCTGTGTCCATGTGTCTATGTACCTGTGTCCATGTGTCTATGTACCTGTGTCCATGTGTCTATGTACCTGTGTCCATGTGTCTATGTACCTGTGTCTATGTGTCTATGTACCTGTGTCCATGTGTCTATGTACCTGTGTCTATGTGTCTATGTACCTGTGTCCATGTGTCTATGTACCTGTGTCTATGTGTCTATGTACCTGTGTCCATGTGTCTATTACCTGTGTCTATGTGTCTATGTACCTGTGTCTATGTGTCTATGTACCTGTGTCCATGTGTCTATGTACCTGTGTCTATGTGTCTATGTACCTGTGTCTATGTGTCTATGTACCTGTGTCCATGTGTCTATGTACCTGTGTCCATGTGTCTGTGTACCTGTGTCCATGTGTCTATGTACCTGTGTCTATGTGTCTATGTACCTGTGTCCATGTGTCTATGTACCTGTGTCCATGTGTCTATGTACCTGTGTCCATGTGTCTATGTACCTGTGTCCATGTGTCTATGTACCTGTGTCCATGTGTCTATGTACCTGTGTCTATGTGTCTATTTACCTGTGTCTATGTGTCTATGTACCTGTGTCCATGTGTCTATGTACCTGTGTCCATGTGTCTATGTACCTGTGTCTATGTGTCTATATGTACCTGTGTCCATGTGTCTGTGTACCTGTGTCTATGTGTCTATGTACCTGTGTCTATGTGTCTATGTACCTGTGTCCATGTGTCTATGTACCTGTGTCCATGTGTCTATGTACCTGTGTCTATGTGTCTATGTACCTGTGTCTATGTGTCTATGTACCTGTGTCCATGTGTCTATGTACCTGTGTCTATGTACCTGTGTCCATGTGTCTATGTACCTGTGTCTATTTACCTGTGTCTCTCTCTCTCTGGTCTCTCGTTTCCCTCTCTGGTCTCTCTCTGGTCTCTCTCTGGTCTCTCTCTCTGGTCTCTCTGGTCTCTCTGGTCTCTCTCGTTTCTCTCTCTGGTCTCTCTGGTCTTGCTCTCTGGTCTCTCTGGTCTCTCTGGTCTTGCTCTCTGGTCTCTCTGGTCTTGCTCTCTGGTCTCTCTGGTCTCTCTGGTCTTGCTCTCTGGTCTCTCTCTGGTCTCTCTCTGGTCTCTCTGGTCTCTCTCTGGTCTCTCTGGTCTCTCTCTGAACACTAAAGATGAAGACAGAATGTTGTGTCTGATTTGTTGACGACATTTTGCTATAAGACTCATTCTGTTCAAACTACATGTTATTGATGAGACTAAAGTTACAGACCTGAGCTTTAAACATGTGTTATTGATGAGACTAAAGTTACAGACCTGAGCTTTAAACATGTGTTATTGATGAGACTAAAGTTACAGACCTGAGCTTTAAACATGTGTTATTGATGAGACTAAAGTTACAGACCTGAGCTTAAACATGTGTTATTGATGAGACTAAAGTTACAGACCTGAGCTTTAACATGTGTTATTGATGAGACTAAAGTTACAGACCTGAGCTTTAAACATGTGTTATTGATGAGACTAAAGTTACAGACCTGAGCTTTAAACATGTGTTATTGATGAGACTAAAGTTACAGACCTGAGCTTTAACTACATGTTATTGATGAGACTAAAGTTACAGACCTGAGCTTTAAACATGTGTTATTGATGAGACTAAAGCTACAGACCTGAGCTTTAACCATGTGTTATTGATGAGACTAAAGTTACAGACCTGAGCTTTAAACATGTGTTATTGATGAGACTAAAGTTACAGACCTGAGCTTTAAACATGTGTTATTCTCTGGTCTAGCAGCAGGGGGCGCTGTTCAACTCTGCACAGACACGGAGGCAGAGGAAGAGGACTGACATCAAAACAAAGGGACTTCACCAGACACAGGGACCAGAGACCAGAGAGACCAGAGAGAGACCAGAGAGAGACCAGAGAGACCAGAGAGAGACCAGAGAGAGACCAGAGAGAGACCAGAGAGAGAGACCAGAGAGAGACCAGAGAGAGGCCAGAGAGAGAGACCAGACAGAGACCAGAGACCAGAGAGAGACCAGAGAGAGAGACCAGAGAGAGACCAGAGAGAGACCAGAGAGAGACCAGAGAGACCAGAGAGAGACCAGAGAGAGACCAGAGAGAGACCAGAGAGAGACCAGAGAGAGACCAGAGAGAGAGAGACCAGAGAGAGACCAGCGAGAGAGACCAGAGAGAGACCAGAGAGAGACCAGAGAGAGACCAGAGAGAGACCAGAGAGAGACCAGAGAGAGACCAGAGAGAGACCAGAGAGAGAGACCAGAGAGAGACCAGAGAGAGACCAGAGAGAGACCAGAGAGAGAGACCAGAGAGAGACCAGACAGAGACCAGAGACCAGAGAGACCACAGAGACCACAGAGAGACCAGACCCTCCGTAGACCGGCTCTCTGTGGTCATGTTTGCCGGGTGGATCATCGCTGTCCCCCTGTCTGCAGAGCACGCCTAGGGGCCCCTCTCTGGCCCCTCCCCTGCCGCTGCTGAGAGCCTGACCCCGGGGCCCGTGATGGAGAGGGGAGCGGACGTACGGAGCAGGTCTGTGTCAGGGCTCAGTGTATTTCCACCGCTTCTATTGTACTTTCTGTAGATGTTTAAAAGAACCATGTGTAAGAACTGTCATCATTACATCTGTCTCTAGACTAAGTTCAGGGAATGATAATGTCAACGTTACTTTTCCAGCCCCTAAATCTTGTTATTGTTTTCATCTCGATGTCCCGCCCTCCACCGTTTAACCAATCAGAAAGTCTGTGGTCCGGGCGCCAGACCTCACAGTGTCGATCTCACTGGTAAAGTACCATGTGGCCTAAAACAGGTCTAAAAACTAAAAAAGGTAACAAAACAAGGAATAAAACCAGAATTTCTATCTTTGTGAAAAAGGTGTTGGTTATAGATTAGTTGTTGACAAAACTCTTGTCTATTCAGCTGTTATGGTCCCAGCTGGATTCATCTGCTTATCTGGCAACCTGAGTCAGGGAGAGTGGGAGAGGCTGCAGTACGACTTTTGGACAGATGTTTACAGACCGCTGCTTTAACTGATGACAGTAGTCCAGGGAAATGAGAATCTGCAGATGGATTTACACTTATATACAGTCTATGATTTACACCCTGTAAATCTGGTTTGTTTTTATTTCGAGGCCCCGCCCCCCACAGTTTGACCAATCAGAAAGTCAGTGATCCAGGAGCTAATCTCACTGGGAACATGTCAGAGACTAAAAACGGTCTCGTTATGATTCTCAAATCATCAATGACAAAACAGGGAATAAAAGCAGGATCTGTGTCGGGACAAGAACTTTTCATCTGACGCAAAACTGTCAAAGTTCCTCATTGACAAGTGAGTAAAGCACTGATGTTTTCTATTGTAATCAATGAAAATGGACAATACAAAGTATGTTCCCATAACAGATGATTAGCATGCTAGCTCAATGGGAGCCTTCTAGAGACACTTCAGATCCATTACACATCGATAATGTGTAATCGAACTGAAAAGGGCTAAATATTTTTGACAAACAATAATGTCGATCTGGGTTGTGTTGTGTCAGTGTTAGTTCTGGTGTGTTCACCTGGTGGTACCAGTGGTTGTGGTTTGTTTTAGTCTAGTTTTCAGACAGTACTGACTCTAACAAGTGGGTGTATATTGTTTTCAGACATGATGCATTTCCACCTGAGAAGAGCCTAATCTCGGTGTAAAATGTGTTGTTTATAGCTTTGCTGTTGACCTTTGTCTGTTCAGTTACTATGGTCCCAGCAGCTCCGGCCCGAGCCAGAGGCCGTGGAAGAAGCCGCACCCGACTGCTCCATCACTGCCCAGTCCTGGAGGATCATCACGGTCAGTTGTCAGAGCCACATGATTTTTGATTTCACTGCATTTTCTGCAACACTTTGAGCCTAAAATGATACTTCTTCTACAGACGGGACCTGAACCAAGGCACACAGTTCTCAGCAGTTCTACAGGAAAGGTAGAAGATGAAAACCAGATGGTGAACGGATGTTGGAGCCATTTTGTGATTTGTCATTTTACTGCCTCCTACCACCGTGTGGCGCCACCTCACATTGTATGCCCTATAAAAGTGGGCAGTACCAGTGTGCGCGGGTCCCAGCTCAAAAAAAGTGGCTCTTGGTCCAAAAGTGGTTCTTGGTCCTCTTGGTTCCAGATGCTGTTGAGGAGAGTGTATGTTTTTGGACCAGTCTAGTTTAGTTGCTGTGGACTTTAGAATGCAGCTGACGCTTGCGCAGATGCCTTTTTTCTCATGTTCCAGTCCCCGTGGCCATTTTGAAACTGCCATAGACAGCAAAAGTGATGTCACATGTTTCAATGGCGGAGATGGACTGACTACGTCTATAATATTAACAGTCTATGGGCAGTGCTGACTCTCCTCAGTTTTAGTGTGAGATCTGTGATTGGATATAAACTGGAACACAACACACACCAGCGAACCGTGCACATGGTTTTGGAAACAGAACAGGAGCAGCCAGGAAAACAAGAGAACCTACTGTGTAAGACTCGTCACCAGCCATTTGAAGTAACCTCGTGTAATTCGGCTGCATATCTGGCAACCAGAGTCAGGGTGAGTGCTGGACTCTACCGGCCCGTCTTCGTTTACACGCGTAGGCTGCTGCCCGTCAGACGTGCGTAAAACAGAACAGTGGCCACAGCGGCTTCAGCAGCTCTGGCTGTGTTTATCCCCTTCTCCTCCCGAGTGTAGGGCTTTGTTTTAACTTCAGACCAGTCACACAGACACTGCTCCCTACGTCACACAGACACACTGCTCCCTACGTCACACAGACACACTGCCCCTACGTCACACAGACACACTGCTCCCTACGTCACACAGACACACTGCTCCCTACGTCACACAGACACACTGCTCCCTACGTCACACAGACACACTGCTCCCTACGTCACACAGACACACTGCTCCCTACGTCACACAGACACACTGCTCCCTACGTCACACAGACACACTGCTCCCTACGTCACACAGACACACTGCTCCCTACGTCACACAGACACACTGCTCCCTACGTCACACAGACACACTGCTCCCTACGTCACACAGACACACTGCTCCCTACGTCACACAGACACACTGCTCCCTACGTCACACAGACACACTGCTCCCTACGTCACACAGACACACTGCTCCCTACGTCACACAGACACACTGCTCCCTACGTCACACAGACACACTGCTCCCTACGTCACACAGACACACTGCTCCCTACGTCACACAGACACACTGCTCCCTACGTCACACAGACACACTGCTCCCTACGTCACACAGACACTGCCCCCTACGTCACACAGACACACTGCTCCCTACGTCACACAGACACACTGCTCCCTACGTCACACAGACACACTGCTCCCTACGTCACACAGACACTGCCCCCTACGTCACACAGACACACTGCTCCCTACGTCACACAGACACTGCTCCCTACGTCACACAGACACTGCTCCCTACGTCACACAGACACTGCTCCCTACGTCACACAGACACACTGCTCCCTACGTCACACAGACACACACTGCTCCCTACGTCACACAGACACACTGCTCCCTACGTCACACAGACACACTGCTCCCTACGTCACACAGACACTGCTCCCTACGTCACACAGACACACTGCTCCCTACGTCACACAGACACACTGCTCCCTACGTCACACAGACACTGCTCCCTACGTCACACAGACACACTGCTCCCTACGTCACACAGACACACTGCTCCCTACGTCACACAGACACACTGCTCCCTACGTCACACAGACACTGCCCCCTACGTCACAGACACTGCCCCCTACGTCACACAGACACACTGCTCCCTACGTCACACAGACACACTGCTCCCTACGTCACACAGACACTGCTCCCTACGTCACACAGACACACTGCTCCCTACGTCACACAGACACACTGCTCCCTACGTCACACAGACACTGCTCCCTACGTCACACAGACACTGCTCCCTACGTCACACAGACACACTGCTCCCTACGTCACACAGACACACTGCTCCCTACGTCACACAGACACACTGCTCCCTACGTCACACAGACACTGCTCCCTACGTCACACAGACACTGCTCCCTACGTCACACAGACACACTGCTCCCTACGTCACACAGACACACTGCTCCCTACGTCACACAGACACACTGCTCCCTACGTCACACAGACACACTGCTCCCTACGTCACACAGACACACTGCTCCCTACGTCACACAGACACTGCTCCCTACGTCACACAGACACACTGCTCCCTACGTCACACAGACACACTGCTCCCTACGTCACACAGACACACTGCTCCCTACGTCACACAGACACTGCCCCCTACGTCACAGACACTGCCCCCTACGTCACACAGACACACTGCTCCCTACGTCACACAGACACACTGCTCCCTACGTCACACAGACACTGCTCCCTACGTCACACAGACACACTGCTCCCTACGTCACACAGACACTGCCCCCTACGTCACACAGACACACTGCTCCCTACGTCACACAGACACACTGCTCCCTACGTCACACAGACACTGCTCCCTACGTCACACAGACACACTGCTCCCTACGTCACACAGACACACTGCTCCCTACGTCACACAGACACACTGCTCCCTACGTCACACAGACACTGCCCCCTACGTCACAGACACTGCCCCCTACGTCACAGACACTGCCCCCTACGTCACACAGACACACTGCTCCCTACGTCACACAGACACACTGCTCCCTACGTCACACAGACACTGCTCCCTACGTCACACAGACACACTGCTCCCTACGTCACACAGACACTGCCCCCTACGTCACACAGACACACTGCTCCCTACGTCACACAGACACTGCCCCCTACGTCACACAGACACACTGCTCCCTACGTCACACAGACACACTGCTCCCTACGTCACACAGACACTGCTCCCTACGTCACACAGACACACTGCTCCCTACGTCACACAGACACTGCTCCCTACGTCACACAGACACTGCTCCCTACGTCACACAGACACACTGCTCCCTACGTCACACAGACACTGCTCCCTACGTCACACAGACACTGCTCCCTACGTCACACAGACACTGCTCCCTACGTCACACAGACACTGCTCCCTACGTCACACAGACACTGCTCCCTACGTCACACAGACACTGCTCCCTACGTCACACAGACACTGCTCCCTACGTCACACAGACACTGCTCCCTACGTCACACAGACACTGCTCCCTACGTCACACAGACACACTGCTCCCTACGTCACACAGACACTGCTCCCTACGTCACACAGACACTGCTCCCTACGTCACACAGACACTGCTCCCTACGTCACACAGACACACTGCTCCCTACGTCACACAGACACACTGCTCCCTACGTCACACAGACACTGCTCCCTACGTCACACAGACACACTGCTCCCTACGTCACACAGACACACTGCCCCCTACGTCACACAGACACACTGCTCCCTACGTCACAGACACACTGCTCCCTACGTCACACAGACACACTGCTCCCTACGTCACACAGACACACTGCTCCCTACGTCACACAGACACACTGCTCCCTACGTCACAGACACTGCTCCCTACGTCACACAGACACTGCTCCCTACGTCACACAGACACTGCTCCCTACGTCACACAGACACACTGCTCCCTACGTCACACAGACACACTGCTCCCTACGTCACACAGACACACTGCTCCCTACGTCACACAGACACTGCCCCCTACGTCACACAGACACACTGCTCCCTACGTCACACAGACACTGCTCCCTACGTCACACAGACACACTGCTCCCTACGTCACACAGACACTGCTCCCTATGTCACACAGACACTGCTCCCTATGTCACACAGACACTGCTCCCTACGTCACACAGACACACTGCTCCCTACGTCACACAGACACTGCTCCCTACGTCACACAGACACTGCTCCCTACGTCACACAGACACTGCTCCCTACGTCACAGACACTGCTCCCTACGTCACACAGACACTGCTCCCTACGTCACAGACACTGCTCCCTACGTCACACAGACACACTGCTCCCTACGTCACACAGACACTGCTCCCTACGGCACACAGACACTGCTCCCTACGTCACACAGACACACTGCTCCCTACGTCACACAGACACACTGCTCCCTACGTCACACAGACACTGCTCCCTACGTCACACAGACACACTGCTCCCTACGTCACACAGACACTGCCCCCTACGTCACACAGACACACTGCTCCCTACGTCACAGACACACTGCTCCCTACGTCACACAGACACACTGCTCCCTACGTCACACAGACACACTGCTCCCTACGTCACACAGACACACTGCTCCCTACGTCACACAGACACACTGCTCCCTACGTCACAGACACTGCTCCCTACGTCACACAGACACTGCTCCCTACGTCACACAGACACTGCTCCCTACGGCACACAGACACTGCTCCCTACGTCACACAGACACACTGCTCCCTACGTCACACAGACACACTGCTCCCTACGTCACACAGACACTGCTCCCTACGTCACACAGACACTGCTCCCTACGTCACACAGACACTGCTCCCTACGTCACACAGACACTGCTCCCTACGGCACACAGACACTGCTCCCTACGTCACAGACACTGCTCCCTACGTCACAGACACACTGCTCCCTACGTCACACAGACACTGCTCCCTACGTCACACAGACACTGCTCCCTACGTCACACAGACACTGCTCCCTACGGCACACAGACACTGCTCCCTACGTCACAGACACTGCTCCCTACGTCACAGACACTGCTCCCTACGTCACACAGACGAATGTTGCGGGCATTGGAGCCACTTCCATTCACCCTTATGGAGAAAACGGAAACAGAGATGAAACGAACATGTTTGGACGGATAAGTAGAACGTTTGACGCAGCCGGTGGAGGTGGGGCCTTAGGGTTAGAGTTAGGCCTGCAGAGTTCTGACTGTGATTGCAGTACCACTTTTAACCAGATTTGTACCTATGGCTCCTTTAAACTTGTACCGTGGTGTAATAGATGTGTTCTTACTGACAGATCAAAGTAGTTTATGGATGAGGTTCTTTACCAGACCAGAGAGAGACCAGAGAGAGACCAGAGAGAGACCAGAGAGAGACCAGAGAGAGACCAGAGAGAGGCCAGAGAGAGGCACCAGAGAGAGGCACCAGAGAGAGAGACCAGAGAGAGACCAGAGAGAGACCAGAGAGAGGCCAGAGAGAGGCCAGAGAGAGGCCAGAGAGAGTCCAGAGAGAGTCCAGAGAGAGTCCAGAGAGAGTCCAGAGAGAGTCCAGAGAGAGTCCAGAGAGAGTCCAGAGAGAGGCCAGAGAGAGGCCAGAGAGAGGCCAGAGAGAGGCCAGAGAAAGACCAGAGAGAGAGACCCAGGCTAACCCAGATGGTGATGTCACAGTAGACTCTGTGCTTCCAGTGGGACGCGGCTCTTCTACCAGGTGAAACCGTCCGGTCGGAGGAGAGTCCTGAAGATGGTCCCTGGCAGGCCGGTCCAGACCCACACCCCAATCCCACCCTTCGCCCGCACCAAGTCCTCCCTGGTCTCCCTCCAGTCCAAGTCCCACCTGGTCTCCCTCCAGTCCCCTCCAGTCCACAGGGCGTCCGGACAGTCCCTGGTGACCTCGGACCTCCGGGAGTTCAGGAGGGTCTTAGGTCGTGACCGTAGAGAGGGGAGGTCTGAGCTGGTCCTCCGCCTGCCGCAGAGACCCGAGGGCCCCAGTGTGTGGGTGGTGCAGGAGAAGATCTCTCTCCCTCCGGCTGAGGAGGTGCAGGGGGTGGAGGGGGTGGAGGAGGTGCAGGGGGGACCGGACTGTGCTGTGGTGATGTGGGATGACCGCATTTTCTTCAGAGTCCAGAAGGAGCTGGTCGACCTCTGCACAGATGAGGAGGAAGAGGAGGAGGAGCAGGAGGAGGTGATGTTTGTGGGCTGCTCTCCTGCTCAAACAGCTCAGGAGAAACCAGGGGTTACTCTGGCTCCTGGGGGCCTCTCCACACCGACTGTGTCTAGCAGAGAAGGGCCCAAATCCAGAGGACAGGACCTGCAGGTAATGTGAAGGTCTCTCTCTCTGGTCTCTCTCTGGTCTATCTCTCTCTGGTCTCTCTCTCTGGTCTCTCTCTCTGGTCTCTCTCTCTGGTCTCTCTCTCTGGTCTCTCTCTGGTCTCTCTCTCTAATCTCTCTGGTCTCTCTGATCTCTCTGGTCTCTCTCTGATCTTTCTGGTCTCTCTGGTCTCTCTCTGGTCTCTGGTCTCTCTCTGGTCTCTCTCTGATCTCTCTCTGATCTCTCTGGTCTCTCTCTGGTCTCTCTCTGATCTCTCTGGTCTCTCTCTGATCTCTCTCTGGTCTCTCTCTGATCTCTCTCTGGTCTCTCTCTGATCTCTCTCTGGTCTCTCTCTGGTCTCTCTCTGGTCTCTCTGGTCTCTCTCTGGTCTCTCTGGTCTCTGGTCTCTCTCTGGTCTCTCTCTCTGTCTCTCTCTGGTCTCTCTCTGGTCTCTCTCTGGTCTCTGGTCTCTCTCTGGTCTCTGGTCTCTCTCTGGTCTCTCTGGTCTCTGGTCTCTCTCTGGTCTCTCTCTGGTCTCTCTCTGGTCTCTCTCTGGTCTCTCTCTGGTCTCTCTGGTCTCTGGTCTCTCTCTGGTCTCTCTCTGGTCTCTCTCTGGTCTCTCTCTGGTCTCTCTCTGGTCTCTCTCTGGTCTCTCTCTGGTCTCTGGTCTCTCTCTGGTCTCTGGTCTCTCTCTGGTCTCTCTCTGGTCTCTCTGGTCTCTGGTCTCTCTCTGGTCTCTCTCTGGTCTCTCTCTGGTCTCTCTCTGGTCTCTCTGGTCTCTCTGGTCTCTCTCTGGTCTCTCTCTGGTCTCTCTCTGGTCTCTCTGGTCTCACTGGTCTCAGTGTCCTGTTCTTACAGACTCCTGATCTCAGACTGAGGCAGTCGTTTGGCATCACCTCTGAGCTGAGGGTTCGTCTTCCGCGCCTCAACTCTCTGGCTCCGCCCCTTGACTACACTCAGCCAATCGAGGAGGACTTCCTGTGTGACGTGGCCCCGCCCCACGCTCAGGACTGCCCCCAAGTGGAGGCCACGTCCAGCCGCGTGGGTCGCACCCGTAAACGCACCAGGTGCCCCTGCTGCTCCCCGGCAGCACTGCTCCACCATGCCCACAAGAGGAGACCCAAACCTGGGGACCGGCGGCCAGGGGAGGGGCCAAGGAGGGGACTGAGGCTGGACCACAGAGACCCGGACCTGAGGCCGGAGCACAGAGACCCGGACCTGAGGCCGGAGCACAGAGACCCAGACCAGAGACCAGAGAACAGAGACTCAGACCTGAGGCCGGGGCACAGAGACCCAGAGACCCAAACCCAGACCAGCGTTGGGAGTAACACATTTCAAAAGTAAGTACGTTATTTGGGTCCGTCTGGTTCATATGTAGCACTCTAGGCTCTGTACTAGTCTCTCTCTGGTTTCTCTCTCTGGTTTCTCCCTCTCTTTGGTTTCTCCCTCTCTCTGGTTTCTCCCTCTCTTTGGTTTCTCTCTCTGGTTTCTCCCTCTCTTTGGTTTCTCCCTCTCTCTGGTTTCTCCCTCTCTTTGGTTTCTCTCTCTGGTTTCTCCCTCTCTTTGGTTTCTCCCTCTCTCTGGTTTCTCCCTCTCTTTGGTTTCTCCCTCTGGTTTCTCCCTCTCTTTGGTTTCTCCCTCTCTCTGGTCTCTCTCTCTTGTCTCTCTCCCCTTTTTGTCATCTTACTTTGAATAAACAAGTTTTTGTGTCATTTTAGAGTCACAGAGGCCCCGCCCCCCTCAGAGGCTCCGCCCCCAACGGAGTCTCCTCCACCCACAGAGGCCCCTCCCCCCTCAAGCTTTCCATCCGAGGCCCTGCCCCCCACTGAGGCCACACCCCTCACAGAGGCCCCTCCCCCCTCAAGGTTCCTATCTGAGGCCCTGCCACCCACAGAGGCCCCGCCCCCTACTGAGGCCACACCCCTCAAAGAGGCCCCGCCTCCCACAGAGGCTCCGCCCCCCTCACACATGGAGCTCTGTCTGCATCGAGACATCGAGCTCCTGAGGAAAACTCTTCAGCAGAAGGAGGCGGAGCTAGAGGCCCTCAGGAACAACAGGACCTAACACAGGGACCATGTGGACATGTGACCAGAGAGAGACCATGTAGACATGTGACCAGAGAGAAACCATGTAGACATGTGACCAGAGAGAGACCATGTAGACATGTGACCAGAGAGAGACCATGTGGACCAGCGTTGGACACAGAGCCGCTCCTCTCTGCTCACTGCTGGTGGGTGTATGTGAGCTGCGAGCCTCCTCTGCCTGTTGTGCCTTCTGAATAAATAATAAATGATGTGAATAATGTGGATTCTGTTTGAGTTTTAAAAAGAGGTTAGACCGATTTATGGACCTTTGTGACAGAAACATTTATACAAAGAAAGTTGTGACTGGATTCTACTCCTCACAGAGGAGGTGCAGGACTGGACTGAGGTCCTGGACTCACAGAGGAGGTGCAGGACTGGACTGAGGTCCTGGTCTCACAGAGGAGGTGCAGGACTGGACTGAGGTCCTGGACTCACAGAGGAGGTGCAGGACTGGACTGAGGTCCTGGACTCACAGAGGAGGTGCAGGACTGGGCTGAGGTCCTGGACTCACAGAGGAGGTGCAGGACTGGGCTGAGGTCCTGGACTCACAGAGGAGGTGCAGGACTGGACTGAGGTCCTGGACTCACAGAGGAGGTGCAGGACTGGACTGAGGTCCTGGACTCACAGAGGAGGTGCAGGACTGGACTGAGGTCCTGGACTCACAGAGGAGGTGCAGGACTGGACTGAGGTCCTGGTCTCACAGAGGAGGTGCAGGACTGGGCTGAGGTCCTGGACTCACAGAGGAGGTGCAGGACTGGGCTGAGGTCCTGGACTCACAGAGGAGGTGCAGGACTGGACTGAGGTCCTGGACTCACAGAGGAGGTGCAGGACTGGACTGAGGTCCTGGACTCACAGAGGAGGTGCAGGACTGGACTGAGGTCCTGGACTCACAGAGGAGGTGCAGGACTGGACTGAGGTCCTGGACTCACAGAGGAGGTGCAGGACTGGACTGAGGTCCTGGACTCACAGAGGAGGTGCAGGACTGGGCTGAGGTCCTGGACTCACAGAGGAGGTGCAGGACTGGACTGAGGTCCTGGACTCACAGAGGAGGTGCAGGACTGGACTGAGGTCCTGGTCTCACAGAGGAGGTGCAGGACTGGACTGAGGTCCTGGACTCCTTACAGAGGAGGTGCAGGACTGGACTGAGGTCCTGGTCTCACAGAGGAGGTGCAGGACTGGACTGAGGTCCTGGACTCACAGAGGAGGTGCAGGACTGGGCTGAGGTCCTGGACTCACAGAGGAGGTGCAGGACTGGACTGAGGTCCTGGACTCACAGAGGAGGTGCAGGACTGGACTGAGGTCCTGGTCTCACAGAGGAGGTGCAGGACTGGACTGAGGTCCTGGACTCCTTACAGAGGAGGTGCAGGACTGGACTGAGGTCCTGGACTCCTTACAGAGGAGGTGCAGGACTGGACTGAGGTCCTGGTCTCACAGAGGAGGTGCAGGACTGGACTGAGGTCCTGGTCTCACAGAGGAGGTGCAGGACTGGACTGAGGTCCTGGACTCCTTACAGAGGAGGTGCAGGACTGGACTGAGGTCCTGGTCTCACAGAGGAGGTGCAGGACTGGACTGAGGTCCTGGTCTCACAGAGGAGGTGCAGGACTGGACTGAGGTCCTGGACTCCTTACAGAGGAGGTGCAGGACTGGACTGAGGTCCTGGACTCCTTACAGAGGAGGTGCAGGACTGTGCTGGTGGAGCTGGAGGTGGCTGGATGACACTGGAGGTGCCTCTTTGTGTTCGCAGCAGAGGACCACATCAGCGACACAGAGGGCCGCACCTGGCCCTTGGGCCTCAGTTTGATGCCTGGTAGAAAACATGTTTCATAAAGTTTGGCTGTAAACATGTGTCTGTATTCAGGATTTATTTGTATATCACAGTTCAAACACAACTCAAAGAGAAACAGAATAATAATAAATAATCAGTGCATTCTAAAGAGTAAAGATACAATCCTTCAGTTGCTGCGAAACAAACGTTTTTAACTTGGATTAGAGCATTGAGCTAGCGTGTTAGCATGCTGCCTCTGTATAAGATGAGAGATCTGTCTCACGGTGAGGAAATGTCAGTGTTGCAACGCATTCAGGACTGTGGTAAGAGACACAAGGAGTACACAACATACAATATAAGGAGCTGCAATGCTTTTTAACTAGCTTAAAATATGTTAGCATTGTCCACCTGTATACAGTCTGTGTTAGCATTAGCATCTGTATACAGTCTGTGTTAGCATTAGCATCTGTATACAGTCTGTGTTAGCATTAGCATCTGTATACAGTCTGTGTTAGCATTAGCATCTGTATACAGTCTGTGTTAGCATTAGCATCTGTATACAGTCTGTGTTAGCATTAGCATCTGTATACAGTCTGTGTTAGCATTAGCATCTGTATACAGTCTGTGTTAGCATTAGCATCTGTATACAGTCTGTGTTAGCATTAGCATCTGTATACAGTCTGTGTTAGCATTAGCATCTGTATACAGTCTGTGTTAGCATTAGCATCTGTATACAGTCTGTGTTAGCATTAGCATCTGTATACAGTCTGTGTTAGCATTAGCATCTGTATACAGTCTGTGTTAGCATTAGCATCTGTATACAGTCTGTGTTAGCATTAGCATCTGTATACAGTCTGTGTTAGCATTAGCATCTGTATACAGTCTGTGTTAGCATTAGCATCTGTATACAGTCTGTGTTAGCATTAGCATCTGTATACAGTCTGTGTTAGCATTAGCATCTGTATACAGTCTGTGTTAGCATTAGCATCTGTATACAATCTGTGTTAGCATTAGCATCTGTATACAATCTGTGTTAGCATTAGCATCTGTATACTGTCTGTGTTAGCATTAGCATCTGTATACAGTCTGTGTTAGCATTAGCATCTGTATACAGTCTGTGTTAGCATTAGCATCTGTATACAGTCTGTGTTAGCATTAGCATCTGTATACAGTCTGTGTTAGCATTAGCATCTGTATACAATCTGTGTTAGCATTAGCATCTGTATACAATCTGTGTTAGCATTAGCATCTGTATACAGTCTGTGTTAGCATTAGCATCTGTATACAGTCTGTGTTAGCATTAGCATCTGTATACAGTCTGTGTTAGCATTAGCATCTGTATACAGTCTGTGTTAGCATTAGCATCTGTATACAGTCTGTGTTAGCATTAGCATCTGTATACAGTCTGTGTTAGCATTGAGCATCTGTATACAGTCTGTGTTAGCATTAGCATCTGTATACAGTCTGTGTTAGCATTAGCATCTGTATACAGTCTGTGTTAGCATTAGCATCTGTATACAGTCTGTGTTAGCATTGAGCATCTGTATACAGTCTGTGTTAGCATTAGCATCTGTATACAGTCTGTGTTAGCATTAGCATCTGTATACAGTCTGTGTTAGCATTAGCATCTGTATACAGTCTGTGTTAGCATTAGCATCTGTATACAGTCTGTGTTAGCATTAGCATCTGTATACAGTCTGTGTTAGCATTAGCATCTGTATACAGTCTGTGTTAGCATTAGCATCTGTATACAGTCTGTGTTAGCATTAGCATCTGTATACAATCTGTGTTAGCATTAGCATCTGTATACAGTCTGTGTTAGCATTAGCATCTGTATACAGTCTGTGTTAGCATTAGCATCTGTATACAGTCTGTGTTAGCATTAGCATCTGTATACAGTCTGTGTTAGCATTAGCATCTGTATACAGTCTGTGTTAGCATTAGCATCTGTATACAGTCTGTGTTAGCATTAGCATCTGTATACAGTCTGTGTTAGCATTAGCATCTGTATACAGTCTGTGTTAGCATTAGCATCTGTATACAGTCTGTGTTAGCATTAGCATCTGTATACAGTCTGTGTTAGCATTAGCATCTGTATACAGTCTGTGTTAGCATTAGCATCTGTATACAGTCTGTGTTAGCATTAGCATCTGTATACAGTCTGTGTTAGCATTAGCATCTGTATACAGTCTGTGTTAGCATTAGCATCTGTATACAGTCTGCGTTAGCATTAGCATCTGTATACAGTCTGTGTTAGCATTAGCATCTGTATACAGTCTGCGTTAGCAATAGCATCTGTATACAGTCTGCGTTAGCAATAGCATCTGTATACAGTCTGTGTTAGCATTAGCATCTGTATACAGTCTGTGTTAGCATTAGCATCTGTATACAGTCTGTGTTAGCATTAGCATCTGTATACAGTCTGTGTTAGCATTAGCATCTGTATACAGTCTGTGTTAGCATTAGCATCTGTATACAGTCTGTGTTAGCATTAGCATCTGTATACAGTCTGTGTTAGCATTAGCATCTGTATACAGTCTGTGTTAGCAATAGCATCTGTATACAGTCTGTGTTAGCATTAGCATCTGTATACTGTCTGTGTTAGCATTAGCATCTGTATACAGTCTGTGTTAGCATTAGCATCAGTATACAGTCTGTGTTAGCATTAGCATCTGTATACAGTCTGTGTTAGCATTAGCATCAGTATACAGTCTGTGTTAGCATTAGCATCTGTATACAGTCTGTGTTAGCAATAGCATCTGTATACAGTCTGTGTTAGCATTAGCATCTGTATACTGTCTGTGTTAGCATTAGCATCTGTATACAGTCTGTGTTAGCATTGAGCATCTGTATACAGTCTGCGTTAGCAATAGCATCTGTATACAGTCTGTGTTAGCATTGAGCATCTGTATACAGTCTGTGTTAGCATTAGCATCTGTATACAGTCTGTGTTAGCATTGAGCATCTGTATACAGTCTGCGTTAGCAATAGCATCTGTATACAGTCTGTGTTAGCATTGAGCATCTGTATACAGTCTGTGTTAGCATTAGCATCTGTATACAGTCTGTGTTAGCATTAGCATCTGTATACAGTCTGTGTTAGCATTAGCATCTGTATACAGTCTGTGTTAGCATTAGCATCTGTATACAGTCTGTGTTAGCATTAGCATCTGTATACAGTCTGTGTTAGCATTAGCATCTGTATACAGTCTGTGTTAGCATTGAGCATCTGTATACAGTCTGTGTTAGCATTAGCATCTGTATACAGTCTGTGTTAGCATTAGCATCTGTATACAGTCTGTGTTAGCATTAGCATCTGTATACAGTCTGTGTTAGCATTAGCATCTGTATACAGTCTGTGTTAGCATTAGCCATCTGTATACAGTCTGTGTTAGCATTAGCATCTGTATACAGTCTGTGTTAGCATTAGCATCTGTAGCGTTAGCATTAGCATCTGTATACAGTCTGTGTTAGCATTAGCATCTGTATACAGTCTGTGTTAGCATTAGCATCTGTATACAGTCTGTGTTAGCATTAGCATCTGTATACAGTCTGTGTTAGCATTAGCATCTGTATACAGTCTGTGTTAGCATTAGCATCTGTATACAGTCTGTGTTAGCATTAGCATCTGTATACAGTCTGTGTTAGCATTAGCATCTGTATACAGTCTGCGTTAGCATTAGCATCTGTATACAGTCTGTGTTAGCATTAGCATCTGTATACAGTCTGTGTTAGCATTGAGCATCTGTATACAGTCTGTGTTAGCATTAGCATCTGTATACAGTCTGTGTTAGCATTAGCATCTGTATACAGTCTGTGTTAGCATTAGCATCTGTATACAGTCTGTGTTAGCATTAGCATCTGTATACAGTCTGTGTTAGCATTGAGCATCTGTATACAGTCTGTGTTAGCATTAGCATCTGTATACAGTCTGTGTTAGCATTAGCATCTGTATACAGTCTGTGTTAGCATTAGCATCTGTATACAGTCTGTGTTAGCATTAGCATCTGTATACAGTCTGTGTTAGCATTAGCATCTGTATACAGTCTGTGTTAGCATTAGCATCTGTATACAGTCTGCGTTAGCAATAGCATCTGTATACAGTCTGTGTTAGCATTAGCATCTGTATACAGTCTGTGTTAGCATTAGCATCTGTATACAGTCTGCGTTAGCAATAGCATCTGTATACAGTCTGTGTTAGCATTAGCATCTGTATACAGTCTGTGTTAGCATTAGCATCTGTATACAGTCTGCGTTAGCAATAGCATCTGTATACTGTCTGTGTTAGCATTAGCATCTGTATACAGTCTGTGTTAGCATTAGCATCTGTATACAGTCTGTGTTAGCATTAGCATCTGTATACAGTCTGTGTTAGCATTAGCATCTGTATACAGTCTGCGTTAGCAATAGCATCTGTATACAGTCTGTGTTAGCATTAGCATCTGTATACAGTCTGTGTTAGCATTAGCATCTGTATACAGTCTGTGTTAGCAATAGCATCTGTATACAGTCTGTGTTAGCATTAGCATCTGTATACAATCTGTGTTAGCATTAGCATCTGTATACAGTCTGTGTTAGCATTAGCATCTGTATACAGTCTGTGTTAGCATTAGCATCAGTATACAGTCTGTGTTAGCATTAGCATCTGTATACAGTCTGTGTTAGCATTAGCATCTGTATACAGTCTGTGTTAGCATTAGCATCTGTATACAGTCTGTGTTAGCATTAGCATCTGTATACAGTCTGTGTTAGCATTAGCATCTGTATACAGTCTGTGTTAGCATTAGCATCTGTATACAGTCTGTGTTAGCATTAGCATCTGTATACTGTCTGTGTTAGCATTAGCATCTGTATACAGTCTGTGTTAGCATTAGCATCTGTATACAGTCTGTGTTAGCATTAGCATCTATATACAGTCTGTGTTAGCATTAGCATCTGTATACAGTCTGTGTTAGCATTAGCATCTGTATACAGTCTGTGTTAGCATTAGCATCTGTATACAGTCTGTGTTAGCATTGAGCATCTGTATACAGTCTGTGTTAGCATTAGCATCTGTATACAGTCTGTGTTAGCATTAGCATCTGTATACAATCTGTGTTAGCATTAGCATCTGTATACAGTCTGTGTTAGCATTAGCATCTGTATACAATCTGTGTTAGCATTAGCATCTGTATACAGTCTGCGTTAGCAATAGCATCTGTATACAGTCTGTGTTAGCATTAGCATCTGTATACAGTCTGTGTTAGCATTAGCATCTGTATACAGTCTGTGTTAGCATTAGCATCTGTATACAGTCTGTGTTAGCATTAGCATTAGCATTGTCCATCTATAAATCATAGTGGTTTGAAGGCGTGGTCTGTGCTTTTATTGTGAAGGAGCTGAGTTTCTAAACTGTGGCCCGTGCTCTTATTGTGAAGGGCTCTCCCCGCAGACTCCCCTTGGACCGGACAGAAACCGGATGCGCAAAAACCCTGAATAAACTCGTTGGAAGTTGACTCTCTGTGCTGCTCAGAGGTAAGGCTGTGTGACGGGTTTGGACGGGTTTGGACGGGTTTGGACGTCTCTCTCTCTGGCGGCTGCAGGACTGGTGCCAGGGTAAAGTCTGCACTAAAACATCAGCCCGCGTGTGTTTCCCTTTGGGGGAATTGAACCACAGACCGTAGATCAGAGCAGAGAGATGACGTTTACAAGTCAGGAGGTTAAAAGTCTTCAATCATTTGGAAATTGATTAAAAAGTCAAAACTGAAGTAATGGACTCGACAGTTTTGAGTATCTGCCATTTTCACTGTTTATTGTTACGAAACTTTAAAGTAGGTCATTTAGTAATGGTATTATGTATTGTCTCTCTCTCTCTGGTCTCTCTCTCTCTGGTCTCTCTCTGGTCTCTCTCTGGTCTCTCTCTAGTCTCTCTCTGGTCTCTCTGGTCTCTCTCTGGTCTCTCTCTCTCTGGTCTCTCTCTGGTCTCTCTCTGGTCTCTCTCTAGTCTCTCTCTGGTCTCTCTCTGTCTCTCTCTGGTCTCTCTCTGGTCTCTCTCTGGTCTCTCTCTGTCTCTCTCTGGTCTCTCTCTAGTCTCTCTCTGGTCTCTCTCTGGTCTCTCTCTAGTCTCTCTCTGGTCTCTCTGGTCTCTCTCTAGTCTCTCTCTGGTCTCTCTCTAGTCTCTCTCTGGTCTCTCTCTGGTCTCTCTCTGGTCTCTCTCTAGTCTCTCTCTGGTCTCTCTGGTCTCTCTCTGGTCTCTCTCTGGTCTCTCTCTCTTGGTCTCTCTCTGGTCTCTCTCTGGTCTCTCTCTGGTCTCTCTCTGGTCTCTCTCTCTCTGGTATCTCTCTGGTCTCTCTCTCTCTGGTATCTCTCTGGTCTCTCTCTGGTCTCTCTCTGGTCTCTCTCTAGTCTCTCTCTGGTCTCTCTCTGGTCTCTCTCTGGTCTCTCTCTGGTCTCTCTCTAGTCTCTCTCTGGTCTCTCTGGTCTCTCTCTGGTCTCTCTCTGGTCTCTCTCTGGTCTCTCTCTGGTCTCTCTCTGGTCTCTCTCTGGTCTCTCTCTGGTCTCTCTCTGGTCTCTCTCTCTCTGGTATCTCTCTGGTCTCTCTCTCTCTGGTATCTCTCTGGTCTCTCTCTGGTCTCTCTCTGGTCTCTCTCTAGTCTCTCTCTGGCCTCTCTCTGGTCTCTCTCTGGTCTCTCTCTAGTCTCTCTCTAGTCTCTCTGGTCTCTCTCTGGTCTCTCTCTCTGGTCTCTCTCTGGTCTCTCTCTCTGGTATCTCTCCTGGTCTCTCTCTGGTCTCTCTCTGGTCTCTCTCTGGTCTCTCTCTAGTCTCGCTCTAGTCTCTCTCTGGTCTCTCTCTGGTCTCTCTCTAGTCTCTCTCTAGTCTCTCTCTGGTCTCTCTCTGGCCTCTCTCTGGTCTCTCTCTGGTCTCTCTCTAGTCTCTCTCTAGTCTCTCTGGTCTCTCTCTGGTCTCTCTCTCTGGTATCTCTCTGGTCTCTCTCTCTCTGGTATCTCTCTGGTCTCTCTCTGGTCTCTCTCTGGTCTCTCTCTAGTCTCGCTCTAGTCTCTCTCTGGTCTCTCTCTGGTCTCTCTCTAGTCTCTCTCTGGTCTCTCTGGTTCTGATCTCTCTCTCTGGTCTCTCTCTCTGGTCTCTCTCTCTCTGGTCTCTCTCTCTCTGGTCTCTCTCTCTCTGGTCTCTCTCTCTCTGGTCTCTCTCTCTCTGGTCTCTCTCTCTGGTCTCTCTCTCTGGTCTCTCTCTCTGGTCTCTCTCTAGTCTCTCTCTCTGGTCTCTCTGGTTCTGGTCTCTCTCTCTCTCTGGTCTCTCTCTCTAGTCTCTCTCTCTCTGGTCTCTCTCTCTGGTCTCTCTCTCTGGTCTCTCTCTCTGGTCTCTCTCTCTGGTCTCTCTCTCTGGTCTCTCTCTAGTCTCTCTCTGGTCTCTCTGGTTCTGGTCTCTCTCTCTGGTCTCTCTCTCTGGTCTCTCTCTCTCTGGTCTCTCTCTCTCTGGTCTCTCTCTCTCTGGTCTCTCTCTCTGGTCTCTCTCTCTGGTCTCTCTCTCTGGTCTCTCTCTAGTCTCTCTCTGGTCTCTCTGGTTCTGGTCTCTCTCTCTCTCTCTGGTCTCTCTCTCTAGTCTCTCTCTCTCTGGTCTCTCTCTCTGGTCTCTCTCTCTGGTTTCCTTCTGGTCTCTCTCTCTGGTCTCTCTCTCTGGTCTCTCTCTCTGGTCTCTCTCTCTGGTCTCTCTCTCTGGTTTCCTTCTGGTCTCTCTCTCTGATGTACCAGGAGGAGGAACCAGGTAGATTATGTCTGTGTGTGTGTGTGTGTGTCCAGGACAGATGGACCTGCTCCAGGACATCCAGGTCTACATCCCGCGGGAGGCTGAGGTGCGGACTCTGCCTCTGCTCTCGCTCTCGGCCTCAGTGCGCATGAAGATGGGTCTCTCTTCTGGTCTGGGTCTTCAGCCCGAGTCCCCCGCGGGTCTTCAGCCCGAGTCCCCCGCGGGTCTTCAGCCCGAGTCCCTGTGTGTGAGCATCTGTCCTGTGGTCTTCCAGAGGAAAGGTCGCAGAGACCAGGGCCAGACCAAAGACCAGGTGCTGAGTCTGCTGGCCAGGAACCAGGGAACCTGTCCTGTCCTGCAGAGAGGTGAGACCAGTGGGAGACCAGTGGGAGACCAGAGGGAGACCAGTGGGAGACCAGAGGGAGACCAGAGGGGGACCAGAGGGGGACCAGAGGGAGACCAGAGGGGGACCAGAGGGAGACCAGAGGGAGACCAGAGGGAGACCAGAGGGAGACCAGAGGGAGACCAGAGGGAGACCAGAGGGGGACCAGAGGGGGACCAGAGGGAGACCAGAGGGAGACCAGAGGGGGACCAGAGGGGGACCAGAGGGGGACCAGAGGGGGACCAGAGGGAGACCAGAGTGAGACCAGAGAGAGAGTGAGACCAGAGAGAGAGTGAGACCAGAGAGAGAGTGAGACCAGAGAGAGAGTGAGACCAGAGAGAGAGTGAGACCAGAGAGAGAGTGAGACCAGAGAGAGAGTGAGACCAGAGAGAGAGTGAGACCAGAGTGAGACCAGAGTGAGACCAGAGTGAGACCAGAGTGAGACCAGAGTGAGACCAGAGTGAGACCAGAGTGAGACCAGAGTGAGACCAGAGTGAGACCAGAGTGAGATGTAAACTGAGAGGTGTTTTCTTCTGGTGCAGGTTATGGTGAGTCTAAGATGTCGTTCGTCACCGCTCACCGCACAGCGTACTCTGTGCTGAAACGGACTCTGCCTCATGACACAGACACACAGCTCTGCACCACCACCATCACACCAGAGGGGGCGCTGTCACACAGAGACCAGGACTGTGTCATCATCCACCAGGGACGAGTCTTCCTGTCCGTGAAGAGAGGGAAGAGGTCCGGCTCGGGCAGAGTGAGTGAGAGAGACCGAGACCAGAGTGAGTGAGAGAGACCAGCGAGAGACCAGAGTGAGCGAGAGGCGAGAGACCAGCGAGAGACCAGAGTGAGCGAGAGGCGAGAGACCAGAGTGAGCGAGAGAGACCAGAGTGAGCGAGAGAGACCAGAGTGAGCGAGAGAGACCAGAGTGAGCGAGAGAGACCAGAGTGAGCGAGAGAGACCAGAGTGAGCGAGAGAGACCAGAGTGAGCGAGAGAGACCAGAGTGAGCGAGAGAGACCAGAGTGAGCGAGAGAGACCAGAGTGAGCGAGAGAGACCAGAGTGAGCGAGAGAGACCAGAGTGAGCGAGAGAGACCAGAGTGAGCGAGAGAGACCAGAGTGAGCGAGAGAGACCAGAGTGAGCGAGAGAGACCAGAGTGAGCGAGAGAGACCAGAGTGAGCGAGAGAGACCAGAGTGAGCGAGAGAGACCAGAGTGAGCGAGAGAGACCAGAGTGAGCGAGAGAGACCAGAGTGAGCGAGAGAGACCAGAGTGAGCGAGAGAGACCAGAGTGAGCGAGAGAGACCAGAGTGAGCGAGAGAGACCAGAGTGAGCGAGAGAGACCAGAGTGAGCGAGAGAGACCAGAGTGAGCGAGAGAGACCAGAGTGAGCGAGAGAGACCAGAGTGACGTGAGCCGGAGAGAGAGACCAGAGTGAGCGAGAGAGACCAGAGTGAGCGAGAGAGACCAGAGTGAGCGAGAGAGACCAGAGTGAGCGAGAGAGACCAGAGTGAGCGAGAGAGACCAGAGTGAGCGAGAGAGACCAGAGTGAGCGAGAGAGACCAGAGTGAGCGAGAGAGACCAGAGTGAGCGAGAGAGACCAGAGTGAGCGAGAGAGACCAGAGTGAGCGAGAGAGACCAGAGTGAGCGAGAGAGACCAGAGTGAGCGAGAGAGACCAGAGTGAGCGAGGGAGACCAGACCAGAGTGAGCGAGGGAGAGAGACCAGAGTGAGCGAGGGAGACCAGAGTGAGCGAGGGAGAGAGACCAGAGTGAGCGAGGGAGAGAGACCAGAGTGAGCGAGAGACCAGAGTGAGCGAGAGACCAGAGTGAGCGAGAGACCAGAGTGAGCGAGAGACCAGAGTGAGCGAGAGACCAGAGTGAGCGAGAGACCAGAGTGAGCGAGAGACCAGAGTGAGCGAGAGACCAGAGTGAGCGAGAGACCAGAGTGAGCGAGAGACCAGAGTGAGCGAGAGACCAGAGTGAGCGAGAGACCAGAGTGAGCGAGAGACCAGAGTGAGCGAGAGACCAGAGTGAGCGAGAGACCAGAGTGAGCGAGAGACCAGAGTGAGCGAGAGACCAGAGTGAGCGAGAGACCAGAGTGAGCGAGAGACCAGAGTGAGCGAGAGACCAGAGTGAGCGAGAGACCAGAGTGAGCGAGAGACCAGAGTGAGCGAGAGACCAGAGTGAGCGAGAGAGACCAGAGTGAGCGAGAGACCAGAGTGAGCGAGAGACCAGAGTGAGCGAGAGAGACCAGAGTGAGCGAGAGACCAGAGTGAGCGAGAGAGACCAGAGTGAGCGAGAGAGACCAGAGTGAGCGAGAGAGACCAGAGTGAGCGAGAGAGACCAGAGTGAGCGAGAGAGACCAGAGTGAGCGAGAGAGACCAGAGTGAGCGAGAGAGACCAGAGTGAGCGAGAGAGACCAGAGTGAGCGAGAGAGACCAGAGTGAGCGAGAGAGACCAGAGTGAGCGAGAGAGACCAGAGTGAGCGAGAGAGACCAGAGTGAGTGAGAGAGACCAGAGTGAGCGAGAGAGACCAGAGTGAGCGAGAGAGACCAGAGTGAGCGAGAGAGACCAGAGTGAGCGAGAGAGACCAGAGTGAGCGAGAGAGACCAGAGTGAGCGAGAGAGACCAGAGTGAGCGAGAGAGACCAGAGTGAGCGAGAGACCAGGAGCGAGAGAGACCAGAGTGAGCGAGAGAGACCAGAGTGAGCGAGAGAGACCAGAGTGAGCGAGAGAGACCAGAGTGAGCGAGAGAGACCAGAGTGAGCGAGAGAGACCAGAGTGAGCGAGAGAGACCAGAGTGAGCGAGAGAGACCAGAGTGAGCGAGAGAGACCAGAGTGAGCGAGAGAGACCAGAGTGAGCGAGAGAACCGAGTGACGAGAGACCAGAGTGAGCGAGAGAGACCAGAGTGAGCGAGAGAGACCAGAGTGAGCGAGAGAGACCAGAGTGAGCGAGAGAGACCAGAGTGAGCGAGGAGACCAGAGTGAGCGAGAGAGACCAGAGTGAGCGAGAGAGACCAGAGTGAGCAGAGAGCCAGAGTGAGCGAGAGAGACCAGAGTGAGCGAGGAGACCAGAGTGAGCGAGGAGACCAGAGTGAGCGAGGAGAGAGACCAGAGTGAGCGAGAGACCAGAGTGAGCGAGAGACCAGAGTGAGCGAGAGACCAGAGTGAGCGAGAGACCAGAGGGCGAGAGACCAGAGTGAGCGAGAGACCAGAGTGAGCGAGAGACCAGAGTGAGCGAGAGACCAGAGTGAGCGAGAGACCAGAGTGAGCGAGAGACCAGAGTGAGCGAGAGACCAGAGTGAGCGAGAGACCAGAGTGAGCGAGAGACCAGAGTGAGCGAGAGACCAGAGTGAGCGAGAGACCAGAGTGAGCGAGAGACCAGAGTGAGCGAGAGACCAGAGTGAGCGAGAGACCAGAGTGAGCGAGAGACCAGAGTGAGCGAGAGACCAGAGTGAGCGAGAGACCAGAGTGAGCGAGAGACCAGAGTGAGCGAGAGACCAGAGTGAGCGAGAGACCAGAGTGAGCGAGAGACCGAGACCGTGAGCGAGAGACCAGAGTGAGCGAGAGACCAGAGTGAGCGAGAGACCAGAGTGAGCGAGAGACCAGAGTGAGCGAGAGACCAGAGTGAGCGAGAGACCAGAGTGAGCGAGAGACCAGAGTGAGCGAGAGACCAGAGTGAGCGAGAGACCAGAGTGAGCGAGAGACCAGAGTGAGCGAGAGACCAGAGTGAGCGAGAGACCAGAGTGAGCGAGAGACCAGAGTGAGCGAGAGACCAGAGTGAGCGAGAGACCAGAGTGAGCGAGAGACCAGAGTGAGCGAGAGACCAGAGTGAGCGAGAGACCAGAGTGAGCGAGAGACCAGAGTGAGCGAGAGACCAGAGTGAGCGAGAGACCAGAGTGAGCGAGAGACCAGAGTGAGCGAGAGACCAGAGTGAGCGAGAGACCAGAGTGAGCGAGAGACCAGAGTGAGCGAGAGACCAGAGTGAGCGAGAGACCAGAGTGAGCGAGAGACCAAGTGAGCGAGAGACCAGAGTGAGCGAGAGACCAGAGTGAGCGAGAGACCAGAGTGAGCGAGAGACCAGAGTGAGCGAGAGACCAGAGTGAGCGAGAGACCAGAGTGAGCGAGAGACCAGAGTGAGCGAGAGACCAGAGTGAGCGAGAGACCAGAGTGAGCGAGAGACCAGAGTGAGCGAGAGACCAGGTGAGGAGAGCGAGAGACCAGAGTGAGCGAGAGACCAGAGTGAGCGAGAGACCAGAGTGAGCGAGAGACCAGAGTGAGCGAGAGACCAGAGTGAGCGAGAGACCAGAGTGAGCGAGAGACCAGAGTGAGCGAGAGACCAGAGTGAGCGAGAGACCAGAGTGAGCGAGAGACCAGAGTGAGCGAGAGACCAGAGTGAGCGAGAGACCAGAGTGAGCGAGAGACCAGAGTGAGCGAGAGACCAGAGTGAGCGAGAGACCAGAGTGAGCGAGAGACCAGAGTGAGCGAGAGACCAGAGTGAGCGAGAGACCAGAGTGAGCGAGAGACCAGAGTGAGCGAGAGACCAGAGTGAGCGAGAGACCAGAGTAGACCAGAGTGAGCGAGAGACCAGAGTGAGCGAGAGACCAGAGTGAGCGAGAGACCAGAGTGAGCGAGAGACCAGAGTGAGCGAGAGACCAGAGTGAGCGAGAGACCAGAGTGAGCGAGAGACCAGAGTGAGCGAGAGACCAGAGTGAGCGAGAGACCAGAGTGAGCGAGAGACCAGAGTGAGCGAGACCAGAGTGAGCGAGAGACCAGAGTGAGCGAGAGACCAGAGTGAGCGAGAGACCAGAGTGAGCGAGAGACCAGAGTGAGCGAGAGACCAGAGTGAGCGAGAGACCAGAGTGAGCGAGAGACCAGAGTGAGCGAGAGACCAGAGTGAGCGAGAGACCAGAGTGAGCGAGAGAGACCAGAGTGAGCGAGAGAGACCAGAGTGAGCGAGCGAGACCAGAGTGAGCGAGGGAGAGAGACCAGAGCGAGCGAGAGAGACCAGCGAGAAGACCAGAGCGAGCGAGGGAGAGAGACCAGAGCGAGCGAGAGAGACCAGCGAGAAGACCAGAGCGAGCGAGACCAGAGCGAGCGAGAGAGACCAGAGCGAGCGAGAGAGACCAGAGCGAGCGAGAGACCAGAGTGAGCGAGAGACCAGAGTGAGCGAGAGACCAGCGAGAAGACCAGAGTGAGCGAGCGAGCGAGAGAGACCAGAGTGAGCGAGAGAGACCAGAGTGAGCGAGAGACCAGAGTGAGCGAGAGACCAGAGTGAGCGAGCGAGACCAGAGTGAGCGAGCGAGACCAGAGTGAGCGAGCGAGACCAGAGTGAGCGAGCGAGACCAGAGTGAGCGAGCGAGACCAGAGTGAGCGAGCGAGACCAGAGTGAGCGAGCGAGACCAGAGTGAGCGAGCGAGAGAGACCAGAGCGAGCGAGGGAGACCAGAGCGAGCGAGGGAGACCAGAGCGAGCGAGGGAGAGAGACCAGAGCGAGCGAGGGAGAGAGACCAGAGCGAGCGAGAGAGACCAGCGAGAAGACCAGAGCGAGCGAGGGAGAGAGACCAGAGCGAGCGAGAGAGACCAGAGCGAGCGAGAGAGACCAGAGTGAGCGAGAGACCAGAGTGAGCGAGAGACCAGCGAGAAGACCAGAGTGAGCGAGCGAGCGAGAGAGACCAGAGTGAGCGAGAGAGACCAGAGTGAGCGAGAGAGACCAGAGTGAGCGAGAGAGACCAGAGTGAGCGAGAGAGACCAGAGTGAGCGAGAGAGACCAGAGTGAGCGAGAGAGACCAGAGTGAGCGAGAGAGACCAGAGTGAGCGAGAGAGACCAGAGTGAGCGAGAGAGACCAGAGTGAGCGAGAGAGACCAGAGTGAGCGAGAGAGACCAGAGTGAGCGAGAGACCAGAGTGAGCGAGAGACCAGAGTGAGCGAGAGACCAGAGTGAGCGAGAGACCAGAGTGAGCGAGAGACCAGCGAGAGGCGAGAGACCAGCGAGAGGCGAGAGACCAGCGAGAGGCGAGAGACCAGCGAGAGGCCAGCGAGACCAGAGTGAGCGAGAGAGACCAGAGTGAGCGAGAGAGACCAGAGTGAGCGAGAGAGACCAGAGTGAGCGAGAGGCGAGAGACCAGAGAGTGAGCGAGAAAGACCAGAGTGAGCGAGCGAGCGAGAGAGACCAGAGCGAGCGAGCGAGAGAGACCACAGCGAGCGAGCGAGACAGACCAGAGCGAGCGAGGGAGAGAGACCACAGCGAGCGAGGGAGAGAGACCAGAGCGAGCGAGGGAGAGAGACCAGAGCGAGCGAGAGACCAGAGCGAGCGAGAGAGAGAGAGAGACCAGAGCGAGCGAGAGAGACCAGAGCGAGCGAGCGAGAGACCAGAGAGACCAGAGCGAGCGAGAGAGAGAGAGAGAGACCAGAGCGAGCGAGCGAGAGAGACCAGAGCGAGCGAGCGAGAGAGACCAGAGCGAGCGAGCGAGAGAGAGACCAGAGCGAGCGAGCGAGAGAGAGACCAGAGCGAGCGAGCGAGCGAGAGAGAGACCAGAGCGAGCGAGCGAGAGAGAGACCAGAGCGAGCGAGCGAGCGAGAGAGAGACCAGAGCGAGCGAGCGAGAGAGAGACCAGAGCGAGCGAGCGAGAGAGAGACCAGAGCGAGCGAGCGAGAGAGAGACCAGAGCGAGCGAGAGACCAGAGTGAGCGAGAGACCAGAGTGAGCGAGAGACCAGAGTGAGCGAGAGACCAGAGTGAGCGAGAGACCAGAGTGAGCGAGAGACCAGAGTGAGCGAGAGACCAGAGTGAGCGAGAGACCAGAGTGAGCGAGAGACCAGAGTGAGCGAGAGACCAGAGTGAGCGAGAGACCAGAGTGAGCGAGAGACCAGAGTGAGCGAGAGACCAGAGTGAGCGAGAGACCAGAGTGAGCGAGAGACCAGAGTGAGCGAGCGAGACCAGAGTGAGCGAGCGAGACCAGAGTGAGCGAGCGAGACCAGAGTGAGCGAGCGAGACCAGAGTGAGCGAGCGAGACCAGAGTGAGCGAGCGAGACCAGAGTGAGCGAGCGAGACCAGAGCGAGCGAGGGAGAGAGACCAGAGCGAGCGAGAGAGACCAGCGAGAAGACCAGAGCGAGCGAGGGAGAGAGACCAGAGTGAGCGAGAGAGACCAGAGCGAGCGAGAGAGACCAGCGAGAAGACCAGAGCGAGCGAGGGAGAGAGACCAGAGCGAGCGAGAGAGACCAGCGAGAAGACCAGAGCGAGCGAGACCAGAGCGAGCGAGAGAGACCAGAGCGAGCGAGAGAGACCAGAGCGAGCGAGAGACCAGAGTGAGCGAGAGACCAGAGTGAGCGAGAGACCAGCGAGAAGACCAGAGTGAGCGAGCGAGCGAGAGAGACCAGAGTGAGCGAGAGAGACCAGAGTGAGCGAGAGACCAGAGTGAGCGAGAGACCAGAGTGAGCGAGCGAGACCAGAGTGAGCGAGCGAGACCAGAGTGAGCGAGCGAGACCAGAGTGAGCGAGCGAGACCAGAGTGAGCGAGCGAGACCAGAGTGAGCGAGCGAGACCAGAGTGAGCGAGCGAGAGAGACCAGAGCGAGCGAGGGAGAGAGACCAGAGCGAGCGAGGGAGAGAGACCAGAGCGAGCGAGAGAGACCAGCGAGAAGACCAGAGCGAGCGAGGGAGAGAGACCAGAGCGAGCGAGAGAGACCAGAGCGAGCGAGAGAGACCAGAGCGAGCGAGAGAGACCAGAGTGAGCGAGAGACCAGAGTGAGCGAGAGACCAGAGTGAGCGAGAGACCAGCGAGAAGACCAGAGTGAGCGAGCGAGGAGAGAGACCAGAGTGAGCGAGAGAGACCAGAGTGAGCGAGAGAGACCAGAGTGAGCGAGAGAGACCAGAGTGAGCGAGAGAGACCAGAGTGAGCGAGAGAGACCAGAGTGAGCGAGAGAGACCAGAGTGAGCGAGAGAGACCAGAGTGAGCGAGAGAGACCAGAGTGAGCGAGAGAGACCAGAGTGAGCGAGAGAGACCAGAGTGAGCGAGAGACCAGAGTGAGCGAGAGACCAGAGTGAGCGAGAGACCAGAGTGAGCGAGAGACCAGAGTGAGCGAGAGACCAGCGAGAGGCGAGAGACCAGCGAGAGGCGAGAGACCAGCGAGAGGCCAGCGAGACCAGAGTGAGCGAGAGAGACCAGAGTGAGCGAGAGAGACCAGAGTGAGCGAGAGAGACCAGAGTGAGCGAGAGGCGAGAGACCAGCGAGAGACCAGAGTGAGCGAGAAAGACCAGAGTGAGCGAGCGAGCGAGAGAGACCAGAGCGAGCGAGCGAGAGAGACCACAGCGAGCGAGCGAGACAGACCAGAGCGAGCGAGGGAGAGAGACCACAGCGAGCGAGGGAGAGAGACCAGAGCGAGCGAGGGAGAGAGACCAGAGCGAGCGAGAGACCAGAGCGAGCGAGAGAGAGAGAGAGACCAGAGCGAGCGAGAGAGACCAGAGCGAGCGAGCGAGAGACCAGAGAGACCAGAGCGAGCGAGAGAGAGAGAGAGAGACCAGAGCGAGCGAGCGAGAGAGACCAGAGCGAGCGAGCGAGAGAGACCAGAGCGAGCGAGCGAGAGAGAGACCAGAGCGAGCGAGCGAGAGAGAGAGAGCGACGACAGAGAGACCAGAGCGAGCGAGCGAGAGAGAGACCAGAGCGAGCGAGCGAGCGAGAGAGACCAGAGCGAGCGAGCGAGCGAGAGAGAGACCAGAGCGAGCGAGCGAGCGAGAGAGAGACCAGAGCGAGCGAGCGAGAGAGAGACCAGAGCGAGCGAGCGAGAGAGAGACCAGAGCGAGCGAGCGAGAGAGAGACCAGAGCGAGCGAGCGAGAGAGAGACCAGAGCGAGCGAGCGAGAGAGAGACCAGAGCGAGCGAGCGAGAGAGAGACCAGAGCGAGCGAGCGAGAGAGAACAGAGTGAGTGAGAGAGAGAGACCGAGACACCTTGGTTGTTGCTACCCACACATTTGAGTTGTGAAAACTATTGATAGAAGCAACTGTTTTAGAGCCAGAACTAGAGACTTGGGTTTCTCTCATACTAGTTCTGTTGTCATGTCTGAAAGTTACGTCCCTGAGCTTTAACTGTGTCTGTAGGCGGAGCCAGTCGGCAACAAGCGCAAGAGGAGACCTGACTCTGCATCTGAAGCCAAACCCGTGTCCCGAGCCAGACCAGGGGCCACTCCCAGTCCGAGTGTGGGGGCCAAAGGGGCACTGCAGGACCTGGTGAGAGATGCTAACCCGCTAGCTAAAGAAGCCCAATAGGGAAGTGCTCATGGTGAAGTTTGGCTCCTCTTTCTGGCTCCTATTGACTTACATGTAAAAGTAAACTCCAGAGAGGGAGAGACCAGAGAGGGAGAGACCAGAGAGGGAGAGACCAGAGAGGGAGAGACCAGAGAGGGAGAGACCAGAGAGGGAGAGACCAGAGAGGGAGAGACCAGAGAGGGAGAGACCAGAGAGGGAGAGACCAGAGAGGGAGAGACCAGAGAGGGAGAGACCAGAGAGGGAGAGACCAGAGAGGGAGAGACCAGAGAGGGAGAGACCAGAGAGGGAGAGACCAGAGAGGGAGAGACCAGAGCGAGGGAGAGACAAGAGCAGAGAAAGGGAGACTGACCCGTGAAACAGTGCCCAGCACAAATGTACTTAAACCTGTGGTTCTTGTATAACCCTCAGAATCCAGACTCTGTTTAATCTGCTCTCGTCTTTGTTTTTTATGTATTTGCAGTGTGACCAAGAAACCAGCGTGAGAGACAACCAGCAGACCTCACCTGCTCTAGGGTCCACACAGAGCCACAACACTGCTCTAGGGTCCACACAGAGCCACAACACTGCTCTAGGGTCCACACAGAGCCACAACACTGCTCTAGGGTCCACACAGAGCCACAACACTGCTCTAGGGTCCACTGCTCTAGGGTCCACACAGAGCCACAACACTGCTCTAGGGTCCACACAGAGCCACAACACTGCTCTAGGGTCCACACAGAGCCACAACACTGCTCTAGGGTCCACACAGAGCCACAACACTGCTCTAGGGTCCACACAGAGCCACAACACTGCTCTAGGGTCCACACAGAGCCACAACACTGCTCTAGGGTCCACACAGAGCCACAACACTGCTCTAGGGTCCACACAGAGCCACAACACTGCTCTAGGGTCCACACAGAGCCACAACACTGCTCTAGGGTCCACACAGAGCCACAACACTGCTCTAGGGTCCACACAGAGCCACAGTGCTGCTCTAGGGTCCACACAGAGCCGCAACACTGCTCTAGGGTCCACACAGAGCCGCAACACTGCTCTAGTGTCCACACAGAGCCACAACACTGCTCTAGGGTCTGCTCTAGGATCCACACAGGGCCGCAACACTGCTCTAGGCTCTGCTCTAGGATCCACACAGAGTCACAACATTTCTCTAGGGTCTGCTCTAGGGTCCACTCAGAGCCACAACACTGCTCTAGGGTCCACACAGAGCCACAACACTGCTCTAGGGTCCACACAGAGCCACAGTGCTGCTCTAGGGTCCACACAGAGCCGCAACACTGCTCTAGTGTCCACACAGAGCCACAACACTGCTCTAGGATCCACACAGGGCCGCAACACTGCTCTAGGCTCTGCTCTAGGATCCACACAGAGTCACAACATTTCTCTAGGGTCTGCTCTAGGGTCCACTCAGAGTCAAAACTCAACTGTAGAGTCCAGCCAGATCTTTGACGAGCACTCGGAGCCGCTGGAGTACTTCCCAGACTCGGAACCTTTCCCCTCCCCCAGGACCCCCGTCAGCCTGGGGCCCTCAGAGCCCTGGAACCCGCCCGGTCTCGGCGCCTCGGAGCCGGAACCGGAGTATGACTTTGAGGAGCTGGCGTGTCGGGAGAGGATCGCAGTGATGAAGGCCCAGCTACTGCAGTGATGAAGGCCCAGCTGCTGCAGTGATGAAGGCCCAGCTGCTGCAGTGATGAAGGCCCAGCTGCTGCAGTGATGAAGGCCCAGCTGCTGCAGTGATGAAGACCCAGCTGCTGCAGTGATGAAGACCCAGCTGCTGCAGTGATGAAGCTGCAGTGATGAAGGCCCAGCTGCTGCAGTGATGAAGGCCCAGCTGCTGCAGTGATGAAGGCCCAGCTGCTGCAGTGATGAAGACCCAGCTGCTGCAGTGATGAAGACTCATAAAGACTACAGTGAGATATGTCCATAGAACTGCAAATCTACCGAGACACGGCCGTCTGCCCAAACCCGCTGCTCTGATTTCTGATTTAACACCATTTCTGTTGTCTTGTTTTTTTGGAGGAATTTTGCCCCGGGTCTTTAAGCAGCCCTCCTGTGATGTCACACTTTAGAACCCACAAGAAAAATAATTTAAAGTTATAAAAAATAAAAAGTTTCAAATGTGATGATGTTGACTGTTTTGTGAAAGTGGCGTCGAACCTGTTATAAGCACGAAGACAATTAAGACGATATTAAATTTAGTAGTATTTAAAGCTGGCCTACGTAACTTCAATCTAATAACATGTCATTTCAGCAGAAAGAGTCTTAGTCACTATCTGCCTCTGTGGGCTGAGAGCTGATTGGCTGAGAGCTGATTGGCTGAGGGAGGGTGGTCCTCTCTTTGATCTAAAGATATGACCGAGACGGAGGCACCAGTTTCAACTCATGAAAGTAACACTGATTTATGGAACAATGACAGACTTCGCCTGCAGGGGGAGCTACTGCACCATCTGCTACATGCACAGGGAGAACAACCCAGTTTAATACTGTAATAGTCAATACAGAGTCTCTCACTGGTTTCTCTCTGGTCTCTCTCTGGTCTCTCTCTGGTCTCATGGATTTGAATGGCTGACATCTTGGAGACCTGCGGCGGACACAGATGGACAATGCTAACCTGCTAGCTCAATGAATCCAAATAGGGAAGTGCTCATGGTGAAGTTTGGCTCCTCTGTCTCCTATTGACTTGAACTCCTCAGTAACCATTTTGGGTTTAAAACTGTGGTTTATTCCGCTCTGTGACCGTAGTGTTCCTATTGTGATATAAAAACACATAGACACACACACAGTGGCGTTCCAAGGGTGCCCCGGGGCCCCAGGCAACAGAGTCCTTGGGGGCCCCAGGCAACAGGATCCTTGGGGGCCCCGATACCGACCACATAACCAGATTTTGTAATCCTGTAAAGTCTAATCTTTCATTGTGAATATATGTTTATATAGTGTGAATATATGTTTATATAGTGTGAATATATATTTATATAGTGTGAATATATGTTTATATAGTGTGAATATGTTTATATAGTGTGAATATATGTTTATATAGTGTGAATATATATTTATATAGTGTGAATATATGTTTATATAGTGTGAATATATGTTTATATAGTGTGAATATATGTTTATATAGTGTGAATATAAGTTTATATAGTGTGAATATATGTTTATATAGTGTGAATATATGTATATAGTGTGAATATATGTATATATAGTGTGTCCTCCGGCGGAGGAGGGGGACATGGAGTCCGAGTGGACCATGTTCTCTGCCTCAATCGCCGATGCGGCGGCTCGTAGCTGTGGTCGCAAGGTCTCTGGTGCTGGTCCCGGCGGCAACCCCCGAACCCGGTGGTCGACACCGGCAGTAAGGGATGCCGTCAGGCTGAAGAAGGAGTCCTATCGAGCCATGATGGTTCGGGGGACTCCTGAGGCAGCTGTCCAGTACCGGCTGGCCAAGCATGCTGCGGCCCGGGCTGTTGCAGAGGCAAAAACCCGGGACTGGGAGGAGTTTGGAGAGTCCATGGAGCATGACTATCGGTCGGCCTCGAAGAGATTCTGGCAAACCATCCGGCGCCTCAGGAGGGGGAAGCAGTTCTTTGCCAGCACCATGTACGGTGCGTGTGGAGAGCTGCTGACCTCGACTGGGGATATTGTCGGGCGGTGGAAGGAATACTTTGAGGTTCTCCTCAATCCCCCCGTCACGTCCTCTGTTACAGAGGCAGAGGCTGAGGATGTTGGGGCGGATACTTCCATCTCCCTGGCTGAGGTCACCAAGGTGGTTGGTAGCCTCCATGGTGGCAAGGCTCCGGGTGTGGATGAGATCCGCCCTGATTATCTAAAGTCTCTGGATGTTGTAGGACTGTCTTGGCTGACACGTCTCTGCAACATCGCGTGGCGATCGGGGGCAGTGCCAATGGAGTGGCAGACCGGGGTGGTGGTCCCTCTCTACAAGAAGGGGGATCGGAGGGTGTGTTCCAATTATCGTGGGATCACACTCCTCAGCCTCCCCGGTAAGGTCTACTCCAAGGTACTGGAGAGGAGGCTACGGCCGATGGTCGAATCTCGGATCCAGGAGGAGCAGTGTGGTTTTTGTCCCGGCCGCGGAACACTGGACCAGCTCTACACTCTCCATCGGATACTCGAGGGTTCATGGGAGTTCGCCCAACCTGTCCACATGTGCTTTGTGGATTTGGAGAAGGCGTTCGACTGTGTTCCCCGGGGTGTCCTTTGGGGGGTCCTCCGGGAGTACGGGGTCGGGGGTCCTCTGTTGAGGGCCATCCGATCCCTGTATGACCGGAGCCAGAGCTGTGTTCGCATTGCCGGCAGTAAGTCAGACCTGTTCCCGGTGAATGTTGGCCTCCGACAGGGCTGCCCTTTATCACCGGTTCTGTTCACTGTATTTATGGACAGAATATCTAGGCGCAGCCAGGGGTCAGAGGGGGTCCGGTTCGGAGACCACAGGATTTCATCTCTGCTGTTTGCGGACGATGTTGTCCTGTTGGCTCCAACGAACCAGGACCTGCAGCATGCACTGGGGCGGTTTGCAGCCGAGTGTGAAGCGGCTGGGATGAGAATCAGCACCTCCAAATCCGAGGCCATGGTGCTCGACCGGAAAAAGGTGCCTTGCCCTCTGCAGGTGGGTGGAGAGGTCCTTCCTCAAGTGGAGGAGTTCAAGTATCTCGGGGTCTTGTTCACGAGTGAGGGAAGGATGGAGCGTGAGATTGACAGGCGGATCGGTGCAGCGTGCGCAGTGATGCGGTCGCTGTATCGGACCGTTGTGGTGAAGAGGGAGCAGCGTCTGCAGTCAGAGCTGTATCGGACCGTTGTGGTAAAGAGGGAGCTGAGCCGAAAGGCAAAGCTCTCGATTTATCGGTCAATCTTCGTTCCCTCCCTCACCTATGGTCATGAGCTTTGGGTAATGACCGAAAGAACGAGATCGCGGATACAAGAGGTCGAAATGAGCTTCCTCCGCAGAGTGGCTGGGCGCTCCCTTAGAGATAGGGTGAGGAGCTCAGTCACACGGGAGGAGCTCGGAGTAGAGCCGCTGCTTCTCCACGTCGAGAGGAACCAGTTGAGGTGGCTCGGGCATCTGTTCCGGATGCCTCCTGGACGCCTCCCTGGGGAGGTGTTCCGGGCACGTCCCACCGGGAGGAGGCCCCGCGGAAGACCTAGGACACGCTGGAGGGACTATGTCTCTCAGCTGGCCTGGGAACGCCTTGGGGTCCCCCCGGACGAGCTGGAGGAGGTGTGTGTGGATAGGGAAGTCTGGGCGTCTCTGCTTAGACTGCTGCCCCCGCGACCCGGCAACGGATAAAGCGGAAGAAAATGGATGGATGGATGGATATATATTTATATAGTGTGAATATATGTTTATATAGTGTGAATATATATTTATATAGTGTGAATATATGTTTATATAGTGTGAATATATGTTTATATAGTGTGAATATATGTTTATATAGTGTGAATATATATTTATATAGTGTGAATATATGTTTATATAGTGTGAATATATGTTTATATAGTGTGAATATATGTATATAGTGTGAATATATGTTTATATAGTGTGAATATATATGTATATAGTGTGAATATATGTATATAGTGTGAATATATGTTTATATAGTGTGAATATATGTATATAGTGTGAATATATGTATATAGTGTGAATATATGTTTATATAGTGTGAATATATGTATATAGTGTGAATATATATGTATAATGTATATTTGTGGTCTATGTAAACACCGAGGGCCAAATGAAACAGACTCTTAGCTTTAATCTGCAAAAAATGACTTGTTTTGATCTTTTACTGTTCTTGAGCAGTCTGTCATAGAATATATTAAATATGTTAAGGCTGTCAAAGTTATCGCCTTAATGTCACGTTAATTAATTTTTTTCATTTATCGCATTTAAAAAATTACACTTTTAACAAAATATGTCGAGCTGAAAAAAGAGTGTCTAAACAGAAAGACAGAATGTTAATAATGTTAATGCTTTTTATGTGGATTTATTGTTATAATAATCAAAAACAGTTTACTCTGTTTCCGTTCAAACCATTTACAGAACCATATGGCATCATCTTGTTGATAGTTCGAAATGCGATTAATTATGATTAATTAATTTTCAATCTGTAATCAACTTGATTAAAGAATGTAATCGTTTGACAGCCCTAATATATAGTTTAATCCAATATAATATAATAAAATCCAGTTTAATTTAGTTTTAAGTTTAAAGACCATTAACACAAACTACACTTTGTCTCTTAAATGTTAATGAAGAACGTGGCAAGTTTTGAATCTGACGAAAAGTTTTTATTCGCCAACTCGTCTCTGCAGCTGGCTGTTGTAGCCTGTACAAGTCGACCGCTTGTGTCAACTCAGTCGGCCCTCGGGGGCCCCTGGCAGCTGCCTGCCTTGCTCAGTGGCAAGGGACGCCTCAGCACACACACACACACACACACGCCCCCTACAGTTATTTGTTTCTGGGGAAAACATCTGCTGATCGCTAACTTGATCTGTATACGTTTGATAGAACCAGGTTTAGGATGACGTGGCGTAAAGGGGCAGAGCTCAGAGCGGTGCGGCCAGTCCAGGTTCAGTCCCGGTTGACCTCTGCCTCAAAGTACAACAGGAGGAGACGAGAGGAGGAGGCATCAGGAAGGAGCTTACTGATATGAATTTTGAAGCAGCTGTTGTCTTATCACCTCCTCCTCCCCCTCCTCCCCCCTCCTCCTCCTCCCCCCTCCTCCTCCTCCTCCCCCCCTCCTACCTCTGTCCCGTATAAGTGGCGTCCCGGTCACACTTTGCCGTTCCCTCAGGATGCAGACGGCTCGCAGCTCGCTCAGTGCTCTCACCCAGGTAAGAGAGACATCCAAACAAACAAACAAACTCTGGTCTCTCCCTCTTGACTCTCTCTGGTCTCTCTCCGGTCTCCCTCCCTCTCTTGTCTCTCTCTCTGGTCTCTCTCTCCCTGGTGTCTCTACCTCTTGACTCCCTCTGGTCTCTCTCTCGCTCTCTCTGGTCTCTCTCAGCCAATCAGCTCTCAGCTCATGTGTTATCGATGAGACTGAAGTTACGTCGCTGAGCTTTAACATGTCCCTGTCCTCTCTGTGTCCTCTCTGTGCTCTCTCTGTGCTCTCTCTCTGTGCTCTCTCTGTGCTCTCTCTGTGCTCTCTCTGTGCTCTCTCTGTGCTCTCTCTGTGCTCTCTCTCTGTGCTCTCTCTCTGTGCTCTCTCTGTGCTCTCTCTGTGCTCTCTCTGTGCTCTCTCTCTGTGTCCTCTCTGTGTCCTCTCTGTGTCCTCTCTGTGCTCTCTCTGTGCTCTCTCTCTGTGCTCTCTCTGTGTCCTCTCTGTGTCCTCTCTGTGCTCTCTCTCTGTGTCCTCTCTGTGTCCTCTGTGTCCTCTCTCTCTGTGCTCTCTCTCTGTGTCCTCTCTGTGTCCTCTCTGTGTCCTCTCTGCAGCTGTGTCTGTGCCTGTCTCTGTGTGTGGAGGGGGGTCGTCAGCGCTGTGGCTCCGAGCTCATGGTGGACCTGGTGTTTGTGTGCGGGGACCGCGGAGTCCATATAGGACCCCGTACAGGTACGTGTTCATCTGAGCCAAAATGTCTGTCTCTGGTCTCTCTCTCTCGGGTCTCTCTCTCTGGTCTCTCTCTGGGCTCTCTCTCTGGTCTCTCTCTCTGGTCTCTCTCTCTGGTCTATCTCTCTGGTCTCTCTCTGGGCTCTCTCTCTGGTCTCTCTCTCTGGTCTCTCTCTCTCTGGTCTATCTCTCTGGTCTCTCTCTCTCTGGTCTATCTCTCTGGGCTCTCTCTCTGGTCTCTCTCTGGTCTCTCTCTGGGCTCTCTCTCTGGTCTCTCTCTCTGGTCTCTCTATCTGGTCTCTCTCTCTCTGGTCTCTCTCTCTGGGCTCTCTCTCTCTGGTCTCTCTCTGGGCTCTCTCTCTGGTCTCTCTCTCTCTCTGGTCTTTCTCTCTGGTCTCTCTCTCTCTGGTCTCTCTCTGGTCTCTCTCTCTGGGCTCTCTCTCTGGTCTCTCTCTCTGGTCTCTCTCTCTCTGGTCTCTCTCTCTGGGCTCTCTCTCTGGTCTCTCTCTCTGGTCTCTATCTCTCTGGTCTCTCTCTCTGGTCTCTCTCTCTCGCCGGTCTCTCTCTGGTCTCTCTCTCTGGTCTCGCTCTCTGGTCTCGCTCTCTGGTCTCTCTCTCTGGGCTCTCTCTCTGGTCTCTCTCTCTGGTCTCTCTCTCTCTGGTCTCTCTCTCTCTGGTCTCTGGGCAGACTCTGGGCTCTATCTAGTTATCATAGTTGTGTTTACGCACACTCACGGTCACAGCAGATATCAGGGCAGGCGTGGCTACGGCTGCCATAGTAACTGCAACACACTGAATACTGTGGGAAAGGACACGCGCACACACACAGACACACACATACACACACTCAGGTTGTGTGTCTTTTTCAGACAGACGTTGGTCTCGTTCGAGGCGTCGTCCCAAAGGTCTCGCAGACGAGTGCTGCTCCGTGTCCGGCTGTGACCTGTCCCACTTAGAGAAGTACTGCAACAAGGCCACGCCCCCTACTACTACTACTACTACTGCTACTACTACTACTACTGCTATTGCTGCTACTACTGCATCTTCTACAGCCACCACTGAAGCTGCTGGTACTTCTACTACTCCTGCCAGAAGCACCAAGGAGCCCACAGCGGTAAGACTCCTAGAGAGACCAGAGAGAGACTAGAGAGAGAGACCATGAGAGAGACCATGAGAGAGACCATGAGAGAGACCAGAGAGAGACCAGAGAGAGACCATGAGAGAGACCAGAGAGAGACCAGAGAGTAACCAGAGATAGACCATGAGAGACTTGAGAGAGACCAGAAAGAAACCAGAGAGAAACCAGAGAGAATGAGACCATGATGTTGTCTGAGTAAACACGTACATCTGTGGAACAGTGAGGCCTCAAAAATTAATGAGGGACTTTTGCAAAACTAATGTAGGGGCCAGTGTAGGGGCCCTCAGTATAGGGGCCAGTGTAGGGGCCCTCAGCACAGGGGTGATGTGCTCCTCTGTGACCTCAGTCATAACTCATGTCTGTGTGTGTTTCAGGAGCTGCTGTTCGAGGCCCTGTACCAGAAGAAGCTGCTGGAGATCCTGGGGGCCCCTGGAAGCCCACAGAGAGAGGCATACAGGAGGACACAGAGGCCCTCAGCACACAGACCCTCTCCCCGCAGAAGAACTCACCACAGGACTTTCAGGGGGCCTCTCTCTTCGGCCCGTGCCAACTCTGAGACCACGTGACATCACTGAGGGCCCCTGGACTCTTCAGGAGCCTTCAGACCGCTGGACTGGGTGTTTGGAGCTCTCACATCTCCACAGGGGCCCAGAGTCTGCTTCTCTTGAACCTGGACTGAACACTGGGGCCCCTGGACTTTAGCATTGACGGGCCGGACTGTTGGAGCTGCTGTGGTCTCCCTGTGGCCCCGGGGCCCTGCACTGGACTGGCACAAGTTTGAAAAATGCACATCCCCACTGAGGCCTCCAACCCGCCTTGCGACCAAAACTCAGCTGTGATTTAGAGACTATAAAAGTCCAGGTCTTTTCACTTTTACTAAATTATTTTAAACGTGTCATAATATTATTTATTATTTAAAGAAGAACACAGGAGTCCAGCTGTTTTAAAGTTTCTCTCTGGTCTCTCTTTCTCTGGACCTCTCTCTCTTTTCTCTCTCTGGTCTCTCTCTTGATTCTCTCTGGTCTCTCTCTGGTCTCTCTCTGGTCCCTCTCTATTTTGTCTCTCTCATGGTCTCACACTGGTCTCTCTCTGATCTGGTCTCTCCCTTTTCTCTCTCTCTCTGGTCTCTCCCTCCCTGGTCTCTCTCTCTGGTCTCTCCCTGGTCTCTCACTCCCTGGTCTCTCTCTGGTCTCTCTCTCTGGTCTCTCCCTGGTCTCTCACTCCCTGGTCTCTCTCTCCCTGGTCTCTCTCTCTCTCACATGGTCTTGTGTAAATGGTTTTAGTGTCTTTGTTATTGATGAAGAACATGATATTTCCCACAGATGATGCTCCTAGTGGTGGAACAGAGTCATTACACTCACACTGTTACAGGTGCAGTCCACCTGCTGGAGCTCAGCCAGAAACTATACCAACTCTGTGTTTGAGCCTTATTTTTGTATTTTGTTAATAAAAAACAAACAAAATTCAACATCATTGTTTATGTGCCTCAAAGCCTCCGACCAAACACCTCCCATTCACTCTCTCACAACATTCAGACCTATTTGTACATGTTTTAGAGGTAGGGGAAACCGGGGCACCTGGAGGAAACCGACGCAGACGCGGGGAGAACATGCAAACTCTACTCAGAAAGGTCCTGTTCTGACTGTGATCCGAACCCAGAACCTTCTTGCTGTTGTAACCAGCCACCGTGTTACCCAGAAAAGTAATATTATTCTACTTACTTTGAAGTTACTTTCCCCAAATATATAAATACAAACTAAATGTAGCGTATAATATATAAACATTCACCGGCCACTTCATTATGTAGACCTCGCTAGAACCGGGTCGGACCTCCTTTTTCCCTCAAAACTGTCTTATACAAGGTCCTGGTCATATACCTCAAAGAGTGTGGTCCACATTGACATGATACTATCAGAGTGTGGTCCACATTGACATGATACCATCAGAGTGTGGTCCACATTGACATGATATCATCAGAGTGTGGTCCACATTGACATGATACCATCAGAGTGTGGTCCACATTGACATGATACCATCAGAGTGTGGTCCACATTGACATGATACCATCAGAGTGTGGTCCACATTGACATGATACCATCAGAGTGTGGTCCACATTGACATGATACCATCAGAGTGTGGTCCACATTGACATGATACCATCAGAGTGTGGTCCACATTGACATGATACCATCAAAGTGTGGTCCACATTGACATGATACCATCAGAGTGAACCACCACCACCTGAACCACCACCACCTGGTCTCTCTAGTCTCTCTCCGGTCTCTCTCAGATGTCTCTCCTGCTGGTCTCTCTCTGGTCTTTCTCAGATGTCTCTCCTGCTAGTCTCTCTCTAGTCTCTCTCCTGTCTCTCTCAGATGTCTCTCTCTAGTCTCTCTCCGGTCTCTCTCAGATGTCTCTCTCTAGTCTCTCTCCGGTCTCTCTCAGATGTCTCTCCTGCTGGTCTCTCTCCGGTCTCTCTCAGATGTCTCTCCTGCTAGTCTCTCTCTAGTCTCTCTCCGGTCTCTCTCAGATGTCTCTCCTGCTGGTCTCTCTCCGGTCTCTCTCAGATGTTTCTCCTGCTGGTCTCTCTCTAGTCTCTCTCCGGTCTCTCTCAGATGTCTCTCCTGCTGGTCTCTCTTTGGTCTTTCTCTGGTCTTTCTCAGATGTTTCTCCTGCTGGTCTCTCTCTAGTCTCTCTCCGGTCTCTCTCAGATGTCTCTCCTGCTGGTCTCTCTTTGGTCTTTCTCTGGTCTTTCTCAGATGTTTCTCCTGCTGGTCTCTCTCTAGTCTCTCTCCGGTCTCTCCCAGATGTGTCTCCTGCTGGTCTCTCTCAGATGTTTCTCCTGCTGGTCTCTCGCTGCAGAGGATCAAAACAAAACTATTTAATTCAAATATTAGTTTTTAATGTCTCCCATGACTGCAATACAGATACAGTACTTTATTAGACCAGAGAGGGACCAGAAAGAGACTAAAGAGAGAGGCCAGAGAGAGACCAGAGAGAGAGACCAGAGAGAGACCGGAGAGCGAGACCAGAGAGCGAGACCAGAGAGAGAGACCAGAGAGAGACCAGAGAGAGACCGGAGAGAGAGAGAGACCAGAGAGAGAGACCAGAGAGACCAGAGAGCGAGACCAGAGAGCGAGACCAGAGAGCGAGACCAGAGAGAGACAAGAGAGAGAGACCAGAGAGAGACCGGAGAGAGACCAGAGAGAGACCAGAGAGAGACCAGAGAGAGACCAGAGAGAGACCGGAGAGAGAGAGACCAGAGAGAGACCAGAGAGAGACCAGATAGCGAGACCAGAGAGAGAGACCAGAGAGAGACCAGAGAGACGAGAGACCAGAGAGCGAGACCAGAGAGAGACCAGAGAGAGAGACCAGAGAGCGAGACCAGAGAGAGAGACCAGAGAGCGAGACCAGAGAGCGAGACCAGAGAGAGACCAGAGAGAGACCGGCGAGAGAGAGAGACCAGAGAGAGAGACCAGAGAGAGAGACCAGAGAGAGACCAGAGAGAGAGACCAGAGAGAGACCAGAGAGAGACCAGAGAGAGACCAGAGAGAGACCAGAGAGAGAACAGAGAGAGAGACCAGAGAGAGACCAGAGAGAGAGACCAGAGAGAGACCAGAGAGAGAGACCAGAGAGAGAGACCAGAGAGAGACCAGAGAGAGAGACCAGAGAGAGACCAGAGAGAGAGACCAGAGAGAGACCAGAGAGAGAGACCAGAGAGAGACCAGAGAGAGAGAAAACAGGTGTTTGTCTTCATGGTTGTGGTGGAGCCTCAGTTTTTGGTTCTTTTAATCTTTTCATAGAAACAAAACTTGAAACATTTCTTTGATCAGAAAGTTAGTCTCTCGCTCAAAGACGCACAAGTGACACAGAGACACACAACAAGTGATGACGAAAGTGAAATGTGTCCTGTTTGTGTTATTGTTGTTGAAGGAAATGCCCTGTGCTCTTCCTCGTCCACCTCGTCTTCATCATCATCACTCAAGAAGCAGATAATGCTCCTGCGTCACAGCTGATACACACACACAAACTGGGTCACACACACACACAGACACCCACACACACACATGCATACAGACACCCACACACACAGAAACACACACACACACCGACACACAAACACAGACACAGAAACACACACACACACACACACAGAAACACACACACACACACACACAGAGACACACACACACACACACACACACAGAAACACACACACAAACACAGACACAGAAACACACACACACACAGAGACACACACAAACACAGACACAGAAACACACACACACACACAGACACAGAAACACACACACACACACACACACACACACACAGAAACACACAAACACAGACACAGAAACACACACACACACACACACACACACACAGACACAGACACACACACACACAGACACAGAAACACACACACACACACACACACACAGACACACACACACACACACACACACTCTCAGGGTCGCAGCTGTGAGGAGGCAGGTCTTTGTTACAGTGAACTGTGCTGATTGTGCGTTTGTTTAAAGATATGAATGTGAGACTTTGGTGAAGATGACGTGTGCGACACAAGTGTGCTTTGTTCAGAGGGAAACGTGTGTCTTTATAGTCTCCACAGAGAAGGGCTATCACACCTGGACCTGGGGTAGACCAGCCTGGCCTAAGACCCAGTGGTCCCCGATCCCACCAGTCTTCCCAGAAAAGAGTTCTCAAAACTGGGCTTGGAGTAAGCCATGCATGGCATGGTCCCTGGATCCATGGTCCCCACAAACCCGGGTACCTAGACTGAAGCACCCCTCCTCGGACTCGAAACCATAAACACAGCCGCTCCACGACCCTGGGACTACCTGCAGATTTTGAGTGTGCCTAGGACTACTTAGTCTGCATTTGAATACAGTAGATACAGTAGCACCAGGCACTCTGAAGTGCAGGCTATGGACAGATGACTCCAAGTCCAGGTATGATAGCCCTTCTCTGGGGAGACTCGTGATATATATACCCTGGGTCTTAGGCCAGGCAGGTCTACCCCCAAGTCCATCACGCCCCAGCCGTGTGTGTGTATTTTTGTGAGGGCGTGTGTGTGTGTGTGTGTGTTACTATGTGTCTTGTCTCTGTGTCTCTCTCTCTGGTCCCTCTGTGGTGCATGGTCTCTCTCTCTCTCTTGTATCTCTGGTCTCTCTCTGGTCTCTCTCTAGTCTCTCTCTAGTCTCTCTCTGGTCTCTCTCTGGTCTCTCGCTAGTCTCTCGCTAGTCTCTCGCTAGTCTCTCGCTAGTCTCTCGCTAGTCTCTCTCTAGTCTCTCTCTAGTCTCTCGCTAGTCTCTCGCTAGTCTCTCTCTAGTCTCTCTCTAGTCTCTCGCTAGTCTCTCTCTAGTCTCTCTCTGGTCCTGAGTCTTTTTATCATTATAGAAACACACAGTATCTGTATCAGTCTGAACACTTTCTCCTCAGCGCTGCCCCTATCTGCAGCTGATAGAACAACACGTCACTGCTATGGCTTTAAAGCTCAGGTCTGTAAGTTTAGTCTCAGCAATGTTTAAAGCTCAGGTCTGTAGCTTTAGTCTCATCAATAACACATGTTTAAAGCTCAGGTCTGTAGCTTTAGTCTCATCAATAACACATGTTTAAAGCTCAGGTCTGTAGCTTTAGTCTCATCAATAACACATGTTTAAAGCTCAGGTCTGTAACTTTAGTCTCATCAATAACACATGTTTAAAGCTCAGGTCTGTAACTTTAGTCTCATCAATAACACATGTTTAAAGTTACGTCCCTGAGCTTTAACAGATGCTTCTGTTGTTTCTATCAGAGGAAGCTGTGTCCAGGTCTTTGTGCACAAACAGTCTGCAGAGATGTGGGACAAGGTCTGAGATTAGACATGTGAAGATAAAAACCAGAGACCAGAGAGAGACCAGAGAGAGACCAGAGAGAGACCAGAGAGAGACCAGAGAGAGAGACCAGAGAGAGAGACCAGAGAGAGACCAGAGAGAGAGACCAGAGAGAGAGACCAGAGAGACCAAGGAGAGACTAGGGAGAGACCAGGGAGAGACCAGAGCGAGACCAGAGAGAGACCAGAGAGAGACTAGGAAGAGACCAGGGAGAGTCCAGAGAGAGACCAGAGAACATTAATGTTGTTTGATATTAGTGTACTCCCCTTTTGATTCTATTTCTGTTTTTTTCATACATGTGTAAATACTAAGTGTGCAGCAGCTCCCCCTTCTGGACACACACTCACACTAGATCATGTGTTTTATATTTATGAGTTTATTTAAATCAATTTATATAAAATACATTGTTTTATCATGTGACAGAAATAGAATAAATGTATAAAAGGTGAGAGTGGAGTCTGACAGACCCCGAGTATAAAGTCACCCCTCACTCATAGAACTATAGTCACACAGGTAACTGATCTCAGTCGCAATCCAGGGTTTGATCAGGTCCTGCTCTTGGCCCCGGCCTCAGATCTGGTCTGGTCCTCAGTCCTGGTCCAGGATCTGGTCGGGTCCTTGTTTTTGGTCCAGAATCTGGTCCAGCATGGTCTCACACATCAGCAGGCAGCGCGGGACGTGGAAGAATCCTGCAGAACACACAGTCAGGACTGGACCGGTCTGGACCAGTATAGACCAGTCTGGACTGGTCTGGAACAGTATAGACTAGTATGGACTGGTCTGGAACAGTATAGACTAGTCTGGACTGGTCTGGACCAGAGCTCACCTTTGAAGGGTCCTCCTTTGAAGTCCAGGGCCACGTTCCCCTCCCGAGACAGATATCCGACCCACTCCCCGGTCCGAGTATCGGGAAACTGAAAGACAGGGGGGTAGATCATGCTGTGGACCAGGCCGGTCAAACTCAGGCTTGTAGGCCAAATCTGGTCCACAAGAGAATTTTTACTGGCCCCTAAAATGATTATGTTGCAGCATTGATAGCTGCCATGGCAAGTTATACATCATCTGTTTACTCTCTAACCAAAATGTATGTATTTAAACAACCCACATCAGAGGGTGGATTGTGCTGTGGATACATGTTTAAAGGTGCAGGGGGTGGATCGTGCTGTGGACTCATGTTTAAAGGTGCAGGGGGTGGATCGTGCTGTGGACTTATGTTTAAAGGTGCAGAGGGTGGATCGTGCTGTGGACTCATGTTTAAAGGTGCAGGGGGTGGATCGTGCTGTGGACTCATGTTTAAAGGTGCAGAGGGTGGATCGTGCTGTGGACTCATGTCTATAGGTGTAGTGGGGTGGATGGTGCTGTGGACTCAAATGTATAAAGGTGCAGAGGGTGGATCGTGCTGTGGACTTACATGTTTGAAGGTGCAGAGGGTGGATCGTGCTGTGGACTCATGTTTAAAGGTGCAGGGGGTGGATCGTGCTGTGGACTCATGTTTAAAGGTGCAGGGGGTGGATCGTGCTGTGGACTCATGTTTAAAGGTGCAGAGGGTGGATCGTGCTGTGGACTCATGTCTATAGGTGTAGTGGGGTGGATGGTGCTGTGGACTCAAATGTATAAAGGTGCAGAGGGTGGATCGTGCTGTGGACTTACATGTTTGAAGGTGCAGAGGGTGGATCGTGCTGTGGACTTACATGTTTGAAGGTGCAGAGGGTGGATCGTGCTGTGGACTTACATGTTTAAAGGTGCAGAGGGTGGATCGTGCTGTGGACTCACATGTTTAACCTCTTTACATCCACCCGCCCGCCGGCGGGCGATTTTTATTTTTAAAATGTTCTGCTGGCAATAACAGATGCATTTTTAACACCAAACCCCAAGAGCTGTATATCATTTTAAAGCTTATTTTCTTATCTATCTTATTTATATACAAGTGTAAACTACATCAGACTTTGCATTCAAAAGATATAACACATAATATGGGCACAAAATAAGTCACTTCGGAAAAAGTTTTTTACGTTTGGGCTTGTGCTGCATAAATAAATCAGCTCTCCTCCCGGCTTCCTATGGCTCTTTCTCTCTGGAACAGTCCATTTAACAATAATATCCACTTGTATTTCCCAAAGTATAATCCATTCTGGAGAAATAATCCAAAAATGTGCATTTATCTGTAGCAAAAAAAACCGAAATAAAAAAGAGCACAGAGGCTGTTCTTTTACTGTTTACGGACTTTTAGCTTTGTTTTTCACCCAAACATCTGGCATCCACGTGTTCAGCTACTCGTAATCTTTCAAATGACACCTCCCATGAATCTCTATGAGCTATTTTGGGTCTGACAAAATCTCCCGTGAGTTGGACAAGTGGCGGCGTTTTGCGCATGGGGTCACTTCACATTTGTTGTCATTAGACGTCAGCACTAGATCATATACGGAATCGGGACGGAAGCGGAAGTAAATATTACAAATTACCTATTAATGCCTAAATTTAACCAGCTATTCCCATAAAATAACCCCAACCCAGCCTTAACCCTAACCTTAACCATCTTACTCAGACCCACCTTTACCCTAACCTTAACCATCTTACTCAGACCACCTTTACCCTAACCTTAACCATCTTACTCAGACCACCTTTACCCTAACCTTAACCATCTTACTCAGACGCCTAAAACTTAACCAGTCACCACTTAAGGACTTATTAGTCTAAAACTAATTCGAAAGTACGAGTGTTACTTCCGGTTTCGTCCCGATTCCGTATATGATCTAGTACCGACCGTCATTAGACTGGTTTGCATCTACTTCCTGGCCAAAAGATTGACATGTCCGTGTAGCTAATGAGGAAAGCTTTCTATTAAGGGGTGGGACATATGTGTACTGGGTTGGGTTGTCTCAGTAGAAGGCTGCGTAATGGTCGGCACTAAACCGGAAGTAACAATCCAACTTTCGAATTAGTTTTAGACTAAAAAGTCCTTAAGTAGTGACTTGTTAAGTTTTAGGCGTCTGAGTAAAATGGTTAAGGTCAGGGTTAAGGTGGTCTGAGTAAGATGGTTAAGGTTAGGGTAAAGGTGGGTCTGAGTAAGATGGTTAAGTTTAGGGTTAAGTCTGGGTTGGGGTTATTTTATGGGAATGGCTGGTTAAGTTTAGGCATGAATAGGTATTTTGTTATATTTACTTCCGCTTCCATCCCGATTCCATATATGATCTAGTGCTGACCGCTGCGTAATGGCCCGGAGACAGGCGCTGACAGAGCAGCAATGATTTTACACTCATAAAAAATTAACTTTAAAAAAAATGTAAAAAAAAAAAAATCACATAATAACTTATAAGTATCAAAAATAAAAAATATGGGACTTCCGGTGGCGTCGAACTGAATGGACGCGTAAAGTGAAGCGGCTCTGAACTCAGCCAATATATCCCCAAAATTCGAAGATTTTACGACTAGAGACAAACACGGATATTCTCTGGAAATGAGCGGGGATCGACAAACAAGGTCCGGGAAGGGAATTATGGAGAAGAAATTAGATTCAAGCTCCAACTCGGATAACCCAGCTAACGCTACTCACCACGCTGCCAGGGAGGAAGCTAGCGTTAGCACTGTATCCACTGATACCACCGTTATCCGCACAATTATAAGTGAAGTTATGAATAAGGGGCTGGAAGACCTAAGACAACAGATGGCAAGGGATTTGACCAACTTTCGTGAAATAATCAAAGAGGACATGAAGACTCAGCTGGACGTCCTCAATGTTAACATCAACCAGAAACTAGAGGCCGCTAGCCGCCAGATAGAGGATGCTACACGGCAACTGGAGGAGGTGGAAATAAAAGCGGCTGGAGCAGAAAAGTGGGACTTGGCCGTGAGGGACACTTTACTTGACCTCATCAACAACCAGAGAGCACTACAGTCAAAGATGTCTGATTTGGAGGGCCGCTCTCGGCGTAACAACATTAGGATCTACGGGATTGCGGAGAAAACGGAGGGAACCTCAATGCCAGCTTTTATTGAGAGCTTCATATTGAATGAGCTACGAGAGAGCATCGGTGTTCAAAGAGGCGCAGACCTTGGAATAGAACGGGCTCATCGGGCTTTGGGTCCACAGCCACCGACAGGCGCACCACCGCGCTCGATTGTTATTCGCTTCCTGAGTTTCACAACTAAGGAGAAGGTTCTCCAGGCTGCATGGAAAAAACAGATGTTCGTCCAGAACAAACGCGTCTTTTTTGATCACGACTATGCAACAGATGTACAGCAGAGAAGAAAGGAATACACCCCCAATAAAGAAGATATTGAAAGAAAACCAGATCCGCTTCCAAACACCGCTAACAAGGATCCGCATTCACTTTGACACTGGTTCAGTTACCTGTAATGATCCCCACGCAGCGGTCGCGGAGTTGGAGAAACGGGGGTTTTCGGTTGGGCCAATTCGAGCGAAGAAGCCAGCGGACCATAATGCTGATACGCTGTCTAAACTTCTACCCTGGCGCACCGTGGGTCCGCACCGCGCTGGTAAAGACTACCAGGAGAGCATCAGGGAGAGACTGCGTGGGTTCCAGCGACCCGATCAGGAGGACAACAGCCATGAAGAATGAAGATGTTTAAGGACACTGTGGACTCTAATCAGGAGGTATACGCTGTGTAAGTAAGAGTAATGGACACTCATGTGCATCTATATCGGTTATCTGATCTCGAACGATCCCTTTTAGTTTTAAACTTGCGTTTACTTAATGGCTAAGCAAGTCATCCCGAGACGTAACCTGATTGCAAAATAGGCTGGTTCAGTGTGCGCCCTAAATGCCCACCATAGTTACTGGGGTAACACCGCAGTTGTTTTTCTACTTGTAGAATAAGTTGATGAGGGGCCCCACCTTGTGGCTATCTCCCCTCACTGTTTTTAGAGGAGCTTGTTTTTCCTCTCTAATGGAAGTCTTGTTAAGTTTTGAAGTTATTCTTCATTTTGATCAGTTCCTTTTTGCTTTTTTTTGTTTATTTTTACAAGAGAGCTCAACATCACATGCAGCGGGTGAAAATATAACATCAATAAAATGTTTCAATACTATAAAACTTTATCCCTAAATGTTAATGGTTTAAACAGTCCCATAAAACGTAGTAAAATGATAGCAAAATTAAAGAAGGAAAAGATAAACATTGCATTCTGGCAGGAAACACATCTGTCTCAATCGGAACATGAAAAACTTAAAAAGCTGGGCTTTAGTAAAACATTTTTTTCTTCACATAGATCAGGAAACAAAAGGGGAGTTGCTATATTAATCTCGAACAAGATCAGTTTTGAGCTGATTTCCGAGACCAAAGATAAAGAAGGTCGATATATCCTTGTTAGGGGGAAACTAGATGGTAAACCCGTAACTTTAGTGAACATCTATGCTCCCCCTGGAAGCCCTATATCCTTCTTTAAAAATGTTTTTGATCTTTTAGCAATTGGGAAGTATGGTACCTTGTTGTGTGCAGGAGATCTAAATATGCTGATGGACCACAAACTGGACACAACGAATCATAAGAGGATCAGGACGGCTGTCGAGTCCTGGGTGATAAAAACAACCAGAATTCTGGGTCTCAAGGATGTGTGGAGAGACATGCATGGTCGAGAGAAAGATTTCACTTTTTATTCAGCCCGCCATAATATGTATTCACGGATTGACTATTACTTAATGTTTAACAGTGAACTTCACAGAGTGAAAGAATGTAAAATTCAACAAAGTGATCTCTCTGACCATGCAGGGCTCTACTTAACGTTACATCTGGACACTCATAAAAAGAAAACAAATTGGAGATTGAATATCAGTATTTTCAACAGTGATGAATATAAAAAAGAAATTTTGGAAGATTATAAGGAATTCTTATCCTATAATGATAATGGAGAAGTCAGTTCACCCATTCTATGGGACACAGCCAAAGCCTATCTTAGAGGAAAGCTCATTTCTAAAGCTGCTTCTTTGAAGAAATCAAAACAAAAGCTACTACAGGACTTGGAAAACAGATTAAGAGAGCTTGAGAGGCAGCATAGTCAAAATAAAGACCCTTCACTATTGAATTCAATGAAACCTATCAAACAGGAAATCGACAAATTGTATAGTGAAGACATAGAGAAGAATATCAGGTATATGAAACAGAGGTACTATGAGGCTGGATCAAAGGCAACAAAATTATTAGCTTGGAGACTACGTAAACAACAAGAAGAGAGATCAATTTATAAAATTAGAGATCCAAAATCAAATAAATTGACAACCAAACAGAACAAAATTCACAATGCATTTGAAAAATATTACTCGTCTCTATATACACACAGTGGTGAAAGTAGCCCTGACAAAATTGACTGTTTTTTGAAATCGTTAGACCTCCCCGCTCTTGGAAGAAAACACAATAAATCCTTGACCATTGAAATTTCAGACATAGAAATTAACAAAGCTATCTCAGCCTTAAAAGACGGGGAAAAGTCCAGGTACAGATGGATACCCGGCTGAATGGTACAAGCTGATGAGGGATCCATTACTTCCACTGCTTAAAGAATGCTTTAACAATATAATGAAGGGAGGTGTGCCTCCTCCCTCATGGAGGGAGGCTTTTATCTCCATTATACATAAAGAGGGGAAAAATAAATTGGATTGTAAATCATATAGGCCTATCAGTGTTCTCAATGTGGATTATAAGATTTTTGCATCAATCCTGGCCAGGAGAATGGAAGAGGCTATATCTTTTCTCATAGATGAAGACCAAACAGGTTTTGTTAAAGATCGCCAAACACACGATAACATACGGAGAACCATTCATATAATTGATCACATAACGAAGACAAATTCTAATGCAGTTCTTCTCAGCTTAGATGCTGAGAAGGCCTTTGATTCAGTTAGTTGGCAATTCCTCTACCAAACAATGAGCTGTTTAGGCTTCGCAGATCAGTTCATACAATGCATAAAGGCCCTATATTCGGCTCCGACCGCAAGGATCAAAATTAATGGAGATCTAACTAACACAATAAAACTTCATAGAGGTTGTCGACAAGGCTGCCCACTTAGCCCATTTCTGTTCAATTTGTTTATTGAACCATTGGCCCAGATGATCCGACAGGAAGAGGATCTAGAGGGTATAACTATAAGGGGTACGGAATATAAAATTTGCCTATATGCCGACGATGTGTTGGTAACACTCCAGAACCCAGAGTCCAGCATACCTAAACTTATGAGTGCAATTAAATCATTTGGGTTACTATCTGGTTATAAGCTCAATGTTAATAAAACTCAGGTACTTTCATTCAACCACTCTCCCAGCCCAGATTTGGTCAGTAACTATAATTTTGATTGGACCCTTTCTCACATCCGATATCTCGGGGTATTTATTCCAAAGGATCTCTCTGCTTTTTACCATAAACTATGAATATATCACAAAACAAGTCATAGAAGACCTTAATAGGTGGTCCGTGCTCCCCATAGAGATCGGTGACAGGATAAGGTCAATTAAAATGGTAACTTTGCCCAAATTATTATATCTTTTTAATGCTTTACCAGTTGAAATCCCACTGATACAATTTAGAGTGTGGGATAAATGCATATCCAGGTTTATATGGAACTCCAAGAAACCACGCATAAAATACTCTGTTCTTCAGCTTCCCAGGGACAGGGGAGGCATGGCACTACCCTGTCTAAGACAATACTACGTTGCGGCCCAATTAAGATATCTCATACTTTGGTGCGATGAGTCCTATGAAGCAAAATGGAAAGGTTTGGAACTGTCTATGTCTGAAAAGCCATTACAGGCAACACTCGGATGTGTAGAATGCTGTAGGACAATTTTGAAGCTTGGAAACTTCTGTGTCAGTGTGGGAATCAAGGTTTGGATGCAAATTGTGAGGAGATTTGCACTTCACAGACAAGCCAAGATGCTGAGTTGGCCTGCTTGTGACCCGCATTTCCTACCAGCAGTAAATGATGATAGATTCAAAGAGTGGCCGCGACTGGGTATAACAGCAATGAGCCGTACTGTGGTGAGAGGACAGATGGATAGCTTCCAGAATCTTGTGCTTAAATTTGGCCTTGGTAAACATGATTTTTTCAGGTATCTCCAACTTCGTCATTACTTTACAAAAGAAATACAAAGCGATGTATCAGTAAAAGTTCCAGATCTGGTCCAATTACTCTTAAACATCTATAATGGAACAAGTTGCAAAAAAATTGTTAGCAAAATATATGGGATTTTAAACTCAATGGATAATGACACATACCTTCATGTAAAACGTCAATGGGATAAGGACTTGACAGTTGAGATACCTGAGGAACTCTGGTTGGAGGGATGGAAATCCCAATGTACTACAACTAATTCATTCTCCTGGAGAGATGTTGGAAAAGCCTGAGTCGTTTTTTTATGACACCAGTACGTAAATCAAAGATCTCAGCTGCTCCATCTTTGTGCTGGAGGGAATGCGGATCCGACAAAGCAGATCAGGTACATATTTTTTGGTCTTGCCCTGGAATTTTACAGTTTTGGCAGAAGGTTGTAACGCTAATACGTCTTGTCTTGGGTATACAAGTTGACAACTCTTTTATTTCCCTATTTCTAAGTGTTCCACCAATGGGTCTAAATAAGAGTGACATTTATCTCTTTAGGATAATTCTTGCAGCTGGTAAAAAGGCAATAACTAAATGTTGGCTTAAAAAAGAGGCTCCATCTTTGAGCCACCTGACACAAATAATGATTCAAATAAGAACAATGGAAACAATGACTTTTAACCTTCATCTACAACGGCACAAAGGGGAAGGACTGTGGAAAAAATGGGACTGTTTCATACAATCAACTGACGATGTCATTTGTGAAATATGATCTGCTCTTTGAAATAGTGTCATCTGCTGTATATGTATATCTAATCTTACTCTCTGACTATGTGTGCTCTGTATTTTTTTTTTTGTTTTGTTCTGTTTTTGAATGTTTTCAAAATGTAAAAATTGTTTAAAAATAAAGTAAAAAAAAAAAAAAAAAAAAAAAAATATGGTTTTTATGATAATGAAATGTCAGTAAAGCAATTTGGCACAATTGTGCCAAATGGCACAACTTGATGAAAAAGAGAAACTGCATAAAAAACTATAAGTTAGAAGTCTGAAACTTTAGACAGTTGTTGTCAACAACACAATGACCACAGGGTTTGAACATTGTGAACTTACAATGAAGTATGCCTTTTTTAGGGCCTTTAGAAATGGAAAACTTTAGGCGAGGCTAAAAAAAGTTTTTTCCCCCAAACTTCAAAGGATGCAGAGTGAAATAGGAATGACAAACATTATTTTAGTATATATTTACATAAACTAGAAGGCTCTAGCTTTAAAATGATGCATCACACAAGCATGTGAGATATAATATGTGTTTTTAAATAAGCAAAGACATTTGGGTATGCTAAACTTTTGTGCACAAGCCAAAATGAGGCGGATGTTAAGAGGTGCAGGGGGTGGATCGTGCTGTAGACTCACATGTTTAAAGGTGCAGGGGGTGGATTGTGCTGTAGACTCACATGTTTAAAGGTGCAGGGGGTGGATCGGGCTGTGGACTCACATGTTTAAAGGTGTAGTCGTAGATCTGGGTGAAGCGCTGGAGAAGCTCTGGGCGCCGTGTTTGGGTGAAGGCCATGAGGAACGCCACCAGAGCCTCACAGTGAGGCCACCACAGCTTCATGCTCCACTCCAACTGCAACACAGCGCCCCCTGTGGTCAGTCATGGTCACTACAGAGACACAGCACCCCCTGTGGTCAGTCATGGTCACTACAGAGACACAGCACCCCCTGTGGTCAGTCATGGTCACTACAGAGACAACCTGGTTTCGCCCTAGTCCTGGTCTTGTCCTGGTCTCAGTTCTGATCTCTGCCCCAGTCTTGGTCCTGGTCTTGTCCTGGTCTCAGTTCTGATTACGGCCCCAGTCCTGGTCCTGATCTCAGTCCTGATCCTGGTCCTTGTCTTGGCCCTGGTCTTCATCCTGGTTCTGGTTTTAGTTCAGGCTCAGGTCTTGGTCGTGATCCTAGTCTTGTTACTGGTCTCAGCCCTACTGTAGTCTTAGTTGTGGTCCTGGTCATAGTACTGGTCTTGGTCCTTATCAGCCCTGCCCCTCACCTGTGTGGATAGGCCCCACCCCTCACCTGTGTGGATAAGCCCCGCCCCTCACCTGTGTGGATAGGCCCCGCCCCTCACCTGTATGGATAAGCCCTGCCCCTCCCCTGTGTGGATAGGCCCCGCCCCTCACCTGTGTGGTTAAGCCCCGCCCCTCACCTGTGTGGATAGGCCCCGCCCCTCACCTGTGTGGGGCAGTGTCCGTCCACGTCCAGGAAGTAGAAGAGGCCCCCGTGCTCCTGGTCCCAGCCGCGGAGGAAGGGGCCCTCGATGAAGCGACTGACGACAGAGTCCCTCAGCTCTGAGGGGCCCCGACTTGAAAACTGCTGCAGCAGGAACCAGCCGGCCTCCAGGGCGTGGCCTGCCCGGGAATACTCAAGTACTGACTACATACTACAATCCTACACAAGACTACAATACTACACCAGGGGTCTCAAACCTTGGGGGCTCCCAGGAGCTCGCCAAAGGATTTAGAAATGAAATAAACAAATAATACATTGGATGGTCCTCATCTCGGTCTTGGTCTCAGTCCCGGACCCAGTCCGAGTATCAGTCCTGGTCTCAGTCTTGATCCTGGTCTCAGTCCTGCAGGACCAGGATCATGATCTTGGTCTCGGTCTTGGTCCTGGGCTCAGTCTCGATCCTGGTCTCAGTCCTGGTCCTGGTCTTCACCTGGGTTCAGCAGTCGGCCCGCACACCCTGGCAGCTCCTCTCCGTCCTCAGACACATTCTCCAGAACAGCCGTCCCTCCTCTCTGCAGAGAACACAGTCTGTCCCAGGGCAGCTGCGGCTACATTGCAGCCTCAGTCCTGGGTCTACAGCCTCAATCCTGGGTCTACAGCCTCAGTCCTGGGTCTACAGCCTCAGTCCTGGGTCTACAGCCTCAGTCCTGGGTCTACAGCCTCAGTCCTGGGTCTACAGCCTCAGTCCTGGGTCTACAGCCTCAGTCCTGGGTCTACAGCCTCAATCCTGGGTCTACAGCCTCAGTCCTGGGTCTACAGCCTCAGTCCTGGGTCTACAGCCTCAGTCCTGGATCTGCAACCCACCTGCACATGCATCTGTATTTGTTGCACACACCACTCGGCCACAGTCCGGTACCGGCCCTGGGTCATGGGTTCCCCTTCAGGCTCGGGGCCCCTCCCCCCAGTCCCCTCCTCAGCCTCGGCCCCCTCCCGGGTCTCGGTCAGCTGGTGCACAAGGCAGAGCACCATCATGGGCACGGCCAAGCTGCTGGTGGGGCGGTCCCCTGGGAGCTGAGGCCGCCCGAGGCCCGACGGGTCGGTGAGGACCCAGTGGAGCAGCTGCTGCATCATCTGCTCGGCCTCAAGCTGCAACACACAGGGTTATACAGAACTGGAGCCAAAACTGCCTCTAAGTCCTGGGTCCTGGTCTCACTCTCTGGTCTCACTCTCTGGTCTCACTCTCTGGTCTCACTCTCTGGTCTCACTCTCTGGTCTCACTCTCTGGTCTCACTCTCTGGTCTCACTCTCTGGTCTCACTCTCTGGTCTCACTCTCTGGTCTCACTCTCTGGTCTCACTCTCTGGTCTCACTCTCTGGTCTCACTCTCTGGTCTCACTCTCTGGTCTCACTCTCTGGTCTCACTCTTTGGTCTCACTCTCTGGTCTCACTCTCTGGTCTCTCTCACCTGGTCTCTCTCACCTGGTCTCACCTGGTCTCACCTGGTCTCTCTGTTCTCACCTGGTCTCGTCGGTCCCTGGTGACCCGGCTGAGCTCGTCCAGGCCCATGATGTAGAAACACTCAGAGAAGATGCTCCTCTGGACCTTCAGGGCTCGACCGTCTCGGCTCAGACTGAACGCACACTTCCAGGAGCCGCAGCTGCCCCGAACTCTGCTATGGTCTCTGAGGAACGCACCGCCTGCACCAGCAAGGGCACTTATGGTACATGTACCAGAGAGAGACCAGAGAGAGAGACCAGAGAAAGACCAGAGAGAGACTAGTGAGAGCAGAGAGACCAGAGAGAGACCAGAGAGTGAGACCAGAGAGAGAGACCAGAGAGAGAGACCAGAGAGACACCAGAAAGAGACCAGAGAGAGAGACCAGAGAGAGAGACCAGAGAGACACCAGAGAGAGACCAGAGAGAGCATAAACTCTCACCTGCTTTGGCGGCCTCCAGGATCTGCTCCGTGTGGAAGCGCGGCACAGTGCGGTACAGACGACTGTACATCCAAACCTGAGACAAACACCATGTTAAAGCTGAGGGACGTGACTTTCAGAAATCTATTTATCTTTTTCCCATAAGGATCTGTGATACAATGGCGCCCTCTGGTGGATGCACTTCTAACTGCGCTATTTTTGCAGAACCAGCAGCCATCAAGACCAGAGAGAGACCAGTGAGAGAGAAAAGAGAGAGACCAGAGAGAGAGACCAGAGAGACCAGTGAGAGAGACCAGAGAGACCAGAGAGAGAAAAGAGAGAGACCAGAGAGAGACCAGAGAGAGAGACCAGAGAGACCAGTGAGAGAGACCAGAGAGAGAGAAAAGAGAGAGACCAGAGAGATCAGTGAAAGAGAAAAGAGAGAGATCAGTGAGAGAGAAGAGAGTCCAGAGAGAGAGACCAGAGAGAGAGACCACCTACCTGTCTCCCCTGAAGCCACACATACTTCGTATCATCATAAACTTGACCGTCTTTGTCTAGACACGTGAAGAAACCTCTGCACACACACACACACACACACACACACAGACACACACACACACACACACACACACACACACAGACACACACACACACACACACACACAGACACACACACACACACAGACACACACACACAGACACAGACACATACAGACACAGACACACACACACACACACAGACACACACACACACACAGACACACACACAGACACACACACACACACACACACACAGACACACACACACACACACACACACACACACACACACACACACACACAGACACACACACACACACACACACACACACACACACACACACACACACACACAAACACATTTAAAATAGATTCTCTCTTTGTTTTGGTCGGAGGTCAGGGGTCAGGGGTCGTACCCATATTCAGTGTCATGGGAGAAGCGGAGCCAGAAGTCCACAGTTCGGTCCAGTTCCAGACGGACTCGGTCCCGGATCTGATCCAAGCCCTCCGCCATAATATAGCTGGACACAGGGAGAACATGCAAACATCTATAGACCCAGAGAGAGACCAGAGCAAGACCAGAGCGAGACCAGAGAGAGAGACCAGAGAGAGACCAGAGAGAGACCAGAGAGAGACCAGCGAGAGACCAGAGAGAGACCAGCGAGAGACCAGCGAGAGACCAGAGAGAGACCAGAGAGAGACCAGAGAGATGCCTGAGAGAGACCAGAGAGAGACCAGAGAGAGACCAGCGAGAGACCAGCGAGAGACCAGCGAGAGACCAGCGAGAGACCAGCGAGAGACCAGAGCGAGACCAGAGAGAGACCAGAGAGATGCCTGAGAGAGACCAAAGAGAGACCAGATATGAGTCAAAACAAGTGACCAATCAGGAGCTTTCTTATTTGAATTCTGCTCTAACAGCGAATAGCACGACAGGGTTTTTGGTTGCTAGGTCGTTGCTATCAGAGAGAGACCAGAGAGAGAGACCAGAGAGAGACTACAGAGAGAGAGACTACAGAGAGAGACCAGAGAGAGACTACAGAGAGAGAGACCAGAGAGAGACCAGAGAGAGAGACCAGAGAGAGAGACTACAGAGAGAGACCAGAGAGAGACTACAGAGAGAGACCAGAGAGAGACTACAGAGAGAGACCAGAGAGACTACAGAGAGAGACCAGAGAGAGAGACCAGAGAGAGACCAGAGAGAGAGACTACAGAGAGAGACCAGTGAGAGAGACTACAGAGAGAGAGACCAGAGAGAGACCAGAGAGAGAGACCAGAGAGAGACTACAGAGAGAGACCAGACAGAGACCAGAGAGAGACCAGGGAGAGAGACCAGAGAGAGACCAGAGAGAGACTACAGAGAGAGACCAGTGAGAGACCAGAGAGAGACAACAGACCAGAGAGAGACCAGAGAGAGACCAGAGAGAGACCAGAGAGAGACTACAGAGAGAGACCAGAGAGAGACCAGAGAGAGAGACCAGAGAGAGACCAGAGAGAGACCAGAGAGAGACCAGAGAGAGAGACCAGAGAGAGACCAGAGAGAGAGACCAGAGAGAGACCAGAGAGAGAGACCAGACAGAGACCAGAGAGAGACCAGAGAGAGACCAGAGAGAGACCAGAGAGAGACTACAGAGAGAGACCAGAGAGAGACCAGAGAGAGACCAGAGAGAGACTACAGAGAGAGACCAGACAGAGACCAGAGAGAGACCAGAGAGAGAGACCAGAGAGAGACCAGAGAGAGACCAGAGAGAGACTAGAGAGAGACAAAACGGAGAGTAGAGAGAGACCAGAGAGAGACTAGAGAGAGACAAAACGGAGAGTAGAGAGAGACCAGAGGGCGACCAGAGAGACAGAAACCAGAGAGAGAGACAAAGCTCTTCACACTCAAAACTATTGTAAAAAATTTTAGAGGTAGGGAAAACCGGAGCACCTGGAGGAATCCTTCATAGGCATGGGGAGAACATGTAAACTCCACTCACAAAGACCTAGAGACGGAACCGAAACCAGGACCTTTGTGGTGTGACCTGTGTCTGTGTCAGTGTGTGTCTGTGTGTGTGTGTGTGTGTGTGTGTGTGTGTGTGTGTGTCTGTATGTGTCTGTGTGTGTGTGCGTACGTGCGTGTGTGTGTACTCACGGTCCTCTCCAGGACAGGCCAGACCAGGTCTCTCTGGTGAACTTGGGAAAACTGGAACAGAACATTGTGTCATATTTATTTATGCTAACACGCTAGCTCAACAAAGCCCAACAGGGAAGTGCTCATAGATGAAGTTTTCTCCAACTCTCTCTGGCTCCTAAGAACTTACACTGAAGAGAGAGATCAGAGAGAGACCAGAGGGAGACCAGAGAGAGACCAGAGAGAGACCAGAGAAAGACCAGAGAAAGACCAGAGGGAGACCAGAGAGAGACCAGAGAGAGTCCAGAGAGAGACCAGAGAGAGACCAGAGAGAGACCAGAGAGAGACCAGAGAAAGACCAGAGGGAGACCAGAGAGAGACCAGAGAGAGACAAGAGGGAGAGACCAGAGAGAGACAAGAGGGAGAGACCAGAGAGTGAGACCAGAGAGTGAGACCAGAGTGAGAGACCAGAGTGAGAGACCAGAGTGAGAGACCAGAGTGAGAGACCAGAGTGAGAGACCAGAGAGAGACCAGAGAGAGACCAGAGAGAGTCCAGAGAGAGACCAGAGAAAGACCAGAGAGAGACCAGAGAGAGACCAGAGAAAGACCAGAGAGAGACCAGAGACAGACCAGAGAGAGACCAGAGAGAGACCAGAGAGAGAGACCGGAGTGAGAGACCAGAGAGAAAGACCAGAGAGCGACACCAGAGAATGAGACCAGAGGGAGAGACAGAGAGAGACCAGAGAGAGACCAGAGAGAGACCAGAGAGAGAGACCAGAGTGAGAGACCAGAGAGAGAGACCAGAGAGAGAACAGAGTCTGACCGTGCAGTTGCAGTCCTGTCCTCTTGCTCCTCATGTGGATCCTGAAGGCCTCGTCCCACTCCAGCTGAGAGGACACAGTGCAGGGGTCTCCTACGGGACACAACCATCACAGGTAACCATGGAAACAGGATCCTACTGAGACACAGCTGCATTTAAGAGCACAGGGATAAGTCATGTGAGCCATCTTTATATGGTCTGGACATTCTTTTACCTATCTCTCTCTCTGGTCTCTCTCTGGTCTCTCTCTGGTCTCTCTCTGGTCTCTCTCTCTGGTCTCTCTCTGATCTCTCTCTGGTCTCTCTCTGGTCTCTCTTTGGTCTCTCTCTCTGGTCTCTCTCTGATCTCTCTCTGATCTCTCTCTGGTCTCCCTCTGGTCTCTCTCTGATCTCTCTCTCTATAGTCTCTCTCTGGTCTCTCTCTGTAGTCTCTCTCTGGTCTCTCTCTGGTCTCTCTCTGGTCTCTCTCTGTAGTCTCTCTCTGGTCTCTCTCTGGTCTCTCTCTGGTCTCTCTCTGGTCTCTCTCTGGTCTCTCTCTGGTCTCTCTCTGGTCTCCCTCTAATCTCTCTCTGGTCTCTCCCTCTGGTCTCTCTCTGGCCTCTCTCTGATCTCTCTCTGGTCTCTCTCTGGTCTCTCTCTGGTCTCCCTCTGATCTCTCTCTGGTCTCTCCCTCTGGTCTCTCTCTGGCCTCTCTCTGATCTCTCTCTGGTCTCTCTCTGGTCTCTCTCTGGCCTCTCTCTGATCTCTCTCTGGTCTCTCTCTGGTCTCTCCCTCTGATTTCCCTCTGGCCTCTCTCTGGTCTCTCCCTCTGGTCTCTCTCTGGCCTCTCTCTGATCTCTCTCTGGTCTCTCTCTGATCTCTCTCTGGTCTCTCTCTGGTCTCTCTCTGGTCTCTCTCTGGTCTCTCTCTGGCCTCTCTCTGATCTCTCTCTGGTCTCTCTCTGGTCTCTCTCTCTGATTTCCCTCTGGCCTCTCTCTGGTCTCTCCCTCTGGTCTCTCTCTGGCCTCTCTCTGATCTCTCTCTGGTCTCTCTCTGGTCTCCCTCTGGTCTCTCTCTGGTCTCTCTCTGGTCTCTCTCTGATGTCTGTTGTATATTTTTGCGTGGCGCACCTTCATCATCGATCCACTTGAGAGTGAGGGGGCGCTGTGGAGCCAGACTGCACATGTTGCGCAGCTCCGAACAGAGCTGAGCGAAGGAGAGACGCGACGGGAGGTCAGTGATCAGCAGGTACCTGGAGGAGAGAGGAGTGAGACGCTGAAGACACACCTCAGACTTGGTCTCTCTTTTCTCTCTCTCTCGTCACTTTCTGGTCTCTCTCTGGTCTCTCTCTCTAGTCTCTTTCTGGTCTCTCTCTGGTCTCTCTCTCTCTGGTCTCTCTCTAGTCTCTTTCTGGTCTCTCTCTGGTCTCTCTCTCTCTCTGGTCTCTCTCTGGTCTCTCTCTCTAGTCTCTTTCTGGTCTCTCTCTGGTCTCTCTCTGGTCTCTCTCTCTCTGGTCTCTTTCTGGTCTCTCTCTCTCTCTGGTCTCTTTCTCGTCTCTCTCTGGTCTCTCTCTCTAGTCTCTTTCTGGTCTCTCTCTGGTCTCTCTCTGGTCTCTCTCTCTAGTCTCTTTCTGGTCTCTCTCTAGTCTCTTTCTGGTCTCTCTCTGGTCTCTCTCTGGTCTCTCTCTCTAGTCTCTTTCTGGTCTCTCTCTAGTCTCTTTCTGGTCTCTCTCTGGTCTCTCTCTGGTCTCTCTCTCTCTGGTCTCTTTCTCGTCTCTCTCTGGTCTCTCTCTCTAGTCTCTTTCTGGTCTCTCTCTGGTCTCTCTCTGGTCTCTCTCTCTAGTCTCTCTCTGGTCTCTCTCTGGTCTCTCTCTGGTCTCTTTTGGGTCTCAAACACTTGATGTGAAAACGAGTGATAGAATTAAACTGAAGTTAAATCAGAGGAGAAACTCTCTCTGCACAGACTCTCTGCTCTCGGTCCTGCTGCTGCTGTGCCGCATCAGCTCTCAGTCAGTCACACTCACTGACAACGTTTAAGCACCGCCGTGCAGCAACCCTCCTCCTCCCCATCACTGCCTCTTCAGCCGGACCAGCTCTTTCCCCCTTCTCCTTGCTCCCACCACCAGGGTCTAGACCAGGGGGGATTTCAGTCCTGGATCTACAGCCTCAGTCCTGGACCTACAGCCTCAGTCCTGGATCTACAGCCTCAGTCCTGGACCTACAGCCTCAGTCCTGGATCTACAGCCTCAGTCCTGGATCTACAGCCTCAGTCCTGGGTCTACAGCCTCAGTCCTGGGTCTACAGCCTCAGTCCTGGATCTACAGCCTCAGTCCTGGGTCTACAGCCTCAGTCCTGGATCTACAGCCTCAGTCCTGGGTCTACAGCCTCAGTCCTGGGTCTACAGCCTCAGTCCTGGGTCTACAGCCTCAGTCTGTTACAGTTAGGGTCTAACAAAAGGACTGCGATGATCCAGGACTCTTTAACATTCTACATGTATGACACTGGTCTCTCTCTATGGTCCAATACCATGTGTGTATTTTCTGTGTCTGAACTGTTTGATTCTCTGATCTGTGTTGGTGATTTAGGGCGATAAAAGAATAATTTGAATTGAATTGTAACTGAATGAATCTGAAAGTTCAAACATCTGCACGTACGACTCTGAAGACAATACTTACAGATTACTGCTGCTGTACGATAATAACGGCTTATCAAACGAGCGCGAGGTCTGTACAGAGAAATGTCAGGCCTTTTTTGTACAGACCGAGCCGTGGCGAGGTTAATAAATGTTTTATTATATGACTATTTTTAATTCATGCAAAAACACATCTAAAAACACACTTGACCAAACTGTCAAACGGTGACATGGAGAACTGATCAGATGTGTCTTTAATGCTTTTCAGATATTTGTGAAGTATGTTCATGTCCCACTTGGTTTTCCTGGTCCTGTTTTTACCTTTCTGGTCTGTAACGAAGTTGTCGATCTCTTCTTGACTGTTGGAGTTGTGTTTTCATCGTTATTTGCTGTTATTACTTTCTCTGGGTCTTCAAACTCTTTTTTTTTTTTTTTACCAAGGAAAGATATCAAATCTGGTACGCTGCGGACCAATTGTCATGGTAACGGTCCGAGATGGGAAAATATCAGACCGCAAATCAGCCAATCAGAGCGCACGTATGATCCAAGTCGTAAAATATAAGTGGTTCAGAGTTGGCACTTGATGCAGAGGGAGAAATGAAGACAGTGATTATGAGATGAAATCCCCCCCGGGCCTAGACCCTGGTGGGAGCTGAAGGAGCTGGTCTGACTGACGAGGCAGAGACAGGGAGGAGGAGGGTTGCTGCATGAATGAAGGCTTGATGAGCTGATTATCACACAGGTCGCACTGATCCGTGCAAAGGGCTTAAGTCTCACTTGAACAGTTTTAGAGCCAGAAACTAGATCCATGGAGTTTAACATGAGTTATTGTTGTGGTCTGAAAGTTACGTATCCCAGCTTTAATGTTGGTCCCTGCCTCTGTCTCTGGTCTCTCTCTCTGGTCTCTCTCTGGTCTCTCGCTGGTCTCTCTCTGGTCTCTCTCTCTCTGGTCTCTCTCTGGTCTCTCTCTGGTCTCTCTCTGGTCTCTCTCTGGTCTTTCTATGGTCTCTCTCTGGTCTCTCTCTCTGGTCTCTCTCTCTGGTCTCTCTCTGGTCTCTCTCTGGTCTCTTTCTGGTCTCTCTCCCTGGTCTCTCTCTGGTCTTTCTATGGTCTAAGTAAGTAAGTAAGTAATCTTTATTTATATACCGCCTTTCACAGACCAGAGTCTCAAAGCGGTTTACAATTGTTAATTTTTTGGGCACTTGTCTCTCACTCCACACAGAGATGGGAGCGGGGTCACGGAACAGGAGGCACATGCCAGAACTATTGGACACATTTTTAGTGGTAGGGGAAACCGGAGAACCCGGAGGAAACCTACGCAGACACAGGGAGAACATGCAAACTCCACTCAGAAGGTCTCTCTCTGGTCTCTCTCTCTGGTCTCTCTTGCTGCTCTCTCTCTGGTCTCTCTCTGGTCTCTCTCTGGTCTCTCTCTCTCTGGTCTCTCTCTGGTTTCTCTCTGGTCTCTCTCTGGTCTCTCTCTGGTCTCTCTCTCTCTGGTCTCTCTCTGGTTTCTCTCTGGTCTCTCTCTGGTTTCTCTCTGGTCTCTCTCTGGTTTCTCTCTGGTCTCTCTCTCTCTGGTTTCTCTCTGGTTTCTCTCTGGTCTCTCTCTGGTTTCTCTCTGGTCTCTCTCTCTCTGGTTTCTCTCTGGTTTCTCTCTGGTCTCTCTCTGGTCTCTCTCTCTCTGGTTTCTCTCTGGTCTCTCTCTGGTCTCTCTCTGGTGTTGTGTTCCTGGTGTGGCGCCGGTGTAAAGGTGGTGTGAGGTGAATGATTGACAGCTGCAGGGCGGGGCTTGTGGCCTTTGATCCTGAATGCCACCTGAACTTTCAACGTGTGTGTCGGAACGAAACCAGAAATATTTTTTTCTGATTCAAAACGTGTTTCACAATCACACTACAATATATACAACAGGCTCTCTCTGGTCTCTCTCTGGTCTCTCTCTGGTCTCTCACTCTCTCTCTAGTCTCTCTCTGGTTTCTCTCTGGTCTCTCTCTCTCTGGTCTCTCTCTGGTCTCTCTCTGCTCTCTCGCTCTGGTCTCTCTCTGGTCTCTCTCTGCTCTCTCTCTGGTCTCTCTCTGGTCTCTCTCTCTCTCTCTGGTCTCTCTCTGGTCTCTCTCTCTCTCTCTGGTCTCTTTCTGGTATCTCTGACAGCTGGCTCTAAAACACTTTCTTCTGTCTCTGGTTTCATGTGTTTCTGTCTCGCTCACATTCAACTTTTCCAGACAGAAAAGTGACAAAGAGAGAGACCCCCCTCTCTCGGCCAATCAGCTCTCAGCCCAAAGAATCAGATAGTGACTCACAGGGATCTCTCTGACCCAAACAAAAACATGTTTCATATTATGTTACTTTCTGTTCAAACTTGTTCATGTGTTATTTATGAGACTAAAGTTACGGACTAAAGTTACGGACCCCAGCTTTAATAAACTATTAAGTGTAGACTCCTGGTTCTGTCTCCTGGTTCTGTCTCCTGGTCCTGTCTCCTGGTACTGTCTCCTGGTCATGTCTCCTGGTCCTGTCTCCTGGTCATGTCTCCTGGTCCTGTCTCCTGGTCCTGTCTCCTGGTCCTGTCTCCTGGTCATGTCTCCTGGTCCTGTCTCCTGGTCCTGTCTCCTGGTCATGTCTCCTGGTCCTGTCTCCTGGTCCTGTCCTTCTGGTCTCTCACACTCACCCGCTGTAGTGAGCTTTGACGCGCAAGTGATCCATGGTGCCGTGCGCGGTGGGCATGGTCCTTGTCCGGGTGCTGGTCTGGGTCCAGGTCCTGGTCCGGGTCCTGGTCTGGCTCAGGCTCAGGCTCCGGGTCTGGTCGCTCTTCAGCGGGGAGGGACGCACCGCACGCGGGGATGGAGCGAAGCGAGATTCCGTCGTGACTTTTCAGATTAAAGCTGAGGTCCCTGAATCTCAGAGTCATGAGGAAGTGATGTGTGTGTGTGTGTGTGTGTGTGTGTGTGTGTGTGTGTGTGTGTGTGTGTGTGTGTGTGTGTGTGTGTGTGTGTGTGTGTGTGTACGTGCGTGCCTGTGTAGCGTGCGTGTGAGAGAGTTATACTTTCATTATTGTCCAGTTTTTAACTTGATCCAAACTTGTGCACTTTTCTGCATCTTTGTTGTTTTTGAAGTTTAAAAACAGGCGCGTGCTGCAGACCCGTGTTTTTGGACCCGTGTCGACAGTACAAAAGCAAGACGACACGCCTTAGATTGTTTGGACTCTCTCTCTGGTTCTTCTCTCTTTCTATGTTTCCCTCTCTCTCTCTTTGGTCTCTCTCTCGCTCTGGACTCTCTTTTTCTGGTCTCTCTGTGGTCTCGCTCTGGTCACTCTTTCTCTGGTATACTCTCTTTCTGGTTTCACTCTGGTCACTCTCTCTTTGGTCTCTCTGGTATCTCTCTCCCTCTCTGGTCTCTCTTGTTTAGTGTATCTCTCATATATATCTTTGGCCTGCGCTCTGCTGCCACCTGCTGGTGTAATCGTGTCTGTGTTCAGAGGTGAGACTGTGGGAGTGTTTCCCAAAGTGAGGTCTGTTTTCCAGGTGCCCGCTTTGTACTACGTGACTGGTGTGTGGTCGAATGTGAGTCTACGGTCTCTCTGGTCTCTCTCTGGTCCCTCTCTGGTCTCTCTCTCTGGTCTCTCTCTCTGGTCTCTCTCTCTGGTCTCTCTCTGGTCCCTCTCTGGTCTCTCCCTCTGGTCTCTCTCTGGTCTCTCTCTGGTCCCTCTCTGGTCTCTCTCTCTGGTCTCTCTCTCTGGTCTCTCTCTCTGGTCTCTCTCTGGTCCCTCTCTGGTCTCTCTCTCCGGTCTCTCTCTCTGGTCTCTCTCTCTGGTCTCTCTCTGGTCTCTCTCTGGTCTCTCTCTCTGGTCTCTCTCTCTGGTCTCTCCCTCTGGTCTCTCTCTCTGGTCTCTCTCTCTGGTCTCTCTCTGGTCCCTCTCTGGTCTCGCTCTCTGGTCTCTCGCTCTGGTCTCTCTTTCTGGTCTCTCTCTGGTCTCTCTCTGGTCTCTCTCTGGTCTCTCTCTCTGGTCTCTCTCTGGTCTCTCTCTCTGGTCCCTCTCTGGTCTCTCTCTCTGGTCTCTCTCTGGTCTCTCTCTCTGGTCTCTCTCTCTGGTCTCTCTTTCTGGTCTCTCTCTGGTCTCTCTCTCTGGTCCCTCTCTGGTCTCTCTCTCTGGTCTCTCTCTCTGGTCTCTCTCTCTGGTCTCTCTCTCTGGTCTCTCTTTCTGGTCTCTCTCTGGTCTCTCTCTGGTCTCTCTCTGGTCTCTCTCTCTGGTCCCTCTCTGGTCTCTCTCTCTGGTCTCTCTCTGGTCTCTCTCTGGTCTCTCTCTCTGGTCTCTCTCTCTGGTCTCTCTCTGGCCTCTCTCTGGTCCCTCTCTGGTCTCTCTCTCTGGTCTCTCTCTAGTCTCTCTCTCTGATCTCTCTCTCTGGTCTCTCTCTGATCTCTCTCTGGTCTCTCTCTGGTCTCTCTCTGGTCTCTCTCTGGTCTCTCTCTGGTCTCTCTCTCTGGTCTCTCTCTCTGGTCTCTCTCTGGCCTCTCTCTGGTCTCTCTCTAGTCTCTCTCTCTGATCTCTCTCTCTGGTCTCTCTCTGGTCTCTCTCTCTGGTCTCTCTCTCTGGTCTCTCTCTGGCCTCTCTCTGGTCCCTCTCTGGTCTCTCTCTCTGGTCTCTCTCTAGTCTCTCTCTCTGGTCTCTCTCTCTGGTCTCTCTCTGGTCTCTCTCTGGTCTCCCTCTGGTCTCCCTCTGGTCTCTCTCTCTGATCTCTCTCTGGTCTCTCTCTGGTCTCTCTCTGGTCTCTCTCTGGTCTCTCTCTGGTCTCTCTCTCTGGTCTCTCTCTGGTCTCTCTCACACCAGCAGTCCCACGTGCCTCTGACCAGCACCTCACATGTTGTGCATCCGTCCAATAATAACTTTAGTAATGTCATAATGTGCAATACAGAACCATGTGTGTCATAGAACCATGTGTGTCATAGAACCATGTGTGTCATAGAGCCATGTGTGTCATAGAGCCATGTGTGTCATAGAGCCATGTGTCGCTGTGTCCCAGACCCTCATCTCTTCTCTTCACCTCTCTTCTTTGTTTTGCTAAAGTTAAAGATGTTATTTTATCATGTAGTTATTGTTCATTTCTCTGGTGCTCCTCCTTCTCTTGCTCTGTAACTGTGCGATGCAACACTGACATTTCCCCACAGTGGGACACACACAGGATCATGTTTTCAGACGCATCCAAACAGTTCTGCAAACGACCAGCAGGTGGAGCTCGAGAGTCACCTCAAAGTCACAGAGAAGAAGAAACCACACAGTATCATAGACCTCACATGGTCCTCATCTCAGACCTTACATGGTCATCACCTCAGACACACATGGTCCTCACCTCAGACTCACATGGTCCTCACCTTAGACCTCACATGGTCCTCACCTGAAACCGCACATGGTCCTCACCTCACACCTCACATGGTCCTTACCTCAGACTCACATGGTCCTCATATGGCCCTCACCTCAGACTCACATGGTCCTAACCTCAGACTCACATGGTCCTCACCTCATACCTTACATGGTCCTCACCTCAGACTCACATGGTCAGCCCCTCATTCCTTACATGTTCCTCACCTCAGACTCACATGGTCCTCACCTTTGACCTCACATGGTCCTCACCTGAAACCTCACATGGTCCTCACCTCATACCTCACCTCAGACTCACATGGTCCTCACATGGCCCTCACCTCAGACTCACATGGTCCTCACCTCAGACTCACATAATCCTCACATGGTCCTCACCTCAGACTCACATGGTTCTCACCTCAGACTCACATGGTCCTCACCTCAGACTCAGATGGTCCTCACCTCAGACCTCACATGGTCTTCGCCTCAGACCTCACACTCACATGACCCTCACCTGAGACTCACATGGTTCTCACCTCAGACTCACATGGTCCTCACCTCAGACTCACATGGTCCTCACCTCAGACTCACATGATCCTCAGACTCACATGGTCCTCACCTCAGACCGACATGGTCTTCACCTCAGACCCACATGGTCTTCACCTCAGACTCACATGGTCCTCACCTTAGACTCAGAAGGTCCTCACCTCAGACTCACATGGTCCTCACCTCAGACCCACATGGTCTTCACCTCAGACCCACATGGTCTTCACCTCAGACTCACATGGTCCTCACCTCAGACTCAGATGGTCCTCACCTTAGACTCAGATGGTCCTCACCTCAGACTCACATGGTCCTCATCTCAGACCTCACATGGTCTTCGCCTCAGACTCACATGGTCCTTACCTCACACTCACATGACCCTCACCTCAGACTCACATGGTCCTCACCTCAGACTCACATGATCCTCAGACTCACATGGTCCTTACCTCAGACCCACATGGTCTTCACCTCAGACCCACATGGTCTTCACCTCAGACTCACATGGTCCTCACCTTAGACTCAGAAGGTCCTCACCTCAGACTCACAAGGTCCTCACCTCAGACTCACATAGTCTTCGCCTCAGACTCACATGGTCCTTACCTCACACCCACATGGTCTTCACCTCAGACTCACATGGTCCTCACATGGTCCTCACATCAGACTCACATGGTTCTCAGACTCACATGGTTCTCACCTCAGACTCAGATGGTCCTCACCTTAGACACAGATGGTCCTCACCTCAGACTCACATGGTCCTCACCTCAGACTCACATAGTCTTCGCCTCAGACTCACATGGTCCTTACCTCACACTCACATGGTCCTCACCACAGACTTACATGGTCCTCACTTCAGACTCACATGGTCCTCACATGGTCTTCACCTCAGACTCACATAGTTCTCACCTCAGACCTCATATGGTCCTCATCTCAGACTCACATGGTCCTCACTTCAGACCTCACATGGTTCACACCTCAGACCCACATGTTCTTTACCTCAGACCCACATGGTCTTCACCTCAGACTCACATGGTCCTCACCTCAGACCCATATGGTCCTCACCTCAGACCCACATGGTCCTCACTTCAGACTCATATGGTCCTCACCTCAGACCCATATGGTCCTCACTTCAGACTCACATGGTCCTCACTACAGACTTACATGGTCCTCACTTGAGACTCACATGGTCCTCACATGGTCTTCACCTCAGACTCACATGGTCCTCACCTCAGACCCATATGGTCCTCACCTCAGACTCAGATGGTCTTCACCTCAGACTCACATGGTCCTCACCTCAGACTCACATGGTCCTCACCTCAGACCTCACATGGTCCACACCTCAGACCTCACATGGTCTTTGCCTCAGACTCATATGTAAGTAAGTAAGGCCCTGTCCACACGAAGTCAATCTCAGGCCTAAACGCAAAAATACTTTATCAATCCAGTGTATCGTCCATACGAGGCCGGCGTTTTGGGGGGGTGTAAACGAACATTTTTGAAACTAGGTCCCAGAGTGGAAAGATTTCAAAACTCTGTATATGCCGCTCCGTGGTTACTGCCTCTCCGCAATGTATCTGAGACGCGTCATCGCCCGCCTCTTGTTAAAGCACGCATGCGCCGCACTCAGAAAATAATGACAACAACAATGTAGCTTGTTGGTTTTGTAATCCAGTGTGACCCGAAGCAACAGTTCAACCTCATCGTCCGTCCATACTAATGTAGTACCAGCTCCCACTCGCCATGTTGTCTGTTTACAAAATACTGCGCATGCCCAGTTCCCGTCACGGAAGTTTGGGCTTGATCCCGTCATTGCGTCACAGCGCCACCAACAGGTCTGGCATAGTTTCACAGCATTTTCAGGCGTATTGACTACATTCATATGGACGCACACATTTACTGAGCTAACTCCGTGTTTACAGAAAAAGTTTCTGAAATTATAAGCGTTTTGTCTTCGTGTGGATATAGTCTAAGCTTTTATTTATACACCACCTTTTCACTGCACATCGGAGTCTCAAAGCGGTTTACAATTGTTGGGTGGGGGGGGCCAGTACAGGAGGCACATGCCAGACCTATTGCACATATTTTTAGTGGTAGGGGAAACCGGAGCACCCGGAGGAAACCTACGCAGACACGGGGAGAACATGCAAACTCCACTCAGAAAGGCCCTGGTCCGACCAGAATTCGAACCCAGGACCTTCTTGCTGAGAGGCGAGAGTGCTATCCACTCAGCCACCGTGCTCACCTCAGACTCACATGGTCCTCACCTCAGACCCATATGGTCCTCACTTCAGACTCAGATGGTCTTCACCTCAGACCTCACATGGTCCTCACCTCAGACTCACATGGTCCTCACCTCAGACCCATATGGTCCTCACTTCAGACTCACATGGTCCTCACTTCAGACTCACATGGTCCTCACCTCAGTCCTCACATAGTTCTCACCTCAGACCTCACATGGTCTTCGCCTCAGACTCATATGGTCCTCACCTTAGACTCACATAGTCCTTACCTCAGACTCACATGGTCCTCACCTCAGACCTCACATGGTTCTCACCTCAGGCTCACATGGTCCTCACCTCAGAACTCACATGGTTCTCACCTCAGACCTCACATGGTCTTCGCCTCAGACTCATATGGTCCTCACCTCAGACTCACATGGTCCTCACCTCAGACCCATATGGTCCTCACCTCAGACTCACATGGTCCACACCTCAGACCTCATATGGTCCTCACCACAGACTCATATGGTCCTCACCTCAGACTCACATGGTCCTCACCTCAGACCCATATGGTCCTCACCTCAGACTCACATGGTCCACACCTCAGACCCATATGGTCCTCACCACAGACCCATATGGTCCTCACTTCAGACTCAGATGGTCTTCACCTCAGACCTCACATGGTCCTCACCTGAGACTCACATGGTCCTCACCTCAGACCCATATGGTCCTCACTTCAGACTCACATGGTCCTCACTTCAGACTCACAAGGTCCTCACCTCAGAACTCACATGGTTCTCACCTCAGACCTCACATGGTCTTTGCTTAAGACTCATATGGTCCTCACCTCAGACCCATATGGTCCTCACTTCAGACTCACATGGTCCTCACTTCAGACTCACATGGTCCTCACCTCAGTCCTCACATAGTTCTCACCTCAGACCTCACATGGTCTTCGCCTCAGACTCATATGGTCCTCACCTCAGACTCACATAGTCCTTACCTCAGACTCACATGGTCCTCACCTCAGACCTCACATGGTTCTCACCTCAGGCTCACATGGTCCTCACATGGTCCTCACCTCAGAACTCACATGGTTCTCACCTCAGACCTCACATGGTGTTCGTCTCAGACTCATATGGTCCTCACCTCAGACTCACATGGTCCTCACCTCAGACCCATACGGTCCTCACCTCAGACTCACATGGTCCACACCTCAGACCTCATATGGTCCTCACCTCAGACTCACATTGTCCTCACCTCAGACCCATATGGTCCTCACCTCAGACTCACATGGTCCACACCTCAGACCCATATGGTCCTCACCTCAGACTCACATGGTCCTCACCTCAGACCCATATGGTCCTCACCTCAGACTCACATGGTCCTCACCTAAGACTCATATGGTCCCCACCTCAGACTCACATGGTCCTCACTTCAGCCCTCACATGGTCCTCACTTCAGACTCACATGGTCTTCACCTCAGACCTCACATTGTCCTCACCTCAGACTCACATGGTCCTCAGCTCAGACCTCACATGGTTCTCACCTCAGACCCATATGGTCCTCACCTCAGACTCACATGGTCCTCACCTCAGACTCATATAGTTCTCACCTCAGACTCACATGGTCCTCACCTCAGACCTCACATGGCCCTCACTTCAGACTAACATGGTCCTCACTTCAGACTTACATGTTCTTTACCTCAGACCTCACATTGTCCTTACCTCAGACTCACATGGTCCTCACCTCAGACCTCACATGGTCCTCACCACAGACTCATATGGTCCTCACCTCAGACTCACATGGTCCTCACTTCAGACTCAAATGGTCCTCACTTCAGAGTCTGAAGTGAGGACTCAGATGGTCCTCACCTCAGACTCAGATGGTCCTCACATGGTCCTCACCTCAGACTCACATGGTCTCAGTGTGAGCTCCAGCCACAAAGAACCAATAACCATAAAAAAACACCTGTTTTTATGCGCGTGCGCGGCCAATGAGGCTCAACTTCAGGCGCGCTCCCGTGGCAGATGAGGCGCGTGCACAATGCTCTGTTTGTTTACGCGCTCAGCCTCCGGTCACGCGACTCTGCTCTTCGCACTTTCTTCACCGACACATACCATAGACCCGAGGACAGGGGTCTCTCTCATCTGTGCTCTCTCTCTCTGGTCTCTCTCTGGTCTCTCTCTGGTCTCTCTCTGGTCTCTCTCTGGTCTCTGTCTCTGGTCTCTCTCTCTGGTCTCTCTCTCTCTCTGGTCTTTCTCTCTGGTCTTTCTTTAGTCTCTCTGGTTTCTGGTTTCTCTCTGGTCTCTCTGGTCTCTCTGGTCTCTCTCTTCACAGACAGACCGGGACTAGGACCACACAGACCCGGGGAGAGGAGCGTCTCTTCAGGAGGACACACGTACACGTGCACGTGGAGGTAAAGTGTCGCATGTTTTATAAACAAACGCGTGCGCGTTTCAGAAAACTGGAAAATGTGGTTTTGTTCAATAATGGATCAGAGCAACACAACAGGAGAGGGCGGGCACACAAACCTGATTGTGTAAGACATGCACATACATGCATACACACGCACACACACACACATACACATACAGACACACACACACACACACATACAGACACACAGACACACACACACACACATACACAAATACAGACACACACACACATACACATACAGACACACATACACACACATACACACAGAAACAGACACACACACACATACACAAATACAGACACATACACAAATACAGACACACACACACATACAGACACACACACACACACACACACACACACACACACACACACACAGAGAGAGGGAGATGAACATAAAGAGGAACTGTTGTGGTCAGATCCTGTCATGTGACCTCCTGAAGAGACAGGTCAGCACTGTCAAGGCTCGTTCAGACCAAAAGTCTCTCTGGTCTCTCTCTGGTCTCTCTCTGGTCTCTCTCTGGTCTCTCTCTGGTCTCTCTCTGGTCTCGCTCTGGTCTCTCGCTGGTCTCTCTCTGGTCTCTCTCTGGTCTCTCTCTGGTCTCTCTCTCTGGTTTTGCTCTGGTCTCTCTCTGGTCTCTCTCTCTGGTCTCTCTCTGGTCTCTCTCTGGTCTCTCTCTGGTCTCGCTCTGGTCTCGCTCTGGTCTCTCGCTGGTCTCTCTCTGGTCTCTCTCTGGTCTCTCTCTGGTCTCTCTCTGGTCTCGCCTCTGGTCTCTCGCTGGTCTCTCTCTGGTCTCTCTCTGGTCTCTCTCTGGTCTCTCTCTCTGGTTTTGCTCTGGTCTCTCTCTGGTCTCTCTCTCTGGTCTCTCTCTGGTCTCTCTCTGGTCTCTCTCTGGTCTCGCTCTGGTCTCGCTCTGGTCTCTCGCTGGTCTCTCTCTGGTCTCTCTCTGGTCTCTCTCTGGTCTCGCTCTGGTCTCTCGCTGGTCTCTCGCTAGTCTCTCTGGTCTCTCTCTGGTCTCTCTCTGGTTTTGCTCTGGTCTCTCTCTGGTCTCTCTCTGGTCTCTCTCTGCTCTCTCTGGTCTCGCTCTGGTCTCTCGCTGGTCTGAGACCCGAGAGAGACCAGAGAGAGAGACCAGAGAGAGACCAGAGAGAGAGACCAGAGGTCCAGAGAGAGAGAGAGAGACCAGAGAGAGACCAGAGAGAGACCAGAGAGAGAGAGACCAGAGAGAGACCAGAGAGAGAGACCAGTCCAGAGAGAGACCAGAGAGAGAGACCAGGGAGGGAGCCCAGAGAGAGACCAGAGAGAGACCAGAGAGAGAGACCAGAGAGAGAGACCAGAGAGAGACCAGAGAGAGACCAGAGAGAGACCAGAGAGAGAGACCAGAGAGAGAGACCAGAGAGAGAGACCAGAAAGAGACCAGAGAGAGACCAGAGAGAGAGACCAGAGAGAGAGACCAGAGAGAGAGACCAGAGAGAGACCAGAGAGAGACCAGAGAGAGAGACCAGAGAGAGACCAGAGAGAGACCAGAGAGAGAGACCAGAGAGAGACCAGAAAGCGAGACCAGAGAGAGACCAGAGAGAGAGACCAGAGAGAGACCAGAGAGAGAGACCAGAGGGAGACCAGAGAGAGACCAGAGAGAGACCAGAGAGAGAGACCAGAGAGAGAGACCAGAAAGAGACCAGAGAGAGACCAGAGAGAGACCAGAGAGAGACCAGAGAGAGAGACCAGAGAGAGAGACCAGAGAGAGAGTCCAGAGAGAGAGACCAGAAAGAGACCAGAGAGAGACCAGAGAGAGACCAGAGAGAGAGACCAGAGAGAGAGACCAGAGAGAGACCAGAGAGAGACCAGACAGAGAAACCAGACAGAGACCAGAGAGAGACCAGAGAGAGAGACCAGAGAGAGACCAGAAAGAGACCAGAGAGAGATCAGAGAGAGACCAGAGAGAGACTAAAGAGAGACCAGAGAGAGACTAGAGAGAGACCATGAGAGACCAGAGAGAGACCAGAGAGAGAGACCAGAGAGAGAGACCAGAGAGAGAGACCAGAGAGAGACCAGAGAGAGACCAGAGAGAGACCAGAGAGAGAGACCAGAGAGAGAGACCAGAGAGAGAGACCAGAGAGAGACCAGAGAGAGACCAGAGAGAGAGAGACCAGAGAGAGACCAGAGAGAGACCAGAGAGAGACCAGAGAGAGACCAGAGAGAGACCAGAGAGAGAGACCAGAGAGAGAACAGAAAAATTCTATCTCTTTCATACTCTACATGTTTAAAGCTGAGGTATGTAACTTCGCATGGCGCCGGAAAAGATGGCGCCGTGGCAAGAGCTCTGGTGTGTGTCGTCTGGCGCACACCGGGGTAGTCTTGCACAGTTTTTCCAATGTGGTTTTACTGCAAATGGCAAATAAATGAATCTGAATCTGAATCTGACTTTGGTCTCAACAATAACATGTCATACAGAGAGAGACCAGAGAGAGACCAGAGGGAGACCAGAGAGAGACCAGAGGGAGACCAGAGAGAGAGAGAGTGTATGTGTCTGTGTGTCTCTGGTCTGAGTGCCACATTACCGCTCCACATCCGGTGATGGTTTTAACACTTGGTGCATCAGCAGAGACGGATAATGGAACTGCTTTTAGAGCAAAGACCAGAGAGAGACCAGAGAGAGACCAGAGCAAAGACCAGAGAGAGACCAGAGAGAGACCAGAGAGAGACCAGAGAGAGAGACCAGAGAGAGACCTGAGAGAGACCAGAGAGAGACCAGAGAGAGATCAGAGAGAGACCAGAGAGAGACCAGAGAGAGATCAGAGCAAGAGACCAGAGAGAGACTAGAGAGAGACTAGAGAGGGACCAGAGAGGGACCAGAGAGAGACCAGAGAGAGACCAGAGAGAGACCAGAGAGAGGCCAGAGAGAGACCAGAGAGAGACTAGAGAGAGAGACCAGAGAGAAACCAGAGAGAGACCAGAGAGAGACCAGAGAGAGAGACCAGAGAGAGACCTGAGAGAGACCAGAGAGAGAGACCAGAGAGAGACCAGAGAGAGATCAGAGAGAGACCAGAGAGACACCAGAGAGAGACCAGAGAGAGACCAGAGAGAGACCAGAGAGAGACCAGAGAGAGAGACCAGAGAGAGATCAGAGAGAGACCAGAGAGAGACCAGAGAGAGATCAGAGCGAGAGACCAGAGAGAGACTAGAGAGAGACTAGAGAGGGACCAGAGAGAGACCAGAGAGAGACCAGAGAGAGACCAGAGAGAGGCCAGAGAGAGACCAGAGAGAGACTAGAGAGAGAGACCAGAGAGAAACCAGAGAGAGACCAGAGAGAGACCAGAGAGAGAGACCAGAGAGAGACCTGAGAGAGACCAGAGAGAGAGACCAGAGAGAGACCAGAGAAAGACCAGAGAGAGACCAGAGAGAGACCAGAGAGAGACCAGAGAGAGACCAGAGAGAGAGACCAGAGAGAGATCAGAGACCAGAGAGAGAGACCAGAGAGAGACTAGAGAGAGACTAGAGAGGGACCAGAGAGAGACCAGAGAGAGACCAGAGAGAGACCAGAGAGAGACCAGAAAGAGACCAGAGAGAGATCAGAGAGAGTCCTCCTCCCTCCTCCCCCTTGGTCCTTGTCTTGGTCCTGGTCTTTGTCCTGGTTCTGGTCCTGGTCCTGGTCCTAGTCCTGGTCCTGGTCCTGGTCCTGGTCCTGGTCCTGGTCCTAGTCCTGGTCCTAGTCCTGGTCCTGGTCTTGGTCTAGTCTAGTGCTTCAGAGGGACCATGTCGCGGTGAGGCCTGGGTGGGACAGACTTGGGCGGTGACACTTCCTGTGGTTTCTCACTTCCTCGTCTGAGTCTTAGACTTAAAGCTCAGGTCTGTAACTTTAGTCTCATCAATAACACATGTTTAAAGCTCAGGTCTGTAACTTTAGTCTCATCAATAACACATGTTTAAAGCTCAGGTCTGTAACTTTAGTCTCATCAATAACACATGTTTAAAGCTCAGGTCTGTAACTTTAGTCTCATCAATAACACATGTTTAAAGCTCAGGTCTGTAACTTTAGTCTCATCAATAACACATGTTTAAAGCTCAGGTCTGTAACTTTAGTCTCATCAATAACACATGTTTAAAGCTCAGGTCTGTAACTTTAGTCTCATCAATAACACATGTTTAAAGCTCAGGTCTGTAACTTTAGTCTCAGCAATAACACATGTTTAAAGCTCAGGTCTGTAACTTTAGCCTCATCAATAACACATGTTTAAAGCTCAGGTCTGTAACTTTAGTCTCATCAATGACACATGTTTAAAGCTCAGGTCTGTAACTTTAGTCTCATCAATAACACATGTTTAAAGCTCAGGTCTGTAACTTTAGTCTCATCAATAACACATGTTTAAAGCTCAGGTCTGTAACTTTAGTCTCATCAATAACACATGTTTAAAGCTCAGGTCTGTAACTTTAGTCTCATCAATAACACATGTTTAAAGCTCAGGTCTGTAACTTTAGTCTCATCAATAACACATGGTTAAAGCTCAGGTCTGTAACTTTAGCCTACATAACACTTGCATAATCCTTCTGAAGCCTGTTCTGTCCTGAGTCTTCCAGATTTTTCAGAGAAACCCCTCCGTCCAGATCCTGAAGTCTCTCTCTTTGTTCCTGCAGATGCCTGACCCTGTCCTGAAGAAACCCAAACTGGAGCCTCTCTGTTTGAAGAAGGAGAAACCAGAGATCCAGCAGGAGGTGAGAGGAGCCTGGTCTCTCTCTGGTCTCTCTCTGGTCTCTCTCTGGTCTCTCTCTGGTCTCTCTCTGGTCTCTCTCTGGTCTCTCTCTGGTCTCTCTCTGACTCTCTCTGGTCTCTCTCTGGTCTCTCTCTGGTCTCTCTCTGGTCTCTCTCTGGTCTCTCTCTGGTTTCTCTCTGGTCTCTCTCTGGTCTCTCTCTGGTCTCTCTCTGGTCCCTCTCTGGTCTCTCTCTGGTCTCTCTCTCTGGTCTCTCTCTGGTCTCTCTCCAGTCTCCCTCTGACCTCTCTCTCTGGTCTCTCTCTGGTCTCTCTCTGGTCTCTCTCTCTGGTCTCTCTCTGGTCTCTCTCTGGTCTCTCTCTCTGGTCTCTCTCTGGTCTCTCTCTGGTCTCTCTCTGGTCTCTCTCTGGTCTCTCTCTGGTCTCTCTCTGGTCTCTCTCTGGTCTCTCTCTGGTCTCTCTCTGGTCTCTCACTGGTTTCTCTCTGGTCTCTCTCTGGTCTGTAACATTAGCTCCCACTCGACGGCCTGTGGGAGCTTATATTTAGACATGGCAGAGAGAGAAACCTGAGTCGCCGTGGTAACCTCATCCCGATCCTCGGCACCCGAGCGGGAGGCGGTCCCCTGGGGGCCGCGGTCCAGGGGCCGCTGAGACGAGGACGTTCAAAAAGTTCTGATCCGTCTTTGAAATAAGGTTCAGATTCAGATCATTTTCAATCTGCAGTAAAACCCCGTTAGAAAACACGAGCAAGAGTCTCCAGTGCAGCAGACACAGAAACCATCGTCTGTGAAACCATCAACACAAACAACACAATACAAGATCACTAAAGTCTTTGCTCAGACTGAGGACAGCTGTTAGCATGTTAGCATGATAGTATGTTAGCATGATAGTATGTTAGCATGTTGGTATGTTAGCATGTTGGTATGTTAGCATGTTTGTATATTAGCATGTTAGTAGTAAGTAGTAAGTAATCTTTATTTATATACCGCCTTTTCACTGCAGATCTGAGTCTCAAAGCGGTTTACAATTGTTAATTTTGGGCATTTGTCTCTCACTCCACACAGAGATGGGAGCGGGGCCAGTACAGGAGGCGCATGCCAGAACTATTGTACATGTTTTTAGTGGTAGGGGAAACCGGAGCACCCGGAGGAAACCTACGCAGACACAGGGAGAACATGCAAACTCCACTCAGAAAGGCCCTGGTCCGACCGGGATTCGAACCCAGGACCTTCTTGAGAGGCGAGAGTGCTATCCACTCAGCCACCGTGCCGCCCTGTTAGCTGTTAGCATGTTAGTGTGTTAGCATGTTAGCATGTTAGTATGTTAGCATGTTTGTATGTTCGCATGTTAGCATGTTAGTATCTCAGACGCATCTTCATTCTGCCAGAGGGAAGAAGCTGGAACATGGCTTTTCAAGGAGCCAAACGAGTCAATGATTAATCACCTCACTCTGGTCCCTGGTCTCTCTTTGTTCTCTCTCTGGTCTCTGTCTCGTCTCTTTCTGGTCTCTCTCTGGTCTCTCTCTGTGGTCTCTCTCTGGTCTCTGGTCTCTGGTTGGTCTCTGGTCTCTCTCTGGTCTCTCTCTCTGGTCTCTGGTCTCTCTCTGGTCTCTGGTCTCTCTCTCTGGGCTCTGGTCTCTCTCTGATCTCTCTCTGGTCTCTCTCTCTGGTCTCTCTCTGATCTCTCTCTCTGGTCTCTCTCTCTGGTCTCTCTCTCTGGTCTCTCTCTGATCTCTCTCTCTGGTCTCTCTCTGGTCTCTCTCTCTGGTCTCTGGTCTCTCTCTCTGGTCTCTGGTCTCTCTCTGGTCTCTCTCTGGTCTCTGGTCTCTCTCTGATCTCTCTCTCTGGTCTCTCTCTGATCTCTCTCTCTGGTCTCTCTCTCTGGTCTCTCTCTGATCTCTCTCTCTGGTCTCTCTCTCTGGTCTCTGGTCTCTCTCTGGTCTCTCTCTCTGGTCTCTGGTCTCTCTCTCTGGTCTCTGGTCTCTCTCTGGTCTCTCTCTGGTCTCTGATCTCTCTCTCTGGTCTCTCTCTGGTCTCTGGTCTCTCTCTCTGGTCTCTCTCTGGTCTCTGGGCTCTCTCTCTGGTCTCTCTCTCTGGTCTCTCTCTGGTCTCTGGTCTCTCTCTGGTCTCTGGTCTCTCTCTGGTCTCTCTCTCTGGTCTCTGGTCTCTCTCTGGTCTCTCTCTCTGGTCTCTGGTCTCTCTCTCTGGTCTCTCTCTGGTCTCTGGTCTCTCTCTCTGGTCTCTCTCTCTGGTCTCTCTCTGGTCTCTCTCTGGTCTCTGGTCTCTCTCTCTGGTCTCTCTCTGGTCTCTGGTCTCTCTCTGGTCTCTGGTCTCTGTCTATAACCATGTGTCCCTGTCCTTCCAGGTCCTGTCCTGTCTCCAGCCTAAGCTCAGAGTCTCTGCCTTCAGGCCCTGGTCTCCTCATGTCTCTGCGGGAGAGAAGGAGCCGCCCAGGTCTGTGTCCTCCACCTTAAAGCTGGGGGATGTAACTTTAAAGCTGGGGGATGTAACTTTAAAGCTGGGGGATGTGACTTTAAAGCTGGGGGCGTGACTTTAAAGCTGGGGGATGTGACTTTAAAGCTGGGGACGTGACTTTAAAGCTGGGGACGTGACTTTAAAGCTGGGGGATGTGACTTTAAAGCTGGGGACGTGACTTTAAAGCTGGGGGACGTGACTTTAAAGCTGGGGACGTGACTTTAAAGCTGGGGGACGTGACTTTAAAGCTGGGGGATGTGACTTTAAAGCTGGGGACGTGACTTTAAAGCTGGGGGACTTGACTTTAAAGCTGGGGACATGACTTTAAAGCTGAGGGACGTGACTTTAAAGCTGGGGACGTGACTTTAAAGCTGGGGGACGTGACTTTAAAGCTGGGGACGTGACTTTAAAGCTGGGGACGTGACTTTAAAGCTGGGGACGTGACTTTAAAGCTGGGGACATGACTTTAAAGCTGAGGGACGTGACTTTAAAGCTGGGGGACGTGACTTTAAAGCTGGGGGATGTGACTTTAAAGCTGGGGACGTGACTTTAAAGCTGGGGGACTTGACTTTAAAGCTGGGGGACGTGACTTTAAAGCTGGGGGATGTGACTTTAAAGCTGGGGACGTGACTTTAAAGCTGGGGGATGTGACTTTAAAGCTGGGGGACGTGACTTTAAAGCTGGGGGACATGACTTTAAAGCTGAGGGACGTGACTTTAAAGCTGGGGGATGTGACTTTAAAGCTGAGGGACGTGACTTTAAAGCTGGGGGGTGTGACTTTAAAGCTGGGGGATGTGACTTTAAAGCTGGGGGACGTGACTTTAAAGCTGGGGGGCGTGACTTTAAAGCTGGGGGCGTGACTTTAAAGCTGGGGGATGTGACTTTAAAGCTAAGGGGATGTGACTTTAAAGCTAAGGGGATGTGACTTTAAAGCTGGGGGCGTGACTTTAAAGCTGGGGGCGTGACTTTAAAGCTGGGGGCGTGACTTTAAAGCTGGGGGATGTAACTTTAAAGCTGGGGATGTAACTTTAAAGCTGGGGACGTGACTTTAAAGCTGGGGGATGTGACTTTAAAGCTGGAGGATGTGACTTTAAAGCTGAGGGCGTGACTTTAAAGCTGGGGGACGTGACTTTAAAGCTGGGGGATGTGACTTTAAAGCTGGAGGATGTGACTTTAAAGCTGGGGACGTGACTTTAAAGCTGGGGACGTGACTTTAAAGCTGGGGACGTGACTTTAAAGCTGGGGGACGTGACTTTAAAGCTGGGGACGTGACTTTAAAGCTGGGGACGTGACTTTAAAGCTGGGGACGTGACTTTAAAGCTGGGGATGTGACTTTAAAGCTGGGGGATGTGACTTTAAAGCTGGGGGACGTGACTTTAAAGCTGGGGACGTGACTTTAAAGCTGGGGACGTGACTTTAAAGCTGGGGGATGTGACGTGACTTTAAAGCTGCGGGCCTGACTTTAAAGCTGGGGGATGTGACTTTAAAGCTGGGGACGTGACTTTAAAGCTGGGGATGTGACTTTAAAGCTGGGGGATGTGACTTTAAAGCTGGGGACGTGACTTTAAAGCTGGGGACGTGACTTTAAAGCTGGGGGATGTGACTTTAAAGCTGGGGACGTGACTTTAAAGCTGGGGGACGTGACTTTAAAGCTGGGGACGTGACTTTAAAGCTGGGGGACGTGACTTTAAAGCTGGGGGATGTGACTTTAAAGCTGGGGACGTGACTTTAAAGCTGGGGGACTTGACTTTAAAGCTGGGGACATGACTTTAAAGCTGAGGGACGTGACTTTAAAGCTGGGGGATGTGACTTTAAAGCTGGGGACGTGACTTTAAAGCTGGGGGACGTGACTTTAAAGCTGGGGACGTGACTTTAAAGCTGGGGACGTGACTTTAAAGCTGGGGACGTGACTTTAAAGCTGGGGACATGACTTTAAAGCTGAGGGACGTGACTTTAAAGCTGGGGGACGTGACTTTAAAGCTGGGGGATGTGACTTTAAAGCTGGGGACGTGACTTTAAAGCTGGGGGACTTGACTTTAAAGCTGGGGGACGTGACTTTAAAGCTGGGGGATGTGACTTTAAAGCTGGGGACGTGACTTTAAAGCTGGGGGATGTGACTTTAAAGCTGGGGACGTGACTTTAAAGCTGGGGGACGTGACTTTAAAGCTGGGGGATGTGACTTTAAAGCTGGGGACGTGACTTTAAAGCTGGGGGACATGACTTTAAAGCTGAGGGACGTGACTTTAAAGCTGGGGGATGTGACTTTAAAGCTGAGGGACGTGACTTTAAAGCTGGGGGTGTGACTTTAAAGCTGGGGGATGTGACTTTAAAGCTGGGGGACGTGACTTTAAAGCTGGGGGCGTGACTTTAAAGCTGAGGGACGTGACTTTAAAGCTGGGGGTGTGACTTTAAAGCTGGGGGATGTGACTTTAAAGCTGGGGGACGTGACTTTAAAGCTGGGGCGTGACTTTAAAGCTGGGGGATGTGACTTTAAAGCTAAGGGATGTGACTTTAAAGCTAAGGGATGTGACTTTAAAGCTGGGGGCGTGACTTTAAAGCTGGGGGCGTGACTTTAAAGCTGGGGGCGTGACTTTAAAGCTGGGGGATGTAACTTTAAAGCTGGGGATGTAACTTTAAAGCTGGGGACGTGACTTTAAAGCTGGGGGATGTGACTTTAAAGCTGGAGGATGTGACTTTAAAGCTGAGGGCGTGACTTTAAAGCTGGGGGACGTGACTTTAAAGCTGGGGGATGTGACTTTAAAGCTGGAGGATGTGACTTTAAAGCTGGGGACGTGACTTTAAAGCTGGGGACGTGACTTTAAAGCTGGGGACGTGACTTTAAAGCTGGGGGACGTGACTTTAAAGCTGGGGACGTGACTTTAAAGCTGGGGACGTGACTTTAAAGCTGGGGACGTGACTTTAAAGCTGGGGATGTGACTTTAAAGCTGGGGGATGTGACTTTAAAGCTGGGGGACGTGACTTTAAAGCTGGGGACGTGACTTTAAAGCTGGGGACGTGACTTTAAAGCTGGGGGATGTGACGTGACTTTAAAGCTGCGGGCCTGACTTTAAAGCTGGGGGATGTGACTTTAAAGCTGGGGACGTGACTTTAAAGCTGGGGATGTGACTTTAAAGCTGGGGGATGTGACTTTAAAGCTGGGGGACGTGACTTTAAAGCTGGGGACGTGACTTTAAAGCTGGGGGATGTGACGTGACTTTAAAGCTGCGGGCCTGACTTTAAAGCTGGGGGATGTGACTTTAAAGCTGGGGACGTGACTTTAAAGCTGGGGGACTTGACTTTAAAGCTGGGGGACGTGACTTTAAAGCTGGGGACGTGACTTTAAAGCTGGGGACGTGACTTTAAAGCTGGGGACGTGACTTTAAAGCTGGGGACGTGACTTTAAAGCTGGGGACGTGACTTTAAAGCTGGGGACGTGACTTTAAAGCTGGGGACGTGACTTTAAAGCGGGGGGATGTGACTTTAAAGCAGGGGGATGTGACTTTAAAGCTGGGGACGTGACTTTAAAGCTGGGGGACGTGACTTTAAAGCTGGGGATGTGACTTTAAAGCTGGGGACGTGACTTTAAAGCTGGGGGACGTGACTTTAAAGCTGGGGACGTGACTTTAAAGCTGGGGACGTGACTTTAAAGCTGGGGGATGTGACTTTAAAGCTGGGGGATGTGACTTTAAAGCTGGGGACGTGACTTTAAAGCTGGGGACGTGACTTTAAAGCTGGGGACGTGACTTTAAAGCTGGGGACGTGACTTTAAAGCTGGGGACGTGACTTTAAAGCTGGGGACGTGACTTTAAAGCTGGGGGACTTGACTTTAAAGCTGGGGGACGTGACTTTAAAGCTGGGGGATGTGACTTTAAAGCTGGGGACGTGACTTTAAAGCTGGGGGATGTGACTTTAAAGCTGGGGACGTGACTTTAAAGCTGGGGGACGTGACTTTAAAGCTGGGGGATGTGACTTTAAAGCTGGGGACGTGACTTTAAAGCTGGGGGACATGACTTTAAAGCTGAGGGACGTGACTTTAAAGCTGGGGGATGTGACTTTAAAGCTGAGGGACGTGACTTTAAAGCTGGGGGGTGTGACTTTAAAGCTGGGGGATGTGACTTTAAAGCTGGGGGACGTGACTTTAAAGCTGGGGGCGTGACTTTAAAGCTGGGGGCGTGACTTTAAAGCTGGGGGATGTGACTTTAAAGCTAAGGGATGTGACTTTAAAGCTAAGGGATGTGACTTTAAAGCTGGGGGCGTGACTTTAAAGCTGGGGGCGTGACTTTAAAGCTGGGGGCGTGACTTTAAAGCTGGGGGATGATGTAACTTTAAAGCTGGGGATGTGACTTTAAAGCTGGGGACGTGACTTTAAAGCTGGGGGATGTGACTTTAAAGCTGGAGGATGTGACTTTAAAGCTGAGGGCGTGACTTTAAAGCTGGGGGACGTGACTTTAAAGCTGGGGGATGTGACTTTAAAGCTGGAGGATGTGACTTTAAAGCTGGGGAGTGAAAGCTGGGGACGTGACTTTAAAGCTGGGGACGTGACTTTAAAGCTGGGGAGTGACTTTAAGTGGGGACGTGACTTTAAAGCTGGGGGACGTGACTTTAAAGCTGGGGACGTGACTTTAAAGCTGGGGACGTGACTTTAAAGCTGGGGATGTGACTTTAAAGCTGGGGGATGTGACTTTAAAGCTGGGGACGTGACTTTAAAGCTGGGGACGTGACTTTAAAGCTGGGGACGTGACTTTAAAGCTGGGGACGTTGAAACTTTGAAAGCTGGGGACGTGACTTTAAAGCTGGGGACGTGACTTTAAAGCTGGGGACGTGACTTTAAAGCTGGGGACGTGACTTTAAAGCTGGGGTGACTTTAAACTGGGGGAAAAATCCCCTCACCGCTGAAACAATTTGGTTCCTGTAACTAAGGAAACCTGGTCTGTGGTCATTATCTGGTGGTGGTCTGAGTCTTCGTTTGGGTCTTGGTCTGGTGGTATAATGCAACCTATTAGGTTGCATTATACTGGTTTTACATGGAAAAATCCCTATTAGGTTGCATTATACTGGTTTACATGGAAAAATCCCTATTAAGTTGCATTATACTGGTTTACATGGAAAAATCTCTATTAAGTTGCATTATACTGGTTTACATGGAAAAATCCCTATTATACTAGATTTCTGACCTTGTTTGAAGGTTTTAGGGAGAGAGACTGTAGGTGACAGATGACGCTCTCTCTTTGTTTCTGGGGACCAAAGACAATCATTTCAGTTTTGTCTGCGTTTAGCTGAAGGAAGTTGTTTTGCATCCACTGATCTATGAAGGAGTGAGTCCAGTTAGAATATCTATTATGACCTATTGACAAGCTATTTGCCCACCGGCAACTATAGTTGCCAGCCCTAAAAAAAACGTTATTTTCTTCAAGGCAAGGTCCAAAATTGAAAGAAAAAAATACATTTCCTGATTCTAGGGCACACAAGTAATAACATTATATGCATTAACACTCTGAAAAGAATTTGGTCACTAATGGGTTAATTTAATTATTAAACCTTATTTGACATGTACTGGTATAAGGGCGACACAGTGGCGCAGCGGTTAGCGCTTGTGCTTCACAGTAAGAAGATCCTGTTGTCTGCATGCATACGTAGGTACTCAGTTTTCCTATACTACTAAAATCATGTACAATTCTTTATATTCCGTGCCCAAAATAACTAACAGAGTGCCTATGAATAAGATAGTCTGGAGCTCTCATTGAGCACTCCCTGTCCAAAATAAATAAATAAAAGGAAATAATAAATACAAATTTAACCTCCTGAAAGTACGTTTTTGCATATCAAGTCACTTTAAAGGGCGTGGTGGAGTACCAGCCTGATTTCCTCCCGACCTCACACTCTGCTGTCCTGTCTGATAGAACAAGACCACAGAAATAAATTCTTCAAAAGCATAGTTTGAAGTGAGAAGTTACAAAACATTTAACCCAAACTACTAGAAATGAAATTCTGAGAAATGTCCCCAAAGAATCAGTTTTTCACCTGAATCATTAAAATAAAGTATTTATAAGGTTTACATTGAATCACTTTAATAGGGGATAAAACTGGTCACTAAAACTGAAAAACAGCCAAAAAGGCTAATAATAATAATGATAATAATAATGCATCGGTTTTATATAGCGCTTTTTTGGAGACTCAAAGACGCTTTACATGTCATTATACATGTCATTATTACATGTCATTATTCAGGAGTTGGTCTGGTGGTATAATGCAACCTATTAGGTTGCATTATACTGGTTTACATGGAAAAATCCCTATTAGGTTGCATTATACTGGTTTACATGGAAAAATCCCTATTAGGTTGCATTATACTGGTTTACATGTAAAAATCCCTATTAAGTTGCATTATACTGGTTTACATGGAAAAATCTCTATTAAGTTGCATTATACTGGTTTACATGGAAAAATCCCTATTAGGTTGCATTATACTGGTTTACATGTACAAATCCCTATTAAGTTGCTTTAAACTGGTCTACATGTAAAAACCCCTATTACGTTACATTATAGTGGTTTACATGTAAAAATCCTATTAAGTTGCATTATACTGGTTTACATGAAAAAAACCCTATTAAGTTGCATTGTACTGGTTTACATGGAAAAATCCCTATTAAGTTGCATTATACTGGTTTACATGGAAAAATCCCTATTAAGTTGCATTATACTGGTTTACATGGAAAAAATCCCCATTAAGTTGCATTATACTGGTTTACATGAAAAAAACCCTATTACGTTACATTATAGTGGTTTACATGAAAAAAACCCTATTAAGTTGCATTATACTGGTTTACATGAAAAAACCCTATTAAGTTGCATTGTACTGGTTTACATGGAAAAATCCCTATTAAGTTGCATTATACTGGTTTACATGGAAAAATCCCCATTAAGTTGCATTATACTGGTTTACATGGAAAAATCCCTATTAAGTTGCATTGTACTGGTTTACATGGAAAAATCCCTATTAAGTTGCATTATACTGGTTTACATGGAAAAAACCCTATTAAGTTCCATTATACTGGTTTACATGTAAAAAAAACCCTACTGGTTTACATGGAAAAATCCCCATTAAGTTGCATTATACTGGTTTACATGAAAAAAACCCTATTAAGTTGCATTATACTGGTTTACATGGAAAAATCCCCATTAAGTTGCATTATACTGGTTTACATGAAAAAAACCCTATTAAGTTGCATTATATTGGTTTACATGGAAAAATCCCTATTAAGTTGCATTGTACTGGTTTACATGGAAAAATCCCTATTAAGTTGCATTATACTGGTTTACATGGAAAAAACCCTATTAGGTTGCATTATACTGGTTTACATGGAAAAATCCCTATTAAGTTGCATTATACTGGTTTACATGAAAAAATCCCTATTAAGTTGCATTATACTGGTTTACATGCATTATGTTGCATACTGGTTTACATGGAAAAATCCCCATTAAGTTGCATTATACTGGTTTACATGGAAAAATCCCTATTAAGTTGCATTATACTGGTTTACATGGAAAAATCCCCATTAAGTTGCATTATACTGGTTTACATGGAAAAATCCCTATTAAGTTGCATTGTACTGGTTTACATGGAAAAAACCCTATAAGTTGCATTATACTGGTTTACATGGAAAAAAAAGTTGCCTATGGTTTAAGTGGCAAAACCCTATTAAGTTGCATTATACTGGTTTACATGTAAAAAACCCTATTAAGTTGCATTATACTGGTTGCATTATACTGGTTTACATGGAAAAATCCCCATTAAGTTGCATTATACTGGTTTACATGAAAAAAAACCCTATTAAGTTGCATTATACTGGTTTACATGAAAAAACCCTATTAAGTTGCATTATACTGGTTTACATGGAAAAATCCCTATTAAGTTGCATTATACTGGTTTACATGGAAAAATCCCTATTAGGTTGCATGATTACACTGAAGTCCTTGAAACTGCTGAAGTCCTTGAAACTGCTGAAGTCCTTGAAACTGCTGAAGTCCTTGAAACTGTTGAAGTCCTTGAAACTCTTGAAATCTTGAAACTGCTGAAATCCTTGAAACTGTTGAATCCTTGAAACTGTTGAATCATTGAAACTGTAGAAATGTCTGAAAGAGCTGAAGTCCTATTAAAATGCATGGGCCTATTAAAATGCATTGCAGAATTCTCAATGCAGATTTTTGTCCGATTGCGGAAAAACCGGAAATCGCTGAAGTCCCAAAAGTAATAGCAATAATCTCCCAAACATGTGGAACGTTTTGATGTATAACTTGTGGAAATTGTTGAAAATGTGAAAGCTGTGAAACGTGTCAAAAAAAATGACGGAATAAAGAAATACAAAACCAATGGTTGACTGCGGAAGGTTCCGCAGTCAATCAATAATAATGTTTTCAGACAGGTTGATGGTGAGTCCTGTAGCCGCAGCTGCCAGGACCAGCGCTCACTCAGATGTGGCTCAGACGTTCTGCCTAAAAACACAATCCTCATTTAGAGATTTATTTGGAACCTGCACAACACGGATTTTCACATTTGATTCCACCTCACGTCACAAATGATATCTAGCTTTAGCATAATAAAGAAGCTAGTATTGCTGGGTTGCACCCAAGCCCCGGCGATTCAAGATGGCGCCCTATTCAAATGAATGGTTGTGCTCAGTGGCGCTTTGTGACGGCATGGGGGCTGAAAGATTAGCGGAAGTCGTCTGGAACTCGCACAGATCTATGGGAAACTCTCCTGTATTTGGGCATCGTCTGGTCCTCCCGGTTCTGTGCAGTGGATGATCTCCCATGATGCTTTGCGCCAAACACGCGTGTGTGGGTCTCACACCGGGTCTCACGCACGTGCACAGAGGGTCTCACGCACGTGCACAGAGGGGCTCGGCCGCGCTCTGACCAATCAGAGCAGTTCATCAGAGCGGGAGTTAGAGCGAGAGCCAGAGGAGCAGAGTTTGTGGCACTAAAGTGTGGATTTACACAAAACCGAAGGATTTAAGAAGAAAAAAAGTTCAGGATGACAAGGGACACTAAAACCCCCACAAAATACTATCTTTATTAAAGCTGTAGGTTCTCTGTCAGGTTCTCTGTCAGGTTCTCTGTCAGGTTCTCTGTCAGGTTCTCTGTCAGGTTCTCTGTCAGCTGAGGTCTAGCTGTTTTAATATGCATTGAGTTCCATGGGGAACATTTCTGGGTAGTCCACCTGAATTCAGTCTGGTTCAGTCTGGTTCAGTCTGGTTCAGTCTGCAGTACCGCGAGAATCCCCCGAACACATGAGTTATTCAGCTACAAGCTGTAACACCCTATCCAGTTAATATAATAGATCCATGGTTGCACCTGACGTCACGCAGCAGCGCGAGAGTGCTCTGAGGAACAGGAAGTAAACTTCCCCTTTAAGAACAATGTAAAAATGCTCTCATTCTGTGGCGTGTGCAGCTGTGGAAACTGCTCATATCAAGTGGGGAACTTATGGAGTCTCTATTTTGCTAAAATGTATTTCTCTAACTGGTGTCGATTTTTAGGAAAATGTCTAACAAGGAAAGGAATAAAAGCGTTAGCATTAGCATTAGCATTAGCCTGCGTAGCCAGGGACGGCGGCGGTTAAAACCCCCCACAAAGTACACCGAGCCGTCGAGGAACACAGCGCCGTGGTAAGCACGAGGGCCCTCCTGATGGTTGGTCACGTTCACCGGTGATTAGTCTCCAGTCAAACGCCTCGAGGATGTTGGTGGGACTGCTGCCGCTCCAGCCGCCGATCTGCAGCAGGCTCTGGGGAGAGGCGAGGTGCTGAGGCGAGGTGCTGAGGCGAGGTGTTGAGGCGAGGTGCTGAGGCGAAGTGGTGAGGCGAGGTGTTGAGGCGAGGTGCTGAGGCGAGGTGCTGAGGCGAGGTGTTGAGGCGAGGTGCTGAGGCGAGGTGTTGAGGCGAGGTGTTGAGGCGAGGTGCTGAGGCGAGGTGTTGAGGCGAGGTGCTGAGGCGAGGTGCTGAGGCGAGGTGCTGAGGCGAGGTGTTGAGGCGAGGTGCTGAGGCGAGGTGCTGAGGCGAGGTGTTGAGGCGAGGTGCTGAGGCGAGGTGCTGAGGCGAGGTGTTGAGGCGAGGTGCTGAGGCGAGGTGTTGAGGCGAGGTGCTGAGGCGAGGTGTTGAGGCGAGGTGCTGAGGCGAGGTGCTGAGGCGAGGTGCTGAGGCGAGGTGTTGAGGCGAGGTGCTGAGGCGAGGTGCTGAGGCGAGGTGTTGAGGCGAGGTGCTGAGGCGAGGTGCTGAGGCGAGGTGTTGAGGCGAGGTGCTGAGGCGAGGTGTTGAGGCGAGGTGTTGAGGCGAGGTGCTGAGGCGAGGTGCTGAGGCGAGGTGTTGAGGCGAGGTGCTGAGGCGAGGTGTTGAGGCGAGGTGCTGAGGCGAGGTGTTGAGGCGAGGTGTTGAGGCGAGGTGTTGAGGCGAGGTGCTGAGGCGAGGTGTTGAGGCGAGGTGCTGAGGCGAGGTGTTGAGGCGAGGTGTTGAGGCGAGGTGCTGAGGCGAGGTGTTGAGGCGAGATGCTGAGGCGAGGTGTTGAGGCGAGGTGCTGAGGCGAGGTGCTGACGCGAGGTGTTGAGGCGAGGTGCTGAGGCGAGGTGCTGAGGCGAGGTGTTGAGGCGAGGTGCTGAGGCGAGGTGCTGAGGCGAGGTGCTGAGGCCGCTCAAGACAATGTTTTTCACCTGTTTGAGATTTCAGAGAAACAGACCTGAAACACACACAAGTACAACTTACGTCAGAAACACACACAAGTACAACTTACGTCAGAAACACACAAGTACAACTTACGTCAGAAACACACACAAGTACAACTTACGTCAGAAACACACACAAGTACAACTTACGTCAGAAACACACACAAGTACAACTTACGTCAGAAACACACAAGTACAACTTACGTCAGAAACACACACAAGTACAACTTACGTCAGAAACACACACAAGTACAACTTACGTCAAAAACACACACAAGTACAACTTACGTCAGAAACACACACAAGTACAACTTACGTCAGAAACACACACAAGTACAACTTACGTCAAAAACACACACAAGTACAACTTACGTCAGAAACACACACAAGTACAACTTACGTCAGAAACACACACAAGTACAACTTACGTCAGAAACACACAAGTACAACTTACGTCAGAAACACACACAAGTACAACTTACGTCAGAAACACACACAAGTACAACTTACGTCAGAAACACACACAAGTACAACTTACGTCAGAAACACACACAAGTACAACTTACGTCAGAAACACACACAAGTACAACTTACGTCAGAAACACACACAAGTACAACTTACGTCAGAAACACACACAAGTACAACTTACGTCAGAAACACACACAAGTACAACTTACGTCAGAAACACACACAAGTACAGCTTACGTCAGAAACACGTAAGCTGTGTGTGAAACACACACAAGTACAACTTACGTCAGAAACACACACAAGTACAACTTACGTCAGAAACACACACAAGTACAACTTACGTCAGAAACACACACAAGTACAACTTACGTCAGAAACACACACAAGTACAACTTACGTCAGAAACACACACAAGTACAGCTTACGTCAGAAACACGTAAGCTGTGTGTGAAACACACACAAGTACAACTTATGTCAGAAACACACACAAGTACAACTTACGTCAGAAACACACACAAGTACATCTTACGTCAGAAACACACACAAGTACAACTTACGTCAGAAACACACACAAGTACAACTTACGTCAGAAACACACACAAGTACAACTTACGTCAGAAACACACACAAGTACAACTTACGTCAGAAACACACACAAGTACAACTTACGTCAGAAACACACACAAGTACAACTTACGTCAGAAACACACACAAGTACAACTTACGTCAGAAACACACACAAGTACAACTTACGTCAGAAACACACACAAGTACAACTTACGTCAGAAACACACACAAGTACAACTTACGTCAGAAACACACAAGTACAACTTACGTCAGAAACACACACAAGTACAACTTACGTCAGAAACACACAAGTACAACTTACGTCAGAAACACACACAAGTACAACTTACGTCAGAAACACACAAGTACAACTTACGTCAGAAACACACACAAGTACAACTTACGTCAGAAACACACACAAGTACAACTTACGTCAGAAACACACACAAGTACAACTTACGTCAGAAAACACACACAAGTACAACTTACGTCAGAAACACACACAAGTACAACTTACGTCAGAAACACACACAAGTACAGCTTACGTCAGAAACACACAAGTACAACTTACGTCAGAAACACACAAGTACAACTTACGTCAGAAACACACACAAGTACAACTTACGTCAGAAACACACACAAGTACAACTTACGTCAGAAACACACACAAGTACAACTTACGTCAGAAACACACACAAGTACAGCTTACGTCAGAAACACACACAAGTACAACTTACGTCAGAAACACACACAAGTACAACTTACGTCAGAAACACACACAAGTACAACTTACGTCAGAAACACACACAAGTACAACTTACGTCAGAAACACACACAAGTACAACTTACGTCAGAAACACACACAAGTACAACTTACGTCAGAAACACACACAAGTACAGCTTACGTCAGAAACACACACAAGTACAACTTACGTCAGAAACACACACAAGTACAACTTACGTCAGAAACACACACAAGTACAACTTACGTCAGAAACACACACAAGTACAACTTACGTCAGAAACACACACAAGTACAGCTTACGTCAGAAACACACACAAGTACAGCTTACGTCAGAAACACACACAAGTACAGCTTACGTCAGAAACACACACAAGTACAGCTTACGTCAGAAACACACACAAGTACAACTTACGTCAGAAACACACACAAGTACAGCTTACGTCAGAAACACACACAAGTACAACTTACGTCAGAAACACACACAAGTACAACTTACGTCAGAAACACACAAGTACAACTTACGTCAGAAACACACACAAGTACAACTTACGTCAGAAACACACACAAGTACAACTTACGTCAGAAACACACACAAGTACAACTTACGTCAGAAACACACACAAGTACAACTTACGTCAGAAACACACAAGTACAACTTACGTCAGAAACACACACAAGTACAACTTACGTCAGAAACACACACAAGTACAACTTACGTCAGAAACACACAAGTACAACTTACGTCAGAAACACACACAAGTACAACTTACGTCAGAAACACACACAAGTACAACTTACGTCAGAGTGTGTCAGTCCTGAGTCACACACCACCCGCTCGCACACATTTTAAATCTGGTGTCTTTTTTTTATTGATTAATTGAACTGGGATCTGGAAATCTTCCAAACAAATCCTCAGATCCACTTTGATGACGGCACTTCTGCAAATAGTTCCACATGTCTTTGATGATAGTTCCACATGTCTTTGATGATAGTTCCACATGTCTTTGATGATAGTTCCACATGTCTTTGATGATAGTTCCACATGTCTTTGATGATAGTTCCACATGTCTTTGATGATAGTTCCACATGTCTTTGATGATAGTTCCACATGTCTTTGATGATAGTTCCACATGTCTTTGATGATAGTTCCACATGTCTTTGATGATAGTTCCACATGTCTTTGATGATAGTTCCACATGTCTTTGATGATAGTTCCACATGTCTTTGATGATAGTTCCACATGTCTTTGATGATAGTTCCACATGTCTTTGATGATAGTTCCACATGTCTTTGATGATAGTTCCACATGTCTTTGATGATAGTTCCACATGTCTTTGATGATAGTTCCACATGTCTTTGATGATAGTTCCACATGTCTTTGATGATAGTTCCACATGTCTTTGATGATAGTTCCACATGTCTTTGATGATAGTTCCACATGTCTTTGATGATAGTTCCACATGTCTTTGATGATAGTTCCACATGTCTTTGATGATAGTTCCACATGTCTTTGATGATAGTTCCACATGTCTTTGATGATAGTTCCACATGTCTTTGATGATAGTTCCACATGTCTTTGATGATAGTTCCACATGTCTTTGATGATAGTTCCACATGTCTTTGATGATAGTTCCACATGTCTTTGATGATAGTTCCACGTGTCTTTGATGATAGTTCCACATGTCTTTGATGATAGTTCCACATGTCTTTGATGATAGTTCCACGTGTCTTTGATGATAGTTCCACATGTCTTGCATACTCTGTTTAATTAGGTTTCAAACTCAGATGAAGTCATTTATTGACTCACCTTCTCCAGCAGACAGGACAGAAGTAGTTTTGTCGGTTGTGGTTGGTCCAGCGCACGATGGTCTCACTCTTGACCTCGAGCGTATGTGTGTCCAACTTCCCATTCACACGTTTATCAATACATCATTTCATTAACAAAATCTTCTGACTACAGTTTATACCCGATACATAACACATAGTTCTGAGAGCTTTTTACCATTCCCTCTTTTAAAGGCGCTGTACCCGTTTCTGCAATGTTTAGCCCCGCCCCCAACTCGCTCACAGGCTTCTCATTTCCCCCACGCTCTCATAACACAGAGCCATCTAGCTCAATTTGCGATCTGACATGTATGCTAACATTAGCATGCTAACATTAGCATTAGCGCAACTTCTTGTAAGCTGTACAACAATCACTGATGAAATGGTACAAAAGCAACGCACTGCTAACACAATATATAGGTAAAAGAATACTGCTAGTTTTGCGTCCAAATGTATTCATTAAAACATTAGAATATATTCAAGTATTTAATTATAATTTATTATACAGCTCCTCACAGCAGCAGTAGAACACTCCATTGACTTCAACGTAATTCTACCGATCATTTTTTCTTGATAACAGAACTCTCAAATCAATAATGACCGCTGCCCTTTGGCAACGCAATCTCTGTTTGTAATTCAGGTTGAAGGTGTTAAGCAGCGCTGTAGGGACTAGAGGACGCAGGCTGCTCGCTGCTCATTCTGTGATTGGAGGAGAACGTCCCGCTCAGACTCTACTCAGCACTTTTCACTGCTTGTAATTTCATACACAGCTGAATCAATGACCTCAAGTTTTCAATTAAATTACGGATTATAATACAACTTGTATGTAGTAAAAAGCATTTTTATGAACTACCCAGAAAAAAAATTGGGTATAGCTTCTTTAAGGTGACCTTTCGACTGACCACGGATGGGATGGTCGACCGTCCGCCTCGACGTGTGTGATCCTGAATATATGGGTTCTTCTGTAGCACACGTGGAACTGTCTTTATGTCTTCAAAGATTGAATGTAAAAATGTGATTCTTCCGTGACTCGTGGCAGGTGTTGGGTTGGTGTAAGTTCTTACCTGAAGTATTTTCTGCAGTGGCACAGAATGACTTTGTGACATCTCTGAATGCTCCACTTTTAGTCCAGCGCCACAAAACACCTGCGTCACACACGTCCATCTTTGTTGTCTGTTTGGATCTCAGCGTGAACGCAGAGGACTGACCACAGAGGACTGACCACAGAGGACTGACCACAGAGGACTGACCGCAGAGGACTGACCACAGAGGACTGACCACAGAGGACTGACCACAGAGGACTGACCGCAGAGGACTGACCACAGAGGACTGACCACAGAGGACTGACCACAGAGGACTGACCACAGAGGACTGACCACAGAGGACTGACCACAGAGGACTGACCGCAGAGGACTGACCACAGAGGACTGACCACAGAGGACTGACCACAGAGGACTGACCACAGAGGACTGACCACAGAGGACTGACCACAGAGGACTGACCACAGAGGACTGATCACAGAGGACTGACCGCAGAGGACTGACCGCAGAGGACTGACCACAGAGGACTGACCACAGAGGACAGACCACAGAGGACTGACCACAGAGGACTGACCGCAGAGGACTGACCACAGAGGACTGATCACAGAGGACTGACCGCAGAGGACTGACCGCAGAGGACTGACCACAGAGGACTGACCACAGAGGACTGACCACAGAGGACTGACCACAGAGGACTGATCACAGAGGACTGACCGCAGAGGACTGACCGCAGAGGACTGACCGCAGAGGACTGACCACAGAGGACTGACCACAGAGGACTGACCGCAGAGGACTGACCGCAGAGGACTGACCACAGAGGACTGACCACAGAGGACTGACCACAGAGGACTGACCACAGAGGACTGATCACAGAGGACTGACCGCAGAGGACTGACCGCAGAGGACTGACCGCAGAGGACTGACCACAGAGGACTGACCACAGAGGACTGACCACAGAGGACTGATCACAGAGGACTGACCGCAGAGGACTGACCGCAGAGGACTGACCGCAGAGGACTGACCACAGAGGACTGACCACAGAGGACTGACCACAGAGGACTGACCACAGAGGACTGACCGCAGAGGACTGACCGCAGAGGACTGACCGCAGAGGACTGACCACAGAGGACTGACCACAGAGGACTGACCACAGAGGACTGACCGCAGAGGACTGACCACAGAGGACTGACCACAGAGGACTGACCACAGAGGACTGACCACAGAGGACTGATCACAGAGGACTGACCGCAGAGGACTGACCGCAGAGGACTGACCGCAGAGGACTGACCACAGAGGACTGACCACAGAGGACTGACCACAGAGGACTGACCGCAGAGGACTGACCACAGAGGACTGACCACAGAGGACTGACCACAGAGGACTGACCGCAGAGGACTGACCACAGAGGACTGACCGCAGAGGACTGACCACAGAGGACTGACCACAGAGGACTGATCACAGAGGACTGACCGCAGAGGACTGACCGCAGAGGACTGACCACAGAGGACTGACCACAGAGGACAGACCACAGAGGACTGACCACAGAGGACTGACCGCAGAGGACTGACCACAGAGGACTGATCACAGAGGACTGACCGCAGAGGACTGACCGCAGAGGACTGACCACAGAGGACTGACCACAGAGGACTGACCACAGAGGACTGACCACAGAGGACTGATCACAGAGGACTGACCGCAGAGGACTGACCGCAGAGGACTGACCGCAGAGGACTGACCACAGAGGACTGACCACAGAGGACTGATCACAGAGGACTGACCGCAGAGGACTGACCGCAGAGGACTGACCGCAGAGGACTGACCACAGAGGACTGACCACAGAGGACTGACCACAGAGGACTGACCGCAGAGGACTGACCACAGAGGACTGACCACAGAGGACTGACCGCAGAGGACTGACCACAGAGGACTGACCGCAGAGGACTGACCACAGAGGACTGACCGCAGAGGACTGACCACAGAGGACTGACCGCAGAGGACTGACCACAGAGGACTGACCGCAGAGGACTGACCACAGAGGACTGACCACAGAGGACTGACCGCAGAGGACTGACCACAGAGGACTGACCACAGAGGACTGACCACAGAGGACTGACCACAGAGCTGAAGTCTCCACGGTGACTTTGAGTGCTATCATTTATGTTATTGTGTGACATTTCAAACAGAAGTAGTGTAGCAGGAGCATGTATACATAATCCATCATTATTTTGGATCAATCTGAATTAATATGCATTTTTTATCTGTACCAAGTAAGTATTACGTGAGGAATGGTTGTTCATAGATAATACTTGTGTTTGACCATTACAAGTCCTGTAAAAATCAAAAGTTGAACTGACCAGACCACGACATGCTTTCTTTATCGTATTATAAAACATCTGTTGCCTTTTCATACTCGTCAGAGCCCTGTGAGTCCCATTCTACACTTTGGGCAAAAAGATGATTGTCTTAGTGAGGATGACCCGCTGTTCCAATTTCCTGTCTGAAAAAGCAGATCTACAGATGTAACAGAGGCCAAAATCTGCCAAAATCTGCCAAAATCTGCCAAAATCTGCCTGTATGTGAAAATGTTCCAATAGAACCAGGATAAAAACAACAAATACATTCTACTGCCGGGTTGCACCTGACGTCACGCAGCAGCGCGAGAGTGCTCCGAGGGACAGGAAGTAAACTTCCCCTTTAAGAACAATGTAAAATGCTCCTTTTCTGTGGCGTGTGCAACATTTATTTCACTAACTGGTGTCGATTTTTAGGAAAATGCCTAATAAGGAAAGGAATAAATGCGTTAGCATTAGAATTAGCCTAGCATTAGCATTAGCCTTCGTAGCATCCGCGGCCACAGACACAGCTGACTTTCATTGATACAATGCAGTATTTTTGTGTTGTACACAGTTGTAGCAACTGAGGCAACAGAGTCCTGTGAGGACCAGGGTCTGGGACTGTGAGGACCAGGGTCTGGGACTGTGAGGACCAGGGTCTGAGACTGTGAGGACCAGGGTCTGAGACTGTGAGGACCAGGGTCTGAGACTGTGAGGACCAGGGTCTGAGACTGTGAGGACCAGGGTCTGGGACTGTGAGGACCAGGGTCTGGGACTGTGAGGACCAGGGTCTGAGACTGTGAGGACCAGGGTCTGGGACTGTGAGGACCAGGGTCTGAGGCTGTGAGGACCAGGGTCTGGGACTGTGAGGACCAGGGTCTGGGACTGTGAGGACCAGGGTCTGGGGCTGTGAGGACCAGGGTCTGAGACTGTGAGGACCAGGGTCTGGGACTGTGAGGACCAGGGTCTGAGACTGTGAGGACCAGGGTCTGAGACTGTGAGGACCAGGGTCTGAGACTGTGAGGACCAGGGTCTGAGACTGTGAGGACCAGGGTCTGAGACTGTGAGGACCAGGGTCTGAGGCTGTGAGGACCAGGGTCTGAGGCTGAAGTTTTATCCGATCTCTGTGCTCCCCGGACGGCTGGGTTTACTGCAGCCCCCGCTGTTAGCTGAACGCTGTTAGCGTAACGCTGTTAGCGTAACGCTGTTAGCTGAACGCTGTTAGCGTAACGCTGTTAGCTTAACGCTGTTAGCGTAACGCTGTTAGCTTAACGCCGTTAGCGTAACGCTGTTAGCTTAACGCTACGGAGCTCCCCCCGGAGAATAAGTCCAAACTTTATGTCGTTTACAGCTCAACAAATCACCAAAATGACAAAGGGTCATTTTTCTCGCCTCAAATGTTAAAAGTAACGTTTGTGCCATATTTATTGTATTATTGATGAGAGCTATCGTCTCAGACGTGGTTCTGTCGATCCCAGAGTGACTCCACTGTCGTCACTGTAACAGCTTTAATCCTCCTCATTGTTGAAAAAATGGTCTCAGTCAAACTCTACAAGGCGTGCGCTGCATTAAAATAGTTTTCACTCAAAATAAGAGTGATACTAATGTGAGATTTCATAACACTTTGAAGCAACTTTTGTTAAAGTTAAACTCATCATTCTATCAATGTGCAGAAGCCAGTACTTTTCCCTTGTTGTGTCTATCTGAAGGCCAAGCTACATGGCACTGTGGCAGCTGCTGATTGGAGGTCTCCATGCCTCCGCTCTGTATAATACACTTGCATTCTATTGTATCTGTTGTTCGTGCTGTCTCTACCATCGACAATAAAACATGTCTTCTGTCTGAATTTAAAGACGCGATCCCAGACTATGTCATCTTCTTCACTAAGCCACAAAAAGCTCCTGTGTGTCCGTTTTCCCCAAGCCCCGGCGATCCAAGATGGCGACGTATTCAAATGAACGGTTGTGCTCAGTGGCGCTTTGTGACGGCACGGGCGCTGAAAGATTAGCAGAAGTTGCCTGGAACTCACAAAGCGTGTGTGTGTGTGTGTCCAGAGGCTGCAGACAGAGTGTATAACCTGATGTGTGTGTGTGTGTGTGTGTGTGTGTGTGTGTGTGTGTCCAGAGGCTGCAGACAGAGTGTATAACCTGATGTGTGTGTGTGTGTGTGTGTGTGTGTGTGTGTGTGTGTGTGTCCAGAGGCTGCAGACAGAGTGTATAACCTGATGTGTGTGTGTGTGTGTGCGTGTGTGTGTGTGTCCAGAGGCTGCAGACAGAGTGTATAACCTGATGTGTGTGTGTGTGTGTGCGTGTGTGTGTGTGTCCAGAGGCTGCAGACAGAGTGTATAACCTGATGTGTGTGTGTGTGTGTGTGTGTGTGTGTGTGTGTATGTGTGTGTGTGCGTGTGTGTGTGTGTCCAGAGGCTGCAGACAGAGTGTATAACCTGATGTGTGTGTGTGTGTGTGCGTGTGTGTGTGTGTCCAGAGGCTGCAGACAGAGTGTATAACCTGATGTGTGTGTGTGTGTGTGTGTGTGTGTGTGTGTGTGTGTGTGTGTGTGTGTGTGTGTGTGTGTGTGTGTGTGTGTGTGTGTGTGTCCAGAGGCTGCAGACAGAGTGTATAACCTGATGTGTGTGTGTGTGTGTGCGTGTGTGTGTGTGTCCAGAGGCTGCAGACAGAGTGTATAACCTGATGTGTGTGTGTGTGTGTGTGCGTGTGTGTGTGTGTCCAGAGGCTGCAGACAGAGTGTATAACCTGATGTGTGTGTGTGTGTGTGCGTGTGTGTGTGTGTCCAGAGGCTGCAGACAGAGTGTATAACCTGATGTGTGTGTGTGTGTGTGTGTGTGTGTGTGTGTGTGTGTGTGTGTGTGTGTGTGTGTGTGTGTGTGTGTGTGTGTGTGTGTCCAGAGGCTGCAGACAGAGTGTATAACCTGATGTGTGTGTGTGTGTGTGCGTGTGTGTGTGTGTCCAGAGGCTGCAGACAGAGTGTATAACCTGATGTGTGTGTGTGTGTGTGTGCGTGTGTGTGTGTGTCCAGAGGCTGCAGACAGAGTGTATAACCTGATGTGTGTGTGTGTGTGTGCGTGTGTGTGTGTGTCCAGAGGCTGCAGACAGAGTGTATAACCTGATGTGTGTGTGTGTGTATGTGTGTGTGTGTGTGTGTGTCCAGAGGCTGCAGACAGAGTGTATAACCTGATGTGTGTGTGTGTGTATGTGTGTGTGTGTGTGTGTGTCCAGAGGCTGCAGACAGAGTGTATAACCTGATGTGTGTGTGTGTGTGTGTGTGTGTGTGTGTGTGTGTGTGTGTATGTGTGTGTGTGTGTGTCCAGAGGCTGCAGACAGAGTGTATAACCTGATGTGTGTGTGTGTGTGTGTGTGTGTGTGTGTGTGTCCAGAGGCTGCAGACAGAGTGTATAACCTGATGTGTGTGTGTGTGTGTGTGTGTGTGGTCAGAGGCTGCAGACAGAGTGTATAACCTGATGTGTGTGTGTGTGTGTGTGTGTGGTCCAGAGGCTGCAGACAGAGTGTATAACCTGATGTGTGTGTGTGTGTGTGTGTGTGTGTGTGTGTCCAGAGGCTGCAGACAGAGTGTATAACCTGATGTGTGTGTGTGTGTGTGTGTGTGTGTGTGTGTGGGTCCAGAGGCTGCAGACAGAGTGTATAACCTGATGTGTGTGTGTGTGTGTGTGTGTGTGTGTGTGTCCAGAGGCTGCAGACAGAGTGTATAACCTGATGTGTGTGTGTGTGTGTGTGTGGTGTGTGTGTGTGTGGTGTGTCCAGAGGCTGCAGACAGAGTGTATAACCTGATGTGTGTGTGTGTGTGTGTGTGTGTCCAGAGGCTGCAGACAGAGTGTATAACCTGATGTGTGTGTGTGTGTGTGTGTGTGTGTGTGTGTCCAGAGGCTGCAGACAGAGTGTATAACCTGATGTGTGTGTGTGTGTGTGTGTGTGTGTGTGTGTCCAGAGGCTGCAGACAGAGTGTATAACCTGTATAACGGCTACACCAGTGGGAAGGAGCAGCAGGTGGCCTACAACACTCTGATGGAGGTGTCGCCGCCGCTGCTGTACCGCCTGCAGCACCACTACAACTCACACTACGACAAGTTTGGAGACTTTGTGTGGCGCAGCGAGGACGAGCTGGGGCCCAGGTCAGACATTCACCCACACACCCTTCATCTGCCCATCCACCCCTTTTCTTCCCCTTAATCCATTTCTGGGGCAGGGAGGTGTCCCAGTTCACCGAGCACCAGCCCCAGTAGTAAAACCACATTGGAATAAAGTTTTCCTTCCTTTTGGGCAACTTTAGTATTTTGGTTTATTAATTATTATTATTATTCTTATGCATGTTAGCAATACTTTATTTATTATTGTTGACAACTATAATGTTCTAGAGGTGACTTGGGCAAACCCTCGGTTTCCCCTACCACTAAAAATATGTACAATAGTTCTGGCATGCGCCTCCTGTTCGGCGACCCCGCTCCCATCTCTGTGTGGAGTGAGAGACAAGTGCCCAAAAAAATAAATACAAATAACAATTGTAAACCGCTTTGTGACCATTGTCTGTGAAAGGCGGTATATAAATAAACATTACTTACTTACTTACTTGTGCCTAATGTGAAATGCCTGAAATTAATAAATAAATGAAACAGACAAACAATCAACAAAAACAGCTTCAAAACAAGTGAAGATCAATAAAGTGGTTCATTTAGACTGATAAGTCCAGGTCAGGGTCCGGGTCTGGGTCCAGGTCTGGGTCCAGGTCTGGGTCTAGGTCCATCAGGGTTGCCCTTTGTCCTTTGTCAAAGCTCTCGGTTTATGGTCAATCTTGGTTCTCTCCCTCACCTCTGGTCATGAGGGAGCAGCGTGTGCAGTCAGAGCTCCCCTCCCTCACCTCTGGTCATGAGGGAGCAGCGTGTGCAGTCAGAGCTCCCCTCCCTCACCTCTGGTCATGAGGGAGCAGCGTGTGCAGTCAGAGCTCCCCCCTCCCTCACCTCTGGTGATGAGCTTTGCGTAATGACTGCATGAACGAGATACAAGCGGTGAAATGAGCTCCCTCCGCAGAGTGGCTGCTCCCTTAGAGATAGAGAAGCTCAGTCACACAGGAGGAGCTCGGAGTAGAGCCGCTGCTTCTCCACGTGTCAGGTGGCTCGGGCATCTATTTGGGATGCCTCCTGGCAACGGATGAAGCGGAAGAAAACGGATGGAAAGACGCTGTTATCGTGTCCAGATGTCCTGCATTTCAGCCAATGTTCTATTCTGCCAGAGGGAAGGAGCTGGAACAGGGTTTTTCCAGGGCCCAGAAGAGTCAGTGATTATTTTAAGAGCTACATGAAATTATATGGAAGGAAGTTGTAAATACGGTCTGCAGAGTCGGGGAACACTGCCTTCGGGGGAACTGAGTGTTTTCGACGTCGTCTAAAACCGTGTGGTTGTGGCGAGCTCCCGGTGACAGCGCAGAAGGACCATCAAGGCCTCGCCGTTCTGGTGCTTTGATTGTTTTGTTGCTGTTTATTGTCGGTGTTTGTGGTCTCGGCCCGAGCTCAGCCATCCGGAGGTTTCTGCTTCTGTCGTGAGTCAAACCATGAGCCCGTTCCAACCAGATTAATCATTTCTGGTGCAAAAGGTCGTTCTGTGGGAGCATTACCATAAAGGACGCCAAGACGATGGTCCACGGCCAAATGGAAATGTAAATGTTTTGGATTCTGCTGGTACCTCGGGCCCAGACCCAATCTTCTATACTGACTTTTTATTTTTATTTTGTTGTGGAAATTCTGCAGTGACCCAGAGCAAAAACAATGTAAACAACCAAGAGCTGTAAAACAATCAAAGTTTATTCATCAGTAAATGTGACAAATACAATGAATAACAGAACCGATACCGATACCACCGGGTCTGACACCGTCTGCCCTGAATGAGGAAATGATGGACATTCAATAGACCAGAGTAAACACATATCTACATATATATATAAGATATAAGGCTTCTCTCTGCGCGTCCTAACGCTGATACAACTCTGATATATGTAACAATCTGATTCTGACCTGAACATATTGTTCTGACCCAGATGAGGTCAAAGACATGATGCAGCTCGTCTCCATCACTGACCTGAGCCAACAGAATCCAGAGTGGACTATTAGTTAATAACTTACACTCAGAACTACTTGGTGTTAATTCAGATTGCTTTACTAAAAGATGTCTATAACAGTCCTATCTCTTGATAAATATAAAATCTTGGTTTATCTTAATCAACTTTGAAAAAAATAATAGAAATCACAATGATTATGAATTAACATAAATCTGAACATTTGAGCAAAAACACACAATAGTAAACTTTATTAAAACCCACACTTATAGACTTATATAGACAGACGTCTGCCCAGAGGAGACGAGGCGGTACTGGACCCTCACCTCCCCCAGAGTCGACCCACACTCTGTAGAACCTGAGTATGTGGTCATTACATCTGTAAACGTAACTGAAGTAATGTGGAAAAGTACGGAGGAAAAATAAACTGGGTAAATTTGGTACAAAGGTCAGAAACGCTCTTTAACCCTAACTTAAATAGATTTTTAGTTTTTATCTTCCACCATAGATCAGCAGGAGACACAGCTGCTCACATGGTTTTAGTCTACAAGTGTTGGTCCTTTCTGGTAGAAGACGCTGAAGCAGAAGAAACGGTTAATGGAGCTGAAAATACAGAAAAAACAGTTTGATGAAAGGCTAATTCTAGAGAACCAATGCTAATGCTAACAGTAAACAGTGTGTTGCTATGGTAACCAGCACTTGCCTTTCTCTGGTGGAAAACAGAGCTGAACCAGAACCAGTGTAGAACTAGAACCAGACTAGGACTATGAGGAACACCAGGACCAGCACCAGTCCAGGATCAGCACCAGTCAAGGACCAGCACCAGTCAAGGACCAGCACCAGTTCAGGACTCGGATCAGTCTAGGACCAGGATCAGTCCAGGACCAGTACATTTATGCAAGAAAGCAACTGAAAATGTCTATTTTTGAATTTGGATTAAAACTATCACAACTCACACGTCAAAGAAAAAAGAGCATTTTATTTTATTGTTTATAATTTATGTTTCACATGGTGTAAGCTCGTGGTCCCTCCTGGTCCCTCCTGGTCCCCTCTGGTCTTCTACTGAAGTCAAGTCCACATATCCTGAGAGACCGATGGTGCTGATTCCTGGTTGTGCTGTGATTGGTAACGGCCTGTGGGAGGAGGCCAGTCTGGAGCGGGACAAACAGGCAGGACCGGGGTGGACCGGGGTGGACCGGGGTGGACTGGGGGTGGTCGTGGGCTGGTGTGTTTGTGCTGTTTGTGTGGGCAGCTGTGAGGGAGGGGGTGAGGGGCTTTTGGATGAGCGAGCAGGGGTTATTTACTGCCTCCCGTTGGCAGCGCTGAGCCTCATTGGGGTAATTTACAAGGCAGCTCTATTGGTGGTTCCTTTTAAAAGGGAAGAGAACGGCCAAGTGAAACGTAAGCAGACTGGGTCCTGCCAGCGCCCGAGGATCCTGGAGGCCCCGAACCTGGCCTCCGTCATCGCACAATCACTTTTCCTGCTGATGGCCTCGGTATTAAATATGTGTCTTTGTAAATACTTATCAGGAAGTTGCTCGTGGAAAATATCAGAATCAGAATCATTTTTATTGCCACGTAAGTAACAGGAAGTCACAGACTTGGAAATTGCTTTGGCTCAGTGCAACAGTTAGAAAGAGATAATAAAAATAAAGAATAAAAAACACTTCTAAGGAATAAATTTAAATTTAAAATAGAGTTACAGTTACTGTTTACAATATACAAGTGCACACGGTGCACACCATGTAAGGTGACAGCAGTACAGTGAAGTAAAGTGACGTATGATGGGCAGTAAAGTGACTTTATAAAGGGCGGGGACAGGTTAAGAAGTGTTCAAGAGTCCAACAGCAGAGGGGAAGAAACTGTTCTTGTGGCGGGAGGTTCTAGTCCTGATGGACCGCAGCCTCCTGCCTGAGGGGAGTGGTTGGAATAGTCCATGTGCAGGTGAGAGGGGAGTGGTTGGAATAGTCCATGTGCAGGTGAGAGGGGAGTGGTTGGAATAGTCCATGTGCAGGTGAGAGGGGAGTGGTTGGAATAGTCCATGTGCAGGGTGAGAGGGGAGTGGTTGGAATAGTCCATGTGCAGGTGAGAGGGGAGTGGTTGGAATAGTCCATGTGCAGGTGAGAGGGGAGTGGTTGGAATAGTCCATGTGCAGGTGAGAGGGGAGTGGTTGGAATAGTCCATGTGCAGGTGAGAGGGGAGTGGTTGGAATAGTCCATGTGCAGGTGAGAGGGGAGTGGTTGGAATAGTCCATGTGCAGGTGAGAGGGGAGTGGTTGGAATAGTTCATGTGCAGGTGAGAGGGGTCGGCTGTGATACGACCAGCCCGGCCTCGAGCTCGGGCGACGTACAGGTCCTGCAGCGATGGAAGACTGCGGCCGATCACTTCCTCTGCAGAGCGCACAATGCACTGTAGTCTCTGTTTGTCCCTGACTGTGGCTCCAGCGAACCACACGGTGACTGAGGAGGTGACGGAGGAGGTGATGGAGGAGGTGATGAGGAGGTGATGGAGGAGGTGATGGAGGTGATGGAGGAGGTGATGGAGGAAGTGATGGAGAAGGTGATGGAGGAGGTGATGGAGGAGGTGCTGGTGGAGGTGATGGAGGAGGTGATGGAGGAGGTGATGGAGGAGGTGATGGAAGAGGTGCTGGAGGAGGTGATGAGGAGGTGATGGAGGAGGTGATGGAGGAGGTGATGGAGGAGGTGATGGTGGAAGAGGTGATGAGGAGGTGATGGAGGAGGTGATGGAGGAGGTGATGAGGAGGTGATAGAGGAGGTGATAGAGGAGGTGATAGAGGAGGTGATGGAGGAGGTGATGGAGGAGGTGATGGAGGAGGTGATGGAGGAGGTGATAGAGGAGGTGATAGAGGAGGTGATGGAGGAGGTGATGGTGGAGGTGATGAGGAGGTGATGGAGGAGGTCAACATCTGTGCAGGCAGCTTGGCTTTCCTGAGCTGCCGCAGGAAGTACATCCTCTGCTGGGCCTTCTTGATGAGGAGCTGATGGTCGGCTCCCACTTGAGGTCCTGGGTGATGGTGGTGCCCAGGAAACGGAAGGACTCCACAGAGGTGATGGGGGAGTCCATCACGGAGGGTGGGGGTGGGGGGACAGTGCTCTTCCTGAAGTCCACAATCATCTCCACTGTCGAGACCAAAGAACAGAGGGAGACCGTAGAGAGACCAGAGAGAGACCAGAGAGAGACCAGAGAGAGACCAGAGAGAGACCAGAGAGAGAGACCAGAGAGAGAGACCAGAGAGAGAGACCAGAGAGAGACCAGAGAGAGACCAGAGAGAGACCAGAGAGAGACCAGAGAGAGACCAGAAAGAGACCAGAGAGAGACCAGAGAGAGACCAGAGAGAGACCAGAGAGAGACCAGAGAGAGACCAGAGAGAGACCAGAAAGAGACCAGAGAGAGACCAGAGAGAGAGACCAGAGAGAGAGACCAGAGAGAGACCAGAGAGAGACCAGAGAGAGAGACCAGAGAGAGACCAGAGAGAGACCAGAGAGAGACCAGAGAGAGACCAGAGAGAGACCAGAGAGAGACCAGAGAGAGAGACCAGGGAGAGACCAGAGAGAGACCAGAGAGAGACCAGAGAGAGACCAGAGAGAGACCAGAGAGAGACCAGAGAGAGAGCAGAGAGAGAGCAGAGAGAGACCAGAGAGAGAGCAGAGATACTAGAGAGAGACCAGAGAGAGACCAGAGAGAGATCAGAGAGAGACTAGAGAGAGATCAGAGAGAGACTAGAGAGAGAGACCAGAGAGAGACCAGAGAGAGACCAGAGAGAGACCAGAGAGAGATCAGAGAGAGACTAGAGAGAGAGACCAGAGAGAGACCAGAGAGAGACCAGAGAGAGACCAGAGAGAGATCAGAGAGAGACCAGAGAGAGACCAGAGAGAGACCAGAGAGAGAGACCAGAGAGAGAGACCAGAGAGACCAGAGAGAGAGACCAGAGAGAGAGACCAGAGATACTAGAGAGAGACCAGAGAGAGAGCAGAGAGATCAGAGTGAGACTGGAGAGATACCAGCACAAGAGAGAAGCTTTAATTGATTCAGAGAAAGACCCGCAAGAGACCAGAAAGAGACCTGAAAGACTCTTCCTGGTCACGCTCTGACCAGGAAGAGACCAGAGAGAGACCAGAAAGAGATCAGAGAGAGCAAAGAGAGAGAGAGAGAGTGGCTCTGTCCATCAGGAGGTGTCAGTTACATGTTGTTGTCAGGGAGAGAAGGTACACAGACTGAGAGACCCCCCACCGTGACAGACCTCCATCATCCTGACGTCACCCACATGTTGTTTGGTCAGTCGGGGGGGGGGGGGGGGGGTGACACAGATGTGGAAGTTGTTGATTCACCAACAACAGATCAGAGAATCCAACAGTGTAAACAGAGGAAGCAGCAAACACACACAGGGACAACGGTCCGTGTCCCGGTTCATGGCTGTCCTCAGAGCCTCTGCATCAGTGTGATCAACCAGGAACCCTATATTGTTATGTACTCACCAGGTTTTGGGTTTAGAGGGTCTATGACAGTGGTGATGGTCCTTCACCATTATCAAGAGAGAGACCAGGGAGAGACCAGAGAGAGACCAGAGAGAGAGCAGAGAGAGAGCAGAGAGAGACCAGAGAGAGACCAGAGAGAGACCAGAGAGAGAGCAGAGAGAGAGCAGAGAGAGACCAGAGAGAGACCAGAGAGAGACCAGAGAGAGAGCAGAGAGAGAGCAGAGAGAGACCAGAGAGAGACCAGAGAGAGAGCAGAGAGAGAGCAGAGAGAGAGCAGAGAGAGAGAGAGCAGAGAGAGACCAGAGAGAGACCAGAGAGAGACCAGAGAGAGAGCAGAGAGAGACCAGAGAGAGAGACCAGAGAGAGACCAGAGAGAGAGCAGAGAGAGAGCAGAGAGAGACCAGAGAGAGACCAGAGAGAGAGCAGAGAGAGAGAGCAGAGAGAGAGCAGAGAGAGAGCAGAGAGAGAGCAGAGAGAGACCAGAGAGAGACCAGAGAGAGAGCAGAGAGAGAGCAGAGAGAGACCAGAGAGAGAGCAGAGAGAGAGCAGAGAGAGACCAGAGAGACCAGAGAGAGAGCAGAGAGAGAGCAGAGAGAGACCAGAGAGAGAGCAGAGAGAGAGCAGAGAGAGACCAGAGAGAGACCAGAGAGAGACCAGAGAGAGACCAGAGAGAGACCAGAGAGAGAGACCAGAGAGAGAGACCAGGGAGAGATCAGAGAGAGAGAGACCAGGGAGAGACCAGAGAGAGAGAGAGCAGAGAGAGAGAGAGACCAGAGAGAGAGAGAGAGAGCAGAGAGAGACCAGAGAGAGAACAGAGAGAGAGCAGAGAGAGAGCAGAGAGAGACCAGAGAGAGACCAGAGAGAGACCAGAGAGAGACCAGAGAGAGACTAGAGAGACCAGAGAGAGACCAGAGAGAGAGACCAGAGAGACCAGAGAGAGACCAGAGAGAGAGACCAGAGAGAGAGCAGAGATAGATCAGAGAGAGACCAGAGAGAGACCAGAGAGAGACCAGAGAGAGACCAGAGAGAGACCAGAGAGAGACCAGAGAGAGACCAGAGAGAGACCAGAGAGAGAGCAGAGAGAGAGCAGAGAGAGACCAGAGAGAGACCAGAGAGAGACCAGAGAGAGACCAGAGAGAGAGACCAGAGAGAGACCAGGGAGAGACCAGGGAGAGACCAGAGAGAGACCAGAGAGACCAGAGAGAGAGCAGGGAGAGACCAGGGAGAGACCAGAGAGAGACCAGAGAGAGACCAGAGAGAGACCAGAGAGAGACCAGAGAGAGAGCAGAGAGAGACCAGAGAGAGACCAGAGAGAGACCAGAGAGAGACCAGAGAGAGACCAGAGAGAGACCAGAGAGAGAGCAGAGAGAGAGCAGAGAGAGACCAGAGAGAGACCAGAGAGAGACCAGAGAGAGACCAGGGAGAGACCAGGGAGAGACCAGAGAGAGACCAGGGAGAGACCAGAGAGAGACCAGAGAGAGACTAGAGAGAGACCAGAGAGAGAGACCAGAGAGAGACCAGGGAGAGACCAGGGAGAGACCAGAGAGAGACCAGAGAGAGACCAGAGAGAGAGCAGGGAGAGACCAGGGAGAGACCAGAGAGAGACCAGAGAGAGACCAGAGAGAGACTAGAGAGAGACCAGAGAGAGAGACCAGAGAGAGACCAGAGAGAGACCAGGGAGAGACCAGGGAGAGACCAGAGAGAGACCAGAGAGAGAGACCAGAGAGAGAGACCAGAGAGAGACTAGGACCAGAGAGAGACCAGAGAGAGAGACCAGAGAGAGAGCAGAGAGAGACCAGAGAGAGACCAGAGAGAGAGACCAGAGAGAGACCAGAGAGAGACCAGAGAGAGAGACCAGAGAGAGACCACAGAGAGACCAGATCGAGACCAGAGAGAGACCAGATAGAGAGACCAGAGAGAGACCAGAGAGAGAGACCAGAGAGAGACCAGAGAGAGACCAGGGAGAGACCAGGGAGAGACCAGAGAGAGACCAGGGAGAGACCAGAGAGAGACCAGAGAGAGACCAGAGAGAGACCAGAGAGAGACCAGAGAGAGAGACCAGAGAGAGAGAGACCAGGGAGAGACCAGGGAGAGACCAGAGAGAGACCAGAGAGAGAGACCAGAGAGAGACCAGAGAGAGAGCAGAGAGAGACTAGAGAGAGACCAGAGAGAGACCAGAGAGAGACCAGAGAGAGAGACCAGAGAGAGACCAGAGAGAGACCAGAGAGAGAGACCAGAGAGAGACCAGAGAGAGACCAGGGAGAGACCAGGGAGAGACCAGAGAGAGACCAGGGAGAGACCAGAGAGAGACCAGAGAGAGACCAGAGAGAGACCAGAGACCAGAGAGAGACCAGAGAGAGAGACCAGAGAGAGACCAGAGAGAGAGACCAGAGAGAGACCACAGAGAGAGACCACAGAGAGACCAGATCGAGACCAGAGAGAGACCAGAGAGAGACCAGAGAGAGACTAGAGAGAGACCAGAGAGAGAGACCAGAGAGAGACCAGAGAGAGACCAGGGAGAGACCAGGGAGAGACCAGAGAGAGACCAGGGAGAGACCAGAGAGAGACCAGAGAGAGACCAGAGAGAGACCAGAGAGAGGCCAGAGAGAGACCAGAGAGAGACCAGAGAGAGACCAGAGAGAGAGACCAGGGAGAGACCAGAGAGAGGCCAGAGAGAGACCAGAGAGAGACCAGAGAGAGACCAGAGGAGCCGGACCAGAGAGAGACCAGAGAGAGACCAGAGAGAGACCAGAGAGAGACCAGAGAGAGACCAGAGAGAGACCAGAGAGAGGACCAGAGAGACCCAGAGTGAGACCAGAGAGAGACCAGAGAGAGACCAGAGAGAGACCAGAGAGAGACCAGAGAGAGAGACCAGAGAGAGACCAGAGTGAGACCAGAGAGAGACCAGAGAGAGACCAGAGAGAGACCAGAGAGAGACCAGAGAGAGACCAGAGAGAGACCAGAGAGAGACCAGAGAGAGACCAGAGAGAGACCAGAGAGAGACCAGAGGAGAGACCAGAGAGAGACCAGAGAAAGACTAGAGAGAGACCAGAGAGAGACCAGAGTGAGACTAGAGAGACACCAGAGAGATACCAGAGAGATACCAGAGAGAGGACCAGAGAGAGACCAGAGAGAGAGACCAGAGAGAGACCAGAGAGAGAGAGACCAGAGAGAGACCAGAGAGAGACTAGAGAGAGACCAGAGAAAGACTAGAGAGAGACCAGAGAGAGAGACCAGAAAGAGGCCAGAGAGAGACTGGGGAGAGACCAGAAAGAGGCCAAAGAGAGACCAGGGAGAGACCTGAGAGAGAGACCAGAGGGAGAAGCCAGAGAGAAACTAGAGAGAGAGACCAGAGGGAGAAGCCAGAGAGAGAGACCAGAGTGAGACCAGAGAGAGAGACCAGAGAGAGACCAAAGTGAGACCAGAGAGAGAGACCAGAGAGAGACCAGAGTGAGACCAGAAAGAGAGACCTGAGAAAGAGACAAGAGATAAACTAGAGGGAGAGAGACCAAAGAGTGAGATCAGGGAGAGTACTGGTGATGTTGTCTTAAAAGGTCTCATTTAGAAACAAGGAGAGACAGAAGCAACACGGTCTCCTCCCGTTCACTCCTGTGAGATCAGCTGCGTCAGCTGCATTCTTCCAGCCTGACACACCGGCCAATCAGAGCACAGACAACAATGTGGTGAGTGTGTGTAGGTGTGAGTGTGAGTGTGTGTGTGTAGGTGTGTGTGAGTGTGTGTGTGTAGGTGTGTGTGAGTGTGTGTAGGTGTGAGTGTGGGTGTGTGTGATTGTGTGGGTGTGTGTAAAGTAATACATTATTGTTAGAAAATCAAACAGATTTGATGTAATTGTCGTTTCCTGGTGAAATAGCAGTGGGTCTAATACAGACCCCTGTGGGGCCCCTCAAAACGTCTCTCTTCTCGCTTGTCACAGTAGCAAATGTTACACGTGAACAAAAACTGCAAAGAGACCATTCAAAAGACGGTCGGACCAGGGCCTTTCTGAGTGGAGTTTGCATGTTCTCCCCGTGTCTGCTCCGGTTTCCTCCGGGTGCTCCGGTTTCCCCTACCACTAAAACTATGTACAATAGGTCTGGCATGCGCCTCCTGTTCGGTGATCCCGCTCCCATCTCTGTGTGGAGTGAGAGGACAAGTGCCCAAAAATAATAACAATTGTAAACCGCTTTGTGACTCTGGTCTGTGAAAGGCGGTATATGAATAAAGATTACTTACTACTACTACTACTTTTAATATAACTCAGTCTCAGTTAAAAAGCTCCTAGAAAACAAAATAAATGAATAGGAAAAAAAGAAGAAAAAAAAAGTTTGGCATCTTTTGGATCTTATTCAACCCAACAAAGTATTGTCTCATCAAAGCTGGTGCCAAGTAAGATGTGTGATCTTTACATTTAGCTGCCGTCCCTTTGTTTTTGTAATTTGTTATTGTAGAAAACAGCATTATACCTGTTTTGCTGCAGTAGTGGAGATATCCTGTCATGGTACTGCTTTTCACAAGCTGCAACGATTATATTTGTCCACTAGATGTCAGTGTTGGAAGCTATTCTGAGCTTCAGTGTGATGGGCTAGTCTTCCCTCAGACTAAATATGACTCCGCTGCACTTTTCTCTTGGGTCTTTCCCGGTTTCCAGCCACAAGAGGCATTTGATCCAGCTTCTGACAAATGGAAATGGGTCAAATGTGACCAACTTTGGTCCGTTTAGGACCACAAACAGGACCTGTGGAGGTCCTCACACAGGAGTTTAGGACCTCAGTTCAGACGTCTGTATTGTTGACGTGGGGAGAATATTTCAGAATCAGAATCATTTTTATTGCCAAGTCAGTAAGAGGAAGTCACAGACGAGGAAGTTGCTTTGGCTCTCGGTGCAAAGTAGAGAAAGAATAAGACAAATGTATCACATTTTCTAAAATAGAAAGAGTTATAAAGTAAAATGATTACGATTATTACTATGTATATACAAGAGCACTTGGTGCGCACGATTTATAATTTACTTTAAGCAGTGCAGTTTAAAACGTGTCCTGGCCCTGGTCCCCACATGTGTCCTGGTCCCACATGTGTCCTGGTCCCCACATGTGCCCTGGTCCCCACATGTGCCCTGGTCCCCACATGTGTCCTGGTCCCCACATGTGCCCTGGTCCCCACATGTGTCCTGGTCCCTACACGTGTCCTGGTCCCTACACGTGTCCTGGTCCCCAGACGTGTCCTGGTCCCCACATGTGTCCTGGTCCCCACATGTGCCCTGGTCCCCACATGTGTCCTGGTCCCCACACGTATCCTGGTCCCCACATGTGCCCTGGTCTCCATATGTGTCCTGGTCCCCACATGTGTCCTGGTCCCCACATGTGCCCTGGTCCCCACATGGGTCCTGGTCCCCACATGTGCCCTGGTCCCCACATGTGTCCTGGTCCCCACATGTGTCCTGGTCCCCACATGTGCCGTGGTCTCCACATGTGCCCTGGTCCCCACATGTGTCCTGGTCCCCACATGTGCCCTGGTCCCCACATGTGTCCTGGTCCCCACATGTGCCCTGGTCCCCACATGTGCCCTAGTCCCCACATGTGTCCTGGTCCCCACATGTGCCCTGGCTCCCACATGTGTCCTGGTCCCCACATGTGCCCTGGTCCCCACATGTGTCCTGGTCCCCACATGTGCCCTGGTCCCCACATGTGTCCTGGTCCCCACATGTATCCTGGTCCCCACATGTGCCCTGGTCTCCATATTTGTCCTGGTCCCCACATGTGTCCTTGTCCCCACATGTGCCCTGGTCCCCACATGTGCCCTGGTCCCCACATGCGTCCTGGTCCCCACATTTGTCCTGGTCCCCACATGTGTCCTGGTCCCCACATGTGTCCTGGTCCCCACATGTGTCCTGGTCCCCACATGTGCCGTGGTCTCCACATGTGCCCTGGTCCCCACATGTGTCCTGGTCCCCACATGTGCCCTGGTCCCCACATGTGTCCTGGTCCCCACATGTGCCCTGGTCCCCACATGTGCCCTGGTCCCCACATGTGCCCTGGTCCCCACATGTGTCCTGGTCCCCACATGTGTCCTGGTCCCCACATGTGCCCTGGTCCCCACATGTGTCCTGGTCCCCACATGTGCCCTGGTCCCCACGTGTGTGCTGGACCAGTAGATCACGTGGTTAAGATTTGGTTTCATTATCGTCACAAACTCTTTCACATAAAAAATAAAGAAAAACAAATTAAATGTTCTTTCTACTATTAGTTCTGACCACTTTGTCTGTGTGTGTGTGTGTCCTGGTCCCCACATGTGTCCTGGTCCCCACATGTGCCCTGGTCCCCACATGTGCCCTAGTCCCCACATGTGTCCTGGTCCCCACATGTGCCCTGGCTCCCACATGTGTCCTGGTCCCCACATGTGCCCTGGTCCCCACATGTGTCCTGGTCCCCACATGTGCCCTGGTCCCCACATGTGTCCTGGTCCCCACATGTATCCTGGTCCCCACATGTGCCCTGGTCTCCATATTTGTCCTGGTCCCCACATGTGTCCTTGTCCCCACATGTGCCCTGGTCCCCACATGTGCCCTGGTCCCCACATGCGTCCTGGTCCCCACATTTGTCCTGGTCCCCACATGTGTCCTGGTCCCCACATGTGTCCTGGTCCCCACATGTGTCCTGGTCCCCACATGTGCCGTGGTCTCCACATGTGCCCTGGTCCCCACATGTGTCCTGGTCCCCACATGTGCCCTGGTCCCCACATGTGTCCTGGTCCCCACATGTGCCCTGGTCCCCACATGTGCCCTGGTCCCCACATGTGCCCTGGTCCCCACATGTGTCCTGGTCCCCACATGTGTCCTGGTCCCCACATGTGCCCTGGTCCCCACATGTGTCCTGGTCCCCACATGTGCCCTGGTCCCCACGTGTGTGCTGGACCAGTAGATCACGTGGTTAAGATTTGGTTTCATTATCGTCACAAACTCTTTCACATAAAAAATAAAGAAAAACAAATTAAATGTTCTTTCTACTATTAGTTCTGACCACTTTGTCTGTGTGTGTGTGTGTGTCTCTCTATGTGTCTGTGTGTGTGTGTGTGTCTCTGTGTCTGTGTGTATGTGTGTGTGTGTCTCTCTATGTGTCTGTGTGTCTGTGTGTGTGTGTGTGTGTGTGTCTCTCTCTATGTGTCTGTGTGTGTGTGTCTCTCTATGTGTCTATGTGTATGTGTGTGTGTGTCTCTCTATGTGTCTATGTGTATGTGTGTGTGTGTGTGTCTCTCTATGTGTCTATGTGTGTGTGTTTGTGTGTGTGTGTGTGTCTGTCTGTGTCTATGTGTATGTGTATGTGTGTGCGTGTGTGTCTCTGTATGTGTCTGTGTGTATGTGTGTGTGTGTGTCTCTATGTGTCTCTCTCTATGTGTCTATGTGTATGTGTGTGTCTCTCTCTATGTTTGTATGTGTGTGTGTGTGTATGTCTGTATGTTTGTGTCTCTGTGTGTTTGTGTGTGTGTCTCTGTGTGTGTGTGTGTGTGTGTGTCTGTGTCTCTGTGTGTGTCGCTGCAGAGTCCATCTATCGTCGTGGAGCTCGGAGATGGAGGAAGTTGTACCGAGTGCACGGACATCTCTTCCAGGTCAAGCACTTTAACAGGGTGAGCTCCTCTGGGGGTCTCTCTCTTACATTGGGGGTGGTCTCTCTCTTTCATTGGGTGGTCTCTCTCTTACATTGGGGGGTCTCTCTTACATTGAGGGTGCTCTCTCTCTTACTTTGGGTGTCCTCTCTCTTACATTGGGGATGCTCTCTCTTACATAGGGTGCTCTCTCTCTTACTTTGGGTGCTCTCTCTCTTACCTTGGGGGGTCTCTCTCTTACATTGAGGGTGGTCTCTTTCTTGCATTGGGGGTGCTCTCTCTCTTACATTGGGTGGTCTCTCTCTTACATTGGGGGTGCTCTCTCTCACATAGGGTGCTCGCTCTCTTACATTGGGGTCTCTCTCTTACATTGAGGGTGCTCTCTCTTACCTTGGGTGCTCTCTCTTACATTGGGTGCTCTCTCTTACCTTGGGTGCTCTCTCTTACCTTGGGGGGGTCTCTCATATTGGGTGCTCTCTCTTACCTTGGGGGAGGTCTCTCTCTCCAGGCCCTCTGTGCTCAGTGCTCTCAGAGGATATGGGTTCAGATCTACAGCTGCCTCAGCTGCAGACTCCTGCTGCATAAGCGCTGCCACCGCCTCTACAGCCACACCTGCCCTGGGCGCATGGTGAGTCTCTCTCTCTGGTCTCTCTCTTTCCTCTCTTTCGCAGGTCTCTCTCTGGTCTCTTTCTAGTCTCTTTCTGGTCTCACTGGTGTCCCTCTGGTCTCCCTCTGGTCTCCCTCTGGTCTCTCTGGTCTCTCTGGTCTCACTGGTCTCTCTCCCTCAGGATCCAGGTATGCCCTCTCCTGCAGACTCTCGGGGTGAGGAGGAGGAGGGGCCCCTCACCGACGGCAGAGATGGAAGTAAGACCCAGACCCAGGCCAGACCCAGACCAGATCAGACCAGACTCAGACCCCGACTAAAACCCAGACCCAGACCAGACCCAACTGAAAAGGGGAGGAGTTAATCCTTGTGTTTGTTTCAGTTTCGTTTGTTCCTCACGACTGCAGCGAGGAGCAACCGGACGACGACCAAACTCAGGTGACTGCATCACCTTCTGCAGAACAGTGACGGTCTCGCTCTGGTCTCAGAGAGAGACCGGCAGGAGCACATTACCCCTGTCCTTGTGTCTCTGCGCTGTTGGTTGTTGGTTTTTAAATCTCTTCACAGTCAATTACCAAGTACACAGGTCTGAGGTCTAGACCAGCTGCTCTGCACCGGGCGGCACGGTGGCTGAGTGGATAGCACTCTCGCCTCTCAGCAAGAAGGTCCTGGGTTCGAATCCCGGTCGGACCAGGGCCTTTCTGAGTGGAGTTTGCATGTTCTCCCCGTGTCTGCGTAGGTTTCCTCCGGGTACTCCGGTTTCCCCTACCACTAAAAATATGTACAATAGGTCTGGCATGCGCCTCCTGTTCGGCGACCCCACTCCCATCTCTGTGTGGAGTGAGAGACTAATGCCCAAAAATAACAATTGTAAACCGCTTTGTGACTCTGGTCTGTGAAAGGCGGTATATAAATAAACTTTACTTACTTACTTACTCTAGGACTGTCCCAGAGAGAGACCAGAGGGAAACCAGAGGGAAACCAGAGAGAGACCAGAGAGAGACCAGAGAGAGACCAGAGAGAGACCAGAGAGAGACCAGAGAGAGACCAGAGAGAGACCAGAGAGAGACCAGAGAGAGACCAAAGAGAGACCAGAGAGAGACCAGAGAGAGACCAGAGAGAGACCAAAGAGAGACCAGATGGAAACCAGAGAGAGACCAGAGAGAGACCAAAGAGAGACCAGATGGAAACCAGAGAGAGACCAGAGAGAGACCAGAGGGAAACCAGAGAGAGACCAGAGGGAAACCAGAGAGAGACCAGAGAGAGACCAAAGAGAGACCAGAGAGAGACTAAAGAGGGACCAGAGAGAGGCCAGAGAGAGAGACCAGAGGGACTAGGCTTTACCTCCAGCTGAGAACATGTTGATAAACTTTCTGTAAAGTCTAATGAAACAAACCTATTTATGAATGTGCTGCAGGAGCTGTCCGTGGTGGTGGAATCTCTGGATGGGCTGAAGCTTTCCCCTGGTGTCTCCCCTGGTGTCTCCCCTGGTGTCTCCCCTGGTGTCTCTCCTGGCCTCTCTCCTGGCCTCTCCCCTGGTCTTTCCCCTGGTCTGACCCTGGGCCTGGCGGACTTCGAGCTGGTGCGGGTGATCGGCCGTGGGAGCTACGCCAAAGTCCTGCTGGTGCGACTGAAGAAGGACCATCAACTGTTCGCCATGAAGGTGGTGAAGAAGGAACTGGTGCATGATGATGAGGTAATGTCATCACCTCAGTCTGTGTCACAGAGACCAGAGAGAGACCAGAGAGAGACCAGAGAGAGACCAGAGAAAGACCAGAGAGAGACCAGAGAGAGACCAGAGAAAGACCAGAGAGAGACCAGAGAAAGACCAGAGAGAGACCAGAGAGAGACCAGAGAGAGACCAGGGAGAGACCAGAGAAAGACCAGAGAGAGACCAGAGAAAGACCAGAGAGAGACCAGAGAGAGACCAGAGAGAGGCCAGAGAGAGGCCAGAGAGAGGCCAGAGAGAGACCAGAGAGAGACCAGAGAGAGACCAGAGAGAGAGACCAGAGAGAGGGACCAGAGAGAAACCAGAGAGAGACCAGAGTGAGGGCAGATAGAGACCAGAGAGAGACCAGAGAGAGACCAGAGTGAGGGCAGATAGAGACCAGAGAGAGACCAGAGAGAGACTAGAGTGAGGGCAGATAGAGACCAGAGATAGGCCAGAGAGAGACCAGAGAGAGACCAGAGAGAGACCAGAGAGAGACCAGAGAGAGACCAGAAAGAGACCAGTGAGAGACCAGAGAGAGACCAGAGAGAGACCAGAAAAAGACCAGAAAGAGACCAGAAAGAGACCATAGAGAGACTAGAGAAAAACCAGAGAGAGACCAGAGAGAGACCAGAGAGGGAGACCCGAGAGGGACCAGAGAGGGACCAGAGAGAGACCAGAGAGAGACCAGAAAGAGACCAGTGAGAGACCAGAGAGAGACCAGAGAGAGACCAGAAAAAGACCAGAAAGAGACCAGAAAGAGACCATAGAGAGACCAGAGAAATACATGTTTCTGGTCAGGGCCTGGTGTCACTACAGTATAATTTTCTCTTTTAGAATAATCCAATCATCAACGACATCATTAATACATTCTGAGACTCTGTTGGTGTAATTCCCACTGAGTCCAGCAGAGGTCAGCAGAATCATTTTTATTGCTACGTAAGTAACAGGAAGTCACAGACTTGGAAATTGTTTTGGTTCAGAATCAGCAACACTTCTAAAAATACAAGTTAAAATAGAATTATTACAATTACTACATACAATATACAAGTGCACATGGTGCACACAATACAAGGTGACAGCAGTACAGTGACTTTATAAAGGGCAGTACGTTCCGGTGTAATACTCCCCGGACCAGGGCTCGGACCAGGACTCGGACCAGGACTCGGACCAGGACTCGGACCAGGACTCGGACCAGGACTCGAACCAGGACTCGCACCAGGACCCGGACCAGGACGCAGGAAGTTTCTCTAAAGATTGTGAAATCATGGTTACACCACTTTAGTTTGTTCCACAAATGTTACATTAACTTTAATTAACTTAATAGCACCACACATTTAAATACTTAGTAGATTCAGAAGAACAGGTGCAGGAGGTGACCAGCAGGAGGCGCTCTCACACAGACAGGTGCAGGAGGTGACCAGCAGGAGGAGCTCTCACAGACAGCTGCAGGAGGTGTCCAGCAGGGGGAGCTCTCACAGACAGGTGCTGCAGGTGACCAGCAGGGGGTGACCAGCAAGAGGAGCTTTCAAAGACAGGTGCAGGAGGTGACCAGCAGGGGGAGCTCTCACAGACAGCTGCAGGAGGTGTCCAGCAGGGGGAGCTCTCACAGACAGGTGCTGCAGGTGACCAGAAGGGGGTGACCAGCAGGGGGAGCTCTCACAGACAGGTGCAGGAGGTGTCCAGCAGGGGGAGCTCTCACAGACAGGTGCTGCAGGTGACCAGCAGGGGGTGACCAGCAAGAGGAGCTTTCAAAGACAGGTGCAGGAGGTGTCCAGCAGGGGGAGCTCTCACACAGACAGGTGCTGCAGGTGACCAGCAGGGGGTGACCAGCAAGAGGAGCTTTCAAAGACAGGTGCAGGAGGTGTCCAGCAGGGGGAGCTCTCACACAGACAGGTGCTGCAGGTGACCAGCAGGGGGTGACCAGCAAGAGGAGCTTTCAAAGACAGGTGCAGGAGGTGTCCAGCAGGGGGAGCTCTCACACAGACAGGTGCAGGAGGTGACCAGCAGGGGGAGCTCTCACAGACAGGTGAAGGAGGTATCCAGCAGGGGGAGCTCTCAAGCAGACAGGTGCAGGAGGTGTCCAGCAGGGGGAGCTCTCACACAGACAGGTGCAGGAGGTGACCAGCAGGGGGAGCTCTCACACAGACAGGTGCAGGAGGTGACCAGCAGGGGGAGCTCTCACAGACAGGTGCAGGAGGTGACCAGCAGGAGGCGCTCTCACACAGACAGGTGCAGGAGGTGACCAGCAGGAGGCGCTCTCACACAGACAGGTGCAGGAGGTGACCAGCAGGGGGAGCTCTCACACAGACAGGTGCAGGAGGTGACCAGCAGGGGGAGCTCTCACAGACAGGTGCAGGAGGTGACCAGCAGGGGGAGCTCTCACAAACATAATGTCCATGTTTCTTTTATTAAATACAGTGCCTTGCGAAAGTATTCGGCCCCCTTGAATCTTTCAACATTTTGCCACATTTCAGGCTTCAAACATAAAGATATAACATTTTATTTTTTTGTCAAGAATCAACAACAAGTGGGACACAATCGTGAAGTGGAACGAAATTTATTGGATAATTTAAACCTTTTTAACAAATAAAAAACTGAAAAGTGGGGCGTGCAATATTATTCGGCCCTCTTGCGGTAATACTTTGTAGCGCCACCTTTTGCTGCAATTACAGCTGCAAGTCGCTTGGGGTATTTCTCTATCAGTTTTGCACATCGAGAGACTGGAATTCTTGCCCATTCTTCCTTGCAAAACAGCTGGAGCTCAGTGAGGTTGGATGGAGAGCGTTTGTGAACAGCAGTCTTCAGCTCTTTCCACAGATTCTCGATTGGATTTGACTTGGCCATTCTAACACCTGGATACGTCTATTTGTGAACCATTCCATTGTAGATTTGGCTTTATGTTTTGGATCATTGTCCTGTTGGAAGATAAATCTCCGTCCCAGTCTCAGGTCTTTTGCAGACTCCAACAGGTTTTCTTCCAGAATGGTCCTGTATTTGGCTCCATCCATCTTCCCATCAATTCTAGCCATCTTCCCTGTCCCTGCTGAAGAAACGCAGGCCCAAAGCATGATGCTGCCACCACCATGTTTGACAGTGGGGATGGTGTGTTCAGGGTGATGAGCTGTGTTGCTTTTACGCCAAACATATCGTTTTGCATTGTGGCCAAAAAGTTCGATTTTGGTTTCATCTGACCAGAGCACCTTCTTCCACATGTTTGGTGTGTCTCCCAGGTGGCTTGTGGCAAACTTTAAACAAGACTTTTTATGGATATCTTTGAGAAATGGCTTTCTTCCTGCCACTCTTCCATAAAGGCCAGAACTGATTGTTGTCCTATGGACAGACTCTCCCACCTCAGCTGTAGTTATCTGCAGTTCATCCAGAGTGATCATGGGCCTCTTGGCTGCATCTCTGATCAGTCTTCTCCTTGTTTGAGATGAAAGTTTGGAAGGACGGCCGGGTCTTGGTAGATTTGCAGTGGTCTGATACTCCTTCCATTTCAATATAATTGCTTGCACAGTGCTCCTTGAGATGTTTAAAGCTTGGGAAATCTTTTTGTATCCAAATCCGGCTTTAAACTTCTCCACAGCAGTATCTCGGACCTGCCTGGTGTGTTCCTTTGTCTTCATGGTTCTCTCTGCGCTTTAAACAGAACCCTGAGACTATCAAAGAGCAGGTGCATTTATACGGAGACTTGATTACACACAGGTGCATTCTATTTATCATCATCAGTCATTTAGGACAACATTGGATCATTCAAAGATCCTCACTGAACTTCTGGACTGAGTTTGCTGCACTGAAAGTAAAGGGGCCGAATAATATTGCACGCCCCACTTTTCAGTTTTTTATTTGTTAAAAAAGTTTAAATTATCCAATACATTTCGTTCCACTTCACGATTGTGTCCCACTTGTTGTTGATTCATGACAAAAAATTAAAATGTTTATATCTTTATGTTTGAAGACTGAAATGTGGCGAAATGTTGAAAGGTTCAAGGGGGCTGAATACTTTCGCAAGGCACTGTAATGATTCAGCACTGTTTGTGGCAGGGGTAAAGTGGAACCTCTCGTGCTCCTCCTGCTCCTCCTCCTGCTCTGCTTCGCTGCTTTATTAAATAGAAACCCGCCAGAACACATGGATCTGCATTCAGCGCTCGTATTCACAGGTTTAAATAATATATCTGTGCACCAGAAAGACCAGAGAGAGACCAGAGAGACCAGAGAGAGACCAGAGAGACCAGAGAGAGACCAGAGAGACCAGAGAGAGACCAGAGAGACCAGAGAGAGACCAGAGAGACCAGAGAGAGACCAGAGAGACCAGAGAGAGACCAGAGAAAGACCAGAGAGAGACCAGAGAGAGACCAGAGAGAGACCAGAGAGAGACCAGAGAGAGACTAGAGAGAGACCAGAGAGAGACCAGAGGGACCAGAAGGACCAGAGAGAGACCAGAGAGAGTGTTTGTGGCGATCAGTGTGTAGACAGCTCTCGTTGTATCTGCAAAACAATTCTATGAAAGTGCATAAAACATGTGCCCTGAAGCACTGGCATCGAACAGCCAGAGGCCACATGTACACACACACATACACACACATGTACACACACATACACACACATGTACACACACATGTACTCACACACGCACACACACACACACACACGTACACACACACACACACACACATACACACACACACACACACACACGTACACGTTTTTGTTACCTGGTGGGTCCCTTTGACAGGGCCGTTCAGAATGGGACCCACAGACATAATCTTTTTTACTGGGACTACTTTAAGTAATACAAAACAGTCAATAGAAAACAAACAACTCTTTTAAAGGAATTTTCCATCCATCCATTTTCTTCCCCTTAATCCATTTCTGGGTCGGGGGTGGCAGTCAGAGCTGCACCCAGTACACTTAGCACCAGCCCCTCACTGATCCTCCTGCAGGAGCTGAGTCCACAGGAGCTGAGATCTTTCAGTGGGGGCTTT